AGCAGCAGAACGACACATCGCTCGACGTCGTCGCGGCGCTAGTCAAGCAACTCTCGGTCTCCTTCACGAGCCGAAACCACCATCCAGAATGGGACTCTGTGGGCTCTGGAATCCTACAACACATTGTCGCGCGAATCAACGCACTTCGCGGCTCGTCCACGTGGCAAGAGGATCTGCAGCGTGCACCGGCGTCGCTGCCCGACACGCTGCTGATCCGCGCCGAGATGCTGCGCTCGCCGACGGACGACCGGCACGACTTCGACCGCAAGCCCGAGGCCGTGCAGGCGACGGAGCGTGACGCGGACATTCGCGCGTTCGTTGCGCAGGTGCGCGCGCTGGTCGATGAGTTGGTGCAGCGTGACGGCGGCGCGCCGTATCATGTCCCGTGGGCGCGGCTGAAGGCGGTCGTGCTGAGCAGGCCTGCCAGGAAGGATCTGCTGCGCGTCGCGCTGGAGCTTGTGCGCGGCGAAGGAGGTGATGGGGATGTTGATGGCGGGAGTGATGAGGTGTCGAGCATGGCCGAGTTTTTGAGGATCGAGCTAGCCCACGACATGCTTCGCCTGGGGGAAGACCCCAGAGATGGGAGTGTGTTGCGGAGGGTCGATGCGGTGCTGCTGCGCTGGGAGCGAAGCCGTGTGGAGTATGTAAGGGAAAGCGCGCGAGAGACGATGCGGGTGTTGCGACGACAGAGTCTTGGTTGGCGAAAGCGACTGTGAACACTGTGGTTGTGGGGCAGGCAGGCAGGCAACGATGGGACCCTTTCTGAAGCGAGCTCTGAATTCGGGTTGAGAAAGACGAAAGGGCCGCCGCAGCTGTGTGATATTATTGAGTGGGGCGAGCAGGCGACTTCCTGGACTATTAACTCCAACCTAGGTTAAAAGGAAGTCAAAGTAAAATCTAGGTCCTTGACTGCAACAAAGACCAAAAAATTTCTCACGCTGACTCCATTCGCGACCGCTGCGTAGATCACTTCAACGCTCCAGCTGCCTATTTCGAAGTTCCCGCATACAACCCATTGTGCCCTAGCGAGCTATTCTTAGTCCTTAGTGTTGAGCTTCTCGTCAAAGACCCATTTTCCCGGTAGAATTGAGACATTCGCTGGTCTCTTTACGAGCTTGAAGACTTTCATGTCTTTGAGGCTCTCGACCTGCTTGATTATAGCGGGTAGCCACCTCTTTTCGAAGTCTGGTAGCTTCCTCGCCTCACTGTAATCCTTTGGCACCGAGGGCCTGTTTATTATGGCTTAATCGTGAGCGGCTTTCTCGACTATGACTGTGACCATGATGATTTCTTCGATAACCTCGGGGACTTCGTGATAGAGGTATATAGGGTTATTTTTCCTCTCCCGTAGACGTGTTTCCTTGAGCTCAACAGGTCAATCCCAGTGTCTTCTTGGCTTCTCTTTTAGCGGGTCTTCTACAACCTTCATTTTCCCTAACTTTGTTGTACTTTCTGCCAGAGGATGTGATCCAGGAATCGGGTCCTCTTCGTGAATAGCTTCCAGCTCAACTTCTTCAAAGAAAGGTTCTTCCTCCGCTTCATAGAAAGGGTCGTCCTCTTCCTCATCGTCAAACCTGACTTGCTTCTCTCCCTGTCAGCGCTGGCACCAATCCAAATATATTCAATTCAATTAAATAAGGAAATCCGTATTTGCAAATAAATAAGCCATTTTTGAGGTCAAATACAGGCCAAATTGAGGGCCCGGTTATTTGGCGTATTTGCAAATATTTCCATTGGTTAGGCCATTTTTAGGCCCAATTTTCCGGGTTTTCCTGGCGCCAGGGCAGTCCCTGACCAAGGCCAACCCTGCATTTTCTGGCCCCGGGAAAATCCTCGAATGCCCTGAATTCGAGTGCCGCCGTGCCGCTACAATGCAACTATCGCCAACCGTTGTAAACAAACTGCCGAATCCTACCGAATCCTACCTTCTTGCAGCGATTTCCCTACTTCCTTGGCTCCCGAGTCCTCGACAAAATGCCTGCCTCCACCGTTGATGTCGCGACCCTCTCGACAAGCCTCCCTACCGCCGGAAATCTTCCTCCCTCCCTTCCTCCGAAGCTATCACGACTATCGAGACAGCACGATGCGCTCCATGAAGAAGGAGTAGATGTCAAAGATCTTTCCGGGGTTCCAGTCAAGGATTGGCCGAAGATAAAAATACCAAGAGGGTCCTTTATACCGGAAAAGTGGGCGGGAAAAACACCAAAAAGGACATCGTGGATTCGTGATCACGGCTACTGGGTCGCCCAGATCATCAACAACGCTATCATCGAGGGAGAATATTTCTGGGCATGCCACTATTGCGAGAGCCTGTTCAAGGCGGATTCAACAAGCTCGGCGATTATACATCTGGAAAAAGAGCACGCAACATTCGCACCCAAGTCATCGTCTACTGGTATGAATAGGCCCGGAAAAAGGCAAGGCACGCTTCAAGTTGTCAATACAAAGCGCGCGAGGGTTGTTTTACTGCCTCACAAGCTCTCTTTGGAAGAAAAGCTCGTCGATCTAGTCGTCGGCTCGAACCTGCCTTTCAGCATCGTTGAGCATAAGGGATTTCGGGATTTTTGTATGGACCTGAATGCCGAGAAGACAGCTACCCTGATTCCTTCCTCGCACAATACCATTCGAGAGCATATTCGAAAGAGGTTTGAGGCTGAACAACAGGCCCTACGTGAGAGGTTAGCCGCATCGCCATACAAGAAGCATCTCTCGTTCGATATTTGGACTTCCAACGCGACAGTTTCCTACCTAGCGGTCTTCGTACATTACACTGATGTTGACGGCGCCATACAACAAGACCTGCTTGGAATGCCCCACCTTCGAGGCTCTCACAGCGGCGAGAACCAGGCTCTCTACATCTCTCGGCTAGTTAACGACTACGGCTTCGCTAAGAGCGTCGGTTATTTTCAGTGTGACAACGTGGATTCGAACAACTGGGCAGTAAAATTTACCTTGGAGTCGCTAATTCCTGGCCTTGACCGGTTTTCCCGGGATTCCTTAGGCACAAAGCGTCGTGTGCGCTGCTTCGGCCACATCCTCAACCTAGCAGCGCAGGCCTTCATTCTCGGCAAGTCGACTAACCTCGAAAGAACCTTTGACGATGACTTCGTCGGCCAGTTACCGCCCGAGCAGGAAGAAGCGTTGTTGAAGATATGGCGAAAGAGAGGGCCTGTTGGAAAACTCCACAACGTCGTCCACTTCATTCGGAGGTCACCACAACGCCGGGAATCCTTTCTACAGGTCGCGCGCAATCAGATCGGCGAGGGAGATGCGCAGGAATTCGGCGCGGCTATATTTGACAGGTCAGTCGAAGGTTTACAGCTTTGTGGCGATAATTCTACGCGTTGGAATTCTGTTTTCTTCATGATCGAACGCGCAGTGCGTTTACAGAGCCAAGTGGATTACTGGTGCCATAAAAATCTGACCGAGAAGGACCCTCAAAAGCGCATGCCCGCCGCCGACCTGCTACAACCAAGTGACTGGCACCTGCTTTCCATTGTTTTGTCTATTCTTAAACCCTTCAAAAAGATCACGAAGTGGTTTGAAGGGCGCGCGGCTACCTTTCCTGAAGTCCTCGCTACGCAGGAGTGGCTAATCGATCTGCTTGAGGATCGCCTTCGAACCCTACACCCGAACCTTGAAGCCGTCACCGATTTTACCGGTGGCCCGGTACACACCCATCCAGAGATCACGGTCGCAAGCCAACAGCCTCGATCATTCGGTATAGACGACGACGATGACAACGGCGTCTTGTTTACCGGGGAAGCATCACAACGGTCGCAGCGTAACCGTCGTCTTCCTACCCGGTTCGACGGCTCGGTCATCGACCTACCCCGGCGCCTGCCGACCGGCCAGATCAGGCCGCCCTCCCTCGACCTTGTTGCCGACCTTGTTGAAGACCTACCAGACGAACCACTACACTCCCCGCCGCCGTCACCACCTGATCTTGACGACGATCATTTATCCTTTCTTCGAACAAGCGTTGGCCTGGCCATTCAGAAGCTCAGAGAATACGTTAGATTGATGGAGGAGAGCCCAGCATACTGGTCGGCTATGATACTACACCCAGGGCACAAGGAGAAGTGGGTCAACCAGTTCCTGGGCAGCGACCGGGCTGAAGAAGCGATGAGGGCATTCCGGGATCTCTACGAGGCCGAGTACGCCGGCATCCCTCTCCCAGTGCCGGTTCGTACGCCTCACGAAGGTCGAGGGAGTCATCTTATCACCCACGACTACCATGATGACCCTGATGACCCCAACCTGAAGAACGAAGTAGCTGAATACCTTTACGAAAGTGTCAGGCGGGTGGATGACATACTGGCTTGGTGGAAGGAAAGAAGAGAGCGTTGGCCCCGGTTGTCAAAGATGGCTTTTGACTTGTTGTCAATACCGTCTATGTCAACAGAGTGCGAGAGGGCATTCAGCCAGGGAAAACTGATCCTTGGGACTCAGAGGCATGGTATGCTCGACGAAACCCTGAATTACCTCATGTGCACGAAGAATTGGGCGACGAAATAAAGGTCCTGAAGGTCGAGGGCTTTTTTCCGGTCTTAGGGTGCTATTCGGGGCTCGATTTCCTTGTTTTTTTGGTCGAGCGGCAAATTCCGTCAATTAAGTCAAATAAAACCCACCCAATCAGAGAGAGCCCTACACACAGATAAATACACCACTCCGGGCCTCAAATACAGTTAAATAAGGCTTCATATTTGGCCTGATTGAATTGATGCCAGCGCTGCTCCCTGTGTGCCTGTATTATGTGTGGAGGGTGCCGGAGTAGGGCCAGGCGTAGGAAGGTTCGGGTCTTCGGTCGGGTGGTTCGGAGGGTCGGGGGTCTTCATCTCTCGGTCGGAATGCTTCGGAGGTCCTTGTGCAGGTTTATCAGGCTGTAGTTGTAATTTGGTAATGACCTTCATGCTCTACGCTTCTTCAATCTCTACGACAGAGGCGTCATCGAATTCAACTTCATATTCAGGCTCTTCCACATCGCCGTCGCGCTTGGAAGGTGTGGGGTCTTCGTTGAACCCGACTGAGCCGGCTCGAATGATCTTTTTGAGCTCGGAGTCGTAGATTTGGTAGATTCTTCCACTCAGGTCACCGTAGCCTATGAGTCTTTCTTTTCTCGCTCGCGGGGCAAATTTATCCGCTGCCTGACGGTAAGCCGGTTTAACGTAGTAGTATGCGATGCAGTAGTATGACCGAAGGTACTTGATGTTCGGTTTTCGAAGGTCCTGAGGCATATTCAGGGCCTCTTCTACTACCTGTTGAGGGCTCTTGTAGTCAGGATTCCGCGATGTTGGAAGCAAGTTGAGGATTTTGATAAATATGTCAACGACGAAAGGTCAGAGGTGCTTTGGAATGCCGCATTCAATCATAATAGTACGAGCTCGTATCATAATCTCCCTGCCGGCTCGTTCGGGGCTTCCGTTCATCCAAGGCGTATGAGGTGGTGTAGTATAAACCTCGATCCCTTTTCCTTATGCCCACTTATTGAGTTCGCTCTGGTACCCAAATATTGTTACCTGGCCGAATTCACCTCCGCCGTCAAGTCCTAGGACTTTGATCTTTCTTCCTGTCTATAGTTGAACCCATTCAATCCACTGCTTCAACTGCGTGAAGGCTTGGTCTTTATCCTGAAAAAATCTGACCCAGTAGTAGCCAGAGAAAATATCCACCACATGTAGTTCCATACCCCACCCCCCAACAGATCACCCTAGCAGTGGATCACCCTTTTACACCAAAACATTCCCTTTTTGAACAATAATAACGTACTCAATTGTGAAGCTATTCGCAAGTAGACAATTGAACTAGTTATGTAATTGCATGTAGTTTAATCTCAGTATAGATCTGTCAACCCAGAAGCCCTAATTTTTTCGCTACATTATCGCAAAGTAACTCCAAATTAACTCCAAATTAGCTTCTTGATATTCTTCTCCCCTACTTTTGAGTATGAATTGCGTCTTGTACTACCACAATGTCTGAACAAAGTGACGATAATATGGTCAGTGCGTACCTAGACGTCATAGATAATAAGCTTTCTATTCGTTAATCGGCTCAAAAGCATGGAGTTCCTTATACAACGTTGAACCGACGACTCAACAGAGTCCCCCCCAAAGAAGAGGTCCTCCAAACACAACGCAGGCTCACAGAGCCTCAAGAAAAGCGGCTCATTAAGTGGATCGTCAAGCAAGAAAGACTCGGCTTTGCTCCGAGTTACTCAACAGTATCTAACATTGCTTCAAGAAGCGGGGCAAAAGACCATATAGGGAAAAACTGGATTTCTAGCTTCAAAGCTAGAAACCCCGACAGGAAGAGCCATCAAATCATGATTCCGGACGACGGGAAATTGGCCTATTAATAGGCAAGAAGCCCTAAATCACCCAGAGATTCAGCAAGACACAGCAAAGACCCCTGAACCCACTGTCCTCTCTGGAGTCCCTATATTACAAACCACTCGACTGTTAGAGTCGTCTGTCTGTAAGGGATCACGGGCTCCACAGAATGCTGGGGTTGGTAATTATGAAGATAGAACAAAGGGCAAGCTCCTATCGCACGGGTAATACAGTCAAATCGGAATGCCACTCAAAGTGTATGAGTGCAGTGAATGTGTATTGCTTGCTTGGAGAACCAAGCAAGAACTATCTAAGACCGTGGCTACGGTCGTCGTATATATCTATCTAAGGCGGACCAATCAGAGCGTTGGTCCTAGGTGATCAGTGCGGTCAGTGTGCTCAGTGCGATCAGTTCCCACTGATCGCCCTGATCATACTGATCGCGCTGACCGCCTCGCTATTGGCTGCACTCCCGTGGAGCGGGGAACTGCCCCGCTTCCTTGCGCCAGCCAATAGCGGGAGGCTCCGTGCAGCCTGAACCAGGATCGTAACAATGATCCTTCTTTGGTCCTTTAAGATCGATTCCTGCTTGGTGACAGGCGCGGGCAATAATATCGTAGTGAGCGAAAGGAGGCGGCGGTGCATTGCGGAATAGTTGATCGAAGCGAGAATCGCATGAAGCGGTATGATCGTTGAGGGTAGGTCGGGCATGACTTTGCAAGGAATAATAGGAATGGAGCCACCCTGAAGCGGTAATATCGAGAGGGATGCAAAAAAGGTGTAAATGTCACGGCGCGCAATGGCCGTAGCAGTACTATATAGCTTACTACAGGTTGCAAGTTGTCAACTTGCAATTCTGGCATCCTTTTGGGGGTTCTAGCGCAGTGGTAGTGAGTGCTGCAGGCTGGCGCCGTCACAGTAAAAGGTGATGATTCTTCTAAGCTTGGTGGGCGGGGGCATTTCCCAAAGGTTGGAAACCCTGGACCTCGCTAGTGTCACGTGCCAGTATGGCCCGTGCGCGAGGGCGAGTCTAACCCGATGCGTCCAGCTAGCGCCAAACGCAATTAGTGGGGCTCCCACCAGCGCTCTACGAAATGAAGCTATTTACACTTTTCGTGCATCACAGGCTCTTTGACTGAGGTCTTGATGTACTTGTCAAGGCGTAATGCGGTGAGCGCATAGACAAGTTGTTGCTTCCAGACGATAATCCCTTAAGCTGGGGGATATTCGAGATGAGTTCTCTCGCGCTAATAGATATTGTGATGACTTCCAGGTGCTATTCCTGATGGAAAGAGGTCGTCTGTGATGTTATTTTCGGGTAGACAGGGCTGTCAGCGAAGTGGTTGTGAGCCGTTGATCTAGACGTTCAGGGCCGTTGATTGTCGTGGCGGGGCACTTTTTCCCTAGGCGGGGCCGGTCGGCCGACGTGCCTGTGTTGTAGGGAGTCCAGCCTACGCGCAATGCCTATTTTTGTAATCAAAATAGATGCGTTGCAAAGCGCGTTCAAGGGCGATTAGAATGATACACAAGAGTTGCGAATAGCATCAATTGCGGAGGCAAAAGGGCGTCATAACATGCGAGGGTGCAGCTATGCAGAAAGATGATGAATGGCTTGAGGAACCTAACGCTATCCGCCTGTGGGCGGGAAATATATGTGGTGCGGATAGGGTGGATACGCAAGGCCAACTGGTGGACCCAGCTGAGCCAGGCTTGGCCTGTGCCTCGCACAGATAATATATACCGCGGTCTAGACTACTGCTTTTGGCGGGCACGCAGCCTTAAGTTTTAGCACTCTAGATCAACCGGTTCTGCAGGGTAGACAGTAGGGAACTGTGCCCTATAGTCCAGTAGAACAGTACTCAATGTAGAGCTCTGAGAGGGGTAAGCTGACTGTCACAGATCTCTAGGGCTCTGCTACACGCCTGCCACTTAGACTGTGAGGACTCTGCTCAGCAGTCTGCCTCGTAGGCTGCAGGGGACTCTGCCCTGAAGTCAGGGTCTTTGGGGGCAACAGAAGGTGTTGAAGAAGACTGAGAGGAGTTGTATTATAAAGCAACTACAGTATAAAGAGTGGTGGGTGCGTTGCTTGCTGGGAAGGAAATCTATCCAAGAGAAAGAACAGGCCTTAATATAGGTCTAAGGCAGGCCCTCTAGAAGGTTCTAGAGGTCCGTGTGACGAGATTAGTTTGCAGGAGTGATCACAAATATGGAACGACGTGTGTGTATGTTTGCGCGTGTGCATGTATTTAGCCTGAACTGACGAGAATGTGTAGCCACCGCCAAAACAAGATCAGAACCGGAATATATAACAGGGCAGGCTTGACCGGTTTCTGTGCGTGTCTACTCCTAGAGTATGCTTATCCTTAGCCCTCTTATCCGGCTTATGAATGCTGAATTTTCTGGCGGAAGTTACTACCAGAAAGCTTCGCAATACAGGGAGCTTCAGCCGCTAGTTTGGAGCAATTCTCTATAGCGCAACCACTAACTATCGCCGGTCAATCCCAAGGACAAATCAGGTAGGCCCGAGAAGAAAGCCCGGACGTCTTGTAACCAGAGCTGCGGCTGGCTCTGAGCGGGAAAGTGTCCCCCAAACTCGTGTCGAGAGAAATACGTAACGTTTGCCGTCCGTTCGATCCAATCTCGGGGCTAGACAGTAACGGTGGCGTTAGAGAATCACGAGTACATACTATTCTCAGGAAGGAGATGGAGAGGAAGGTCATACTGCGATGGGGAATCGTTTCATGTTGGGGTATTCGCCATTAGGATTTGCCCACTGCGACACGCCGGTCGGAACCGATGTGGTGGGAAAATCCATAGCCCCGGGCTGTTGTTATTAGAAAGTCAGCAATCTTTTTGTGTCATCGTGGGGGCTGCTCCTACTACAAGAGCGAGTATAGGGGTGTTAGAGACACAAGAGGTTGAGTGGAGCAGAACGAAACGCAGTTACGTGAATAAAGAGAGAGGAATACCTTCGTGAATTCCTTGTAGGTCCTCAAGTTCCCATACGTCCCCTGTATCCACAAGGTGATAGACATGGTGATGATCTCCTCAAAGGTATAATTATACCCATCACTTGCCACGCCAAGAAGTTGCAGCACCCACCCGGCAAAGCCAACCGGGCTGTCAGTCATGGCGAGAGCGAGCGCAAGCGGGCGGGTGCCGTGCACGAGGGAATAGCCCGAGTTGTCTGCCTGAAACGCCTGCAGCGATAGAATCCAGTCATTCTCCTCGGCCGTGGTCTGGTTCGCCGCAAAGCGTGCCAGATCGGTCGCATTGGGTGGTGGCATGAAGAAGTCGGTCGCGTGCGCCACAACAGACGCCGGGAAGTCGTGCACCATCCACATGGCTACCTCCCAGCCTAGGTCCGTGCTGCTCAAGGCGTAGGTTGGGTAGCCTAGCTGGTGCATCAGGCTATCGAATGCCTGGCCCATGGCGCGAGGACCCAGGCCAGCGTGTGTCGCTGCTGGACTGAAGCCAAAGCCAGGCAGATCGGGTGCGACGACGTGGAAGCGCGGCGCGTTGGTTTCAGAGGGGTTGGCGAGAGGATGGATGACCTTGGACCATTCGAGGTTGGTCGAGGGCCAGCCGTGCAGAATAAGAAGCGGAATTGCCGCATTAGGCGGTCCGTTGGCGTGCTCGTGGATGAAGTGCAGGGACAGGGGGTGTGGGTATTTGTCGGAACTTGGGACTGTGATGGTGTAGTGGGAGAAGTTGGCATTGATCTGGTCTTGGATCTTGAACCAGTCGTAGCTGTGCGCCCAGTACTCGGCCAGCTCGTTGATCTTCGCTGGCGGAGGGCCATCGTCCCAATTCGGCTGCTGAGGTTCTTGTAGGGCTATCGAGGGCCGGTAAAGACGAGCCCTCTGCGTCGTCTCCCAGATGAACTTTTGGTTGACAGAAATAGTGAATGGCTTTGCTTCGTGGGACTGGTTCGATGGAAACAGGAAATTCAGCGAGTTTGCGGAGCTGGATGAGTTAATAGCAGCTGCCCAGGCAGACGCCACTAGCACTCCCACGCATAGGAAGATCAACATTTTGATGCGCATGTAGGAGATAAATGGTGGAGTTGTAGGTAAAACTCTGGTTTGTTTCTTCTCTTTGCCACATTTGTTTCTTCTCTTGCCACAGCGAACTTTCCATTATATACTTGCGACCTTCTCGTCGGAGTGTGGCCTTGACATCTAGACATTTCAACAGACACAGACCCGTGATTCAATCCTCGCCCAGATGCGTCTTCCCGAAAGTCCCCGAACCTCGACGCTAAATCTCCGGGGCAAGGATGGCATCGGAGATGCCGCTTTGTAATCTACTTACAAATCCATAGTATCTATAGGAACGAAATCCTGACTAGGCTAAAACCAAAGTCACTTGCGGGGAGATTATTGTTATTAATCAGCCTCGCACTTGGCTGTACCTTGTATCTAAAAATGCGAGGTGGGATGACGTGGGTCGCCAATGGCGAGTTCCGCCGTTGCCGGAGATATCCTCAGCTTTGCCGCCCATGGCGTCAACTTCAATAAACCCGGTTCCGCCGTCGGGTCCATAGTTGCCCTTTAGCGCTCTACGGAATCGACCAGTTCTGGGTGTGTCGCGCGTGTTCCTATCATATTGGTTTCTAACAGTCTCGCCAGCCCTGTGACCTCAATCGGTCCTGGGTTCGCGACTTTTTGACTCTGTTGGGCTCCGGTGTTAGGTGATAGACAAGCCCCATGTGCTAGGGCTTCGTGAATATAATTCCTCGGAGATCTCATCACGAAGGGGTTGCTCCCGCAGCGTATGCGCTACCATGCTTTTATTTAGTTATTCAAATAGTTAAATAGCCTTTTCCTGTTGGATTGTCTCCGGTCAAGGCCAGATCTGAGGGCGTCTGGCCTACTGCCGCTAGCCTCTGCGCTTTCATAGCCGAGATCTGTCGCTGAAGCCGCCGGGGTAAGTTTTTGACGACTTTGAAGTTTGAGGTGGAGTCCTTGGGCCCACGGTCATTGTCGGGTCATTGCCAATAGCGTTCACGTGAGGACTACACATCAGAACCGTACCTGGTCATCCCGTTACGACGGGCGACGTCTTTGACGTATTCGTCGCCGCGGCGGATGCGACGAAGATGCGGAAAGCTTTAGAACTGCAGTGAGCGCTGATCCGGATCGCGGCGATGGCTGGCGGGGCGGGACCGACAATCTTGGAGGATGGTGAAGACACGACGACCTTCTCGCGTCTTGGGAGGTGGTGGGCAGCACCCCGTTAAGTGAACGGCCGGCCCAGCCCGAGGTGATGAGGGCTTCGAGCCCCGAAGACAAGGCGCCATCGAGCCCAGCCAAGACGGAAGGTACAAGTTAGGAGGAGAACAAGCTGCCGGCTAAATAAGCACAACTAGAATATCACGGGATTATGATATCGGACAGTCGTTTGTGCACTGAAAACCAGGATGGGTTATGGCCCTTGGCTCACGATGAAGTTTCAAATAGAACATAGGCCACAAGGAAAGTGCAGCGGCGTCGGCAGTCGCTGCTTGCACTCGAAGGCCTCGTCTACATAATTACACCCACCCTCGATTACAGTTTCCAACAGTACCCCATATTTCTTAGGGGCGAAGCTAGAGTCCATTGTTTAATGCTTGGATCTGCTATTCAAAACAATGCATATTGCCAGTTAAAAAGCCGTTAGGGTCCAAATCCAACAGTATCAGCCCGTGGATAATAGAATATTTCCGTCCATGTGCTTTGGTTAAACATCTGCAAAGATAACCTCTGAGCGGGGCTCGACTCGAAAGCTGATTTTGGACCTCAAACTAAGACAATCATTCTGCCTTGGAGCCCTAATCACGGCCACTATAGACCGGTATTTCTCTCCTCAGACATGCAGTGAAGACTGGCGAGAATCATGGAATTCATCGGCACCTTTATCGGAATTGCAGATGCTGCGATTTCAGTCACGGCCAAACTCTGGAGGCTCTCGAATGCTTGGCGCGATGCAACAGCACACTTGCATCATCTACTCAATGACCTCCAGCGAACTTAGCGGTTCTTTGAGGACACGTTGAATGGAATGAAAGAGTTGGATTGGCGGCACCGCCATCGAGATATTCGGCGGACATCAAGAGCTCCATTGACCAAGAGACCAAGGTATTGCAGCGGTCAAGCGGATAGAAAGCATCATCGACGTCACCATCTACTGCGACGACGGCTGCCGTGATAAGCCCCAGGCTTTGGGAAAGAGGAGAGCGGAAATGCACCGGCGGATGGAGCCGGTGCTGTCGAGGCGCTTATCGAGCAGGAGATTTCTCCTGCGTCTCGGCAGGAAATGGCCTAGCAGTACAGGATGTTATAAGCGGATAATATCCTCCGGGGCTCAGTCCCACCTGGGCGTCGTTGGTGGTCCACAGTACTTCTTACCACCGGCCGCAATTCGTCTCTTGCGGCACGAAGAGTCCATGCCAATGTCAATGTCACTCTGTCAAAAGCTACAGGTATTCCAGGGATTGGTCTGTTGATGCGCCACATCTATGGGTTGATTCTGCAACGAGCGCGTTGGGCCCCAAAACCCGGGGATGGGGTTAAAGCTGTCTTAATTAGACGTATCACTTTCGTAACCTAATTAACCTAACCCAGCCCAATCTGACAATCTAGATGGGCATTCCGTATTTGGGCAGGCAGTCGTGCATCTCGACTTGATTGCCAAACCTGAATGCATGTGCATGAAATGAATGATGTGCGTGCTTTAGTTAATGATTGCCCAAAATCTGGCAGTGGTAGAGACGTATTGAAAGCTGACCGGTTCTGCTGAGGACCGGTCAGCTTTCAAGTACGGCATTCTCGGCATCCGATTTCATTTTAGACGCGGGCAGGGCCGGCAAGTAGCGCTGGCGGAGCTATCTTAAAACAAAAAACAATAAAAGGTTAAAAAGGTTAGACACCTACGGATTATTTGACCGCGTTTGTGGGACCGAGCGGCTGCCGCCTGCCTCGCACTCGCATGCATGGGTGGATCTGACGGTCGGTCAGTCAGTGTGCTTCAGCTCGACTGTTTACTCGATTCGGCCAACAATTCGACATTCTACTTTCGGTGTTCCGATCTCCGCGTATCCGGCAGCGGCGAGAGCTGACTGCATGTCACACCACCACACAGCCACCACCGGCTCCGTGCGCGCACCAGCGCGTGACCAATGAAACGGAATGATTGGCAAAGAACCAGGAGCTATATTTGGAGGGGCCCGTCCCCCATTCATTAGCTGCCAAACGCATATATACCTAGGCAAAAGCCCCAACGCCCACCTCCCGAACCCCGCGAAACCTCTCGCGAGCCCGGCAGAATCGAACATCGACGTACATTCTAAAGACGCACGCAGCAAACGCCCCGTCATGGCTACTTGGCCGCCCCGGTTTCCAATTTAGACCAGTTTTCCACAGACCGCCGCCACCCGAAAAGCAACAAACTCCAGGCGTTAATCTAGATCCGGTCGATGCATCCGTACCGTCCAACCCAAGACTTGCATTTCATTTCATTCCATCATTCAACTTTTCCCTTTGGCCTTTGGGTGTGTGCGTTTCGCGGTTGGCCGAGAAGATGGAATATTTTGTACAATCTGCCACACAATCCAAGCGCCGTTCACAGCCTACACCATGACCCTTTAGTGTTCACCGAATCGGCACGCGGCGCTGCGCGCACCTCGGCAAAGAGCGCCTCGCCCTTCTCGCCGTGGATATAGTCGACCCACATGTGCTCGAGCAGGACCTCCCGGACGACCGACCACGACGCCGAAGCCATGCCGAGGTCGCTGAGGGTCCGACAGGCGCTCGACACTAGCAGCTCCGTGTCCTCGGGGTCGATGATGACAGAGACGTGGGCGATGAAGATGAACCACAACTTCAGCCTCAGCAGGGCCGGATCCTTTTCCTCTTCGTCCTCGCCATGCTCCTCCATGCCCAGCATGATGAAGTGGCGCATCGTGCCGGCGAGGTTCTTGTACTTGAGCGGGTAGAGGCGGATCTGGAAGATGGTGGTGCAGGCGAAGGCGAGCATGCCGACGCGCATCATGGATTCGACGAGCGAGTGCTTGTGCGCGCCCTCGTGGTCGAGTGCCAGCAGTCGGTACTGCGCCGAGATGATGGTCTCGTGCAGCACATCGGGCATGAGCTTGCGTTTCAGCGATACCGCCATGTTGACCGACCGCGAATATTCTTCCAGCACGAGCCACGTGTTGGCTAGCTTTCCGTCATTTGCCAGAGAGATGGCCCCGCTGCTCAATCGCTCTTCATCTACGCTGTGTGGTGGCGGGGATGGACATCTGCTCTGGACCACGATGCGGTTTTTGGGCTCAATGCTGGAAAAGTATTCATCATACTCATCCCCGCCCGCAAAGAAAAGCGGCGAGTTTCCGGTGCCCATGGCGTACCCTATGTCGCACCTGCACTCGCCGTGTTAATTCCGGAAAACTAGTGGAGACAGAGGCGGGGGGGCCGGAGTGGACGTACCGGCAGATTTTGTTCTGCAGTTGCTTGCTCTTCACCATAGACTTAAGCCCGCCCCGCAGGTCGACCAGCTGATACAGGCCATCCATGTGCTTCTTGGCCGCCTCGCGTTCGCCGAGCACCTCGGCCATCAGAGTGAGAGCCAGGACGACGGCGAGGGTGGAGTCGGCAGTCGCCCGGTCGCTATTGAGGTTTTCCCGCAGGCTGTTCATCGTGTTGTTGCAGTGGACAATAAGGTAAGGCCCGAACCGGGACTCGCGGGAATAGTCCATGAAAGCCTGGCTCGAAAAGAGAATGGAGTGGAAGTAGGCAGAGTCATAGGCCAAATACTCTACCCACGGCGCCATCTTGGGCGGCATACACACCTTTTCTGGGAACATGGCTTCCTTGATAATTGAGAACCCTTTTAGACGGCACAGGTAAGCGTCTGATGTAGGCATGGTCATGGCGGAGAGGGGGGATGAAAGGGAGCAGTCGACGTAAAGGAGAGAGGGGGCAGATGGGGGCAGATGGGGGTATATGGGGGGAGATGGGGGGAGATGGGGGGAGATAGGGGGCACCAACATTGGTAGATGAGTTTCCGCATGTACGGCGTCATGTCGACAACAAAGGGAAATGTAGCGAAATCGTTCCCAATCCTGGTGGGAACCGGAGATGGCGAAGTCTGAGAGGTGAGGCTGCTATCATCGGGGTCTGTCTTCTCGTTCTTGATCCATGGTCCGAGGGACAAGTTCTCGTGCGGTGAGCGTCGTTTGCGGTTCTTGCCGCGCATGACGTGGCTGCGGATGTACTTTCGCGAAGCGGCGTCGAGCTTGGCCGACGGCTCCGTGACTATGATGAAGGGGTCGCCGGGTGGTAGGGGGCCGTTGCGGGCCCTCTTCCGTCTCGGAGTCGGTACCAGATCCATGTCCGGGCACGCCATGCAGGCAGGGCAGGGCTTGGCACCGATAAAAAATCGGGCGGGCGGCAGGAGCCCGGAGCGCGTGTTTGGCGCTTCAGCTCGGACTTGGGGCTGTGTCCAATTGCTCTGTCGCTGTCGACCGGGAGCCGGCGGTGCGGATTGGGGGGCGGTGAGAGGGGCCAAAGGCTTGGCGGAGGGGAGAGGGCCGCTGAGTCAAGACGGAATGGTGGATGTCAGCAGAAGCCGGCCGCAACTAGCGTAGGCGGGTGGTGTGGTGTAGTGTGGTGTAGTGTGGTGCGGTGGTGTAGTGTGGCGGGTGGGTGTGGCCGGGTGAGCAGACTGCAGCCTGCAGCCAGAGATTCGATCGGTTCGGGGCTTGACCCGGCAGGCGTAGGCGTCAAACAGCAGCACCGCACCGCAGGGATCAATTAGCGAAGAGGCCAGTAAGGGCGTTTCAGAACCGCTTGCGCGATTACGGGATGAAAAGGGCAAATGATGTGTCGCTACCGCGAAGCGTGCAATTTGAGTCGGTCCGCGGAAGAGAAGCTGGCTTGCATTGGTGTCAGAAAGCAGAAAACACTCCGCCGTTTGACAGATTGAGCTGATGAGGTCGAGCTCTTTTCATCTGCAAAAGTGCGCCCCGCCAAGTATTTGAGTATTGCCCGCTTTGGGGATGGCAGCCGAGCCCATCACGCCTTCCCCGTCTCGACCTAGGCCTCTCGAGAGGCTTGCTTTGTCACAATTCGGGGGTTCCGCCACGTCCTCAGTCGCGCGGAATGTTTTTCGTCCCATGGCCGAAAACACTTTGGCAACCTTTGGCAACCTTTGGCGGAGGATTTCACGCAACAAAGACAGTGCCAACAACTGAAGTGCCGTACGTGGCCGCCTGCGCGCACTGCTCACTGACGAGGCTGCTGCTCCAACAATGCTACAGGGCTGTCGCCCGCGGTTCTCATTGGCCCGCTCCCCACCAGTCATGATGGCCTGGATTGGGCGGCGACTCCGCTAACCTGTAACCGGAGACATGCTAAACCTTGTTGGGCGTTGGAAGGAAATAAAGCCCAAGTTGATGCTACGTTTGCGCCCGTTAACCAGCTGCCCACTTGCCGCGAAGCTTCCTTGCAACCTTCAGTGCGCCTGTCGAGGACCTACGGAGTACAGTACCGAGTGAGGTACGGCGTAGTAGGGATTCTCGGCAACTCCCTCGGTGGAACCCCGTAAAGATACTCGGCCCCCTCCCCTGTCAAAAGTCAGCTGACGTCACAGCCATATCTGAGGTTATTCTGGATTGGGCTGGATTGCCGACCCGATTGAGCACTGACCACTGAAGAGGCCGTTGGTGACCGACAGCAAGATTGCGGAGGGAGCGTGGAGCCGCACGCTATTCTGCACCAGCAACCCAACGCTACTAGCTTCAACGCTAATTCGTCCCAACTACACTCGGCAGCCTCGAACCACCCCGCATTCCTCTTAAACCGGCCTGTCTTTATTTGATGAAAGCAAGATCGCCACGCCACCAGGCGCTCCCCTGACATGCCAGCGTCTGGCTAACGGGCGGGACAGAGGCATCCAGCACCTCTCGTCCTTTGTCTGGGAAGGATCTATCACAGCCCGTCCTGCCTGGTGTTGACCCGACATGCCTCTCGAGGTCCAACAGCCACTTTGGGCCCTTGGCACCTTCCCTCTGGGCCGCGACCTCTGGGGCGCGATATTTGACCGCCGTCGTTGGTGCAGTGGATGGTTCCGTCGTCGCACCACAGGCGGTGTGCCTGCCCGGTGCCTGCCGTGCCGCCAAAGATAGACGGTAGGGCTAGACATGTGACAAATTCTATCCCCCAAGATGCCCGCTAGAGGCGTGGCATCCCGGGGAAAGAAATTTAAAATCCTAACGCACGAGGCCCAGAGCACCGCAGTCGTCAACGATCATCATCCTTCCTCTTGAGCCTGGGTCATGGATATGGCCCGGGTCTCGGCCTTTGGATGTCTAAAAGCCGAAATATTAGCGAGGTGCAACCGCGTCCTGCAAGGTGCGTAGTACTCAAGTCCCTTTCGTTTTGAGGACCGACGGCGTGATTGGCTGCTCCGTCTCCAGGGGCATTCTGTCTGGTTTCTGCAGGCACGCCTGGTTGGTTCGATTTCATGAGCGCAGCGTTGCATTAGACCCCAAGTGTTGTTGACTTTGACATGCATGAAGGATCGTGGGCCGTGGCGGCGATCTCCAGCCGCCCAAGTCCCTGTCGTTCGTATCACGGCCATGCTTTTGGCCACATTGACGTGCTGGGCGAAGTTTTTGAATCCTGAATTCAGGGAGACAGGCGAGGATTTGCTCGTGTTGAACCGTCGAAGGAGCGTTTCGGTCCCAACTACCTCCGAACCAACGACGCCGTTGGCCTTGTCGGTGTTTCTTTTTTGACCGTTTTCTTGTTGGTTCTTCTCGCCATGATTCTCGACGCCGACTCCTTGAAGATTCAAGGGATCATCCTCAAGGCCCAGGCGGGGCTGTGGAGTGGTTGCCATTTGGCTTGTAAAACGGCCTAAAAGCTGACCAATCAAGAGCAAGCGCCCGCATGGCTCAGTGGTAGAGCGTATCACTAGTAATGATAAGGTCATCAGTTCGATTCTGATTGTGGGCATTGGTTTCTTTTTGAGTTTCTTCTTTGATATGGCCTTTCTTTTTCTCATTCTTGGCCTGCCCACTTCACATAGGCTGGGCCGCCTGCCCTCCCTCCTCTGATCGTAGGCCCGACATCCTCTTTACCCTTTCCGGACCCGCCTTCGAATCACGCCCTTTTACCCAGAATTAAGATCCCTAGACTATGGCAAGTGTAGTTAGTGCCTTTGTTTTGGGTTAAACTGTATACCCCACCCTTCGTTGTCTTTCTAATCGTGGCACCTTGCTAGACGGCGTTCCCTTTTACGTACTAATCAAGGTCGAGTTAGAATCAGCTAGAAGAAGGTCGACTTCGGGGAAGCGGACGGCGGCGCATTTGAGGCACGCTTTAGAGGCAACTGCTGTCCTGGGTACCTAAGGACAGCGTCAACAAATTGGCTAGTAACGTCCTACTCACATCCCGAATGGATGGCAGCGGGGAGTTCGAGGTCAATGACCCATGGCAACTGGGCCTGGTCCTCCTCTGTCGACTCGATGGCCGCGTTGGCGAAGAGCGTCGTACGGCCTGGAACGACAGGGAACTCGCTTCCAGAGCAATGGTCCGTCGCACGGTACCCAGCGGCCCTGAGCGCTGTAAGTCGGGACTCTTTCTCCGCGATGTCTTGGGCTGTATCCCACTTTCTTGGACGGAGGGCCGCCAGAGTGTCGACCAAGGCTGACTCGCCGTGGTTGATGTCAGAAAAGTGCGAGGAGAATTCGCTGGGCGTGTCGTGCCATGCCATTAGTTTAGCCCCCCATCCCTCGTAGATATGGCCAAAACAATGCAGCCGCAGCCGAGCTTTCGCCACGGCAGCAAAGAGATGCTGGCAGCCACCGCGCTGATTAGAAGCAGTGAGGTCCAAAAACCCTTTGGGAGGAGGGCCATGGGTGATGACGATGTCAACGTCGTTGTCGATAGCGAAGTCATGGTGCTCTCCCCGTTTGAACTGGAATCCCCAGTCGGCGTCCGCAGATGGAGTAAAGGGGCTAGCGTAAACTGCTAGCCTGGCACCGTTGTCAAGGTTGAAGCGGTGGGCGCCTTGGTCAAGAAACACGACACCGTCCGATCTGGCATCCTCAAAAAGTTGTCGGGCGTCGCCAAAATCGCCGTATTCCTTGATCATAAGCTCCAGCTAAATCGAAAAGACGGCTTCTGCCTGCGCTCTCTTCTTTGCAAACATTGGCGTGTCTAGGGTAAAGTCGTGGTTTCCGGCAATGACAATTTTGAGGGGTGCGTTGATTGTTCGTAAGAGGTCCAAGGTCGTGCGGAACTCGTGGAGTTTGGACTCGTTTGTAAAGTCTCCACAGTGGATTGCCACGTCGACAGGCAGATTTGGGGCGGTGAGTCCCTTTTCCGCGTGTGTGTCGGATAGGATGAGGAATCTCGTCTTGATATCCTACATCTTGGCGTAGTTTGTATGAAGGGTGTATGAATGATTGATGTGATATGTTAGTCAGCCTAGAAGTTGCAGGTTAATATTTTAAGGAAGAATAACGGTGTGATGGGTTGCAAGATGGAATAATGGCGGGAGAGTCGGGGGTTTTTATTGCCTGGCAGCGCGATGAGTGTCTACCGAGGTAATGTACACATCAAACTACGGCCGAGTTAGTTTTACCCTTCCGATGACTCATGCAAATGGATCGGCTTAACGCTGCTTCCATCTGGGTACGGATTTAGGTTGAGGATTTACTTTTTGAAACTTTGGATTGGACCGGTCCAGCAAATAATTACTTCTTTCTATCTTGAAGTAAGGAAATTAAGGTGTAGAAGGGTTAAGAGGACTCCACGCTAGGGCTACCCGACGAATGCGCCCTGACCGGAAAAGACCTCTAGTACTTTGTCAGGGGATCGTTGTGATGAACCCTAACAATTAGAGTAGGCAGTTGCGAACGCTTGGTGGGAATTGTTGCACACAAGCAGTCAAAATAGGTGCATTCAATTGATGAATTGTGGAAAGAAGGAAACAGTGCGAAAAGCCCGCTTCCTGTACGAAAAAATGCCCTTTCCAACTGCAAGCACTAGGCCTGTGTAGGCGTAGATCCTCGCTTAGAAAACATGTAGCCTAATTTGGCCTAGTTACGTAACAGGAATGCCTAAATCACAGACTAAACCCTAATTGAGACTAGTAGGAAAATGGGCTTGCTTGTTCCCACTTCGTCCTTTCCTCCCAGGGTAATAACTCAGTGTAAGGCAGGAGCTGTAATGACGGGAGCGTGAAGAGCGCAAGCAGCACCTGCAATGAGTCTGAAGAGCGCAAACAGCAGCTGCAATGGGTCTGAAGAGCGCAAACAGCAGCTGCCATAGTGCGGAAAGCTTCGGACACAGAAAAGGCCCATTTCCCCGGCATTGGTGCTCGTTCCCATTTCCACTCTTTAATGCCCCACCATTTTCACTGGTAAGACTAGCATTCCCAACGTTAGGCCTAGCAAGAGGAGTAGTTGTGCTAACATTGATCGTAGATGTATCATCGCTATACTCGAAATCTCTGTAATTATTTTCCAGTCCCATTTTGATTTCTAATGATAGCATCATTCGGGTTCGCCCAGCACCGTGACTGACCAGTACCGTGACTAACTGACTAACCAGCCCCGTTAGTAGATAGCAGGTACAAGCAGCCCAACTTTGCCCAGACGTCCCCAACACGGCAGCTAAGTCACCAGCCAACAGCCTCTAACTCTCTCACTCATCACGTATGTATCTCTTTGCCATGCTGCAATACTCGCCGGTGATATTAAACTTCGGAGTTGTCTCCATTGCATGCCCTCGACCTGACATTGTTCTTTCTTCTAGTTCGCTCAATACCCTTGTCTCGAACCTCTGCAACATGCCGAAGCCTGATATCAATAGGATATCCCCGCACCACAGCGCGAAGCGCTCATCCAGTGCTTCCGCTCGATCACCCGCCTGGTCCGACCGGAGCTCCGCCGCCAGCTAGTACTAGTTGGCGGTGCAGCGAGCATTGTCCACTCCTTCGTCTAGAAGACTGAGGACGTGGATGTTGCCGCGCCTCCGAGCGCGCTAATCGATATCTGGGAGGGAGCGACGGCCGGCACCCTCAAGTTTAGCATCGAGTCAGACGGCAAGATTGCGTTCGATGCCCCGCAAGGCTTCTGTGCTCGAGTTAACATCATCGAGCTTGGGAACGGGTGCATCGAACAGATCCACGTGGCAGAACCGTTTCACGACGGTTCTGTTCTGTCGCGTCCATGTCTGACTTGTTGTTGAGGGCCGTGACCGTGACGGTGCTCGATCGTGGGGGGATGGCGACATTGCAGACTTTAAGTGGATGTTGGCAGAGGTGGCAAGAAGGGATCAATTTCTAGCGATTGACGACGAGGAGTTGGCGGGTAAAACTTTTGTCCTGGAGGCGATCGTCCGAAACCAGACCCCACCAACCACCCCACCACCTGGGCAGCCACGCTCACATGCGTGCCGACGTGTTTCACGATTGGTTTCATCACTCTCCTCTGACCCTTCCTCCCGCCATGTTCTAGATTCTCTTTGAGTTCTCTCTCACCGAATCGGAGCGGACTGTCACGGCACGGCCGAACTATGGTCCGTGGTGCCGCAACCATGCCCTGGCTGCAGGTTCCACCCCGTCGCTCCACTCTTCCCAATTAGGACTAGCCTAATTGCCCCTGCCAACCACAAAGCCACGGCCTGCAGGAACCGTAGGCTTTTTCCTTTTCCTTTTCCTTTCTTTAGTTTAGTTATTTACGAATCCAGTCATTTCTTACTTGCAGCCTCGACTCTCGTTTATGCCTGCCTTCACACGGACTGCCATCCCGGACGGCTAGGGTGGTGCACTGTGGCGGATAATGGAGACGGCCTGGACACAAAGCCCGATCGGCGACTCCGCCCTCGGGGCCATCTTCGCCTCGGATCAGGACATGTACCCCGTCGCCGCGCTTTCTTTACAGCGTTTTCGCAGCTGGGTCTCGGCCTGGCCAGAAGTCTCGATTTGTTTCCTGCCGCCCGCGGCCCATCCACCAGCAACATCCGGGTCGCCGCAATCACCACTCGCTGGAGTCATCGTCGTGCTGCCGCTGCGTCGCGCGCATTGGGAAGACCTACTCGTGGGCAGGATCAAGGAGGCCGACATCGATGCCGAAACCATGTTTCCAGCCAGGCTCGGAGTCGGAGTCGGAGATGACAACCCATATGCGGGAGAAGAGGGAGGGGAAGAGGTCGGCCTGCACGTCTTTCACATCGAGCGGTTCACCGCCTTGCCAGGGGAGGGCCACGTGTCTGCCGCTGCAACAGGCATGGGTGCAACAAAGAAGCGCTTCGCCGAATTTGCCCTCGACCAGGTTGCGCGCCGCGCAGCAGCCATAGGGAGGGGAGCTCGACGCTGGAGCATCGCAGGCTTCTCGGGTGAGCCGAGCTGGTGGTTTTCTTTGCCGGCCTACTCTCCTTCCTTCTCTGTCTTCTTTTTTTCGTCCTCTTTTTTTTTCGTCCTCTTCTTTTTTTCGTCCTCTTCTTCCCCCTTTCCCTTTTTCTACTCTTTTTTACCTCCCTCTGCCTGAGCACACTCCCACCCTTGTCTTGCAGTTAGGAAACCCACACTATAATGTCCCGCTGTTGCTAACCACAACGTGCGTCACTGCACCCTAGCCCTCACTGCCACGCCTGCAGGCAAAAAGACGTTTGAGCGAATGGGTTTCACGTCGACGGGGTACAGAGAGATCCTCTTTTCACGGTCCAAGGCGAAACCTACCGAAAACGATAGGGAAACCCCTTCCAGCCAGGTAATCGAAATACTCTGTCTGTACCCTGGAGATCGGACGGGCGAACGTCCGTTAGACATGGTCGACAACGACTGCACCATTGTGTCAACTTCCGAGATGGCGGTCCGCCGTTGACTTGACGGCGACTTGAGCCACGTTGTTCTTGATCTAATCAAGCAGGGTTTGGTGAGGAGGAAGAACAAATGAAAATGCATACTGAAGAAAAGAAAACACGGGACATGAATGGCGATGGGAGGGGAAGAGGGCAAAGAATTATGACAAGAGTGGGATTCGAACCCACGCCCTTTCGGACCACGGAATCATGTGATGTGACATGATGTTACACCGCGAATTAGGGGATATCTCCTTAACGTGGCGCCTTAGACCGCTCGGCCATCTTGCCTGTTGCTTGTCTTATGGAGGGTTGGTGTGGAAATGCGTTATTTTAAGGGGGGCGTGGTGGAACTCGAGAGATTTTTTTTTCAGGGTAAGAGAAACCAAGTTATGTGCTGAGGCCCTGAATCTCCACTCGATCCAACCTTGAGTCCCTGAATCTCCACTCGATCCAACCTTAAGTCCCTTGGATTGCTTGGCTATCTTGCTAATTGATTAGCACTTGTTTTGCTGGCCTGTGGATCTTGATGAAGATTCTGGGTGGAAAGCGCCGGTAAGAGGGTTGGCTGGGAAAAGATTGAGCGCCCACTCCACCCTTCATGTTGTTATAAGCAGTGCAACAAGAGTGGGGCCTCGAAACTTGGGCGAGATGTGCTTGTTAGTGGGCGTGTGGCAAAGCTCCTCTGTCAAATCAAGATAAGCATTGCTATTACAGATTTCTCGTCTCACGCCTTGCACACGTTGCCACCGACCCCACCAGGTTTCCTGTTTCATGCAAGACGTTTTGTGTTTTGCCGAAACAGTATGGGCGGCTTGGCGGCGCACACATGTCCGTCTGCCCAAAGTAATTAATGACATCCAGCTGAGTGAATGTTGGGCTCCATCCACACAGCCGCAGCCATGCATGAGCTAACGGCAGTTGTCGTCTCCGGGTGCCTTGCAGGTAGAGAGATTCCGAGATCCGGGTCAGGAGATTCAGGTCAGCCGACAAGCAACCATTTCTCATGACAAGCAATCATTCCTCAAATGGCAATTTCTCAGGCCAGCCTCAGAGCTTTGCTATTCTCTGCGCCACTGTAGCGTCATGACAAAGATTATTGATAATAGCCCTTAACTAAATTTAGTAAATTTCTCATCCACTACTACCACAGCATTACTAGGTTCCCACCTCGAACACGCCTCACTCATGTTGGAGCGTTTCTGTTCTGAGTGTGCTGCCTCGTTCTCAAAATATGCTGACCATGGACATGCTGACGTCTGCTGTGCGCGGCTTATCCGTGGATATGACGTTTCAGGAAAGCTTTAATATTGGTTCCTTACTCTTGAGATTTCTCACCGTTCGGTGGTGTGCTCTCTCTCCCTTTTCGCTCGCTCACTGCTACGTGTAAGCTGAAATTGGGTGGGGGGTAAGCTGCACACACCCTCACCTCATCATGGAATTGGTCCATCGGTTCAGGTAACCATAATTTCGGATTGATTGAGTGACCGTCTCGCATCATCCGCGTCCACAATTTGAGCGAATCTACGATCCTGAGGTTCAATTACCGCATTTGGAAGTATGTTGGCGTTGGCGGCGGCGGCGAGGTGCAATTGCGATACAGCTGCGTTGCTAGCTCTTGGAGCGGGGCAGCCAGCAAATGCGGTAATTTTAGCTGTAAAATGTGGTATTTTCCTAGGCGGTGAGCTGTAAAGCCTTGGCGCCTATGTACCTACCGTATATGGGGACGTTTTAAGAGTCCGAGGAGACGCTCTCATTAACTAACCGGTCAAATTATGCCAGGTTGTTGGCCAATCTTTGGAAGCGAGTCTTGTTCCCACTACAAGAGGCAGACTCCGACTCTGGTGGAGGTGGCTGAAAACAACAAAGAAATGTGGGGGGATGGTTTGCGGTAAACATGAATGTTGTCTCGGTCAAGACGGAATGGTTGGCTCGGATAACTGTCGACTGGCAAGCCTCTGTCTCGTCTGCTTTCTATCAAATCATTTCACCAGGGAAGAACAAGGGGAGGGAGAAAATGGTGATCCGGGCGTCATAAGCAAGAGCTTCTGCCACATCAAAGCAGGTGCTGCTCTGTTAATAAGCGGTGTACCAATGGGAAAGAAAAAGGGGCATATGAGAGCTTCGAAGCCTTGCCGGCTCGCCACGAAGCACGAAGGGAACGGTTTAAATAATTAGATGACGAAGGCATCGAGCCCGTCACGTGCGGCTGCGGAGGGGTGGAGAGAGTGGCGATGGCAACCTGTGTCGCGTAAATATAAGCAGGGTCGGAAGCTGGATGGGATGAATGAATGATGGGTTGAGAAGGCGACTGACGTTGCGGCGAAAACAAGAAGCGAGGAACCAGGCAACCTAAGTACCTGCCAGATCTTACTTGTACAGGGCAATAGAAAACTGGCCGAACGCACCCCGTGTCGCTTCCATTGTCACAACCTTGGCAAACGGCCGTTGGCCGTCGAAGCCGTACGTACGCTTTTCCCATCCTGGACCTTTCACCTTCCGGGCCCCTCCCTCACCTCAGCCCAGCCAGGTGCCCTACGGCGCTGTGAAAGGTTTGTGCACTCCATCTCCAATTCAGGTAGCTCGTATTATCTCGGAGCTGCAGCTGAGCCGCTAAATACTGCCTGGGCTTGACTTCCCAGAAAAAGGAGAAACGTATTGATTGATCGCCGACGGTGGGTCGAGATGTCGCGCTCACATTTCGGATTCATCTCAGATTCATCGCCCCCCCCCCCTCCCCCCCCCAAGGTTATCTGTGTCAGTTTCAGGTATTTTTAATAAAAATATAATTTCAAGTTCACTGTCATCCGCCGTCTGTGCCGGTCCTGCATCGTGGTGGATGCGTGGGGGTTTTGGGCATTTAACCGGCAATTGCAATCTCGTGCTCACGCTCGTGGGCTCGGCTCAGCTTATTGCTGACGCCATGTTTCTGGCACGGGCTTACGGGTTTCTGAGTTTGGTTTTAGGGCTGGTTTTTTCGCCTTGACGGACTTGGCAGTATTACGTGTGCTAATCCCGGGGCTCTTCTCCAGCTCGTCAGCATAAGACCTAGCCCCAGACGGTAGTTTTGCCAAGCAAGGGTTGGTAAGAATATTTGAAATTGAACGCGGTCTTACTAAAGGCTGCAACTAAATTTGAAATAATGCTCACCCATCTGGCGGATTTAGACCAACAACGCCAACTCGGGCCTTGGAATCGCTGCTGTGAGGGTGTCGGCGACGCTGAGCTCGTTGGCGACTCGAGCCGTGCCGTCGGAGAAGTCTTATTTATTCTCTGTTAGCTATAGCAACAAACCTCGGTCGATAAGCTCGTACCCTGTTGCTGCTCACGTGTGTCTGAGCCAAGATGTGTGACATCTGCGCGAAATAATCACTCAGACTTGGTCGTGAATGCACGGAAACGAGAATCTGCCTCGTTGCCAGAGGCACAGGGCTCACTGGGAGTCGGCGAAGTGGATGCTCGTGGCACGTTTCAAAACTTTCGGATCGTGGCTGCGAACGCACGACGAGTCTCGCTCGGCTAAGTAGATGCCTTCCACAAGCCAAGGTATATAAACAATCGCACGTTCCGTGTAATGCTGGACATTCAAACCACAACACCACCTATCCTGCCTGACATCCTATACTCACTCACGGCTAGTAGAGACCACCGTCTTGTTCAACTCTTTCATCCATATTTATTGTTCATCTCGGCCCTCATTTTCTTCCACTGTAGTCTCCCTTGAACATTCCAAATCGGTCAACATGGCAAGCTCCTCAAAGGCAAAGCTCGTAAAAACCCCACCGCCGGAGGTCCAGTACCGACTTCTCGCCAAAAATTATGTCGATAGCAATTGGGAGGCGCCAAACCCCGTCCTCGATGGGCGCATCAAGTCGAATTCCGATCCTTCAAGCAAAAATCTTGATGCCGATGAGTTTGAAACGCTAGCTGTAGGAGGGGACCGATTCAAAGTCCTCTCTGTGGCGCTAGAGAAAATGTTCAAAATCCTCGGAGTCCCAGAGGCGATAAAGTGGCAGGCGGAAATTATCAAAGCATTCCGCGAAAGAGATGGGAACGCGGATGAAAACCCAACCGAGGAAGACCAAATTCAGCATGTCAGGAACTGGCTCGACTGCCTTGCCAAACATCTTCCGGTTGTCAAGATGGAGACCACGGAGAGTAACCTATGCGGCAAAACAAGAAGGGTCGGCTCACACTTTTCTGGCAACGATGTCAAGTTATGGGAAAAATACATACCGGCCGAGGTTGTGCTAAATGCCGACGTAAGTACAAGATAAGCCCCAATGCCGCCTGTGTAGGCGGCAACACTGCCTAACCTACTCGAACGAAGTAATACTAATTTATATACTTTATTTAAAGCTCGTGCACAGCGCAGTAAAAGCCGAGAAACTATACCAAAATGCACGTAGAGCATTTAAAGATTTTCAGTCACAGCCCAAACCTAAGAAGAGCCCCGAACTCGAGAAATATGAGAAAGGCCTTGATAGTCTTGATGATGAGAAGAAGCGACTTGAGATGCAATACTTTGAGCAGCTGGCTTTCCTAATAGCAACACTGGCTCACGAATTTGGCGGCCACGTAACGTCGATCTTTGTTGCGAAAACTAAAGAAGGGCACCGGACACCTCCTCAAATCACCGCTTTCGGCAAGGGAGACGAGAGTCGTGGAGAGGCCGGGTTTTACCTCGAGCATAAGATCTTCATAGGTCACTTTACGATATTGGGGAAGGAGGGTGGAGACAGAAAGCAGATCGGGACAGTGTGGATGCGCCAGGGAGTCGACGACCAAACCGTGTATTACCCGTTGAGGCAATCGAATTTGTGGCTTCTGATGAACCCGACGCCGGGTAAGTACAATTCCGAACCCCCCAATTCGCTGATACTGATCAGGTGCTCGGACGCTAACCATCATGTTTGATTTCTGGCGTTGATAGGAAATGTCTTCCAACAGCCGTTCAAAATGGACAAGACAAAGGGAATGACCGAGAAGGAGCGCAAGGAAAGGGGTTTCACAAAGCTATTTGAGGTTCGCGGAGATGATCCTCTCTCGAACCCGTCTTCGGCAAAAGGTGGCGATTCATCGTCCGAGAATTCCAAAGACAAAGTAACAGGTAACGAGGCACCTGTCGCCTCATCTAGCAAGGAGCACGGATCTGCGCAGCCCGTAGTCAAGACGGGGAAGAAGGGTGGAAATCCATAATTAACCGCTGCTCGGCCATCGGCAATCCTATCGCCTCTTTCCCGGACTCGCTGGTCGAGGCACTGGGATGGTAGGGATTCGTACCGGTGTTCAACAGTCTGGAACTTTTAAACCGCGCAATTCTTCTGAGAGAGGTTTGAGGGAAGCAGGCTCTCCGGTCCGTTCTTTGCGATTCTAATTATTAACAACACTACCGGCTCCCGTTCCGCGCTATACAACTGGTTGTAACTGCCTATGGGGGGGAGACTGAAGTTGGTTTCTGTTAGTCTCTGGGCCTCTGGGCCATGATTTAGCTGGCTATATAGATGGTTAAGTGTGCATATAGGTATCGTTATTGCCTGGGTCAATAAAAAAGAAGTTAGCGGGCTGGGCCCATCCATCCAAATGCGGGGCAGAAAATAAGCCCATGTGCCCTCCTGGTGCATATACCAACCACTACTACGTCGCCTCAATGACACTCGATGTAGTAGCTATCCTACTATGAAATGCAAATCTTTGTGAGGTTTGTGAACGGGCCCAGGCCAATCAGATTTTTTTGGTGGGAAACGGATGACTGCATTGCTTGCTTGGAGGAAGACTCGCTACCTGGGCTACCGCGGAATATGTATTGGAAGGTGTTGGAATAGCGATACTGGTGACCGCACACTAGCAGGGAGGAAGCAGAGATCGCGCGAGTACGCACGTGCAAGTAGGCACGTGCGGCGCGCGGACCTCTCACACACACACACAAAAACCCCGGTCGCACGCAGAACCTACCTTAGTTCCGGAGAGAGAGAATAGACACAACATTACCCCCGGTAGATCTACCAACCCTTCGACCTGTAGGATCCCTACGTAGTTTGAATACCACGAACAGAAGGTGATGGTCTGGATAAGTGGAACCCATAGATCCACCGGTTGGCCTGACAACATGTGCCAAGCCATAGATTTCTATTTAACCTCCCCTCATCTATCTAACTGTCTTTGTATCTATCTAGCCAGCTAGAGAGAATGTGCCTCAAGACTCTGCCTCTACAGCATGCTGTTTGGGGTGGAGTTTGGGCGCATGTTTGCGACGGTTGAAGAAGCTTGCTTCAGCCGAGGAATAAACTGTGACTGCAAATCCATCGGCAGGTCCCGCCCGCCAGTGTCTCGGCGAGCGAGCTGTGTAAGGTAAGGGCATGTCGCTGCTGATAGTGCCGACGCTATTATCCTCGCTGAGACCCTCCAGGGGGTGCGGTACGGTTGGAAGCAGAACCAGACGGCCCGGGTTGGACACCCGAACCACTTTGGTGCGGCCCGGGAATCATGCGTCCCTCCATGTAATCTGTCACGGCCGACTTGGAATGAGGGCGGAACTCCTATTGGGCGCTATAGACGAAGATTCTAAACTAAAGGGAAAAGGGAAAAGAAGCTCAAAAGCCTCCCCTCGCGAGATTCTTCCAGGGCATCTCAAGGTGGGGCTCTGGTCGAGCTTCCATTAGTCAGTTGGGTGGATCCCTCTGGCTGGTTGGGTGGATCCACCCGGCTGGTGTCTGATTAGTCAGAGCGTCTGGGAGGTCTGGAGGACCAGGCCCTCACATAATCTACCACCCCAAGGGGCCTAGAGAGCATCATGTTGTGGGCTCTTACCGAGCTAGTCGACCGAGAAGAGGATGCGATCTCAATGCTTGGGGGAGGTCCATATCGATAACGAAAATTCCACATCTCCTTTTCTCTCCTCCTGGAGTTCGTACTCCTAGTGTCCGCCGCCTCGTAATCAACAGGGGAGAAAACTATTTCGAGACACGACGCGCCAGCCGTCCTTCGATTCCCGCCGGTTAGTTATTGGAAGCAGAGACGCTTACGATCCCCTCCCTAGCATGGCTTCCATGTAACCCACGTACACCCTCCGGTGCTGGTAGTCCTGGTCCTGGGGGCTACGTCCGTATTGCACCTTGTTTCTGGAACGGATGGTAAAAATTCAGACCTGCAGCCCAGGATATTTGTGGCGTATCTTTCCCCACAGTTCCATCTTGCATCCCAGGACCTCTTCCTCCCAGGACCTCTTCCTCCCAGACCTCTTCCTCCCAGACCTCTTCCTCCCAATAGTAACCGGATACTCCCCTTTGCGCGTTGCCATGCCCGAGATCCGCGAGACCCGGACCTGTGGCAATACTGGAGGTGCTCTTGGCAACGAAGCCAACTCATAGGTGTATGACTTCGTGAGCCAAAACGACCGCCAGGAAAAACTTCCCGTGAACAACTTCGTTGTGGCGACGATCTGTTATGGCCTTGTGCAGCCTCTCCAACAACTATTCGTCAAGTTGATTAGCTTCCATTTACTCGACGGAGGGGTTCAAAGGACTCGGCACGTTTCGGCATGCCTGCAGAGGTAGGTAGGTACGTACGTCGACTTGTACATCCAGTGTCGCCACGTCAGGCTCAAATAGATTACCGCAGCATCTGCTCCTGCAAACTTGAGCGGCAGCACCACTATCAATGTCTTTTAATACTCTCACTTGATGAAAATTAAGCGTAATCATCCTCAGCCACTTGAGGATATCTCGATCTGGGTAGGATTAGCTGGGGTCGCTGGTAGTTGTGCGCCTGTCTAGTTTCATGGTTTCCGTGGCAATTGACCGCATTGCTTGAACCGAGCCGGGAAACGTGAGCATGCGGAAAAGTAGACTGAATGCATCTTGGACAATCTTGAGTTGTGTTCTGTCGTAGTGAAGCGGTTTATCAACGGGTTCGCTGCGTCTGGGATAACTGCGCTCCGTGACGTGTTTCAAGGTCACTGCGATGGCGGACCGTTGCTGCGGTGGTGCTGGATGCTGCGGCGGCCCCGGATGTGGCTGCTGATGATGTTGCGCTACTCGGTGCGGGCGACTATGTGAACGGCGGTAGAACTCATCAGTTCTACGTTGCTCATCCGCTGCCGATTCAAATGCTATAAACCCCTATGTATGTGGTACATTTGGTGGGTTCGGGGAGTTGGGCCAGGGAGGGAGGGGGCTGAGATGAGCCCATTTTGAACAGCTGTAGTAGAAGTGAGAGCGGGGTCAATTGATTTGTCGAATTTGGCCTCTTCTTACTCGTAGTTCTGCCATAACGGGCTGGCTTTCTGGCAGTTGTTGGTTTCAAGTCCTGTCCACTCCTGGCACGCCTGGGGCTGGTGCCTCGACAGACGAGTGGCGCGGCATTCCACAAACACCTTTGCTAGGCCTTTCTGTAATCGATCGATTAGTTATCTCCTTTTAGTATTAATCATCAGCCCTTAGCATTGCCTCAGCGAACCCCCACGGATTTCCTGCAATTGGCCCCTTTCTACCCAAAATAGCTAGCTATTTCTGGCAATTTGCTTACCTACCTTGTCCCAGAACCAACATTGATAAAAAATCCGCTCCCGTCTCACGTGTTGATGGCCCTCAATCAGTAAAGCAGCTCACTAATCGTAATAGATCCTGAACCACTCACACTCCCCCACCCCCACGTCAACCCTAATCAAAGCGCGACACAGCAACTTGAATATGTTACTGATCCAGGCTGCAGCCAAGCCACAACTGCCTTGACCGTCATGAAAGAGAAAAGAGAGGTTGGTGATTGATGACCAAAGGTGGCGCGAGGTGCCGAGTTAATCAGGCTCAGTTTGCTGATTCGTGCTCCTTGTCAATAGTGTGGTTTTTAGATAGACACAGATTATAGTGCCCTGTCAGCCGCCATTTCGGTGCAGCTCGTGTGTGTTGGCGGTTTCATTGACTCAAGGTGAGAATTAAAGATATCTCGGTATCTTGCCTGCAATTGGCGGCTTGGCTGAGCTCATCGCCGGCTGACGTCTCTTTGGCACAGGCGTCTGACTTTGGTCTCAAGTTGGTCTTTTCACTGCGAGTCTAACTGATCCATACCTCGCCGCCGCTAGTGCTGAGCTGGTTGTGAGACTAAGACCAATCAGACCAATAGGAAACGGAGTCCCGAAGAAAATGTGAGGGCAGTTACGAGGGAGAGGCAGTTAGGGGCTGGTATTACGTGTATTGATTACATGAGGGCCCTGCTTTTCGTGAGGTTTCCGCGTTTCCTTGTAAGCCCTAGAAGGCCCCCCAACGCCAAGCAGAGTTCCTTGACGCGCGGGGATTACAAGAACGCCGTCATACAACAGTGTAAAATAGGGAAAACAGACCTGAACCTGCTCTTATCCGAGCCTATGTGGGAACGGGGGGAAAAAAATTGCCGTCTGGCCCACACCCACTGACTCAAGCGATGGCCTCTTCCGAAACCCGCCGTGTTTCACTGTGATTACCAAAAGCAAAGGTCGGCAATCTCCATTTAACGCGTTCGGTAAGTTTCCTATTGTTGTCATAGTGTCTTTGCATTCGGTAAACAAGGCAGAATGACAGGGTATTATTCAGCAAAGCTTAAAACTTGCAAATTCTGATTACAATCTCACAAAATGAGCATGGACTAAGGTGTCTAATTAAAGATGCAGCCTGCGTGGCTCGTGATGACATCACTTTCAAATCGGTAATATGGACGAAAGAGAAAAACGGTGGATATCAATAGCGTCTAGGTTTTTAGTTCGGGAAGTTCGACTAGTGAGTGAGTGAGAGTAAGCGGGTGTGAGCGAGAAGTAACCACGCCTGTTTGAAACGTTTGCCTCCATCGTTGCCGATCCGCCAGCGCCACCCCACCGCCCCTTTGGTCTTAGGAAGTCGGCGTCACAAAATACCTAGACAATAGTGAAGCGATGTTAGCAAACCTGTTCGTTCATTATTCTCACCTCTGGTCGCTGTTTCATGCAGCTCCACAGGGTTAAGTGCTGGGCCTTCTAACATGAGTTTCGCATTCATTATATCTCGGCATCGTTCCGCCCACGGTGCCGCTAGCGTTCTCCAAGCCGACTGGACGGCCGAGCAGATATGGAGAGCGAAGCCTGCAAGCATGATCCGCTTAGGTACCCTGCCGCATCGGTTTCTTGTTGGGTGAGACTGACACCGAGTCTTGAATGTGGCCGCCAACCAGCAAGACCATGCCAGCCCCGAGCCCGACTTGTTGGAGGCACGGGTGACAAGGCGTGGGCGACACTCACGAGAGGGACGATAATCGCAGCACGTTTCAGAAGTTGGCGGCTGGCCATCTGCGTCTACCGCTGCTGCAGGGCCCGCCTGGAGGCGTGGACGAGCTAGAGTTGTGTGTTGGGCAAGTACATAAGGACTCTATACGCTTCACAACTTGGAACCTCTAGACTCGCAGCATCCTCACAGACTCCTTCACTTATTCAGTATCACATCGTACGCGTACGCCTGGTGAGTACAGATTATTACTTCACTTCATTCTATTGTCTTGAATCCTCATTCGCTTACCTTCTTAACTCTCTTCTTTCATCCGAATCCCCTCCAATAGCTCCAGGCCAGTCGAGATGTCAGGCAGAGCACCTTCAAAAAATCAGGCGCCGTCTCCGATTCCACCAATTTCAAAATTCTTCAATGCACTCAGGTCACCCAAGAAAACCTCTGCCAACAATAGCCGGGAGGGCGAGTACAGAGAAACTGCGCATCGGCATGCTACCGATTTACAAATGCGAAACATGACGAAAGTCGTCGTTGGAGGGGACATCATCACAAATGCCGACATTTTGCCGGGAGCGCCGAATGTCAAGGGTGGGTGGCAAACTTTGGCCGAAGACGCAATTCGACACAAAGCCGTTGTTAGTGCAATTGAAATGGCGTTTCGCGTTCTCAGGCACCCGGACGCAAAGGAGGGGCTGGCTAAGATCGCCAAGGAAGTGCTGAAACATGAGAGCGTGTCTGGAAGCGGCAAATCCCAGCCAGACTATCCGATTGCCAATGTTGATGCGTGGCTTAACAAGCTCGAGACGGATTTTGTGCGAGTCCAGATAACACTTTTGAAAGCCGGGGTTAGTGGAAAGACGCTCAGATACAAGGGATGCGGCAATAACCTCGACAACTGGACGCACGATTCGGGCGAGATACTGCTACACAGCGACGTAAGTGAAAATGAATCTAGAAGTCTACCGCCAAGGCTTATCTAGTCGCGGTTGTCACTCGTCACAAAGCTAATCAAGTGAACACCTCGACTAGCTTGTCTTTGCCCTGGCAGCGGCTCAAAAAGATTTGAATGCGGAACTCGCAAAATTCTCCAAAATGGAAGATAAAAACGCAATAAGGAAAAGCCAGCTCGGCAAGGGCGTCAACGCTAATAAATTCTTCTTGGGGTGGGTAGTAGCCCACGAAATTACCCACCTTTGGGTAGGCTTCGTTCGAAAGGCTGACGGGCGCTTGACACCACCCACAGTGGCCGGATATGGCCTTGGGGATGAGCGCCGAGGAGAATCCGGGTGGTTCCTGGAGGCAAGCCTCCTGCGTAACGACAGGCTGGTGATGCTGGGCAACGAGGGCGACAACAAAAAGCAAGCCGGAACTGTCGCGTTGAGAAGGGACACAGAAGACGGGGAGCTTTATGTCTATCCGACAGATGAATATTTGGCGAATGCGACGGATAACTGGTTTGGTATGTATCCCCAACTATACCTCCAAGGGGACGGTGGAAATCTTAATATCAGGCACTTGCTAACCTTATTGATGTTTACATGGTCCGTTAGTCATCCCGCTACCTATAGAGGCCGGGAAGGAGAAAATTACCAGCGCCCAATTGGTCAAAATGAACTTGACTAAACTCTGGAAAATTCGTGAGGACCAACCTCTCTCGAACCCCTCCTCGTTGAAGGCCGCAGACTCGGCGTCCGAAAATTCCGCGGACAAGGGGAAAGGAGCTGCGGTTGTAGCCCCCGCGGCACCTGTTGCCTCATCTAGCAAGCGCCCGGCAAAGGTGGTGTCGAAGCCTGGTGGAAAGCCATAATTGACTGCCACTCAACCATGGGCAATCTCATCTTTTCCAGGTACCCCAGAACTCACCGGCCGAGACACTGGGGTGGCGGGAATTTTTAAACGGGCAGAGCCTGTTTGAAAAGCTTGATGGAAGCAGGCTTCCGATTGGTTTTTTTTTTTGCGACTCCCATTCCGCGCTATACCACTGGTTGTAAAGACCTGCATCTTGGGAGAGAAGACAAGAGCTGGTTTCAGTCAATCTTGGGTTATCGTTTAGCTGGCTGGATAATCAGATGACTAGATTCGTGGATCGATATCTTTTTAGGTCGATAAAACACAAGTAAACGGGCTGCGCCCATGCATTAAAATGGAACAGAAATTAAGTTCTACAACTACGTATGCAAGTCTCTCGGCGATGCATTGGATCGATTGTCTGCACCCCCAAGTCGTCTTGTAGCTACTAGTCAGGCTTACTGCTTGGGTAATTATGGCATTGGTGCTGTCAGTCTAGAAAAACCCCCCTGCCTAATTATTTCTCACTTCTTTCAACAACAGGCGCCCCAAAGAGTTCTAGGTTGCCGGGTAATTTGCTCGATGACTCAAAACCCTGCCTCGTATACGGCATCTCGCCGCAGACCGTTGTTAATTGAAGTAAATTTTTTTTGATAAACCGGATGTAGGAATCACCAGGGTACCGGTACTGGAAACAGCATGGCGCGCTGCGCGCCGTAAGGTGGTGGTTCAAGTGATGGATTCGTTTGTGTCTGTCTTTTTATCTATCTGAACAGGTGGGCGTAGGCCAATATATATGCATCTGTCAGGCCCGCTCCTCCACAGACGTTGCTGTGGCCAGGAATGCGGAGCCGCATTCCTTGGATCAGCGCGTCATTCCAGTATGTTATTCCAACACCGGATTTTGGGGGCCGGTTTTTTTTTCCGTGTTGGTTCCCGATGACTCGAATTACACAAAGTATCCTGTCAATGTTGGTTGTGATAATTGATGGGATGACTTACGAGCGTGTTCATCCTCGCCTACCTGCACGTGAATTTCCTTCTTAATCCCATGAAGGCAACAGTCGACGATGGCTTTGGCCGCCAACATAAATATCTACCCTACTTGCCTACACTTAGGGCCTAATCTTCTCGCGAAAAATGAACCAGTTTTCGCCGTTTTTCGCGAAAAGGGGTGGCTTTGCAACCCCTGTTGCAAGCGCTTACGCCAAGATGTACTGCATGGGGCCCTGGTTAGTCCAACTAGCCGTAAATAGAGTAGATTGCCAAGCCCAAGGAGACTCACCGCCTTCGTTGTTCAACGCTGGATGGTGTGTTCGTTGTCGTGGCCATTCTCTCCAGTCTGGCCAGTCCAGCTGCCAGAATGAATAAAGTCGCCATGGGAGGCTTGTCGGTTAGAAGGTCATTCTATTTGGGAGCAAACCTCTACACAAAACAGATCGTCAGCTAGCTTCACGACGTCCTCGCGCGCTCACTCGCATTCTTGTTACTTTTTACAGGCGTGGAACAGGGGCCTGTTGCTAATTTTGGCTATTTTTTGTGAAAAGAGACCCCCGAAAAGCGAGATTTGAGTATTCGCCAAAACTCAAAAAAACGGCAGTATTCGGTCATCACGGCCCAGTTTTCTGGCTTATTGCAGTTAGCCACGGCTTGCATTAGCTCGGTACATTGGCTTCATGGGGGGTTTAGGGGTGGCGGGCGGCTTCCCATTTTTCAGGCGAAAAGTGCTGCCAAAACGGGAAAGCGTCCCAGAAAACACTGTCTTGGCATGGCTGGGGTGCTCGCTTTTGGCGAAAAGCCATGAAAAATGGCCATTTTTCGCGAGAAGATCAGGGCCTCAAGGCCATCAGCACAAGCTGGGTGTCACGGTCGCCACTGGGCACATGACAGGATAGATTCTATTGGCCGCATTGTATTTAGAGTGTGGTCTGTGCGCGTCGCCCCCCACGTGCTCAGCACCACCACCTACTTCCCCGCGCCTTGCGCGGTCCCTGCGATAGATTCCTTCTTTTCCTTCCTTAGCTTTAAATCCACACTCGTTACTGCATTCAATCTTTGACTTCCTGTGCGGGCCTTCACACTGGGCGGCAGGCTATTTGCAAAAGGAGCATGCCGAAAAGCTTCACGGCGAGGAAGACGGCGCTGAGGCGCCGAGAAAGAGCAAAAGACGTTGGAAGTGACTTCGAACATAAGGAAAGGTCATTTTTGTTGCCTCACAAGCTCACATCGAAGGAAAAGCTTACCACCATGATCATTCGCTTGAATCTTACATACAACATGGTCGAACATGAGGCTTTTCGTGATTTCTGCATGGACCTACCTAAATGCCGATAAGACAGCTACCCTGATTCCGTCCTCGCACAAGACGGTTTGAGAGTATGTCAAGGATTGCTTCGATACGCACCAGCAGAGCCTACGCGCGCGCCTGCTTGAGGGCATCGCCATTCGTGAAGCATCTTTCCTTCGATATAAGGACTTCCGCATCGACCGTTTCCTTCCTCGCGATCTTCGTACATTACGCCGGTACTCCTTCTCTAGCGACCTCGCCGCCGACTTACCCGACAACTCCCTGCCCTCAAATACTGATTCACAGCAACATCATGTATCCTTCCTTCGAACAAGCATTGGCCTGGCCATTCAGAAGCTAAGAAAATACGCTACATTAATGGAGGAGAGCCCAGCTTACTGGACAGCCATGATACTTCACCCTGGGCATAAGAGGAAGTGGGTTGATACGTTCCTGGGAGAGGAGCGGGCCAGGAAGGCAGGCATACAGGGCATGCCGCCATATTTACCAAGCCGGGAGTATTCCGGCCTCGCTGTCCCGGCGCCGGCACAACCGGCTCAGGCGCCGTCTATAGGCCTACGGACTGTTCTTGTCGGTCATGACTACCATGACCCGCCTGAAGACACCCCATCCAGAAGGATGAACTCGCTGAATACCTTGCAGAGGAAGTCAGGCCGGTAGATGACATGAAATCTTGGTGGTTCAGTCGTCAGGAACGTTGGCCCCGGCTGTCAAAAATGGCCCTGGATTTGATGTCTATTCCGTCCATGTCAGCGGACCCGGAGAGGGCATTCAGTGACGGTAAGCTGGTTTTCGGCACACAGAGACATGGAATGGGCGACGACAGCTTCAACGACATCTTGTGTTTGAAGGATTGGGTACGTTGACGAGCTTTTCTGGGCTTCTTTACGGCATTTTTTCCCCACTATTTTGGACCTCTCTGACGACTTTTTACATCTTTTTTAGTGGAGCGGAAGATGCCGTTAGATATCATCGATTATTGCCATATTAATTCTAGTTTCGTACTAGTCAAATATCCATGTTGGCGGCTTAATTTAACCAAATATAGCCTCAAGATTGAGTTGTTTGAGCTATTGCTAACGCTGGTTGAAACGAACCGCCACCTCTGTGCTCGGGGCCGCTGTCCCGTAATGGCAGCCCTCTTCCGGCTCGCCGACTTCCTCAGCTGAAAAGCCGCAATGCCCTGGGCCCGTGGAGCTAGGGGGAGCTATTACGCCCCACTGCAATGGATCGAGCGCTGCATCGGGCTGAGGCTGTTCGTCGATGCCGTGGTACGCGGCAGCGATGGCCAGGCTACAGCTGCCGACGATGGGAATGGCAGACGGCAGCCGCCAGCAGCCTGTGACGGTGGCGGCAGCGACAAGCAGGCAGCACACGGCCAGCGCGAAGATAATGGCAATGGGCGAGTAGCCGCAGGTGATGAGATACCAGCCGATGTCAGCAGAATACGGCGGATCTAGGCTCTCGACGGCCACTACGAAGAGGCTCTGCGATATAAGCCAGTGGACGAGGACTGAAAAGCCCAACAGCGGCACGCCGAAGCGGTAGGGGAGTTGCAGAAAGTACCGCTCGCGCTGGGCACTAGTGGGAGCCGCCGACATGCGCAGCGGCTTGCGTGTGACGCCGAAGCCGCTCCACTCGCGCGCCGCCAGCATCCGAGTAAACATGCTGTTGTACCTAAAATACAGCAGCGAAAATATTACTTGAGGCGTGTTGGCTAAGAGACCCATGGGCGCTAGCTCGCGCGTCTGTACCTGTGAGGATAGTGGATTTCCAGGATATACCAGGGTCTTTTCGCTCGTCGTGCCTAATCCTAGAGCCTACAAGCTGCCGAGGTCGGTGGCGCCGAGCATATTTTGTATCGCGACTATAAGATAGACACTGATGGTCACGATCCCGCCCAGGTACCTAGAGCGGTCATGATCAGATTTATCGATTAGCCGCGTGTTGCCTGATTAGGTGAACTCATGGATAGACAGGGTCACAGGAGGGGCCCGGGATAACTATCAGGTAATATAGACTCACATGGCCATGTTGACGATCCACTGGGACAGCCTTGCCGCCGAACCCCAGCGCCTGCGCTAGGACTCCACAATGTCGAGGCCGAGTAAATCCGTCTTGTGGTCTTGAACCGGGCTGTTAGGCACATTCCGATGCTGTAGGGATCTGGTCGAGCTAGAAATGACGAGATAGCGTCGCCTAGTACTAGAAGCGGCTCGTCGGGGGTGTAGAGCAAGGTCATGATCAGGACTGTGGCCTTGGCGGCGTTGGCAGCGACGACAATGGCGGCGAACAAGATGCTGAAGTTCACCCTGCAGTGCTCCTCCTCCGGCTTGCTGAGGCAGTAGGTGACCGAGTGGTTACTTGCGAACGGGAACTCCCACGCAGCCGCGTCGCTGCGGATCCCGCGCAACTGGTCGCTGCAGAGCATATAGCACGTATCTCTTGGGCAAATCCACGAGTAGATGTTATGAACGTTGTTGTCGTGCCTGTTAGCAGTCTGTCATGTGCTAATGAGCGGGGGCAAGGACGCGTAGATGGCTGTGAGGGACGCATTGTCGTGGAGCTGGCCGACTACGAGCACCACGCCGCTACGAGATGTCATGAATGGCGTCCTACAGGCGTCGATGCACTCGCTATTTGTGAGATTTTCTAGCTGACCCGTCGCGGCGAGGCGTTGCAGGGACTGAATTTCATCATCAATCAATACTTGCTCACCGTCATACTCATAAAACCCTCCCCAATCTTCATATTGGTGAGTAGTCACACTGTTATAAGTGCCGTCGACGGCAAAGACGTAATCTGCTCTAGTGAAGCTCTCGGGCGCACCAAGAACTCGGTAGTTGCGTGCCAAGAAGGACGAAAAGATGACCGAGTTGTACCTGTGTTGGAAGAGTGCGTGTCAGAATGGAACGTGCGAGCGTGGAACTGGGAGAGGAGACAGTTCCGGGTTTGCAACTCACAGAAAGTGAAGTGGCAAAGAAGACAGCACAAGCAAGAGCCACAGCAGGACCCTTTCGCTACTGATGCTCTTGATATTGCGCGTGCTGGGAACCCTAATCTCAAGCGACGTGCCCTTGGCGTGAGCTTTATCGACCTCGCTCCGCGTGGGCACTGAGAGACACTGCATGCCGTAGTTGGACGCGCCTAGCAGCAGAGAGCTCAAGACGTTGATCAAGACATGCAGGGCCGTGCTGATGTTCTTGGCCTTGGCACACGTCCCGTCAAACAAGATGCGCCGGCCATTTTGGTCTCCAACGGGCGTGGGTTGGGTTACTGCCCACAACAAGGCGCCAAGGTTGACCACGAGGACGACAACGGCTAGCACTGCTCCAGACAGGAGAGAAAAGCGCCAGCCCGACGGCACTTTCAGTCTGTGACGAATGCGGCGCCAGCGCGACGCCCCTTTTGTTGGTAGGATAGTCGACGATACGGAACTTGGAGGCGGTGCCATTGCACGGAGCTCAGAGACAACAGCCTCGACTGGCGGCGCTCAGCCCGTTGCACGAGACGGGCGTGGACTGAGGGGCTTGAACAGAAAAAGGTCGAGAAAAAAAGAACTCCCATCGACCCCAATTACATGGGCAAATGCAGTGGTTATTGAAGTCCACGCCAGGATTCGTCGAGTGAGGCGCAGCACGGATATTTGATATGCCTTGTCAAGATGCTAATCAATTTTATGTAGGTTGCAGCCCCTAAATGCCCGCCGGCAAACCACACCGAGCGGCAGCTCGCGAGGGCGATTCATCTATCTAAACAAGCGAATATATTAGCACCGTCGATCATTAGGCAGAGCAAGAATGAAAGGGGCGCAGCCACAGCCAGCTCCCGCCTATCAATCCTACGGACCCTTCCAGAGCACGCACCGCCGCCATTGCCAAAGGTCAAGGAGGGACACAATTGTCAAGGAGGGACACAACTCACACTATTTCCCAGCCCGAAAATCAAACCCACAACCCTCAAGCAAGCCCCATCACAACCCTCTCAACCATGGCCTCAATCGCCGCCGCCACCCTATCCGTCGTCGCAGCATCACGCGGGAAATGATGCCCGCCAGCGTGCGTCACGACCTTCCTCCCGCGCGGGCTGCACAGCTCCGCAAGCGTCCTGCTCTGGTCGCCAAACGTGACGTCGCTCTGCCCGACGACATGCACCGTCGGCACGGTGATGGCATGCGCGCCGTGGACGGACGGGTGGTACGCGAGCAGGAAGTCGGCGCTCCACGTCTGCAGTCCGTCGGCGAAGCTGCCGCGCTTGAGGCGGCTGCGCTCGGCGAGCTCGGCGGCGATGGGCGCCGCCTCGGGGTCGCGCCAGATGTCGTAGTCGCACCCTCCGTCCCCTGTCTCGGGGACATCGCAGCGGCGCGCGCGCGCCACGTGCCCCGCGCTGGGCGACGCGGGGTCGTAGTCGATGCGCAGCGGCCCGGACCCGAGGCGGTACGGCACGATGGCGCACACGAACACGGCGGCTTTGAACGGCGGCGGGCCGGCAGGGCGGCGCTCGGCGGCGGCCGCCAGGATGGTTGCTGCGAGTGATGCGCCGCTCGAGAAGCCCAGCACCACGTCGAAGGGCCCGTCCTCGCTCACCACGTCCAGCACCGCGTCGGCGGCGGCTTGCACGGCTGCGGGTGTGGGCCCGTCGTAGTAGCACAGGTACGGCCCGGGGTAGGCGGCGGCGATGTCTGGGCAGGCGGGTGTGGTGTGGTGTGGTCAGCTTACTACAGCTAGGTAGGTACTACAACGAGGGAGGGGGGTGGTGTTTGATTTTTTTGTCTCTTGCTCCGTCTCGGGTTTTGAGCTTCTTTCTCTCCCGCCGCGTCTTGAGCTTCTTTCTCTCCAGCCGCGTTTTGAGCTTCGTCTCCCCCGCCGTGTTTTGAGCTTCTTTCTCTCCCGCCGCGTTTTGAGCTTCTTCTCTCCCGCCGCGTTTTGAGCTTCTTCTTTCCCGCCGCGTTTTGAGCTTCTTTCTCTCCCGCCGCGTCTCTCTGAGATCAATCGACTTTGCGTGCCACTTACCGGGAAACGGGTTTGTCGGCTCGTCGCCGTCGAGAAACTCAAACTTGTAGCTCGAGGGCAGGCGGGACCGGATGGGGTCTAGCTGCGACTCTAGGATCTGCGAGTTGGTGCCGAGGCCGTGCAGGCACAGGAAACGCATCTGGAATGAGGGACCTATTTTGTCGCTGGCTGTGTGGGTGGTAGCAGTGGTAGCTTTGGAGAGATAACGAACTGCTGCCAAGCACGACCGCCCAGAGTTTACAGGAACCAGCGGGCTCAAATATTATCCGAGCCGTGCATGTCTGTCTGTTTTAGGTGAAATGGGCCGGCGAGCCTGAGGCAACGACTTGGCCTCGATGCGCCAGCGCATGATCCGAGTGTTGGCAAAGAATGGGCGGCCAACGCGCCAACGTGACTGGGCCGACACTTTGGTTGCAGCTGGCCCTCAGTGGGTCCAGCGAGGGACATATGCACTATGCAGCCCTAGAATAGACGAGGTGCTAGTACTACTGCGCCGGCGTGATAATGCTCCTCAGACCACGCAAAGGAGGGGTGGGCTGGCGACTGGACCGATAACGTATGATACTGAGGCCTCTGGATCAGTGTACCGGGCGATTATTACGGAGTAGTATGCGCAGAAATGTAGGAGACCAGGGTCTGCCGCGGGTTTCGGTCCCCCGTCGGCGTCTGCGGGTCCGCGCCGTCGGATGAGGTATCCTCGTCTCTCGCCTGTCGAATATGCGGCTGTCACTCAGGTGCGTGGCAGCCAGGGTGCCGGGTCGCTTAAGCGCGTGTCGACCCCTGGTTTATATCCCTCCTGGTTTATATCCCTGAACGGACCAACAAGGCCTGTCGTGTTCTAGAAACTTTAACTCGGATGTGTCGGGAACGTGATAGCGACGGGGCACGCGGGCTGGATTTGGGGGCGGTGTACCGAGAGTCTAAGAGGCGCTGCATCGGCTGGCATCGGCTGGCATCGTGCTCATCGACACCCACAGAGGGGGGCCAGAGAAGCCGGCAAGAGGCCAATGCCCAACTTTGAAGCTGCCGCGCGGCCGAGCATGTCCCATGCTGCATGTAATGCTGTGGTAAGTTTGTATACTATGTAGCATATTCGGACTTGACCTGCGAGCGCCAGGGGTGGGAGTGCGATGCGTGGCGCTTGGCGCTTGGCGCTTGGCAAGGTAAGGGCTATCTTGATTCCACACCGGGCGCATCGATCACGGCGCATCTTTGCCACTTTCTTGGGCGTACGAATGCTATCAATACCAAACAAGCCTCGACGGACCGACGGTTGTGAAACCGTCGGGTCCCGTGTGTGAACCTAATCTTTATTCCTTCTCGCTCGGGACTGGCATCGTATTATCACTCCCGGCAGATTGCGGGAGTGATTTGGTTCCCCAATCCCTGCGGACTGCCCGCATTGGCCCTCCGTCTTCATCGGACTATTTAAGCGTACTAAGTATGTAGTCGTGTGGGGGGCTTCCAAGTCGGTGCGACTTGCGAAGCTCGTCGCTAAGAGTAGTCTCCATCGGAGGATTCCTGCCGTGCTGTGCCGCCGTCTTGCTGTTCGGCCCCCCGCGAGTTAAGCAAGTACAGTACTTTAACAACCAGCGTTTCTGTTCAGTGGTTGGAAGTGCATCCATGCGCTCGCCAGCATGGCCCCAACCCAATTCAAGTTACATAAATTCTCAAATTGGAATAACGCACAAAGCAGCCCAAACAGAGAGTTGTTCGTATTGCTTGATGTGGAGACCTGTCTTGATCCTGGGGAAAGAGCGGTCAAATCGAGTGTCTGCGCCTGCCCTGCTCGAAACCAAGCCTGGTTTACGGCAAGAACTCCGGGCGGGTTTAACATTCCTGAGACCAGGTGGTGTTGGCCAAACGGGAGAGCTAACTGGGGCCCGCACCTTTAGTTTTGACTTGACGCTATATTCCGCCTCGAGGCCCAGGACGTCAGCAGGTAGGCAAGGTAGCACCTTAGTAGTCCCGGTTAGTTCTTACGATATTATAGCCTGCCTGCCTGCTTTAGGAAGATACACTCTGGCCCTTAGATGATTGTCAGCTTAGTTCTTTACTCCGCAAGGCTTGGCACGATGCACATGAGGAGCGCACGGCGCGACATAGCCATAATAAAGCCGAACTTAAAAATGGATAGTACGAGAACGACCTTTCGCACTGTGCCTGTCTCGTCCGTACTTTCTCACTCGTGCGGCAGGATCTTTCCTGTGCGGCAGGATCTTTCCTGTGCGGCAGGATCTTTCCTGTGAGGCAGGATCTTTCCTGTGAGGCAATTACCTAACCAATCAACAGGAGCAGCCTGGCCCAACCAACCGTGGGCCCAGTCAGGAAGCATTACCTGGGTGCTTTGTGGATCCTCCGTTTTGCCCCTCTCGGTGTGCGGGAGGGGCGTTTGGCGTTGTCTTGTCCTCTTTCTTGTCTGCACCTTGTGCGCAGGGTTGAAGCTAAGACAAAATCCCCGATTGGTTGTAATCCGAATTCGGGACCCACCTCTTCAAAATTGCGCTTGGACACACCTGGCCGATTTGTGGTCAACTCAAAGTGCGGGTCCTCGAATCCTCCCGTCAGCCAATCAATATACATTGGGGTAACCTGCCCGATGGACTGGTCCCCACGTCTTGGCTGTTGGTTCTAACTGGCTCCACTTGCAGGTGACAACGACATACCAACCATGCAGGGTGAACCTCTTGCTCCATTTCGTGAGGTACTAGATAGGGCACGCCTGGAATCCTGCATGCAGGTGCGCGGCCAAAACTATGACTCGATTGCGCAGGCGAGGGAGTGCCTTCGGTATCTACCAATGGCGAAGTGTGGGCGCGAGGGGGTGGAGCCCTGTACAAATTGATTTTGGGACATCGGTACATAACGGCGGCGGCCGTGTGTTGGATAGCTGGGCTGCGACTTCCCGGCATCAAACTATTGTATCTCGTCTTCCATACTCGCACGGCCGCACCCAAAGTGACGCCACCATTTTCTCCACACTCCTTCACGCGAAGCTACAAGTGAACTCGATTAGCAGCTAGCCAGGGCCAAGATGCCGTCGGCCAACGACTCGATGCCGATCGCCATTGTGGGCATTGCCTGCCGCTTCCCCGGCGATGCCTCGAACCCGGAGAGGTTCTGGGACATGCTCGCGGCTGGAAAGAGCGCCCTGTCGGAAGTGCCCAAGGACCGCTTCAATATCGACGCCTTCTACCACCCCAACCCCGAGCGGCACGGTGCCTTCAACACGCGCAGCGGCAACTTCATGAAGAGCGATGTTATCGGCTTTGACGCCCCCTTCTTCTCCATCACGGCCAAGGAGGCACATGCCATGGATCCTCAGCAGCGGATTGCGCTGGAGCTGACTTATGAGGGGCTGGAGAACGGTGAGTAGAGAAGGAGGAACGGACACATGCTTGGCTTGGAGTTGGGCGCTCAATCGCGGACTGATTTGTGTTCCTGCAGCTGGAATAAGAATCCAAGACGTTGCCGGCTCAGACACGGGCTGCTACATGGCGTGCTTTGCTCATGATTACTTGCGCCTGCGGTCTCATGACCCCGAAGACTTTCCGTGAGATTGGCCTTTCCCTTTCAGTTCCCATGAGAGGAGCGACGGGTAAAAGAAACGGTGCTAACTACTGCACACAGCCTGTACGAGGGGACGGGTAACGGCCAGCCCCTCCTCGCCAACCGCGTGTCATGGTACTTCGACCTCAAGGGCCCCAGTCTCGCGCTCGACACGGCGTGCTCGTCCTCGTTGGTGGCGCTGCACCTGGCCTGCCAGAGCATCCGCAGCGGCGAGACCACGTCGGTATGTGATTTCCATGCGACTCTCATCTCCGCCTCCACAGCGTGCTAACGCGTCGACAGGCTATAGTCGGCGGCGCCAACATTGTCTTCATGCCAGAGCTGGCCATGGCGCTGAGCTCGCTCCACTTCCTCAGCCCCGACGCCCGGTCCAAGGCGTTTGACGCCAGCGCCAACGGCTATGCCCGCGGCGAGGGCGCCGCCGTGGTCGTCCTCAAGTCGCTGGACGCCGCCCTGCGGGATGGGAATGTCATCCGCGCCGTGATCCGCGGCACGGGGGTGAACCAGGACGGGCGCACGCCAGGCATCACGGTCCCTTCGGCCAGGTCCCAAGAAGAGCTCATCCGCAGCACGTACGCCTCTGCCGGGCTCGACTTTAGGGACACGCAGTACTTTGAGGCCCACGGAACAGGCACGCCTGTCGGCGATCCGCTCGAGTGCAGTGCCATTGGCGCCACCTTTGGCCAGTCCCGGACGCCGGAGCAGCCAACCATCCTCGTCGGGTCTGTGAAAACAAATATTGGCCACCTCGAAGCCGCGGCGGGCCTGGCCGGGCTCATCAAGGCCGTGTATTGTGTCGAGAAGGGCCAGATCCCTGCCAACCTGTGGTTCGAGAAGCCGAATCCGCGCATCGACATGGAGGTCTGGAAGCTCAAGGTAAGCTAGGAACGAAGCCCACTCACGAGCCACGGCCTCGGTGCTGAAAACCCCAGATCCCCACGCAGCTGGTCCCGTGGCCTACCAAGGGACTGCGCAGGGCAAGCATCAACTCGTTTGGATACGGCGGCACCAACGGCCATTGCATTATCGACGACGCGTACCACTACCTCAAGGCGCAAGGGCTGCGCGGGGCTCACAGCACCGCAGTCCCAAAGGCGGCCAGAGCCGCACACAGCCTTGACAATAGCAGTGCCGTGCTAGAAACAAAGCCCCCAGACTCCAAGCCTGTAGCAGTTCATGTAGTCGAGATCGAGAACGGCTCCGAGACATCAGACGCGCTCTCCACATCCCCGTCGGCCGGCAGCGAGAGCGACGAGACCCCCGAGTCGGTCGTCCTGCACGTGCAGAGCATCCTATCCACGTCCGACATCAACAGGGAGGAGAAGCCGGTGACCACACAAACAGCTACAGCTACAGCTACAGCGACAAAAACCAGCGAAGAACTAGCAATCAGTACTCGGTCCCCGCGCCTGCTGGTCTGGTCCTCGCACGAGCAAAAAGGCACCGACAAGCGCGCCGCCGCGCTCGCAGCTTACCTCGACTCGCACGCCACCGCCGACGAGGAAGACGAACAGGCACTGCTAGACCGGCTGGCGTTCACGCTGTCCAACAAGCGCAGCCAGTTCCAGTGGCGGTCGTTTGCCGTGGCATCCAGCGTGGCCGCAGCGCGCGCCGCCCTGGCCAAGCCGCGCAAGCCCGTCCGCGCCTCGTCCGACGCTCCGCCCGTGCTCGGCTTTGTGTTTACCGGCCAGGGCGCCCAGTGGTACGCCATGGGCCGCGAGCTGTTGGCGTATACCGTGTACCGCGAGAGCGTCGAGGCCGCGGCGAAGCATATCAAGGCGCTGGGCGCCGAGTGGGATCTGGTTGGTGAGTTCTTCTTCCTGTTCCTGCCCCTTTCCTCGTCGTGTTTACTCAGCGCGAGAAGTCTCGGCCGTGTTGGGCTACCCATACCCATGTCCGATTCTAGGATGTGTGTTGTGCTAATCCGGCCTGTGCGATGTGTGCTGTGCTAATCCGGCCTGTACGATGTGTGCTGTGCTAATCCGGCCCGTACGATGTGCGTAGACGAACTGATGGCAGACAAGGCGTCGTCGCGCGTTGGCGAGCCGACCATCAGCCAGCCCGCGTGCACCGCGCTCCAGGTGGCGCTGGTTGACCTGCTCGCCAACTGGAACATCCGCCCGTCGGTGGTGACTGGGCACTCGAGCGGCGAGATTGCAGTGGGCTACCACCCCCTATTCTACCCCCTTTCCCCGAGGTAAAGACTGACACACACCCCAGGCGGCATACGCCAAAGGCGCCATATCCCGCGAAGATGCCTGGATGATCGCCTTCCACCGCGGGCGGCTGTCCACCGCCATCACGCAAGAAGGTGCCATGCTGGCAGTCGGCCTGGGCGACAACGCGGCGCGCGTCCGCATCAAACAGATGCAGGACGGCGCGGCGTCGGGCACAGGCCATGTCGTCGTGGCGTGCATCAACAGCCCGTCCAGCGTGACCGTGTCGGGCGACGTCGCGCTGATCGCCAAACTCCAGGCCGTACTGGACGCGGACAAGGTGTTCAACCGCCGGCTGGACGTGCAGCGCGCCTACCACTCGCCACACATGGCGGGCATCGCCGACGCGTATTTGGGCGCCATGCAGGGGCTGACCCGGCCCGCACCAGACACGAGCAGCCCGCCGGCAGTGGCCATGTTCTCATCCGTCACAGGCGCACTCGTCGACGCGGCCACTCTCGCGTCGCCGGCATACTGGGTGTCGAACCTAGTCAGCCCCGTTCAGTTCAGTGGCGCGCTGCAGGCGGCACTAGACCACACGCCCGGCGGCGGCGGGAAGCGGCGCACAACGGCGGCACGCAAGGCCGGGCGGGTCGACGCGCTCGTCGAGATCGGGCCGCACGCCGGGCTGCAGGGCCCTATCAAGCAGGTCCTGGCGGCGCGGGCGGCTGGCAAGGCGGCCGCGGTGCCATACGTGTCGGTGCTGCTGCGCAACAGCGACGCGCGCCACACGGCGCTCGAGGCGCTCGGCGCGCTGGTGCAGCTGGGGTACGGCGGTGCCGACGTGGCGCGGGCGAACCGGCCATCGACCAAAGAAGGCCAGGCGGTCGACATGCTGACCGACATGGCGCCGGTGGCGTGGAACCGCAGCACGCGGTACTGGCACGAGGCGCCGGCCACAAAAGCGTTCCGGTTCCGGGCGCGGCCGCGGCACGACCTGCTGGGGGCGCGCAGCGAGTTCTCGAGTGGCGCCGAGCCCAGCTGGCGCAACTACCTGCGCGTGGCCGAGCTGCCGTGGCTCGACGACCACCAGGTGCAGGCGTCGCTGCTGTACCCGTTCGCGGGCATGCTGGTCATGGCGGTCGAGGCGGCGCGGCAGGTCGCTGAGGACCAGAACCCCGAGGGCGGCCGAGAGGTGGAGGGGTTCCGCCTGCGGCACATCTCGGCCGGTGCGGCGCTGGTGATCCCGCACGACGGTGCTGGCGGGAGGGAGGGGTCCATCGAGACCAAGTTGCAGCTGCGGCCGTGGCGGGCGGGGTCCAAGACGCTCGACTTTGCGTGGCACGAGTTCACCATTGCCTGCCGCAATGCCGAGGGCAGCTGGACGCAGAACTGTGCCGGCCTCGTGGCCGTGCAGTACCGCGCCGCGGCCAGCTCCGTGTTTGTCGACGAGACGGCGGCTGATATGGCCCGCCACCGCGCCGAGTACGAGCGGCTTGTCGACGCGAAGCTGCCCGAGGTGCCCATCAGGGAGTTTTATGCTTTTGTGGGTTTTCCCTGCGTTCTGTTCTGTGTCCTACTCCTATCTCTCGTGACCTGTGATGCATGTAATTAACGCCGAAAAAAAACGACAGCTCGACAAGCTGGGCGTGCAGCTCGGCCCGTCGTTCCAGACGCTCAGCCGCGTCGGGTCGGGCCACTACGAGGCGCACTGCGAGCTGACCGTGTCGGACACGGCAGCGCTGATGCCCGAGAACTACGAGCACGAGCACGTCATCCACCCGGCGACGCTCGACGGCGTGGTGCAGATGGCCGCGCTCGCCGCAACAGCGGGCGGCCTGACGGTCGACCGCGCCAAGATCCCGCGCTTCATCGACAGCGTGTACGTGTCGGCCCGCGTCGCCGCCAAGAAGCCCGGCGACACCATGGTCGGCTACGCGCGGTCCAAGCCGCAGGGCCACCACGAGTTCGTCGGCACGGCCGTCGTGTCCGACGCGGCCTGGAGCGAGCCGCTGGTCGTCATCGAGGGCTGCCGCACGGTGGCCCTCGAGAGCCTCGACGGCGAGCAGCAGCAGCAGCAGCAGCAGCAGCACGACACGGCCGTCGAGAACCTGACCAAGATGGGGGCGCGCCACCGCTGGGACGTCGACGCCGAGCTGACGCCGCCCGCCGCCGTTGCTGCGCAGCTGCTGCGCGCCGTAGAGAATATCCCCGACGCGGCGCAAGATGACGTGCGCGACCTCGAGCACGCTAGCTTCATCATCTGCAAGCGCGCTACGCAGACGCTGACTGCCGCCGCCCGCGGCAGCCTCGCCCCGCACCACAAGCTGCTCGTCGCCTTCATGGAGCAGCAGGTCGCGCGCGCCGGGCGGCACGAGCTCGACTGCCAGCCGCGGCCGGATTCTCACGACGGCAGCGACTGGCTGTCGTGCTCGCCCAGCGACGACGACGCGGTGCTGGCGCGCGTCGGCAGCGCGTCGGTCGACGGGGAGCTGCTAGCGCGCGTGGCGGCGCACCTGCCCGGCATCCTCGCGGGCAGCGTCGAGCCGCTGCAGGTGCTGCGCGAGGACGGGCTGCTGACAGCCTACTACCGGCGCGCGCTGGGCACGGCGCGCATCCAGGGCGTGCTGGGCGCGTACGCGCGGCTGCTGGCCCACAAGCGGCCGCTGCGTGTGCTCGAGGTCGGTGCCGGCACGGGTGGCACTACTGCTGTGGTGTTGGCTGCGCTGGGGAGGACGGCGGGCGAGGCGGGGAATAGGTTGGTTGAGTATGTGTTTACTGATGTCAGCAGCGGCTTCTTCGAGGCCGCGGCGGCCGAGTTTGAGGAGTGGGCGCCGTTTCTCGACTTCCGAGTCTTGGACATTGAGAAGGATCCCACGGCGCAGGGGTTTGCAGTGGGCGCCTATGACTTGGTCGTGGCGAGCAACGTGCTGCATGCCACGAGCCGGCTGGCCGACACGTTGAAGCACTGCCGCGCGCTGCTGAGACCGTAAGTTTCCTGACCTGTTGACCCCTGATGTGTTGACCCCTGAAATGTTGACCCCTGATGTGTTGACCCCTGATGTTTGACCCCTGAAATGTTGACCCCTGATGTGTTGACCCCGATGTGTTGACCCCGATGTGTTGACCCCCAACATGGTGTGACACAAAGCTGACAGCGACAATCAGTGGCGGCGTTCTTATGCTCGAGGAGATCACGTCTTCCCTGGCACGTGTTCCCATGGTCGTCGGGTCGCTACCGGGATGGTGGAGCGGTAAGTGCAGCACAGCTGATAGCACATGGACAGGATCAAGCTGACATCCGCTCCAGGGGAGAACGACGGCCGAAAAGGGGGCCCGCTCATCTCGGAGGCGCGGTGGGACGAACAGCTCCGCGCGCAGGGCTTCGGGGGCATCGACCTTTGTTTCCGCGACACGGCCACGGCGCCGTCGCTCAAGTCGCTCATGCTAGCCGTGGCTGCGCCTGCGCCGGCCCTCCCGCCGCCGCCGCGCCACGTCGTCGTTGTCAAGAGCAACACCGCCGACACCGCCGTCGCCAGCCTCGTGGCCCAGATCTCCCACGCCCTGCAGGCCCAAGCCGGCGATACCGTATCCATCCAGGAGCTCACTCTCGCCGAGGCCGCCACGGCTAGCCTGGCCGGGAAAGCGTGCATCGTCGCCCTCGAGGCGCATACGCCGTTCATGGCACACCTCGCCGCAGAAGCCGACTTCAACGCCATCAAGCACGTGGTCCTCGCGGCGGGCAGCACGCTGTGGCTGACGCGCGGCGGCGCCGTCGACGCCCCGACCCCCGAGGCCAACGTCATGGTCGGGCTGGCGCGGACGATCCGCGGCGAGAACCCGAGCGTGCGCATCGCCACGCTGGACCTCGACTCCGCCGACACCGATTCTGCATCCACTGCCGCGGCCGTCGCCCACGTCTTCCGCGCCGCCGACGCCGCCGCCAACACCGAGTTCGAGTTCGCCCTGCGCGCCGGCCGCGTGCTAGTTCCGCGTCTGCACAGCGACCCCGAGCTCAGCAGCCTGTTCGCGAAACCGGCCGCCGCCGCCCCATCCGCTCCCGACAGCAACAGCCCAGTGTCGCCGCCCGTCCACAAGCAACCCACCATCAAGCTCCTCCCCCTGAACCCATCCCCACCACACGAAGCCCCGCTGTCCCTCGCGCTCGACATCGCCACGCCAGGGATGCTCAACACGCTGCACTTCGCCCCGGACACGTCCCCATCCACACCCCTCGCACCGCACGACGTCGAGATCCGCGTGCAGGCCGTGCCGCTAAACTTCCACGACGTCATGTTCGCCATGGGCCACGCCGACACGTCCATGGCGGGCGACGACGACGGGCTCGGCGTCGAGTGTGCGGGCACCGTCTCACGCGTCGGCAGCGCCGTGAAACGCTTCGTGCCGGGCGACAGGGCCGTCACGTGCCGGATTGGCTGCTGGCGGACATTCGCGAGGCAGCACGAGGACGCTGTGCAGCAGGTGCCGGACGGGGTCGGGCTGGTGGAGGCGGCGAGTTTTGCGTCCGTGTACTGCGCTGCGCTGTACTCTCTGGTCGATGTCGCGAGGTTGAGGCCCGGCGAGACGGTGCTGGTGCATGCGGCGGCGGGCGGGTTCGGACAGGCGGCCGTGGCCGTGGCGAGGGATTTGCTTGGCGCGGGCGAGGTTTTCGTGTCGGTGGGCAGCGAGAGGAAGAAGAGGTTTGTCGTGGAGGAGCTGGGGGTCAAGGCGGAAAATGTGTTGAATAGTAGAGACGCGGGAAGTTTCGCGGCGGGGATCAAGAGGTTGACGGGCGGGAGGGGGGTGGATGTGGTGCTCAACTCGCTGGCCGGCGAGGCGTTGCGGGAGTCGTGGGCGTGCCTGGCGCCGTTTGGCAGGTTTGTCGAGCTGGGGAAGAAGGATATGTGTGAGTTTGCTTTCCATTCCCTTTTCAGTTTCCCTGCGCTTGCATTTCCCCCCGTCACTGCCTCCCCGTCACTGCCTCCCCGTCACTGCCTCCCCGTCACTGCCTCCCCGTCACTGCCTGTGCCAACTCCCCGTCACTGCCTGTGCCAACTTCATTCGTCATGTCAACCTCGACAACGCAGCTAACACCCCCCCAGTCGGCAACAGCGGCCTCGACATGGCGCCCTTCCTGCACAACACGACCTTTGCCGGCGTCAACATGGGCGCCGTCTTCAACCACAACATCCCCCTGGCCGCCCGCCTGCTAGCCGACGTCATGCGCTACCACGCCCAGGGCGTAGTCAAGCCCCTGCGCCCGCTGACCGTCATGAGCTTTGCCCAGATCGAAGCGGCCTTCCGCACCATGCAGGCCGGCAAGCACATTGGCAAGCTGGTGCTGGTCCCGCACGACGACGACCTCGTGCCGGTGCGTGTTCCTCACGTGTGCTCCTGATCATGAAGTTATTCTAACTCTGGCACAGATGATCCCGCCGCCGCCGCGTCCCAAGCCGGCCCTGGCCCTCCGTCCCGACGCGACCTATCTCCTCCCCGGCGGCTTGGGGGGGTTGGGCCGCTCGCTTGCCTCGTGGATGGCGGCCCGGGGAGCGCGCCACCTCGTCTTCACCTCGCGATCGGGCGCCCAGTCGCTCGAGGCGCAGGCCTTGCTGAAGGCGCTGGACGAGCAGGGCGTCAGGGCCAAGGCGTTTGCCTGCGACATTGGCGATGCGGCCGAGTTCAAGCGCGTGCTCGCCGATGTCGAAAGTGGTGGTTTTCCGGCCATTACAGGGGCCGTGACGTTTGCAATGCAGATTCAGGTGTGTATTTTTTTAAAATTTCTTTTTTAGTTGTTTTTCATTTTATTTCTTCATTTCTGTCACTTGTGGCGTGGCACAGCCATGATTCAACGAGGGTAATGGAAAGCAGAGGAACCGCCTGGACCATGCTAATGAATCACCGTTAGGACGTCTTCTTTGAGAACATGACCATTCAAGACTTCGGCGCGGCGGTCCGTCCCAAGGTCGAAATCACGCGTAACCTGGACGCGCTTCTCCCCAAGGACCTCGACTTTTTCATCTGCATGTCGTCCGTCGCCGGCGTCGTCGGTTCGCGCGGACAAGGCAACTACAACGCCGGTGCGTGTTTTTCTTTCTGCGTGCATCCCTTATTGCTGAGCTGACCGCCACAGGCAACACATACCAAGACGCCATGGCGCGCCGGCGCCGCGCGCAGGGCCTCAACGCCACGAGCATCTGCCTGGGCATCGTGCAGGACGTGGGCTTCGCCGCCGACAAGGGCGTCGTCGAGCAGCACCGCTACCTGGACAAGGGCGCCGCCATCTACCTGACCGAGGCCGACGTGCTCACCGCCATCGAGGCCGCCATGGCCCCATCCCCACCGGCAATCGACGACGCCGAGGCCGTGCTCGGCCTCGCCACGGGCGGCCTGCTGCAGGCTGGTAACCACGAGGAGCCGTACTGGTTCCCCGAGGCACGCTTCGCCCCCGTGCGCGTCTACGACACGCAGGTCCAGCAGGCCAAGAGCTACTACCAGCATGTCGGCGGCTCGGCGGGCGGGAGCGGCGGGCGCGGGGCCACGGGCGAGGAGACGCGTGTTGCGCTGGCAGCGGCTGCGAGCGCCGACGAGGCCGCTGCCGTGGCTCTGGGCGCCCTGACGCGCAAGCTGGCGCGCGCCATGATGATGGACGAGGCCGACCTCGACCCGGAGAGCCCGGCCAACTCGTACGGCATTGATAGTCTGGTGGCTGTCGAGATCCGCGCGTGGGTGTTCAAGGAGCTGCGCAGCGAGGTATCCGTGTTTGAGATTTTGAGCAACGCGTCGCTGGCGTCGCTGGCTGCTATTGTGGCTGCGAGGTCGTCGGTTGTGAGGAGCGGCATCGCGGCCAAGGGAGAGGACGAGTAGCGTTGGGTAGATCTGAGGGGGGGGGGGTTTTTTTTTTTCCAAATGAGCAAGTGGATATAGAAAGGCGACTTGACTAAGACAGCATGCCAAGAGAGGAGGTCAATGTAAGAGGCTGCATGGTACCAGGCGGTGATGTTCTTTGCTGAAAATCGAATTATTGGCCCCAAAGGATCCGCGATTCTAGGCGCATCCGCGGCCGGTCGCCGACTGCTGCCCTTACCGCAAAGTCTCGTCTCCAGCCCATCATCTTCCTCTGCGCTGGAATGCACCTCAGCTATAAAACCTGTCAACGTCATCTAGTTCTCGACCCTCTCACCATCATCATCACCTGCATCGTTTCCCACTCAGCTGCCAACTTCTAACACGCACGCTTTTCAACCGGAAACCCTAGCTCCTCTGTCAAAATGAAGTTCTGGAATATCCTCGCCCTTACCCTCCCGGCCCCGGCCACAACTACCGTCTCCGCAAAGCGGCAAGCTCCGCTCGTTAGGGTCAAATCAGCTAAGGTCATCAGTTCGGACTCGACCAAAGGCTGCCTACCGGGCCACTTTGGCGTCAAGAGCGGCACAGAAGACGACACGCTGACGCTCATTTATGGCCTCCACGGCACGTATCTGTGGCCGGCCAACCTCAGCGACGTGCGCACCGCCTTCTGCGACTACGAGGTCACGCTGCTCTTCCCGAGGGCTGCACGTCCGGCACCGTCTACGCCAGCCCCAGCGGCACCTTGAAGCTGGACGAGCGCTTCGAAGCCAAATTCTCGGGGGTCTACAAGCTGTCGCCCGAGGGCGACAAGTCTATGGAACAGCGCGGCGAGTTCACCGTAAAGGCCGCTGACCACTCCGTGGGAAGCTACCATGGCTGGCGACGACCGCAGGCTATCGAATTTATCTTGACGGTGAACCCGAGCGGCGACACTGAGTGGGAGTTTCAGTGATAAAAGAGAAGGATGCTGCGGAGAATTTCAACGTAAACAAAGAGTCTCGTCAAGAAACAATGCAATACGATTCGTTGAATATGTCACGTCTACCCTGACCTGCCCTAGAAAACTTGGACAAGAATTCGGCTCTTTCTTCGGCCCTGCACTAGAAAAGCATTTCCCCGAGCGGCAAGTTTGATTTCTACATGATCACGTATACCGGCAGCTTGCCGCAGTAAGTAAAGTGGGAAGACGGCTGGGGGATCCCCCGCACCCCCCTCGCAAAGAGTATGCGGAAGGCGTTAGATTTCGAGATCGAATGGAAGCGCAAAGCGAAGAGCTCAACATCCTGTCCCAGGCCGTGTGTGGCAAAGCTATCCCGAGGTTGCTATGGCCGTTAGAGGGTGATGGGCAAAGTGTCAAATCCTCACTTGTTCGCGGCGATCTATGATGCAAATTTGTATTGACGTCAAGAGCGGCCGGACTCTACGCTTCGATGCTTGCTGCTCTTGGCGCAAAATGAACGTGAGTGGTTCTGGTAAGACTTTGTTGAATTACTAACTGAATGTGATAAACATCATGATTAGTCTGGATGAAGACTAGCCTGCAATAAGTTTTACGTCGGGTATATCGTGTTCCTCAAACCAAAATACCGGGTAACGTTATTTAAAAAGAGAATTAATCGGGGCACCCACCATAATCGTGCGCCCACCTACCTAACCCTGAGAAATCCCTGCTTCCAGTTGCTATCAACTGCAGGGTTTTTTACGGTGAAATCAGTACTTTTTGATACAGTCCCCCATATGTGTCACGACCAGGGCAAGGCATTGAGGTGAACTCAGTCCATTGGGTGCTATCGACGAAGATTCTAAACTGAGGAAGGAAAGAAGGAAAAGTCCAACAACGCGTCGCGTGCTCGTGAATAAGTTTTCATCTATCAGTGGGGTAGGTGGGGCCTCGAGGCGGCTTCTGATAGGCCCGGGGTTCTGGGCGGCTCTGGCTGCTTGAGGGCCAGTTTGGTGGACGGGTCCTCACAATATGTAGATTTTCGGCCTTCAACCTTCGAAGGCTCCCAGCAGACGCACGGGTCCGTGCGCTTACGTAAGTGTGAAAGTCGATGACATAATTCTAAAAAAGTGGTTTTGGGATTACATATACGGTCGTCGTATTTATCTAATTCATGTAACCAATCAGAGTTCTCTCTTTGCGCTCCGTGGGCCCCGGGTGCTCTGTCACAGAGCACGGAGGCCCCGCAGAGCGCCCGCTCCGTCCGCTCTGTTGGTCTTGGCAGCAGATCGGACAGAGCGCTACCTGATTGGCTGCACCGAACCCCTGCGGGACCCGGCCCGCCTGCCTGCCCTGCCCAATTAGCAATCGGCTTCCAGCGCCTCCTGCAGACTTGGACCAGGATCGTAACAATGTAGTAAGAGTGCGGAAGTATCCGGGATTTCAAAAGTCTCTTTCTCTTTGTTCATGCGAAATTTCTTAGAAGTAATGGCATTGATCAGGCGGTCGCGTAGGGCTTGGGAGAGGGTGTCCCCAGGAATTAGCTGGTTGAATAACCAAACGAGGCAATGATGGCCTTTTTCAAGGTGAGGTTTAACCCTGTGTAATCAGACTAAGTAAACACGAGGAACTGACTCTTTTGGAAGTCCCTGAGATCACACGAAGGCGCTAACTCGAGCTGCGAATGTTTAAGTCGTTGAACATTCGACTGCAGGACGTTCCTCGGTGTTAGAAAGCACACATGACAACCCGTCGGAGCTGGGTAACCTTCATCTCGACCATCCCACCCTTTCCATAGTAGGGGTACTTCACGGAGCCTTGGTCTCTGCCCCAGTCCGTCTCCATCTGCCTCTAGTGTGTATGACTGGTGAGGAAGAAAGCCTACCTTACCTATCTAGTGCCTAGGTATTCCGCCCTTTTGGCCATCAAGGCCCGAAGCAACTCGCTCATGGAAGGCTGCTGACTGTGTAACTGTATGCGAATGGGGCGAAGAGTGGCGAAGTGGAGAACGTGATTGAGAGCCAGTGGACTTATATGACGCTTCGCGTCATTGGCCTTTGAGGACGGAGTGCGTGTTGTGCTGTTGCAAAGGAATGAGCTGAATGAGCGAAGGGCTGATGACAGAAGTATGACAGATCACAGTTGACGACTTAAGATCAACAAAGACTTTCATGCGCAATGGGTGGTGGCCCGGCTTCCCCACAGCCGGGACTAACGGCCTAGGCTTGAGGGCTGTCCGTCGTCAAGCCTACAAACACTACCAAGACGGCTGCGTAGGCTGCGGTGCAAGACATAACTTCAGTGGGGTTACGTAGGAACGCCGCAGCCATCAACCCAAACAGAGTGACGAAGCCCGTCGTTGAGACTAGTCCCGTGTAGAGTGTGTTGTGAAGAACCATCAACCACATGGGTGTAATGAGAAAAGCCCCACTCAGGGTAGCCACACCGATCCTCTCCCAGAACCCCTTGATCCAGCTGCGGCGATAGTTCTCTGGCCTTGTATTGTACCTCGCAGACGAATCTGGATCCGCTGCCCCCTTCTCCCAAACACCTTTGGACACAACCCGTTTCACGATGTGATCACCTCGGTCCCCAATGAGATGCTGGAGCAGTTTCCGGTCGCTGTGCCGTTCGCCACTCACGTAAAAGGGGTCGTCAGGGAGGAGGTGGCATTTTTCCATGTACTCGTAGTCCTTCAATGCTTGAGCTGTGAGGGATGAGTTTGTTAGGCAATTACGTGAGAATTCAGGGGGATTCTGGTCAGGATACGACTTGCTGTAAAGCTGAAGAGTGTCAGTCCATCCAGCAGGTTGCCTGGCTTTAAACCGGAGGTCGATCGCTTGTCTGATGAGCTTCACCCGGAGTTGGGCGATGTTGATGCGTTGCAGGACAGCGAAGTTGATGAGGTAACTCTAAGGGAAGGTAGGTAGGTAAGCAAATTGCCAGACACCGGGCACCCTGTCAGTGGTCTGCCGAGGTTTTGAGAGGTTTACCTGCTCGCCCTGGACCTCTGAGCCGTCAGTTGCGTTATTGGCGCTGTACAGCAGGCCCTGTAAACTATCCATCGGGCTCCGGGACCGTGAGATCTTTACAATGATATTGTGGAGGTTGACATCGATGATCCATCGGTCATCATCAAAGTCCACATTGATTTGTTGCCCCTTTTTGGGAGACTCCTCATCCCAATTTCTGCGACGACGTTGGCGATGGAATGGCATTTTCGTTTTGATGTCAGTTTCATGATGGCGACCGCAAAAAGGGGATCCATACTGAAGGAGATTCTCCGCGGTTTACGTGCGGGGTTAATTGTGGCGAACAGCTGAATGCCCTAGAAATTAGGCATACATACCTGCAGGCCAGCCACAAGACCACGCGTTAGCCACAAGATCACGCGCTTTCTCACTCGTCGGTGAAGCTGCAGTGCCAGCTGGTTTCCCCGCTCGTCCATCCTCTTGTGAGACATGGACGAGTGCCTTACGGGTATTTAACCTACCATCTACCTCACCGGGAGGTAAGGTAGGTAATCAGCTCACCTCGCAGCCCTCTATATTGTCTACTCTTTGCAGATCGCACTTCCAGCGTTCGGGTCCTCCTTAGGCATCATGAGGTTGCTCTGCGGCCTCTGTCGGTGGTCCTGGTCAGGGCGCAGAACCAGCAAGCCGCTTCCCGCGCCCCCTAAACAAACGGCCATCGAGAAAGCAGAAACCGTAAAAGCGATGGAGACAATCCCTCAAACGCCAGTGAGAGGAAACCCGGGCTACGAACCCGATTGTTTGATCGACATCGAAGCTGCCTTCCACCCCAGTGCCGCAGACACCATTTCGCTCTTCTTTTCTCATGTCCAATATGCCGAGATCTTTGCCGATTACTTGAAATCAACGTCGACCAGAAATCGTGTATGGTGGCATTTCGCTTACGAGCGTGATGCTCAAAACAAGAAGCACATCAAACTCATCATCGGCGACCCAATGGCAGACGTCTTCTTACCCGGAAGTTCCGAGACAATCCTCAAGTTTTCGACCGACGAGGACGCCAAGGCATGGGAAACCCTTGTCGGCCTATGGAAGTACGCGTCTCATTTACCCTCAAATGAGCGACAATTGATCTCTACGGCAATGAAGGGAGGCGAATTTCGTAGAGAATTTCAGGTACCACTCAGGGAGCTGCCATCACCCTCTCAGCGAATTCCGAAAACTCCCTGGTCAGCTAGTGTACTCCAAGGTGCGTAAATGTTAATTATTGTCATCCCTAAGCGCGTCAGATTGAAACAACTATGAATCATCTCACGACCTTAGGTACCTATCTAATTCATCAATAGACGAACCTTCTAGGTCCACGGAGACGCTTACGTCGGTTGAGACGCTTGGTTTGAGCGGTACGGTCATAATCTACTAAGACGGGTGCACTTCGCTGCAACCTTTACGGAATGAATCAACAAGGGGTCTTCAGATGTTAGGCATTCACTGGCGTTGCATATGTTGCGGACTGGCTCAATACCTAGTTGCGTATTGTGTGTCTCAATGATTGTTATTGCATTTTAGCACGAAAGCCTAAATCTCTTCCTCTCTTTCGCGTTATATAAGCTTAACAGCATCTTGGAGTTGTTGCAGGGTAGAAGATATAACACAGTACGTCATCTGCTGCTGGTTGTTATAAACTGCATCACCAGGTACCCCCAAGCCTACACCTCAGGATAAACGTCCCCATGTCACCTGTCAGTCATCAAGGTCTAAAAATTGTCCACTCTTACATTCACGTTCGTCTCACCAGGGGAATTTTCCTCCTGACCTTTCGGAGAAGCCCATAGTCGGTCTCAGCAGTGGCGATCTCCAGCTCGTCGGCTTTGCCACCGAGATCCGGGAGCACTTCGCCCTAGGGGCTAATGATCATGCTGTGGCTGTAGCTGAAACGCTTTTCGCAGTTGCTTGCGGATGAGGAGGGGAGTGGGAGTGTTCATGGTCAGGGAACCGGAATGAACAAGGTTAATACTTACCTGCGCAGCAGCAATGATGTATGACTGTGTTTGTATGGCTCTGGCTCTCAGGAGAGGCTCCCAGTATGCCTTGCCGGTGGAAACAGTGAATGCTGATGGGTAGGTGATGATGTCGCACCCCTGACGTTTCAGTGGGAGACTTATCTTGTGGAATCAAAGCTTGAGGAATGCTCAGCCATCTTTCTAACCCTCGGTATCTAGGATGAGGGCACTGATATGGAAGCAGATTGTAGAGGCTACTTTCCCAACAGGTGTATCAAATGACGGAACGATCTTCATACCCCGCTCCACACATCTGGGTTCCCCAGTTAAAGGTGCGCTCGAATTCGGGAGGCAGCTTGCACTTACGCACTCTCCTTCAAAACGGGCCCACCCTTGATCTCAACATCAAACAGATAGATCTTCTGATATCTATACACAATATGTCAGATGGAACATGCTGGAATGTGGGCTGTGAAGGAGCTAGGCAAAGGATTCGCGGCCTACTTCGCCACTCATTTTGCCACCTATTTTGCCACCACAATAGTAGTATAAGAAGGAGGCTTTCTGGCACTGCCAGAAAGCCAGGAAGATAGAGAAGACAATCAATTGAAGCCAGTAAAAATCCTGAAGTGCAGTAATCCAACAATTCGCAGTCAGATTCGCTATAACACCAAAGCACCACAGGATTACGCACTTATACACCTGTTCAACGTGAACCGATACAACAAACACGGCAAAATGGCGGCAAAATTCACCACACAGACTCCAATCTACAAAGCTCCCAAGGACTGGCACATCTGGGCCAACACCCTCAAGGCGAAGGCTCGCCAGGTCAACTTATGGCAATACTTCGAAGGAAAGCCGTGGCCTAAGGAGCCTAGATACCCAGAGCCAAAGGACTTCAACGAAGAGGAAGGTGCTGATTCAGAGACATTCACAGAGGATGGAGGCGATGACAACGAAGAGATCCAACGCCTACAGGCAGAAGTTGACAAACTGCCGCCTCCACCAGCTGATGGAATCCTCGATCGGAACAACGCCGACTACCCCAATCTCCACGGAGCAGCCCTCCAGAGGCGCCGTACACGCGATCAACGCCTCCGCGAAGAACTCGCTGAAGTCGCCCGAAATCGGCTAGTGGAGATCCGAAACGAAGAGACTGTACTCTCCGCGCACGGCAAGGAACGATACAACATAGCCGTGGCTCGATACAACAGCATGAGGAAGGACTACGATCGGATACAACGCGATGCCGCAGTAATATTGGACTGGACCGACGCATCAGTCTCCCATCAATACTACCACCTGTTCGAAGATAAGGAGCTTGTGGAGAGATATCTCGCACTGGAAACCTATTCTCTCCCCTTCGCGGAAGAGGTGATTAGGGAGACTCGTCGCGATTACAGAGACCATATGACTGCGTTCAAGAGATCGGAAAAGAAGATAGGCGAGTGGATCACAAAATGGATGCACTTTATGGCTGAGGCCAGGAGATATAAGCTGTGGGAGATCACAACACCTGAAGTATGGTGTGAGCACTTGATGGAGAGGCTCAACGAGACTCAACTAGGCCGAGCCTGGCTGCTGGGCGAATTCGCCGCTATGGAGCCCCAGATCAAGAACGGCCAGATAGACTATATCAAGGTGGCCGCCAAGATGCAACTCCGCCTAGCTATAGAAACGCCAACCGAAAAGACAGCAGAGAAGAGGCGCTACCAAGGAGCGTTCCCAGCCTATAACGGCACCAACAACAACGGTACCAACAACAATAATGAGGTTACCAATTCCGAAGCCGTAGAACGCGGAGGCCACAGAGTCAAGAGGGAGAGAAGCACGCCCAGCCGCAGCCAGTCAGCAAGAGGCCGTGGACAGAGCCACGCCTTTAGTGGGCGATCCTTACAAGGTCGTAAGACCCAGGGCGTGGAAGAATGCGAGTTATGCTCGAAGAACGGCCACAATCTAGAAGATTGCTACCACACCTACCCAGACGACCATCCAGACCTTCCAGCGTGGTGGATTCGAAGATGCGGCCCTCTAGAAAAGAAGACGGTAGCCAGGCTGCTAAAGGCAGACGCCAGCCTCGCTGAGAGGGTTCGCCAGATTAAGAAAAACCGCACTATGAGTTGACTCACCGCCATCTTCGCTACAGAAGAGACGTTTTACGCGTTTATGACTACGCCAATCCGATACCACGTAGCGCCAGAAGAGAGACTGCTCATATACGCTGCGTTCAGCCTAACCACCTACCCTCTCGCCAAATCCACACTCCTCGACTCCGGCGCAAGCCTGCATATCTTCAACGACCGCCGAAGATTCCACAACTACAGGTTAGCCAGCTTTGGAGAGGAGATCTTCGCCGGCGACTCGCGAGTGCCAATCCTTGGCTGGGGATCCGTAACGATCCTTATCACCACTCCCACAGGCAGCAAGCGGAGGCTTCAGCTTAACGAGGTAGCCCATTGTGAAAGCTTCAATACCAACCTAGTCTCTCTGAGGAGACTCAACCATCTCGGCTACTACTTCCACAATAAGGACGACACCCTCCGGCAATACAAGAACGATCGAGCAATTGGCAAAGTCCTCAACCACTACAATCAATTTGTTCTAGAGTTCGTTCCCCTCGCGGAAGGCCTCCATCTAAGGAAAATTAGCAAGCAAGGCGCGTTCCCCATACATAACTACACATCCTGGACTGGCCGGAAGCCGAGTTGCGAGACTGGACTGCTCTGGCATGGTAGGCTCGGACACCCAGGCGCAGAGGCGATCGTGCACCTCCCCGTAGCTACCGAAGGCGCTAAGATTCGCGGTCCGACCGGATACACATGCCCAAACTGTGGCCAAGCTAAGGCCAGGCGTCAGGTACGGCGCGAGCTACGTGAACTACCACAAGGAGTGGGCGAAACGATCGCCATCGACTTTCTTGACCTCGAGCCAGATCCAAAGGGGGTGTGCTCGGTGATGCTATTCACGTGCCGCAAAACGGCCTACGTATTCGACGCCTATCTGATCGATCGCAAGATACCCAGCCTTCAGAGCATAATCACCAGATTCCTTACGATAATCGAGAAGCAACACGGCCTTATGGTAAAGAGGATCCAAACCGATAACGAGCTAGCGAGATCCAAAGCTCTAAGGAGATTCTTCGCCAATCGTGGCATTGTGGTTGAGCCCTCGGCACCGGATACTCAAGCTCAGAACGGTGGCGCCGAGCGCTCAGGGGGTGTGGTGAAATTGAAGGCCAGAGCCATGAGGATCGCTGCACGATTTCCACACTTCCTGTGGGTAGAAATCTACAAGGCCGCAGTGTATCTTCACAACAGAACACCAAGAAAGGGTCTCGGCTGGAAAACACCGTACGAAGAGTTCCACACCGCCATCGCGCGCGCCTCTGGCAACAAGACAGCCATACGGAAGCCTAAGATTCACCATCTTCGCAATTACGGCTGTAGAGCTTACGCTATGACTGCTGAAGCTCTCAAGAGGACGAATCGTCTAATGAAGATGAAGCCAAACGCCTGGATAGGCTACTTGATCGGCTATGAGAGTACTAATATCTATAGGATCTGGAATCCGAAGACTAACCGCGTGATTAGAACGCGAGACGTGACCTTCGACGAAGATAACCTCTTTGATGGAGATATTAATAAGTTTAAGGACGATCTTCTCGCAGTCACGCTCCCACAGATGATCAAGATCTTAGAGGAGTGCGAGATCCACGAAGAAGAACCTGACTCAATCTCACCTATACATCTACAACACGATTTCCAGACGCAAGAAGAAGATGACTTCACGGAGCTCATACTTGACGAAATCGTCGTCCAATCACACACAAATGAGAGCCAAGATCAACAGGAAATAGGCGAAGTTGAGCACGCAGGCTCTGGAACCGTGACATACGCGGAGGAGCACCATCTATCTGTAACCTCTGAAACCGAGGCAGATACCTCTGATCTTCTAGAAACGGAGACAGGGACCACCGACGATGTGGAGATGGAACGCGAACTCGAGTATGAGACTGGCCCCCTCTACTCGGCGTACTGCGCAAGCCAACACCTACCCCCTGGATTGAATCAACCTCACGCGATGGATCTGGTAGAGGCAGCGTTCACAACGTTAGATCTTACAGACCGAGAGACTCAAATGAGTGGCGTAGATACGCCTACTACAACCCACAACGAGATGTGGTGGAAAGCTGCGTTCTCCGCAGGAAGAGCGAAAGCCACCGCGGGCATTCGCGAGGGCGAGCCCATAAACCGGTGGCAGCTTAACAAGGAATTAAACCACTTACGACTGAGCCCACGAAGGCGAAGGCAACTAGTCAAATACGAAGCAGCTAGAACTGCCGAGAATAACGATAAGAGCCTCCCTACCGCAATTAAGCCGAGAGCTAATGGAAAATATCACAGGCAAGATCTACTTCAAGCACCAATCAACTACGCTCGTATGTGTGCACACCCTCTCGAGATCTGGTTCCGTGCGGCTATGGCCGACCATATGAAGAGCCATCGCGAAATGGGGTCATTTACGGAAGTCCACACCTCTACCGCAAAAGGATCGCAGATCTTGGATTGCAAGTGGGTATTCACCTACAAGTTCGATAAGCACGGGTATCTCCTCAAGGTGAAGGCAAGACTCGTTGTACGGGGAGATCAACAAGCGAAGGCCGACGTGGAGAACACATACGCCTCAACCTTAGCCGGCCGATCGTTCCGGACCCTTATGGCCATTGCAGCGAGATTCGACCTCGAGTTACTACAACACGACGTTGTCAACGCGTTTGTCCACGCCAAAATGCCATACGACGTGTTCATGCGGATGCCGCGTGGATTCGAGCAGCAAGACCGAGTCCTGAAGCTCAACAAGGCGCTCTATGGCTTGAGGGAATCACCACTCCTGTGGCAGAAGCTATTCAATCAGGTACTTCGAGAAGCCAATTGCGAGCCAGTCAAGCACGAGCCGTGCTGTTGGACTCGGAATGGGGTCATCATCTTCTACTACGTGGACGATATCGTGGTTGCATTTAGAGAGAAAAAAAGAGCCGAAGCCGCCAATCTAGTGAATTATCTCAGCACCAGATTCGCACTCCAGGGCGGGGAAGAAGCCCAGTGGTTCCTTGGAGTGGCGATAGTACGAGACAGAGCCAAAAAGACGATCTACCTCTCACAGGCTGATTACATACGCAAGATGGAGAGATTCCTTGCCAACAGAGCTAATCGGCGGACTTGGAAGACTCCAATGGCCGCAGAAGAACTATACGCCTACACCGGAGTGGCCACAAAGTCGGAGATTCAACGCTATCAGCGTATAGTTGGAACGGTGCTGTACGCCGCAGTGATCTCCAGACCAGACGTGGCGTTTGCAGCCTCTCGCCTCTCCAGATTCAACCTCAATCCCAGCCCACAGCACCTCAAGGCGGCGGAAAGAGTGGTCGAATACCTCCTAGCAACAGCCAACTTCGCTCTCAAGATCGGGGGTGGCGACAACTTCAACACCTGGACCGACGCCTCGTTCGCAGATAACAGCGCAGATCGCCGCAGTTCACAAGGATACGTGATGGTGCTCTTCGGAGGAGCGATTGGCTGGAAGGCCAACAAGCAAGATACGGTTACAACCTCAACAACGGAGGCAGAGCTACTCGCACTATCACAAGGCACCAAGGAGGCATTGTATTCACTGCGATTGATCCAAGAGATCGGAGTCCAACTAGACGAACGGCACGTCCAGATCTGGTGCGATAACACCCAGACAATCCGCCTTGTAACCGAAGATGTGGCGATTCTGAACACCAAGCTACGACATGTGGATATTCACAACCACTGGCTGCGGGAGAGGATTGAGAGGCGTGAGATACACGTAGATTACGTGCCAACAAAAGAACAAGTGGCTGATGGCCTTACGAAGGCCCTGCAAGAGCAGGATTTCAGAAGGTTCAGAGACCTGATTGGAGTGATGGATATCTCTAGTTTGCTAGAAGAAAGACATGCACGACTAGAGGAGATCACGGACGAAGATCTGGAGGCTTTGGAGGATCTGATCGAAGGAGGAGAGGCAGAGCTACCTAGTCTGGAAGTCTGAATAGCCTCGATTCGGTTCAGCCAACACCCCGGGCAGGCTGCTGGCTGAGGGGGTGTGTCAGATGGAACATGCTGGAATGTGGGCTGTGAAGGAGCTAGGCAAAGGATTCGCGGCCTACTTCGCCACTCATTTTGCCACCTATTTTGCCACCACAATAGTAGTATAAGAAGGAGGCTTTCTGGCACTGCCAGAAAGCCAGGAAGATAGAGAAGACAATCAATTGAAGCCAGTAAAAATCCTGAAGTGCAGTAATCCAACACAATATTACCTTACTAGTTGATACACAACAAAGTGTTCTTCACCTTACCAGGATCGTTGTCTAGCTCGTAGACGCCGACCTGCATCGATAGCTGTGCTAGTCGGGCTTCTTCCTGGAGCCCTTAACGAATTCACTTTCGTCGACTGACTTCACTAGTGCAACGGTCTTAGGTCCTGAGCCGGCTATGTAATCACTCACCTCGGGGAGGAAGAGAGCTTTATACATCCTCAGGTCAGCGAGCAATTCCACTCCTTTGAATACACTGTATTCCCCATCCGCGACTTCCCCATGACCAAATCCAAGAGAGACTTGATTTGGCTGTTCATAGCTGCTGCTGTTCATATACAGTTGATTGGGTGCGACGGGGCTTTGGTTCAAGAAGCTGAAAACAGGGGCTGGAGCCAGCTACATATATAAGGTGCCTCGGCATTATAAGCCTGTGCTAGATGGGCGCGGCGGAGTTGGGCCTCGGGGCCTCGTAGCCTGTGACACGGCCCTGCCACCGACTCCTTCGTGGCGCATTCGACAGCTGCTATTGCTCTTATGTCTTGCATCACATGTACAGACATGGCTAACTTTGACGACGCCGTTAGTATGCCCAGAACTTGGCTAGGCTCTCTCCGAATATAGGCCCGAGCACAGAGTTCGGGGCCAGGGGCAGGGGCAGGTGCGACGGGGCCGGGGATCGTAGGGCCTGGGAATACCGGGCCAGATGTGGGTGACTTGAACCGTCGCTGGGCTTCCCGTTCGGCCTCGGCGAAACCCAACCCCTTGGCTTTCTTCGGGGGGTTCGGTGAGGATGGCCGTGAGTACGACGCGGGGGCGGGGCCTTTAGCGCGAGCCGCCCGTTCAGCGGCGCCGGCTTGCCGGATGGCCGGGATTTTGGTGTGAGTGACCAGCTTGCCGACAGCAATATATGGCCGGGCTCGGCACTTCGAGAAGCGCGGGCACTTATTATCAGGCCTGGATGCCGCCAGGGATGCTATCGTCATCGGGAAGTACTTCTCCAAAAAGAATCATAAGTAGTCGGTCATCGATATCTATTAAATCGAGAACGATATCCTTAGTAATAGAGAAGGCATACTGGGACCGTATCAACCGTCTATTTGGGCCTTGGATACAAAGGCAAATCCTGCCAAGGCCCTAGCCTATGAAAAAATCCGATTTTTCCACCAAATATCGCCTAGTTCAATTGCCCAACTTCCATCTGGCCATTCTAAGCCACATCAACAGGGCCCACCAAGGCTGTCCGGGCAGTCTGCCCCGCCAGCGCCAGCCTTCGATTACTTCCTTGCAATTGAAGCCGTCGCCGAATCCACCAAATCTACCACTAATTCGACTACAGCGATTTGACAGCGTTGAACGTAGGGTAGGGCATTTGACCACGTTACAGTTGATTACCTAAGCAACGTTCAATTGCAAGCCTTCGATTTTTATTGCAGATTGAACGATTTAGCCTGCCCTGCGCCTACAGAGCGACTGGCTTACTCGCAGTTGTAAATACCGGTAGTGTCAAGTTGGTGCAATGGAAAGTGTGGCGAGTTGACGTGGTTGGCACTTGGCTCTAACGTGTGTGATAAGCGAGATGAACAGACAAGCGAGTTGAACAATTTCCACAACCTCACCACAACTACCCTCAATTACACAACCACAACACTAGGAAATAACAATAACTGAATCGGAAACAGATGAATCAGACGATTCTGCAGCCTCCTTGCACGTACGTGCATTATGGCCAGGCTTGCCGCATACGCCACAGCATCGAATCTTCGTACGAGACCCCCCTGCACCACCACCATTTTGTCGTGTTTCCTGGACCAACTGCCCACCCACAGCCTTCTGATCCAGTAGATCCTGTGCCTCTTGTACAGTAAGTGATCCTCCAAGCCGAACACGTGTTTTCTTGGCTCTCCGTCGCTTACTAAGCCCCTCATTGGCCTTCCGAAGTGCTGAGACCTCTGTACGCAAAAGAGCCACCTCGTGCATCATAGCCATCGTACCTTTAGCTAATCGATCCACAGCAGTCAGCATTGGTGTTGGAGAGCTGCCCTGATGGTTGGAAATTCGAGTTTTGATGAACGCTGACTGTGAGGCAGCCTCTCTCGGGTTTTGTGGCGTTTGGGAGACCCAAGGTAGCGATGTAGTTGGGCTTGTAGCTGGGGGTGTTGGAGTCCGAATACGCACATCCAGCTTGGATATCACCCTCTCTGGATCGTACGGCACAAGGCCGGCTCCAGCAAACCCCCCCTGGATATTCCTTTCCGTAACCGAAGCAAAAAACGCCTCTCTAAACCCACAAAGAAACTCCAGCTTGCTAATATGTGTGATGTTCATCCGCATCAGCTGCTCAATCTGACAGCCGTACGCCTTCTTCAACGGCCCAAAGCAACCAACATCCAATGGCTGAAGTAGGTGTGAAGAGTGCGGAGGCATACAGAGTGTGATGATGTTGTGCTCCCGGCAGTAAGTCTCGAATTCTTCGGAGTGGTGGCTATCGTGGCCGTCGAGAATTAACAGTCGGTATATTCCCTTCGTACGAGATGCTGTGTGGAAATCGAAGTGCCGAATCCAATCCATGCCTTTCTCATTAGTAGTCCAGCCATTGTCGGTTGTTGCGATACGCCAGGTACCCGGAAGGTTGCACTCTTGATACCAGTTAGCAAGGTGATATTGCCCAGCTAAGATAATGAATGGTGGGATAGTCCAGCCTAGAGCATTCACTCCTTGGATGACTGTAGCCCACTCTCGATTACCAGGCTGGGCTTGCTTAGCCCTACCACGGCCATCAGAGGTAGTAACTACCATAGCGGGGATGATAATGCCCATCATAAAGCCAGTCTCGTCGAAATTGTACAAATCTTCGTCAAGGATACCGTACTTGGCCTTCGTGTTGTGCACAAGCGCAAACCACTCGCGAATAACTTTTGGATCTTCGCATTTGGCCCTCTGGTAGTCGTATTTACGCGTAAAACGCGTCCGAAGTTCTGGCTGGCGCTTGACGAAGTTGTGAGCCCAGCGTGTACCGACAGAGGGCGCGTCGCGTTCGCGTAGCAATCGATTGGCCATATCTTCTACGTACGAAAGCCGGGGATGAAATGCGCGCGCACATAGCTCAATGATGTACTGAACAATCGTTTTCTCTTCCAAATCCGTAAGCTTACGCGAATTGGCTGGAGTATCACGTCGTGCAGGTTTGCCGTCGCGTCGGTTGCGTATAGTATTTACCGTGACTTGATATGTTGTTGCTGCAGCTCGAATACTGAGTTTTGGGTCGTTTTGAATAGCCCTGAGGGCCAAATTCACCCTAGCTTCGTATGAAGGAAGAGACATTTGAGTTTGTTGAGGAATTTGGTGTTTTGTAGAGAGGAGGCGCGTCGCGTCAAAAGTGTTCAACTCGCTTGTCTGTTCATCTCGCTTATCACACACGTTACTGGAGAGCACGGAGGCCTACATTGGTGATGGAGTCTGTGAAGTCTCTCGAGATCAAACACGTTGGATTGTCTAGATTCCAACCAGAGACAAAACACCGGAAGTAATTCCGAACGGTTTGAACGGTCGGCTTTCCCTCCGGGTCCAGAACACCTTTGGCGGACTTTGCTATAAACTTGGCAAAATGCTTCAGGGTTTTCAATTGATGAGGTGTAGCTTCGGGGTGTGTTGTTTTGTACCTTAACGGTCTATTAGTTTTCCCATCAATCACTGTTCGTATGATCTACTTACTCGATCCAAAGGTCCATCTGGTCTCTGTATCTCTCTTTGGTGTAGTCCAAGACCTCACGTGGGACAGGTTCGTCATCAACATCCGTGTCGTCGTCATTGAATCCGTTCTCTTCTGCGCATCTTCTCCTCTCATCTGCTGTCCTTTTCCTGACCATCTTCGGTAGCTGTCTTTGGCGGCGTGAGAAAAATAGAAAATCGATTTGAAATTTCCCCAATGCGATAGGTGACGTGTTGATGTCAGTGGATCTAGCTAACTAGAGAGCTGAGAGCTAATGCGGCGATCTGCTCAAGATAGACGGAAATGATAGAGTAAAATCTTGAAAATATCAAGAAGCCGATAGTAGAGATGGCCATAAACTAGGCCCTACGAGTAGATTCTCAAGGTGGGAGGGCAAGTACTTATGTGCTCCTCGGCGGTCCCAGTTTTGGGCCCAGCCATGGTACAAGCACTTCCCTCGCGAAAAGTTGCCAATTATCATCTTCTGGGCTCAGGACACTGCCCATCGAGTCTAAACCTATTTCAGTCACTTCCCTGATTGTTTCGCGAGTGTTCGCCTGAGCAAAAGCGGCGAAGGGTGTTATAGTCTGCAAGGGTTGAGGAGGGCAAGATTCGGGAGGCGCAACAAGAAATGTTCTGTACCACGCAGATTCGGCAGAAGCCAGCGGTATCAACCAGCTGGATTTTCTTCACAGCTTCCGGCTCACTAACTGGATTGAACTCAACAACTTGTTTGAACGACACGACAAGCGACGATATACCCCCAGAGCGAGCTTTCTATATCTGTTAGGGGAGCACAACGCGGCAGCCCTCATCAGAGCTTATCCATCCAATTAAGCCTGTTTTGTAAGAGAATATGAGCGTTATGGGGCGCCGATATTTGCCGCTTTGGCCACAGGGAGCAGAGAGGCTGCTGCAGCATTTGTAGAAGTGCATTCAACACTGCAGCCACAGGTATCGCTGCTTAGTGAATTACGCGACGCCTTCGCAGACAACAAAAATAAGTGTCTCAGAATGGGCCGCAACTTCACTTTTTCGCAAACGAAAGGCATGCTCTCATTTGTACTAGAGCAAGGGGACGAAGGGTTGCTCGCGCTGTACATTGTTGCGGATCATGCATGTGTAAAGGATCAGTGTCTATTGTCTCATGCTGCTCAGAAAGGATACGAGGCCGTCATGCGGCTGCTGCTTGATCTAGGCGCCGACGTTGATGCGAAGAATAAATCGGGCTGGACGCCGCTATTACGGGCTATCGAGCACGGGGACGAGGCTATTGTGCGGCAGCTTCTCGATCGGCGCGCCAACGTCAACGCGAAAGGTTTCGGTGACTGGACGCCGCTATTGCAGGCTATCGAGCAAGGGCAAGAGCCTATTATACGGCAGCTGCTTGATCTGGGCGTCGACGTTGATGCGAAGGATAACCAGGGCCGGACGCCGTTATCGTGGGCCGCCGGGAACAAGTACAAGACTATCGTGCGGCAGCTGCTTGATCTGGGCGCCGATGTTGATGCGAAGGATAAATAGGGCCGGACGCCGTTATTGTGGGCCGCCAGGAACAGGTGCGAGACTATCGTGCGGCAGCTTCTCAATCTGGGCGCCGATGTTGATGCGAAGGATAACCGGGGCCGGACACCGTTATCGTGGGCCGCCGAGAACGGGTGCGAGACTATCGTGCGGCAGCTGCTCGACCAGGCTACCGACTCCGAGTCGAAATTTTACTCAGGGAAGACACCATTATCATGGGCAGCCCAGAAAGGCCGTGCGACTGTCGTTAACCTTCCATTGGGAAAGAAAACATGCGACCCCAGCTCAAAGGACCGGGTATTGCAAACGCCTTTGATATGGGCTGCTGCGAGTGGACACGATACCGTTGTAGAACTACTTCTTGCGGCCGAGAATGTAGACTATGACTGGAAGGATGATAGCGGTCGGACAGCACTATCATGGGCTGTTGCCAATGGACACGAAGCTGTTATCAAGCTGCTTCTCGCTACTGGACGAGTCGATGTAAACTCTCGGGACAATAATGACAAAACCCCATTGCTATGGACGGCAACTCAGGTTAAGATCATAACTCCGGTTGAGATCACAAGTCAGAGAGATTGTACGAATCATGCTCTTCTAGACTATCAAATGCAACTTATGTTTCTGGAGCAGCAAAAAAAGAAGCGGTTGATGATGGCACGCCGAGAAACCCTACCGATATTTCTGGAGCAGCAACACGAGCGGCGGTCAATCATGGCAGGTCAAGAGCATATATATATTGACAGACTACGACTATATAGTAACCGAACGGAGCAAGAATGCGTTACTATTACCATGCTGCTACTCCAGAACGGTGCTAACATCGAGTTGAAGGACCAAGACGGCCGCACGTCACTTTCGCTCGCCTCAGGAAATGGCCTTGACACTATCGCCAGACTACTACTCGAGAAGGGCGCCGCCGTCGAGGCGAGAGATAAGAATGGCCAGACGCCGCTGTCGCGTACTATGGAGAACGACCACAAGGCGGTCGTGCGATTGCTACAAAGCCGTCTCAATGGTGCGCTCCCGGCCGCCTTTACAGTGTCTAAGTATGATTCGACACACTTGGCGAGAGCTTGAATTCCATTATTATCCTAGAATGCCTCCGTGAGCTCATTCATTACATTGCGGAAATGAAAACCGGAGCGTTCGACCGCGACGAGCCGTGGGACGGCGGACTGATAGTCCAGCCCGTCGGGGCGACCCATCTTCTGGGAAACCCTGCTGCCTGGCGGCTTCGGGTTGAGAGCCGATGCTCATGAACTGCCACCCCTCACCCACTCGCTGCAGGTCCCAGCCAAGCACCGTGTCTCGACCAAAGTCTGGTTGACCAACACCGGCCGCGTAACCGTGTCCTTCAGACCCCAGGTGCACTGACTACTTCCGCCGCAAGACCCCGCCATGTTGTCTCCCACGGCAAACGCAGCCGTGCCGGCGAAGCGATCCCACACGGTCCCGGTCATGAGCGTGACGGCCTCGGTCAACGTGAAGCGCAGCGCAAAGTTGGTCGTGGCCGAGTCGGGCGACGACCGCACGGCGGGGTCCCCCGCGACGCCAGGCAGGATCTCGACGGTCCACTTCCCGTGGCCCATGTCGGAGCACTGGTGGGCGCGGCCGTGCGGGTCGTCGTCGGCGCCCGCGATCCCGAGCCACCGCACCGTGCAATTGACGCTCGACGGCGCGAACACGGCGTCGCCGAACTGCGTGCTGCCTAGGAAGATGTTGTTGGGGTCTGAGATGGTCGCGAACAGCGTCGAGTACGGCGCGCCGCCTGGGTACCCTGAGGGCGAGTGCGTGACTAGGGTCGAGATCTCCCACGGTTTGAGGGAGAGCGTGGTGGTGTTGGGTGCTGCCACTGCGCTGCCGGCTGCGAAAAGGGCTGCCAGGGCGGTGAAACCGGTGCTCAGACGAGTCGGGAGCATGGTGATTCTGGTCAACGTTGTTATGGGTAAGCTTTGTTTGACGTGATGCAGAATCAAAACCATGACAGAAAACTAACGACCGCGGCTATACTAGGTAGAAAAGGCATCTTTGTTACCAACTACACATATGAGAGTATTTTTATCCCACGGGCGTCGTCAATTTCCAAAAGGGCCGCCCCACCCCCCAAGGTACCCGCGTTAGACGGCTAAATAGGCAATACCACATCGCTCCAGAATAGCCATGGTCGTATTCTCGCGAGAGTTATATTGCTGTAGCTGTGAAACTGGAACGAATGTCGAACTGGGGGAACAACTGGAGAATCTTGAGCCGCGCTGACAAAAGCCTTGCGAGCTGACCAATTATTCACCTTGTCGAAAATTGTCAGCCAATATGGCTCCGGACTACCTGTCCTTCCGAATCCGAAGTAACCAAGCACAGCGCTTGATGATACGTATCATGCATTAAATGGACGCTCCTCTACTGAGACTCGATGGCGATTCTCTATGAAGCATTCCACCAATATCACAAGCTGTGGAGATATATGCATCCAGCCCAATTCTGAGACGCCATCACGAGGACAAACCCCCACGACAAAGTTGAGAACTGGCCTCATTCTAGCGAGTTTCTAGCGAAATTGAAGAACGCTGTAAAAATTCCACTGGATTTGTTTTTCCGCCTGCGTACCCTGGATCCCCGATGACAGACTTCGGAGTCGAAGCCCACGAAATATTCTCTCCGAAGATGCTCGAAACCTTCAACGTGCAGATCCAATTCGCCGCACTAGATAAATCTTTCTCCAATTGTATCTGATAAACCCCAAACAGCCAGCAATGAAATGCGTTTACTCCACCAGACAGCTCGCTATGCAAATCGAAACAGATGAACATAAAAACCAACGAACGACAAAAGACCATCCAAACCCGTGCAACCTATGAGATAGTTTCCCTCTCCGCATTTGTCCGTCTCCTGTGTACATAAAGCGGCACAGCCACCGCCGCGACCAGCCCCAGCCCGCCAAATATGGCCCCGACAATGACCCCCGCCCGCCCGTCCGCGCTGAGCCCGCCGCTGACCGGCACTGGATCCAGCAACCCCGTAGCCGGCGCAGTACTACTCGACGTGCTAAGCGACGCAGACCCCCGGCCCGTCTCCTGCGTCCCTGCCCCTGTCCCCGTCCCTGTCCCTGTCCCCGTCCCCGTCCCCGTCGTCGTCGTCGACGCAGTATTCGCCGCCGGGCTGGCCAGCCCGACCCTGACAGAATTCGCCGCGCAGTACGCCGGCAGGAGGCTCGCGGCCTGCTGGGCGAGCTCGGGGCCGCCGCAGCCCTGGTAGACGGCGGCGGAGATGGCGTCGAACAGCTGCGCCGACGCGGTGGCGTTGCCACACAGGCACGCGAAGCTGTCGGCGGGATCGCAGGCCGCGCCGTGCGCGCGCTTGAACGACTTGGTCAGCGACGCGGCCGCCGGCGCGGCGCACCCGCCCGGGTTGCTGCTCATCACCGCGGCGAACGCGTCCGTGTCCTGCAGGAAGATCTCTCCGGCCGCTGTGGTGGTGGCGGCCGTGTTGGTGGCTGGCTCTTGCAGTTGCCTGCTGTTGGACACGCAGTATCCCAGCAGGATGCTGGTCGCGGGATACGCGGCGGCGAGCCCGCAGCCCGAGTAGCAGCTGTCCCAGATGCTGTCGCGGAGGAGCGACGACGCTGTGGCGTTGCCGCAGATGCAGGGAAACGCGTTGGCGGGGTCGCAGCCGTGGCTGGCGGCCGTCTTGAACTGGCTCGAGAGGCTGCCGGCGCAGTCCCCGGGACATTGTTTCGGGTCGATAGCGCTGGTGTATTCGTCTGTGTTTTCGAATCGTATCTCGGTCGTGCTGTCGGCGTGGCCTAGTGAAAGGTAGAGTACCAAGGAAACGACGAGGAGCCGCGGGAAGGCCATCCCTGGATAGCCAGCCTGTGCTACTGGTTGTGTGTTAAAGTGAAGCTGAAATAAAAGCCGTGATTTGGCCTGGCGACAGAAGTATTTTGACTGGAATCTTGATTCACTGAAATCTGGAGAAACAGACCCGGCCCGCATGGCCAGTGACGACCTCGGCAATGGTGGATGCATAAACACCACCCCCGGCGGCGCTGAGGCTCAGCTGCATCTAAAACGCCCAAACAGGTGAGCTGGCGCCAGAGTGCGCTACATGATTGGCAGAGAAGCTCCGTCCCCAATGCTGAGCCCTGTCTGCCCCCCCGGCCCCAGCCCCGGCCCCAGCCCCAGCCCCGGCCCCGGCCCCCTGTAATTGGAGGCTTCCCGGGACCGGTCTAGAACGGCCGATAAAAGACAGCACTACTACGTCAGTCTGTTTTGTCGTCCAGATCCATCGTCCAAGGTGAAAACATTGCACCATGTTTGAGTTTCGAGCAAGAGGCCATCGCGACAGCTAGTCTTTGGTCTGGGCGTCCAGATTCTGTCCCGCGAAAGCGGCAATACCGTCATTGAGAACACGAGCGACGCGGAAAGCGCTGTCGGCAAACGTAAAAGCCGTGTCCAGCATGCAACCATCTCCACGCAACCTAGCGGCGGCAACAGCGCTCGTGACGCTGGTAACGGCACTGTCAATAGCGCAAGCAACAGCCGGCGCCGATGTAGCTGACACGGTTTTCATGACCCCACCTTGGAGGCCCGAAGGTAGCATCAACAGCCTCTACCGCTGTGCGGTGCCAGACGCTTTCCGGAAGATGAATCACGAGATGAAGGGCACTGAGGTCGCCGCCGGCCCCAAGCTCCTCAATCAAACCCAACCCAGCCGCGCAAGTGTTGGCGAGGTTGGCGATTATTACAGCGGCGATGGCAGCGGCAGCGGCTGGTGCCATGTCTGGTGATAGGCGAGCCACAAAGAAGGCGCAATTTTTGATAACGTTGACAACGTCGTTGGGGGCGGCTGGCACCTTGTCGGGGGGCGAGCCAACGGCGGCGATGCAGATGGCGGTCGTGATGGCGGCCAAGCAAGCAACCGGGTCGGCAGTGTCCAGATGGTCGTCACAACATGGCGGCAGATCTGTTCCAGGAGCCAGGGGTTTGTGTGATGGAGTGCCGCTGGGACGACGCACCAACTTGCTTCCTTCTTGATTCTTGAGGGCTTCTCCACTTCGTAGTTAGAGTTCCAAGTTTCCAAGCCTTAGATACATCCGAGGCATTGCAGGACCAGTCTGGTGCGGTCTTAAAAGGCAAAATTTGGTTTTATTTCGGCATCCAGATATCTTCTTTGATTTGTGCACAACGTGATACGCCTGACCTAGAACGGCGACCGTCTCTCGACAAGACCCTCCAGAATGGCCTCAATCTCAAGCCTGACGCTGTCAACATCCTGGTTGGAGTTGACGAAGCGAACTCGGCCTCGATCTTTAAAGATGTCGACGACACCGTGGGTGGTCTTCTTGAACATTTCTATGCGCCTCTTGATGTTTTCCGGGTTGTCGTCGGTCCGGCCCCGATCGGAGCCCGTCAGCCGTTCCATCATGACGTCGTCGGGGCATTCAAGAACAACGAGGAACGAGATCGGACCCATCACTTGCTCAAAGTACTCGCATCGCTCCTTGTCGCGTGGGAACCCTGCGTGACACGACATGATTAGCGAGCCAAAAGCACACGGCCTGCAATCGGAATTCGTAGGGCGATTACCGTCGATCAGAAACGCGCGGGTCCCCTGCGCGGTGCTCCTCTTCATATGGTCGCCCAAAATGTCCACCGTCATTTCCTTGGCGCCCAGCCGTCCTGCTGCAATGTTGTCGCGAATGGTTTGGCCGTACTTGCTCCCTGGGCTGTTCCGCTCGAGGCGCAGCAGGTCGCCGATGCTGACGTGCTCAATGCCGAATGTCTGCGCCAGCATGGTGCACTGCGTTCCTTTGCCGGACCCGGGGCCGCCAAGCATGGCAATTACGGTGGGGTGTTGCGGGCGATCGCCCGCACCGTCGGCTGCTGTCATTTTGTCGTGGATTTTGTGCGTGAATTCTAGGTTGGTGTGGACTCGTGGAATGTTGGGTGTGTGGTGGGAGCAAGTGGGACAACTTTTGTACTTGAACTTGGACTGGGCGTGTTTGGACGCAAACAAACATCAAACCGTATTTTGTTTAATTCAATCTCGTATACAAAGCTCGGCATCGCACTGAACTATGATCCTCTTTCTGGGCGTCCACGTGCTCGAGATGCAGCAACTTTGAAACGACGAGGAAGGTGCAAACATCTTTCGTACGTGTTCCAAAGTGAATGATGCCATCAATGGAAGGCGCGATTTAGATCTGCCAACTTCAGTTCGAAACTTCCGCGACTTGAAAGTGTCCGGTCCCACTCGGAACTGGCAGTGGCAACCGGGGCTTGTCCTCTGCGTGATGGTGACCTTGAATAAACTTTTCAGGTTTCTTCTGCGGGAGGTGCTGGTCGAGGCTTCTCACCGTGGCGACAAATATCCGCAAAACCTTGAACGGCCAAGTCGCGAACTATCCAACGTTGGCAAATCAACCCACAGCAACGCAATGCCCACGCCCGATTCTGCAGAACGCGCTCCGCAGCTTTGCTTTTGCTTTTAGTAGCGAACCATCACTTTGTTCTGTGACTGCGCATCCATGTGCTCAAATTATGATAGTGCACAGCAACGATGCACTGTGAGCTTGTCTATCTGCCTTCGACCATAAGGAGATTGCCAATGCCTACTTACCATTGCACATGACTCTGCTGTTGCATCACTCTTCAGTCCCTGGGGTGCAGGCGTGGGAGCGAGCATGACATTCGCGCGACTTGGCTTCTCATTATGCGCATTTCGAAGTCAATAGTCTCGGCAATACCTGCTTGCCTAATCACATCGACTTCATCGCCATCCTCTCCACCCTCCTGAGGCCAGTAGGCCGTGGTTATTGGTGGCATCACCCAGTCCGGACATGCTCGCAGGCCGAAGTCCGAGCGACACCACGACACATCCAGACGTGGATTCGGCAAGCGATTCCATGTTAAAGAGTCTCAGGCCGGTGTATTCTCGAAAAAGTTCCTGGACCAAAAATGTTTCTTGGCCGCAATTGTCGACTAGGTGGAGCGACTCGAGGCCTAGTTCGGATTTTGTTGGTCGGCCGTCGGCAAATTGGGACTGCAAGAGCTAGTGTCTGATCCTTCGGGCCGTGGCGACCAAATCCTTCGACGGGCCGGGCCGGAACAGAGCGGCCCCAGGCCCATTTATATCTATTTGTCAAGAATGTCTACAAAAAAAGACGACAAGTGCCGGCTGCGCCGCCGCTAGGGTCGCCCGTGCCGCCAGACGCGTTTTGTGTGCGCTCCCAGGTCCACAATTCCTTGTAGATTCACCCACGGGCCGCGGCCGTCGTGTCAGGCCATCCAAGTGCCGTTTCACTGACCATGGCCTTGGTGGGCGCTGGGCGGGCGCACTCGCTTTATATGGCAGCCCTTCATCCTCCATGACCAGCTCCTGACAAATCCAATCTTCTTGGGAATTGTCTCGTTCTTCTGCTGTCTTTAGCCAAGTGACATCGACAATTGCGCCATGAAGTCCGCCGAGTCGCCGGGACTGGTCTTGTCCAGCCGCTCCGTCCCTGCCTTTGCCATGTCACCCACAGAGGCGAAGGGCGAGCTCGAGCCACTGTTGACATCCCCAGCCATCGCGACCACAGCGTCAACACCGTCGCAAGAGCTCTTGCTCTACAGCGAGATCCCGGTGTGGCAGCAAGAAAACGAATATGTGTTGTCGGGATACAGGTGCGGCTCTGTCCACCTTGCCCTCGTTGTCAACGATGAACATGACCTTGCGAGAAGTGGCTGACAATGGACTTGACACCCACCAGACCGACCTCGGGCTCCCTCGCAGCCTCGGTGCGCAGCCTCTGCCGCCTCCACAACGAGACGGTCAACATCTGGTCGCACCTGCTCGGCTGCGTCCTGTTCCTGTTCCTGCCCGTGTACCTGTGCCGATGGCACATCTACCAGCGCCACCCAGAGACAGCGGGTCTCGTCGACGTCGCGGTTATCTCGGTGTATGCCGTAGGCGTGGCAGTGTGCTTTGCGCTGTCAGCGGCGTGAGTCCCCGGTGACCATATGCACTGCCTCTTTCTGTTTTCTGTCTGCGTCTCTTGTGCCAACTGTGCATCATTCATTCGGGCACCCGGCTGAACCAAACACAGGGCTCACGCCGTCTGGAACCACAGCATCCTGGTTGCACATTTCGGCAAGAAACTCGACTACCTCGGCATCCTCGTGCTCATGTGGTCGGCCGGGATTCCCACCATCTACTACGGCTTCAGCTGCAACCCTGAGCTGCAGGTGCTGTACTGGTCGACGGTGCGTGTATTTCCTCGCCCTGTGCTCTGTCAGCCTGCCATGTTCCAGCCTAACTGCTCTGCGTTGACTGACCTCTGCTTCAGACGAGCATCTCGGCGTTGGGCTGCGCCGTCTTTACCTTTGACCCTCGCTTCCGCCAGCCGCGGTTCCGGCGGTGGCGCGCTGCCCTGTACGCGGGCTTTGGGTTCAGCTCGCTGGTATTTGTTGGCCACGGCCTGCTCCTCCACGGTTGGGCGCTACAGAAGGCGCGCATGTCCCTCGTGTGGATGGCGTGGATGACGCTATTCAATCTGGTCGGCGTGGTGGCGTATGTGTCGAGGGTGAGTGGACGACCTCTTCTCTGTTTCCCTCTCACCTTATGCCAACCAACGCCTTTGGCGCTGCACTGCTGATGGCGGGGTACGTCACAGGTGCCCGAGCGGTGGTTTCCGTATCGCTTCGATCTGTTTTGCTCGAGTCATCAGATCTTTCACGTGGCAGTTATGGTGGCGGGGCTGGCGCATTTCGCGGGACTTCTGGACGCGCTCGACGTTTCCCTTCTTCAGCTCGCTCCCTGTGTTGCAGTGGGGGTCATGGCCGATTCGCCTCGGTCTGGGCTCGTGTAGAAAGAAAATCCTCTCAAGAGCCATGAGGCTCGAGTTCAGCCGTCACTCTTAAGCTGTTGGATTCAGCACTTCAACTTTCTTCCTTCATCTCCCTCCTTCTTCTTTTTGGTCCTGCCAGAGGGCCTCTATTATAGTTGTAAATGGTGGCAATGGTGGTGGCAAAAGTAGCCACACCAGCTGAACTGGCCACTTCATTTCAGCTCCCCTGAGCCTCTTTTCACCTCGGATGACCACACCAGAGCTCAGCTGGGATGAGCTCTATTCCACATGCAACCCTTGTCCATCTGACAATAGCCAATCCAACATAAGCCAAGTTGGGAACAGATTTGCCCATTTTCAATAATCTTTGGTAATATTTAGGTAATACTTCCGTAAGGTCATCTTTGGGATATGTAACACACCGTACTGTAAGGAAACAGAATTTTTACGTAATTACAATTCACAAGTGGGCCTGGGAGTTTTCCGAGTGCTTAAAACTGAACACCAGTCACGGTTTCCTGCTAGGAGGCCCTCTTCCATTTCCTTACCTTAGGTACCTGATGCTCGAGTTTTGCACTGCCGAACACACTGCTTGTTCGCAATCAAGCGATTGCGTTCTAGGTTTTGAAATTTTCCGGTCCCGGCCATAATAGGAAGACACACGCCGACCGACTCGCACCTCGCGATTTCGCACATTTCAACAATTCTTTCGTGCACAGGTACCCTACAGCGAAACCCCAAAGGACAACTGCCACAATCCGAATACGACAACGACGCGAGGAGGCGCCGTCATAATGGCGGTGACTATCTTGGATGTGATCAGCGTTGCCGAGCTTGGGTTCATGATTTTAGGCCACCTCTTCGACGACGGCGACGACGACGACGACGACGACGACGGCGATGACGACTACTACGATTAGGAACTTCGCACGCTACATCTGGTTAACCGCGCATTCTACAGCCTGGTGTCGTCGTTGATTTGGAAATCTGTCTCTTTACCCCGAGGGTGCCTCGATCTCCTCAATCTCAGCGTGCCACCATCGCGCTGGATGACGGAGCAGTTGACACAATTCCGATTCACGCGAACCCTTGATGTCGACGCAACGGAAGCCGCTGTCGAACTCTACTGGGATATTTTAAAGAGCTTTGATGCACGCACCCCACTTTTTCCTCGCACCTACCTGGGGGTCATTGACAGCTACAACGCGGGGACCACTTTTTACATAATAAAATACCACATTACATGGCAGCCACCCAACGGCCTACCGGGCATTAAGAAAGTATACCGGGCACTAAAGAAGCCCGGCAAGGTCAAAATGACACTATTTACACTGCCACATGCCGGCATTTGTGTGCGCAGTTGGTGTTTTAAGGTCTGCAGCGGCCAGGTGGCCTTTGCAGGCTTTTCCTTTGCCAAACAACCCTTGAACACATCATCAACCTACCTTTCCGCTCACAATCTTCGTAATGCCTTTTATCGAGATTTCCTCTGACAATTCAAGCTCCCTCGCCCTCACCGTCCCCGGCTCCGGCTCCCTCGACCTCGCTGTCCCCGGCTCCCTCGCGCTGGCTGTCGCTGTCCCGTGAAGATGACCCTTATCCTCGTAGGAAGGGCGGCGAGGGTAACCAGGTTGACATAGACTAGGTTACTGGATTGATAGAGTTGACACCAAAGAATTGCATCACCGTGTCAACAGATTAGGATTGAACAGATAGATCATTTAGGCAACTGGGCGCCTACCATGAAATTTGGCAAATTTACGTACGTACAAATCCGGGCCTCAGAGTTGCCATTTGCAAGTTACCTTTATTCCGAGGCCGACTCAGCAACGAAAAAATCGTCAAAATGGAAAACACCACGGTAAACGCGTTTTCAGGGCTTTTGAAGGTTTTGATGGCTTCAACGTTGTTAACCCGGGCGGCCGGGCGGCCGGGTGGCTGGGTTGGCACATGGGAAGCGCATGGGCGGGAAGATGGTATTTCACGATTTTACTGGCCTACTCTGCGCATCTCAACTGCCAACAGCTGCCAAGGTCCCCAGGCAGGTGCGAGGAAAAAAGTGGTGGGTGCGTGCATCAAAGCTCATTTTAAAATGCTCAACGCACGTCTGCAGACAGATATACCCGATAAACGGCTTTCGAGCTGGTCGGCCGAACTCCACCTCAGACTGAAATATGCATTCTTCAAAATTGAACAATATCTCAAGCACACAACAGACCTCCGGAGTTTCTCAGCCACAAATATCCCGCGGCTATCCGACCTCGTTTTACTACTCCAATTCCACCGCTCGTCAATCGAGTCAATCCAACTTGCGACATACTTTGGCGACGAAGAAGGATTACGCCAACGCTCGCCTGGTGAGTGTCCCGAATTGCGATGGGAAATTGCAACGGAATCACTTCGAAATACCACAAATTCTACGGGCATCCAGCGCATTGCACCTACCCTCGACTTCCCAAACCTCATGAATTTACGTCTACGAAACATGCAGCCATTCATGTCGCGCTGTAGTCATATCAACCCACTTGTGTGGATTCTCCAGGCCTCCCCAAATCTTAACTGCCTTCAACTGTCAGGAGGTTATAAAAAGATTGTCGATGCCGACGAGCGGCATGACTGGAGCGAGGGGAGTTTTGAGTGTCTCTGCAAAGCTTTCAAGGTCGCCGGGGGGCTGCCGCTACGACTACGGACTCTCCATCTAGGGAGGGGCTCCACTTGACGTTTGATCTCTGGAAGCAGCCAGACACTGATCTATGTATGGCAAATCTGGCCGAAATGCCCTCGCTTCGAGAGCTGTTTGTCGATGTCGAAGCAGATGACGACCCAAGCTTTACTGCGCCTGGAGCTATGGCCATCATTGCGGCCAATTATCTGCCCAGACTGCGAAAGGTCACATGGCCGTGGGTGGGAGGGGCGGTGTTGCGACACATTTATACCTTGGCACACCTGCCGCAAGAACGCAAATTTCTCAAGACGCTTACAATACAGATTGCTGAACCTCCCTTCCAAAATTTTGAGAAATTAATTGATGCCCACATGTTCTAGAACGACTTGTTTGTTCCGGAAGTAGTAGCAGAGGTGGGTGCGAAAGAGAAGGCATCTTGGTACTCGGTAATTAAGGCAGAACAGGTACTCGGTAGTTAAGGCAGAACAAATGACGCTTTTCAGTTTCTCCCATGGCGAAAAAATGGACGACGGGCTCATGATAGGAGCAGATCCCATTGCAGTTGAACACTGCAACTATCGACAGCCGCTGCGGTGCTGCGCTTTTCAGCCATGGGGTTTCTGGCGTCGCGGCTCCCGCGCGAAAGATGGCGGCTTGCGGCAGCCATCAACACGGCGCTCGTGGCGCTGTTTGCACTGTTCATGGCCGTTGCGCTGGCTGCCAGCGCCAGCAAGGCGGGCTCCGTGTTGGCGAATCTTATGTCGTGCGAGGGCAGCTGTGCCGACGTGAACAGGCTGAATATCTTCCTGGCCTGCTCGTCAACATCTTCTCGATTCAGGTGTCCTCGATGACCACGAATCCCCCAGCTACCGACCCTGTTGGATCTTCCGTGTTGGATCTTCCGTGTTGGGGTTTGTCTGAGCATCCATAATGCTGCATGCCTTGTCCACACGTCCGATGTGATGATACACACCCCCAAACTCGAAGCAGATTGCATGAGGGCACGACGACACGGGCTGGCCGATCGCAGCCCGTGACCATGATGGAGTCCCGGAGTTGTCATTTCTTGGCGACGTCGATGGAGAGTGGCGAACCAGCCGAGTTGGAGGGCCATGTACTGATCTTTCCAGATTCCAGCAAGATAGGTCGTAGGGGGGCCCATTACCGGCTCCAAGTGCTTCACAATTCCGGATAGGGCCGGGAGTTTGTCCGAGTGGAACGTCAAAGACATCTTAGTATACCTCGAGACAACCTGTTGCCACAGGTGTAAATGTCTGACCTTCAGGTCTTGGAAAGTCCCCCGCTAACAAACATTAAGGGATTGGATTGTAAGGTAAAAGAGCATCCGTGATTAGGAAATCCTTCCTTCGGCGGCAGGTTGGCGGGAAAGGCCGGCGAACGGCGGCCTCATGATCCCTGAACTTGCAGCGCCACTCAGAGCCTTTGCCCAGGGGGGGGGGTTAAGGTTGAAGTTACGTAAATCTGCGGATATTTTACTACGTCAACGGAGCTCGGTACAATGGTAAGATTTAGTAAGATTAGTGTGACGGCCCGCCTTACGAAGGTAGGAAAGTCAAAGGTTGAAGGCAGTAACGAATGTGGATTCAAAGCTAAGGAAGAGAAAGGAATCTATCGCAGGGTCTGCGTAGGGCGCGGAGAAATAGGTGGTGGTGCTGAGCAAGTGAGGCAGTGCGCACAGACCACACTCTAACCGCAATGCAGCCAATAGAATCAATCCTGTCACATGAGCCCTGTGGCGACCGTGACAATTAGCGCCCGAACATCGCAAATTGGTGTAAAAAGAGTATTCAAGGAAGCAGAAAAGCAGTGATGAAAGCCAGGTACCGTGCAGGGGAACTTCGCCATACTCCAACTTGGTGGCTCTCGAATATACGACCATGCTAGCACAGGTACCTTGGCCACAAATAAATCCCCCCCTTAACCTGCCGTAGCTTTCCTGTGTTACTGTGCAAGAAATGCCGAAATAGTCGCCGGGATCGCCGGGACAAGCGGCAGTGAAGCAGGATCGGGTGCACCGGCACCCAGTGCCGACAGCTCCACATGATGCATGCATTAAAGGGCAAGGCGCCAGGTACGTCCTGTTGGCAACGGTCGTTGTGCTGTAGATAAACGTCAAGAAGGGGAAAATAATAAAGAGGGCTGTCAGAAAAATAAGTAGGGCCACAGAAAGCCACAAAGATCCAAGCCATGTTGCCAGCGCTGCTCCTTCTCGGTACGTGGGATTGGGGTGAATCCCTGCTCTCTATAGCATTCTGCAGACAGCAGATAAACTAACATGCCAGCCACAAAGTCCTCGCCGCCGGCACCCACGCATCCCCCGCGTTGGGGGCCATGCACGCATCGTCTGTGGCCGGGGCCATGCCGCTGCGCATCCTGGCGCTGGGCGACTCGATCACCTGGGGGTACAACGACCCGCGCAACGCGTCGTACCGCCGCGACCTCGAGTGCCTGCTGCACACGCACGGCAACGCCGTGTCCATGGCCGGGTCCATCGCGCACGGCGACTGGCCCGACAACGCCAGCGACGCCTTCGTCTACCACACCATCGCCCAGATCCGCGCCGCCGCCACCCCCGAGCTCGCCGCCGCCGCCTCCCAATGCCCCGGCCCCAGCCGCCCCAACGTCATCCTCGTCCACGCCGGCACCGTCGACTTCGTGCTGGGCGGCCCCACCAACGCCACCGCTGCGCCAGGCCACCTGTACACGCTCCTCGACGGCGCCGCCGCGCACAACCCGCGCGCGCTGCTCGTCGTGGCGCGCCTGATCCCCAACGCCAACGCCACCGTCAACGCCCGCATCACGCGCTTCAACGCCGCGCTGCCGGCCGTCGTCGCCAAGCTGCGCCGCAGCTCGCGCAACGTCGTGCTGGCCGACATTGCCCGCGGCGTCACGGCCACGGCCAAACACCTGTCAGACGGCACGCACCCTAATGCTGAAGGCTCGGCGCTCATGGCGGAGAACTGGCGCGCTGCGCTGCTGGATGCGGGTGGAAGGGGCTTGATTGCGCCGCCCGAGTGCCGTGCGGGCTTTGAGGACCGTGGCGCAACGGCGCTGGGCAAGGGTGGGAGGTGTGATTTAAGCTGGCCTGCTGCTTGACGTTTTTTTTTTTTGGCAGTCGTCTCCTGGGAGTAGGGGTTAGGGGGCGAAAGCGGGATGGTTTGCATTGGCATGGCCTTGGCACGGCGGTCATCCAAGCGATTACGATTGGTTAGCTGTACGAAATGATTTGAATGAAGAAGTTGATGCTGGAATAATAATCAGTAACTCGGGGCAATAAATGGGTTGCTTTTATACTTCATAATTAATCTAGTCTGGTTTCTTTGCGTTTCCCTGGCCAACTTACTTCTTATCAGTTTATCAAAAAGGACGACAAATTCCAGTTTGGCAGTCGCCTTTCTTTTGCGCCCATGTCGAAGGCAAAAGCCCGAATAATAGTGGCCAAACAATACAAATTCGATCATGACCCTGAGCCATTGAATGAGGTTAAACTCTTCAGCGAGGCAGCTTTGTGAATGTGCAAAGAGAATACGCAGGGCAGTTGCTAGGGTTTGCACAGTGTGAATTCAGGAAGGCTATCTAAGACAAATAAATATCTGGTCGGTTGCTAGCTAATTAATTAATCCCTGAATCCTTCCCCGCCAAACCCAGTTACTTTCGAGGTCATGGTGAACCGGAGGCCGTTGCCCTCAAGATCCACCCCTGACCCTTCTGCATCCCCCCTTTTCATTTCTCCTTTTCTGTTCCTTCAAACGGCCACGCCAGACATCAAACCCGGACTGTTAGTATCAGACTAGCAGTCAATCCCGAACGTGTGCTCTCCAACGTGTGCTCTCCAACGTGTGCTCTCCAACGTGTGCTCTCCAACGTGTGCTCTCGAGTGTGTGCGTCATGTTAATGGCGCTTGACCTTGGACGAGGTCTGCAGGATCACCATCAGCAAGGGCACAGATGAAGGAACATGAAAAAACCCACAGAGTTGGCATGGTCGGCCAGATACTTCACCAGCCAGTTGACGGCGATGCGGTCCGTGTAGAAGTCGAGCAGGGTGATCTTGAAGTCGGTGTTGAGGTGGAAGGTGTACGAGGCGTTGTTGACCCAGTGCAGGTCGCCGAGGTCGCCGATGATGCGCACCTCGACGTTAGCCTGGTAGCCCTCGACGACCGTGTTCTGAATGTCGATCGAGTAGTCGTCGAAGATGCCCGCGTTGGGCAGCGTCGACAGGTACGTCGACGCCGGCACCGCGCCGCCCACGTCACCGGGGAACACGGGCGAGCCCAGGGTGAACCACGTCGCGTTGGGCGCGAAGAAGCCCGGCAGCGGCTGGTAGTTGCGCGACGAGATGTAGCCGATAAACTTGGCCACCGTGGCCAGCGTCTTGGTCGACGGGTTGCAGATGGCGACCATGGTGAGGGCTGTGGAGGGTTGCTGGCTGTGTGTTTGGCTGTCTGGGCGCTGGCTGCTGCTGATCACCGCCTTTCCGAGGTGCTGCAGTTTACTTATATAGCCTTGGCTCTTGGGCTCTGGCAGCTCGTTCCTGCAGCCCGGGGCAGCGTGGCCTGTCCACGCGTCTACAACAACGCCCGGCGATTTAGGGAACTACTTTATTCCCATTTCCCAAACAGAGAATTTTTCACGGACAATCCAGCTGCAGGTTCGAGGCTGCCTCGGAGCGGTCAATCGACGTGAGAACCATGACGGTGTACTGCAGTGTTGCCATTGGCCAATAGGAAATAGTCGCCAAGTCTGCAAGCAGAAGTCGGCAAGCAGCAAGTCTGCAAGCAACCCTGGTCCCGGGGTGGGATTTACTCGCCGATTCGTCTCTGCATCATGCTTTTCCGATCGGAGTCGGGAACGGCGACGCAGACCCGAGGTTCCATCCTGCCATACCTGCCATATTTGCTATACCTGTCACACAGGGTATACAATACAAATATCCAAGCTGGTCACAGCGGGGTGCCCGAGCCCGAACTCCTTCTCGGTGCAAATTTTCTTCCAAAGCCCTCGGCCATCGGTTTCTTCCTGCTAATTTCCTAACTGCCAAAGGTCCTTTGCTCGACGCCAGCACAGCGGGGATTGCTCAACGCCGGTATTACCCATCATCGCCAGTCTTACCCATCGCCGGTCTTACCCATCATCGCTATGTCCTGTCCGTACATCGGCCCGCTTACCCGCCTCGCATCTGTCACTCGCTCTCTACCCTCACATACGCCCAAGCTAACTAACAGCACAGCAACAGCAGCAACAATGCCCGATTGGCTCGTCCAGATCTCCGATCACCGGGACGCCTACGGCGAGGTCAGCGAGACGGTGCTACAGGCGCGGCGCGATAACTTCACGGTGCACGCGGCGCACAACAAGCGGCACGTCGAGGCCGGGCACGTGGTGGTGTCGGGGCCGCTGCTGGCGTCGCACGACGACGAGCCGCGGCGCCCCGTCGGCAGCGTCATGGTCTGGAGCGCCCGCAGCGAGGCCGAGGTGCGCGCGTGGCTGCGCGAGGATCCCTACGCGCAGGCCGGCGTCTGGGACCTGGCGAGGGCGACGGTGACGCCGTACTTTTGTGCTGTCCGGACGCCAATGTGATAGCTAGTGAGAGCGGGGCAGGCGTCTTTGCCTTGACGGAGGTTGTTCTGTAATTACGACAGAATTAGAACAGTCGGAGCAAATGTAGTCCTATTTTGGTGACACGGTGACGGGTGCAAAAGCGACAGACATGGAATCTAGATGCAGAATCCGGGGTGTCTGCGGCCCTAACATGACATAAGGCAACGAATTGGCCAACAGCAACACGAGGGAATTGATGAGAAAAAAAATGATAGACATGCAGCGGCATGCTTGGCAGCTCAGAAAACACCAGGAAAAAAGTCACCGACTACTCAGTACCGTGGGCAGCGGACGACACCAGGAGCAAATATTAGCCGAGTAATACGCCCGAGCATGCAAAGTGGGTTCCAGTGCATCCACAGGGCTGTCCGCGACTGGTCGAGACATTCCTTTCTTGTCGTCATGCTGCGTGCGTCGTCGTTTAATTCCGTTTTCCTATCTGCTTCCACTGCAGGAATCGACCAACGAGCAAACTGCAGAGCGCACATTTGGGGGATTGCGCCAACGAGCCCTTGGCGACGGCATCCAGGAGTGATAGTTTTCTTCACAAATAGGCCTTTGAGCACAAGCTTGGTATGGGGTTCGTCGCTTTCGCTTTCTGACGTCGACAAGACGAATCTTCTCATACAGCGCACCGCTCTTGAACGTGTCGTGCTTGACGCAGAATTCCCATTTTCCCAAACATCGCGAACTCGCCGCCATGGTCCGTCTACCTCTCATCCTCGCCGCCCTCGGCGCCGCCCTCGTCCTCCCAGCGGCGGCAGCAGACGCAACCACATCCGCCCTCGCGTCCGTGTCGACCGTCTACTCGTTCCCCAGCGGGTCGTTTGTCGAGAACCTGGCGGTGCGGGCCAACGGCGAGATCTTGGTGACCCGCACGACCAGCGCGGAGCTGGTGCTGGTGGACCCACGGCGGCCGGGGTGCGCGGCCGTCGTGTACAACTTCACGGCCGCCGGCCTGTCGGGCATGACGGGCATCGCCGAGTACGCGCCCGACGTGTTCGCGGTGCTCGCCGGCGACTACCACTTCGGCAAGTCGGTCGGCGTGGGCAGCTGGACCGTGTTCAGCGTCGACCTGCGCGGGGTGCGCCTGTCCAAGGTCGGCTGCCGCGCGCTGGCCGGCGGCAACCTACCGCGTGTGCGCAAGGTGGCGCTGGTCAAGGAGTCGCAGCTGCTCAACGGGCTCGCGCCGCACGGGCGCTACGTGCTAGCCAGCGACACGTTCGCGGGGCTCGTGTACCGCGTCGACATGGCCGAGGGCGCCTACGCCGTCGCCATCAACTCGACGTACCTGTCCAAACTAGCCACGCCGCACGGCGTCAACGGGATCCGCGTCGTCGGCGACACGCTGTACTTTGCCAACTCGGGGCAGTCGATCCTGGTCAAGGTGCCCCTCGCGGCCGATGGCTCCGCCGCCGGCCCGTACACTGTGGTTGCGCACAACGAGGGCCCCGCCGCGCACTATGACGACTTCGCCGTCGATGCCGAGGGCGGCATCTACGCCGTGACGGCGAGCGCCAACACCCTGGTCAGGGTGTCGGCCGACGGGCGCACGCAGACGGTCGTGGCCGGCAACTGGAACTCGACCGACATTGCCGAGGGCACGTCGGCTGCGTTTGGGAGGACGGCCTGCGACAGCCACGTCTTGTACGTTACCACGGTGGGCGGGCTGTTGGGCCCCATCAATGGCACCGTCATCATCCCGGGCGCGCTGGTGTCCATCGAGACGGATTCGAGGGGCGCCGCCGGCCTGTACTAGACCGGGAGCGTCTCTCGCGTCTTGACTCATAATAGAGCCAAATTTGGTCTTGAAGAATGAATATTCCGGGCGTGTTTTTCTTAGACAAGAGTTGCCCCCCCATGCACATTTAAAATGCAAATAAATCAAAATATGCGACATTAGCTAATGTTGTAAATTTCGTCATTCAACTTTGAGATGAATCATTACTCCCTTTTTGAGAGCAACGGCAGCTCAGGCAAGTTCTGGGATGCCTATTTTGCGCATCAGCCGGTGCAGCGATTTAGACCGGCCGCAGCATATAAGGCGGGATTGACCAGGTTGCAGTGCGCCTCAACTCCATGGCCCTCATCAGGATTGCCTCGTCTTCGTCCTCTTCTTCGTCCTCATCTTCCTCGCCGTCGCCATCACCATCAGAGCTCTGCGGTCCCACCGCATCGACGATAGCCACGGGGAAGTAGCCCATGTTCCCAGAGAGGCGTGAACGGCCCCTTGAGGCGCTCACCTGTTGGAGCTGCGGTACAATAGAGATGGTCCCGACAAATGGCAAGGGAAGTACCAGTGTGTTTCGGTCTTCTTGTGCGAAACCTGCGCTGCTGCTGCTGCTGTTGCTGCTGCTGCTGCTGCTGCTCCCCAACAACCCCCCGCCGGGTTTGCGGTACGTCACAGCGACGGCGGCCCCGCTGGCGTCCAGCGCCAGCAATCGGAGCAACCCATCTCGTGAGCCGCTCTTGACGGCAGAACCAGAGTGCACGTACATGTCCTCGTCTGTGTCGTCTTCTTCCTCGTCGTCTCCCGCAACCCGCATTCCCTCCATCGCCTCGGACGCCAGGGCGCGATCACAAAGGCGATGTTGCTGCTGTTGCTGGTGGTTAGGACCCCCCAGTGACGCCGCCGTTTGGCGGTTATCGAGAAGCCGAGCGAGTAGCAACGTCGCGACGGCCTGCCACGCATAGCGGTCCAGGAGCTGGAAGTAGCCCGTGGCGCGCTCACAGGATCGGAGACGGATGAAGCAGCGCAGTAGGTCGCGGCTGGCTCCGACGCAGATATTGCGACTGTTATCGACGTAGTTGCGACTGTTATCGATGTAGTTGCGACTGTTATCGGCGTAGTCGGGGCTGGGGTTGCGGTTGTTGGTCTGGTGATCGTCATGTCCGTTCATGGTGGTCATGGTGGTCGTGGTGGTCATGGTGGGCTCACCGCATGTTGCCTGTAGCATGGATGGAAGTTCAGCAAGCAGGAGAAGGTGGAAGTGAAATATCTGCGCTCTGAGATTCATGATTATTTCGAATAGATGCCCGTCGTCGTCGACCTCGTCCGTTCCGTAATCGGCTAGGCTAGGTGTCTGCCACCATCCGCCCGGCATGGCGCTGGCGACGTCTTCCAGCTCGGCACGGATCTGAAGCGCCGCGCCCAAGTCCTGGAAGCCTGGATCACGCTCGCTCCGCTGAAGCAAGCGACTGGCTATCGCAGCATGTCTGCGCTCGAGCATGCTTGCATTTGTGTCGCCGCCCTCTGTAACCGAATCCGCCACGGCCGTCAAAGTCTCAAGCGGGCAAGAGGCCGAGGGCGGTAGCTCCAGCGCCAAGCATAGCGCAAGCTCGCCGTGCACGAGGCGTAGCCACATCTGCTGCAAGTCGGCCGCCTCGCCATCGGACTGCTGCCGTAGTATCGACTTTGGTGGGTTCATCGAGATATGCGCAGACCGACGACGCCCTTGAAATCCTAGGAGGTGCACTGCAGAAATGGCCCTTCGGCAGACGAGCCAGGACTGGCGAAGGTTTCCGTTCTGCTCTTGATACACGGCCTCGAGCCAGAGACACTCAACGCCCTCGAGGATGCCCGTGGTAAACCTATCGTGCGCCGTCACCAAAGTCGTGGCCGCTTCTGCCAGTTGTCTCGCCAGGGCGTGCGGCGGCCGGGACAAGTCGCCCAACTGCTGGTAGCTGCTGCTACTCCTCACGGACACCGCAGCCTGCAGGTGCTGTAGAACGCCGGCAAGTAGGAGCATCTGTCGGGCAATGAGGACCGGGTGGCTCTCTGCCGTGTACTGTTGTAGTTGTGCTCCGGGGGCGCCCCACAGCTTCTCCAACTCGAGTGCTACCCCCTTCCCGAGCAGGTGGGACGGCGCGACAAATCCCTGGAGCAGGTAGAGAGCCAGGTTTTGGCGGGCGCTGCCGATGACACGGAGGTCGGAAGGTGACGGGTAGGCGGCGAGCAGTGTTTGCGAGAGGGTTCGATGCCCTGAAGGCGGTGGTAGGGGTGCGGGCACCACTAGTGGTGATATCGCGGGTATGCTGGTGCTGGTGCCGGTGCCGATGCCGATGCCGATGCCGATGCCGGCTGGGGTTGACGGCGAACTGAGTCTGGAAGAGGCGATGTAGGCATTTGGATGGGCATTTGGATGGGCATGGGCATGGGCATGGGGATTGGGATGGCCATTACCACCGACCTGTTCGGCCAGCTGCTGGATCATAGACTCAAGCCGGCCAATGCGGTCTCCGACGAGGCGGCTCTTTGACGACGGGCCGGGGTCCTGCTCGGGAAACTCCTGGCCGACGCAATCGAGGCAGCGGCGGGCGCACCCGATGCACACGTCGTCGGTCGGCCGCGCATATGTGCACTTGACCTTGCGCCGCTTGCACGCCCAGCAGCTCCGGGTTCCCTTTCGCGTCTTGCGCCTCTTAGGGTCACGTCTGACGTCGGCGTCGGGGTCGGCGTCGGCGTCGACGTCCATGTTGCTGCTGCTGTGCGACGCCATCGCGCGACCGTCCGCCGAAGGGAGGCACGAAAACCGGTCCGCCGAAGGGGGGCACGAAAACCAGTCCTGGATTTAATTCAACCTGTTGCGCGAGTGTCGTCAAACATTCGCACGTGCAGCACTGTGGTGGAATCACTAGAGTGCCGCGGGTCTTGTGTCATTCTCTGTTTTTCTTTTTTTTCTTTTTTACCCGAGCGGCGGTGAAGTGTGCACGCAAAGGAGAGTGAAACCAGAGCCTCCATTCCGGGAAGGTGCTGGGCGCCTGAGCCTTTCGATCTTCACCCAAAGTGGTCTGTCCAGAGTTGTACTGTGGGTCTGCACCTGTGAACGGGTATGCTGATTGGTGGAATTGCGGGGGCGGGTGGTTGTGGCGAAAAGGCACACGGCCAAAACAAAGCATCGCACCTGCCGCCGCTGAGATAACACCGGCTGTAATAATCCCGGATCGGCGGACCTAAGACTCAGCGGCGGTTGAACAACTAAATCCGGACCACCGCCGCCTCAACCAGCCCACTTAAATCCGGAAAACGGCAGAGCGACGGCGAGGACGTTAACGTATAATTTCAAGTGCTGCTGGCTTCTCTGCACAATGGAGCGACCGTGGCTCTCTTTCTCGTGCCGACGAGCAATCGATCAATTGACCTCGCGAGTGGCAACGTCGCAAAGACTACGACCCCAGCACCACCACTACCACTACATTTGACATTGCTAGCAAGCGCAGTACAGGACATGGAATCGGCCGACCCCGAGAAATTCGACCGCGACGCGTCGCCACACGCCCCCAGCATGGAGCCCGACCACGCCGTGGATGGAGCGGAGAAGGAGAAGGACCTCGAGGCCGCCGGAGACGGCCCCGACGCCGCTGGCCCTGCGGATGCTGCCGCGGCGCCTGTGGACGACTATCCGGCCGGCTTCGCGCTTGCCTTTATCGTCGTGGCGCTGGCCATGAGCATGTTTCTGGTCGCTCTGGACATGGTGAGTCAAACGGGCATTCCTCGCCCTGAACACGTTGCATTCGAATCGTGGCGTGCAACGGCTGACATGGGCCTGCCTTTACCAGACAATCATTGCCACGGCCGTCCCCAAGATCACCGACGAGTTCCACAGCCTCGAGGACATTGCCTGGTACGGTTCGGCCTTCTTCGTCACCAGCGGCGGCTTCCAGTCGTCGTGGGGCAAGGCCTTCAAATACTTCTCCCTGAAGGGCACCTACCTCGCCGCCATCTTCGTCTTCGAGCTCGGCAGTCTGATTTGCGGCGTGGCGCCCACCTCGACGGCCCTGGTCGTTGGCCGCGCCATTGCTGGCGTGGGCGCCGCGGGCGTCAGCTCCGGCACCTACACCCTGATCGCCTTCGCGGCTCGGCCCGAGAAGCGGCCTGTCTTTGTCGGCATCTTTGGCCTCTGCTTCGGTCTCGCTTCTGTGGTCGGCCCCCTGATTGGCGGTGCCTTTACCGACAACGTCACCTGGCGCTGGTGCTTCTACATCAATCTGCCCATCGGGGGGCTGTCGGCCTTCCTCGTCTTTGTCTTCTACCGCACGCCTGCTTGGGCCAAGCCGGCCGAGGCTACCTGGCGTGAGAAGCTGCTGCAGATGGACCCCGTCGGCACCACGCTGGCCCTGGGAGCTATCATCGCCTACATCATCGCCATGCAGTACGGCGGGCAGACGGAGCCGTGGAACTCGTCCAAGGTGATTGGCCTGCTCGTGGGCTTCGTGGTCATTTCGGCCGTCTTCGTCGGCTGGGAGATCTATGCCGGCGAGCGCGCCATGATGCCGCCGCGCCTCGTGAGGCAGCGTGTCGTGTGGTTCAACGGCATATGGGCCTTTTTGTTGATCGGCGCCTACTTTGCCACTGTCTACTACCTGCCCGTCTATTTCCAGAGCATCGATGGCATCAGCCCCACGGCGTCGGGCGTGCGCAGCTTACCGCTGATCTTGACCACCAGCGTCGCCATCATCCTCCTCGGCACGACCCTCAAGCACTTTGCCAAGCACACCGTGATTGTCATGGCCTTTTGCGCCGCCCTCGCCGCTGTCGCCATTGGCCTAATGATCACCTTTGACATTGGCACCTCGGTCGGCAGGCAGGTCGGCTTCCAGCTCCTTGCCGGCTTTGCGCTCGGCTTTCCCTTCCAGCTTCCCGTCCTCAACACCCAGACCCAGTCCAAGCCCGAGGATCTTGCCGTCGTCACCGCCATCATCATCTGTGAGTTCAATCGTGTCCGCCGCCCGTCTTTCTTGGAGTCTTTACTGACCCCGGCTCCTCTCTCTCTCACCGACAGTCTCGGAGACAATCTCGGGCGCCATCCTCCTGTCTGCCGCCCAGTGCGCCTTCGTCAACAAGATGCTCGGCTCGTTGGCCACCACGGCACCCGACGTCGATCCGGCCAAGCTGCTGGTGACAGGCGTGTCCGAGATCCGCTCCGTGTTCCCCGCCGAGCAGATCCCCGGCATCCTGCAAGCGTATATGGACGGCCTGCGCATCCCGTTCGCTATCGCTACTGCCACCGCGGGTGCTGCTTGCGTCATCGCCTGCATTCTCCTTGCCATCCCTGCCAGCAAGGGAAAGAAGGCCTTTGGCAGTGGCGTCGAGTCCAGCGACGGCTCGTCAGCCAACAAGGACGAGCTCCCCGCTTCCACCTAAGTCACCGGGCTTGCCTGCAGGACGGCCTACCTAGGCGGCTTTGTCAACACTCGGACCGATGGTTAGATGTCTGCTATTAGACGATAGATAGACCTCGGTGCATGGTTTCTGGCTGAATTGGGGGCCCAGAAAAGTGCAATTAACTGCACGTTTTTCTGCACGTTTTTATTCTCTACCTTCTTTGCAGGGCCTGTTTTCCTTCCTCTTTGCAGGGCCTGTTTTCCTTCCTCTTTGCAGGGCCTGTTTTCCTTCCTCTTTGCAGGGCCTGTTTTCACCTTCTCTTTAGAGCGAGCTTTTAATTTTCCTTCCCGCGTCGTTAGCGTCCCCGGCCTAGGACCGCCACTATACCCATATCTACGGTTTAATTGTCACAAGAGACTCGTCGTGGCTGGCATTAAAACACCTTTGCTATTGTTGAACTAGCCTGCACCCAGCCGCACACACACATTACTGGACATGACTTCAATCGTCCCACAGCCCGGCGACAACATCGGGCATCAGGTAATGCGTAAAGTTCCACAGCTCGCCCGAGTTGTGCGTGAGGATGGCCGAGCCGGCAAACCACGTGCTCTTCTGGCCCTGCAGCGCCAGGAAGTCCTTGTAGAAGCCGTTGGCAATGTCGACGGCGCCGACCTGCAGCTTGAAGGGCGAGTGGCTGGAAAAGGCCGGGAAGTTGACCGCCACACCCGTGCCGTTCTCCAGCCGCGCCACCACGGCCGCCGCGTCCGCCTCGACCGCCGCCTGCGTCTGCTCCGCCTGGTACGCGAACCAGTACATGAACATGCCCGGCACCGCCGTCGGCAGGATCTCGTACATGCCGTTGGGCGGGATGTTGTAGCGCGCGCCGAGCTTGATGTTGCGGTACTTCTGCCCCGCCACCAGCCCCGTCGTGTTGACCACGCCGGCGTAGAAGGCGCTGTGCGTGAAGCGGCTAAACACGCGCCGCTCCGCCGCGTCCAGCCCGAACGGCTCCATGTTGCCGGGCGTCAGCGGCATGCACAGCACGAGCCGCGCCGCGCGGACGTGCTTGACGGCGCCGTCGGGGGTCGCCACGGCCAGCTCGACGCCCTCGGCGCTGCGCTGCGCCGACACCACCGTCGACTCCAGCAGCACGTTGTCGTCGCCCAGCTCGGCGTGCGCCGCCGCGTACAGCGCGCCGTTGTCGTGGTTGGACGTCGTCATGTCCGGGACGCCTGCCGACCCGGGCCCAGAGTAGGCCACGGCGTTGATGAAGACGCTGTCAAAGTACTTCATGACGTTGAGCGTCGTCTGCTCTAGCAGCGGCGGGTTGGCCACGCCGTTGGCGATCCACCAGATGACCCACGCCTGCTCCTGTAGGTCGTACTTCTCGATGAAGTCGCCAAACGGTAGGAGTAGGTCCTCGGGCACGGGGTAGGGGATCCAGCTGAAGCCGCTCGGCGCGGCGTCGGGCCAGCGTTCGAGGAAGGCGGCGTAGGCCGAGAAGTTGAAGTTGGGCGTGTAGTTGGCGGCGACGGCGCCCGTGTCGAAGTCGACGTACGTGGTGTTGTCGCCGCCGAAGACGAACGGCTCGATGGGGATGCCGTAGCGCTTGAAGAAGTTGACCGTCACGCTGGTGTTGGCGAAGCCCTGCACGCCGTAGTCGACCGCCACCCCCGACGCCGGGTCGATGAAGGTGTTCTGCGCGCCGCCCAGCCGGCCGTCGCGCTCGACGAGCACCACGCTCGCCCCGAGGTCCTGCAGCCTGATCGCCGAGTACGTGCCCGACGCGCCGCCGCCGACCACGACCACGTCGCGGTGGATGACCTCGTCGCCGAACCTGCACAGGTTGCACGTGTTGCCGCACACGTCCCCGGCGGCCGAGGCCGATGCCGACGCCGACGCGGCCCAGAGGGCCCAGAGGGTGATGAGGGATACCGAGGCGCGCATGGTGTTACCGTGACTGGGGCTGACTTCTTGGACAGCGTCAAGGCACGCAGTTGACAAGAACCTTGACGGTTCAGCTGGCTACTTGGGCAGGTCTATGAGTGTTCGATATCACATCATGTCGAAGCAGAATCCGGATCGCTTCCATGCTTGATATCTTTCTCCTCTGACCTTCTACATGCTGCTGTCCGTCTTGTCTGTGCCTTTCGTGAAGCTGCGGACAGATGAGCGGGACCGGCGCATTTCCCGATTTGTTTTTCCCTCGGACTGCCAAGTGGCCTTGTGAAAAAGTTTTTCGTTGCTATTTCTTCCGAGTGCCGGTGGCATGTCCAGTCACAGTAAAGCACCACGACAAAAGATGGGCCTGTGGACGGCCTTGCACACATGAGCCGGAGCCACTACAGCAGCAGCTCTCACGCCGACGAAGAGGCGTGGAGACAACTTTGAGGCGGTGACCCCGGCCTGGGAACTTGTATACCGTGTTTGATTCCTAGAAAACGTGATTGGAGGCTTGGGACAAAGCTAAAAGAGCTAGGGTCAAAGAATCCCCGGCAACCTAAAAAGTATCCAGCACCACTAGACTGGGCCCTTTTCCTGGGACTACAATGCAAGTTGGCCTCGATTATCTAGTAAATCGGACAATTTTGGTTAAAGCCCGGTCACACCAAGGTGTGCATGCGGAGGCCCCTTATAAACCAATTGCATTCCAGCTTGTTGAGACGAAAACTCTTAAAGGATTGAAGATCCTAGACAAATCAATAAATTCCTAGCTAGATCAATAGATTCCTCGCTAGAAACAAATCCAAACAGTGCCAACTAGTTTACCTGAGCACACTTGTTGTGATGTGCAATTCAAAATTTCCCATTTCCCATTTCCCATTTCCCATTTCCCACTTCCCATTTCCCATTTCGTAGACTTTGATGTCTTATTAGAATTTAGACTCTTTTGGGCTAGTGTGCAAGGGTGTGTCTACCCTACCTCCCTGAATTACCCCCACCCCCCTCCCCGCTATTGCTAGGTAGCCGGACACATTTACTCGGTCTACTAAATGCTCTGTAATCGACACGGCGCTGCACCCTGCCTCGCGTTGGTCATCCGATAACTCCGGCAATCTTAACCTCTATTATGCATTGGGCTTTGGTCCGAACGGAGTATTTGCGGTCGAATTGTCGTCTTTCAGGGATGCCATCTCTTGGCCTTCAAGAGAGGCAAGAACAGTGCATGCCAAGCATTTGTCGCAGCCGTGGGGGGGCATTGGCTAGAAACACATGCAGCGTCGGCCCCTACCAGAAATAGAAATACTACCAGGGTCGGCCTTTAAATTTCTGAGATCTACATAAGCTTACAATGCTCATGCGACTTGCCGAGAAAACGGGTTTTCTTTTGCATCGAGCCAGATACGATTCCGCACTCGATTATAGTCTTATCCGGCATTATACTGGCATATCTCTCCGGATCCAGCTTTGAGGAAGCATGTGGAGACACGTGAGCATGCTTGAACCCGGGGTACCAGAACGATGGACCCTCCATCTGTGAACTGTGTGTTCTACACATGCAATGGGGATTTTTTTCCTCTTCGAGAAACAACTTTCGACAGAGCTCGCCGCCGCTACAAGTCGCCGGCCACCTTCTGGCGGCAACGTCAGTCAGTCTCTACTTGACGGGCAAATCTTGCGCCGAGTCCACGTCACGGGCAATGGGTGTGGGGGACATCAGCTGTCGAAGAATCAGGATCGGCGGCTGGGCATTGCTCTTGTCCGAACTGCCTTTGTGATCTCCTGATACATGTTCCGGCAGAAAGCGCTCTCGGTGAAATTTGTGTTTCCGTACAACGATCTTGTTACAGTCAACGACATTTGCGCGGAAACCGCTTGAATCGACATGATTACACTTCAATGTCGGGGCACTTCAATGTCAGGAAACAACACAATTTCAATTCTGGTGATTCTTCCCAGAGATACTAGTTGCGTGGTCCTTGGCGCTCATGCCAAGGCGGTAAGCTCGACCTACAGGCTGCTATGTCTCGTCAATCACCTCGAGCCCCCTTTCTGACCGGGACCAAGGCCGTGTTACATGTAGAACAAAGTTGTCGTCTGGTATCTTGGCAAAGAGAAGCAGAAAATCGATCTCATACTGGTCATTCCTGTCTGATTGCCTACGGGGTCAGGAAACTATATTCGGTAAACCCTCAGTAGTTCCTCTTGTGAAAGCGCTCCCACGCCTCGGGAAAGCCGCAGAAGCGGATAAAATCCCAGTGCTTGGTCCAGGTCATGGGGCGCTCGGTGCCCGAGTCGATCATGGCGACGGCGGCCTTGAGGAACATGGGCTGCTTGACGCGGAACTCGGGCAGGTGGTCGTAGGGCCGCGACATGTCCTCGGCCAGCTTTGTCGAGCGGATCAGCTTGATCATGTGGCCGTCGTCGGCGTGCTCGCAGGCGCGCGCGAACACGTCGTCCCAGCTCTGGCCGGCGCCCAGGCGCGACCGGTGCGACGCCAGATAGTCGAGGCGCAGCTGCGGCGCGCCCATGCCCGAGTACGTCATCATGAACACGCGGCCGCTGAACTCGAGCAGCCTTGCCTTCTGCGCCCACGTGGCACTCGGCTCGCGGAGCAGCGCCGCGTGCGCCATGGCCGCCGTCGCGCAGTGCAGCAGGAAGAAGTCGAACGTGCACTCGTACGGCGGGTTCTGCGCGGCGGCCACGATGTAGACGGCCGTGTTCATCAGCTCGGCCGTCTTGCGCTCGAGGTAGGCGTCGTCGCCTTCCTTGTCCGGGCTAGCCACGCGCCACCGCGCCGCCAGCCGCACCAGCTGCGGCTTGGCGTTGGCTAGGATGCCGTCGCGCGCCACCTCCTTGTCCATGGCCCACCGCCCCGAGTGCCGCCGCGTCTGCGTCTGGAACGTCCAGCTCGACGCCGTGCTGATCTTGGGATCCTGCCGCGCCATGTCCACGAGCGTCGACAGCGGCAGCGGCGACTCCTCGGCCTCCTTCGCTGCCGCCTCGGCCGCCGTCAGGTACTCGGTGTACCACCCGTCGTGGTGCACTGCCGCCTGGGCCAGGCCTTCGGCAAGCAGCCGCGGCTGGCGGAACTCGATTGCGAGTCCGATGTGGATCATGCCGTGTACGTAGCCTTGCTCGCGTTTCAGCTCGCGTTTTAGCACGCTTCGTACAAAAGAGAGTTGGGGATGGGTGGTGGGAAACGAAAGTGATTGCGAGAGTCTTACCCATGTAGACGCGGCACAGCATGTCGTCGGCCACCGGGCCTCCGTCGAGCAGGTACTTCTGCAGCGTAGCCTGCCATCCGATCTTTTTGAACATGTTGAGGAAGAACATCTCGAAGTTGCGGTAGTGCTCCTCCTTGCCGAGACAGCGGTTGAAGAGGGTCTCGTCCTCGAGGTCGAGCACCAGTGGCTCGACGATGATGACGGCGTCCCGCATGTACAGCGCGTTGCGGTCATAGTGCCGCCTCAGCTGCTCGGGCGTCGCGCCACAGGCCCACAGCGTGAGTTCATGGTGGGCAATGTGGTTGTGAAGATAGACCTGGTTTTTAGTCAGAAATCAGAAACAAAAACCCAGTCACTCTCTAGTGGTATTCTGGCTGGGGGGGGGCGGAGGGAGAGAGCAGTGCAGCTAGGAGAGAGCAGTGCAGCTAGGAGAGCAGTGCAGCTGGGAGAGCAGTGCAGCTGGGAGATCAGTGCAGCTGGGAGAGCAGTGCAGCTGGGAGAGCAAGGCCACACTTACACCCATATGATCTTCGAGCGTGAAGAAGATGTGGTATCTCCTGTTGTTGTCTTTGAGCAGCTCCTCGGTTTCCTTTGCGCTCTCACTGGTCAGACTGGGCACGTGGAGGAGGCCCGGCGTCTCGGCGGCCGAGATGGCGAAATCGTCAGTGTCAATCATCTTGATGATAGTGGGTTTAGGCCGAGTCAGTTGAAAAAGGGACAAGGCAGGTCCGGACGAGTGCATCAGCCAGTTTGGCGATACCCATGCGGCCTTCACTAGCCAAACTGCTCCTCTCGAGAATAAATACAGGTTGAGTCTCCACTGCAAACAAGCAGCAGCCCGTGAATCGACTCGTCATGGTTGCTCTTTGCCAAACTCCGGCTACTATTCTCGGTCTATTTCCCACTAGTCTTACGATTACTGAAACTTGTAGTTCCATTGTTCATCGATGACCAATTAGGGAATCAGACCTTGGATGCCGGCAGTTGACGGGGATTCGGGATCCCAAACTCATTAATGCCGGTGGCCTATAGTGATCCGGAGTTACAGTACATACACGTATTCGAGAACCAGAGAGGAGAACGTGGAGGCGAGAGACGTGGGGAGCACGTTGAGTAGAATGTAGAGGCGAGAGACGTGGGGAGCACGTTGAGTAGAACGTGAAGGCGAGAGACGTGGGGAGCACGTTGAGTAGAACGTGAAGGCTAGAGACGTGGGGAGCACGTCGAGTAGAACGTGAAGGTGAGAGACGTGGGGAGCACGTCGAGTAGAACGTGAAGGTGAGAGACGTGGGGAGCACGTCGAGTAGAACGTGAAGGTGAGAGACGTGGGGAGCACGTCGAGTAGAAACGCGGAACATACCGGGCCCGCGCCCTATGTGGGTTAGACGCCTACCTACACAACACGCACGTAGCAGTCCTGATTAGTCTACAGCAGAGGCAGGTTGTCTATAGTAGCCGAGAATAAACTATTGAATCTGCTCCCTGCACCTGCACTCTTCGCGCCCTGCGATCGGATGAGGGCCGGTAACTATAGAGAGGCCGGCCTTATCTGGTGTCGCGTTCACCCTCCCAGGTCTAGCGGTCTAGTTCTTATTACCTAGGTACACAAACAGCCAACAAACAGCCAAACACCCCCTCAGCTCGCAACCGCTTGCGCACCGAGTACGCCTCTGCATGCAGAGAGTACATCGAAGCTAGTGATATATTGGATGCGTCAGTTCAACGTCACACAACTCTGCATGGTGCCAGCCGGGTCAGCCGGCTGCCGGCCGCTTACCCGTAATCATGAACCTGGCGCTCGACAAAGGAGGCCGGCACGTCTGCGACCAGCACCGCCACCAGTACCACCGCCGGTCAGTCAGCCGATCAGGTTATCCGTGGGGGGCTTGTCCAATCAGGAACATACCTCGGCCGGCAGGGTCGGCATACTGGCGCAGCTGGGCCTGCACTTGCATCTCCTTGCCCAGCCGGACGCGCGAGAGCGTCTGCACCCTCGACGCCCGCAGTCTGCGCACGCTGTCAAACATGGCCAGCCGCTCCGGAACCAGTGCTGGCGAGTCCACGCCGTGGAACAGCTCGCCCAGCGCGCCGGCGTCTTCGATGGCTTGGTTCGAGCCTTGGGCGCCGAAGGGGAGCATCTGCCGCGTGGCTTGTCAGATTTTGGCGCCGTCGCACAATCCGAGCTGAGTGTGAACCTAAATACTGAACACATCCGCGGGATCTGTGGTTGCACGGATTGGATGCGCGAATTGGTCACGGATGGTTGCACGGATTGGTTGCGCGGATGCGCGCATGGGTGACACGAGAAAGAAGAAAAGAAAAATAGCGTCAAAACAACGCCGCAAAACAAAGCCGTAAAACAAAGCCGCAAGACAAATCCGCGAAACAAAGCCGCAAGACAAAGCCGCAAAACAAAGCCGCAAGACAAAGCCGCAAAACAAAGCCGTAAAACAAAGCCGCAAAACAAAGCTGCAAGACAAAGCCGCAAAACAAAGCCGCAAAACAAAGCCGCAAAACAAAGCCGCAAAACAAAGCCGCAAACTCACCGGATGCGCGGCGTCGCCCATCAGGGCAACCTTGCCGCGAACAAACGTCGGAAGCGGGTCGTGGCAGTTGAGCGGCCAGTCCGTGACGCGATCTGCCTTCCTTTTTTCCCCATATAATTCCTTAGTTGGCGAAGTCCTCGGCTCCATCGCCAGACGGGGGGCCGGCCGGTGGCCACGAAATGGTGGTATTGGACTTACCGCATGAGTTCAACCAGGTTCGGGTGGAAGTGGCCGAACTCAGAGAGCATCATGGCCTTGACGTCGACGCCTGCTGCTTCGTAGCCTGGCCATAAGAGACCGTCAGTCATGCTTGCCAACCACTTGTGCCAACCACTCGTGAGGGCGTAATTGGCGAAAGGGGTAATTACTGGCATTCTCATCCGAAGACGTCTCGTGGATGCCGCCGAAATTCTGCATTGTTCCACTGTGACCGGGCGCAGATTAGAATTTTGAAGTGGTGTGCTTGGACAAAGGAGGGAAAACGTAGTGCAACTCACCCACGACAAGTGTACCAGACCATGTGCCGCTCCGTCTCGTTGGAGGGGTCGGCAAACACGCTGTTGCCGCGCCCCTTGACGCGCATGAGCTCCTGAAACGCCGGGTCATCCACCAGTTCGGTAGTGGGGATCATGAAGCGGAAAGCGTTCATGCCCGACGGGGTAGGCTCAGACCCGGCGCCGTCGCCGCCCAGCACGACGCCGCGGACAACAGAGCGCAGGCCGTCGGCGCCGACAACCAGATCGGCGACGTGCTGGGAGCCGTCCTCGAGCGCGACGCTGCCGCAGACCAGGTCGGCCGATACGACGCGGGCGCCGAGGTGGAGGGCGTAGGTGCCGTCTCCTGCAGCGCTGGGTGAAGCTGCCAGGCGCATGAGCTCGTTGTGCAGGTCGACGCGGTGGATGGTCCAGAAGGCGGCGCCGAAGCGGGTGCGCGCGTCCGACGTGTCGGCGCGGTGCAGGCCGGCCAGCGTGACGCCGTCGACGACCTCAAACGAGACCATGGCGTCGGCCCGCGCGCGCGCCCAGTCGAAGCCCAGGTGGTCGAGCACGCGCGTGCCGTTGGGCGTCAGCGCCACGGCCGCGCCGACCTCGCTGGCAAACTGCGACTTTTCAAACACCTGCATCGAGGGGGCGGGTTCAGTGGAAGCTCAGTTTGAGGAGTGAGTGGGTGTCTTGCTACCTTGACGTAGTGGCCGGCCTGGCGAAGGGCGACGGCGGCACTGAGCCCGCCGATACCAGCACCGACAATGATTACTTGGAGGGGCATTTTGAGAGGAAAGACGCTTGTAGTCGTGCTAGATAGAGGGGCAGCGTTGGGCAGTGATTCGCTCGATTTAAATCTCAGTGCAAAAATGGCCACATTGAGGATATCACCAATTGGGCTCGTCCATGTTATTTCCAGATTTGACCAAGTTTTATATGCAGCAGCTATGATTAGCGGCATCCTCCGCTGCAGATAAGGTGGCATGATGGCGTACATAAACAGAAGCGGAAATCAGGAAACAATGCAGGGATGAGAGACCTGCAGACAAGGTGTAGTTGGCCTTGGAAAGCGGCCGCCCTGCGCCAAGGGAATCAATAACCGAAAACGGGCTTCGATAGTATCCGAATACGCGGGAATTATTCCACATGACCTGATTTGTCAAGCCTTCACTTTCAGTAGGTTCACTAGGTTACTAGGTTCACTAGGTTCACTAGGTTAGTAGGTAAACATGGCCCCCAATTTGGGGACCCAAGTTGGGCTACTTGGCTGGATGGGATTCAATATGCTTCAACTGTTTAACGGTCCCGAGCCCCGGTGCCGAGAACCGAGATTTGTTTGATCATAGCGGTATAAAGGGAGCGAAAAGTTGTAAAATGCAATCGCCCTGAAGTCTTTCAACGAGTCTCTTTGCCCCTTCCCCCCCCTCCCCCCCCCCAGCTTTTCCTTTTCCCCAGCTCCATCTCGGCCATCTCGGCCATCTCCGGCTACTGTAGAAAATGTGCCGGATATGGCCACCGGGAACGACCGGCTTCTTCCCCGTTTAGAGCGCTGTGTGTTGCGACTTTGAATAATGTCCGATAGGTCTAAACTGCGTGCGCGAGAGGCGATCGAGACTGTCCACCTTTATGAGCTAAGGGGGCGATGATCCTGCGCTGTGAAACGTCTGATGTTGTAAAAGGGACGGGAATACCGAGGTTATAAACGGCCTCCGCATTCCTGTCTCTGTGCTGCGATAGCCTACCTGCTAGATAGAGGATAGCTCGCACATTTCAAACCTGCATTATCGCTGGCGAGCAGCCGATATCCGAGTATGCCGGCGCTGCGGCGACTTTTTGCGGCTCTAATTACCATATGAGGCCTACTTTAGGTACCGCACTTTTTTGCCCCGAATAAATTAATAACAAGCTCGATATATGCTCTGTTTGCTTGTCTGGCAGTCTGACTGCGTGCGTCTGGGACCCATCTGCCGTGTTGGAATGTCCGCGGAGGTATTCCGTAACTCCTCCGGCCTTCCCTTTGCTCTCCCGGCGCCTGGCGTGAGAAAGGGTATATACGGCCGGCTTGCTTAATAATAACCATTCCGTGATAAAACCTAGGTACCTAGGGATGCAGGGCTGAACCTGCCTACCGCACACGAGATGCCACCAAAGATGACGGCTTGGAGGAGGATAAAAGCTTAAATATGTATAGTTGAATGGCTTCCTAGTTGAATGGCTTGCTAGGTATTTGCCTACCAACCTGTCTCGGTACCCAGCTCTCAGAGGAGCCGGAATTAGCAAGGAGAATGGCTAAGCTCCTTGCCAAAGTGGGTCCTTGGCGAATGCCACCCATTCTGCAGGATCCCGGCGAAGAACCCAGTGGTCCCTGGAGAATCCTCCAAGTGAATATTTCTAACGCGGCTGCTGATCTGCTCGTTGCACCACATCGGCGAGATGCAGCATTTGATTCGCTTAGATGCACACCTTATAGGGTTTGGCCAATGGGAGCTGGTAACCTCTTGCAAGGGTCCAAGACCCGCACCAGTGAGCTACGGACACACCTTCCGAAAAGAGGTACCACCGAAGCACAAACTGCTCTGCACAGCAGCAAGAAACCTCGACATGGGGAGGTTGGAAAGTAATATGGCACGACACCGGCAGCTTCCCTGGTCCAGAGACCGGGCCAACACTGGCCGGCACCTCTGCCGGAGGGAAGCGGGGGTGGCGGGGTCCGACGTTCGGGACGACCCTCTAGTTGAGACGGGGCATGCCGCGGCAGGCACGTCGGGTGTGGGGAAACAAGCGCCAAACAGCTGCCATTGCCGGTGAAAGCCCAGGGCTGTAGTAATAAGGTTTGAGCCCTAGTGCAAGTGCGACTGGGACATGGCTCGCAAGGGCGCAAGGGCGCAAGGGTCAGGGAGCTACGACGGGAGCGACGAAACGGCCGAACCTTAAAATAAGGTGAGCACGTAATCTAGGGAAGCATCGAGCTGCGACACCTAGCCTCTCTCGTTAACAGCCTAGTGGCCCGGCCAAGGCCCGTCGGCACCCTTCTCTGGCGGGATGCGGGGGGGGAGAGCGAGTCCGAGAATCGGGACGAACCTCTGGCAATTCCCGTAGATGATGTCACGGCAGGCAAGAAGCTGTAGCAGTAGCAGCAGCAGCAGTCGCAGTCGTAGTCGCAGTCGCAGTAGCAGTAGCAGTCGCAGTCGCAGTAGCAGTCTCAGTCGCAGTTGCAGTCGCGGTAGCAGTAGCAGTAGCACGGGGTGTGGGGTAGGAGCCACCACGCGACACGAACGAATATTAATTGCAAAATCCATCGAACGACCCCATGCGGTACGGCCCCGCCCCCATTCTTCTCCCAATCCCATATCTGCAAAGCCAACTCACCGGTCTCCCACATATCCCCGCTAAACCAGAAAAGATCGTCTCCCACACCCGCACTAAACTGCCTAGAACGACGGCGTCTAAAGAACCAACCCACTGGCTCGTCGAGACCAACGGCGTCTTGAAGGCCAACTGCGACCTCAAAACCAACGACATGCGCAGCTGTCGTAAACACAGGGCCCAGACAGTAAACAACCCCTGCGTGCTTGAGAAACAACTGGATGCACGAACGCTAATGCCTGTAAACTGTGAATGTTACTGCCTGTAAACAGTGAACGCTACAGCCTGTAAGCTGTGAATGTTACTGCCTGTAAGCTGTGAATGTTACCTGTAAGCTGTGAATGTTACCTGTAAGCTGTGAAAGTGAAGTACGGGTGCGTCCTGACCGACGTGATGGACATTTAAAAGCACCAGGACTACCAGATTACACGCCAAAAACTAACTGCATAGAATTCGGTGGAACTGGCAGTGTCTCGTCACATGGGACAGGAGTAGAGCTCAATTAGAAATGGTTGGATTCCTAATCCCTCCCGTTCTTGCGGATATCGCCACGAAGCTGTTGTAGTCAGGACGGGCGGAAGGCTCACAGTGGTTCTACGCGTCCTGCAGACTCGAGCTGCACAGGGTGCATAATCTGGCTGCATAATCCGCAGTCCACCACTCCCTCGCAGGCTTGGCGATACTCATTGGGACAGAGGCGAATTCTGAGGTGAGCAGTGGCACCCGGGGAGACAGACTGTGGAGGGTGGAAAGCGAAACCGATCCCGGGAGGGCAATAAGCTCGGCCCAACTACATTATAAACACGTACCTTAAGGTTCTTACCGTCTTACCCGCCGAGACATATATGGGTCTCTTGGCCCCCGGTGCTCCTGGATACAGCCAACGAACTAGACGACCCAAGCAAGCAGTATACTGCATTAGGTAACTGGTAATTAGCTGCCATTAGGTATTTCCCATGTCTTCGCCAAGCCAGCCCTTCAGGAATAATGGCCAAAGCGAAGAGGGCCAGCTCCAGAGCCGAGCCGGCAGCGACAGCACCGACATGGACAGCAACAATACCAACAATACCAAGAATACCAACAACAGCGCCAACAACAACAACAACAACAACAGCGCCAACAACAACAACAACAGCGCCAACAACAGCAACAGCGCCAACAACAACAACAGCAACAGCGCCAACAACAACAGCAACAGCGCCAACAACAACAGCAACAGCGCCAACAACAACAACAACGGCAGCGCCAACACAAACATCAACAATAACGGCAACCCTTCCAAGACGGACCGGGTGCGCTCCGCCTGCAATGCGTGCCACCAGTTCAAGATCAGATGCTCGGGCGGGGAGCCGTGCCAGCCATGCCGGGACTCGATGTTCCTGTGCACGTACAGCCCGGGCCGGAGGCTTGGGCGGCCTAAGGGGAGCAAGAACAAGCGGACGCTGATGCAGGGGCAGCAGAACAACCCCAAGCAGAAGCAGCCCGACGTGGCGGAGCAGCTCGTTGAATACACCACCACCACCACCGCCAACCACAGCCACGGCGACTACATCACGGCGAGCATGCCGCCGCTCACGCACCACAGCCACGCCGAAGCGGCGGCAATGGACATGGAGTACGACCTCGACGGGTCGTCGACCAGCGGCGGCGCGGCGGGGGGCGCGCTCGATGACGAGCTCGACTTTGACCAGAGCGCCATCCTCGGCGTGCCGTCGTCGGTGCCGTCAATGTTTGCCGGCGCAGACAGCCGCTCGCTGAGCCTGGGCACTAGGCCCGAAGACGCACACCCCACGCGAGTAAGTCTTGTCCTCCCGCCTTGGCCGCTTGGCCGCTTGACCGCGTGGCCGCTCGGCCGTTTGGCGGCAGAGTCAAACATCCCCTAGTATCGCTCGGCGCTGACTCTCGGCCTCTGCCCCCTCTTGCCGCTGTGGTCAAAAGTGGATGGCCGCAGCTCTTACCAGCCCCTACCGCGGGCAATCCTTCTCGTTTGACGCGTCCGACGTGTTTCACGGAGGCGGCGCGGCGACAGGACCCGTCATGCACCACGGCAGCCTGCCGCCGATCGACCCGGCGCTGGCGGAGCTGTTCCAGACGGGGTCCGGGCGGTCGTCGGAGGCGAGCTCGGCGGGGGGCGGGTCGTCGCCGTACTGGGCGGCGCCCGCGACGGCAGTGGCGGCGGGCCCGATGTGCTCGTGCATCCAGCAGCACGCGCGGCTGGTGTACGAGCTCGGCACGCTGCAGGAGGCGCACGACAAGGCCACCGACGTCGAGCGCGTGCTGACGGGCGTGCAGCTGGCGCAGGGCCCGTGGCAGAACCTCCTGCAGTGCCCGTGGGGCCGCCACTGCGACCACCACCGCGAGGCGTTCCTGCTGTTCAGCCTCAGCGTGCGCATCCTGCTGTCGTCGCTGCAGAAGGTGCAGTCGGGCGTGAAGGCGCTGTCGCGGCCGGGGACGCGGGGCGGTGGGGGGGGGGCGGGCTCGGCGGAGCGTGCGGCGGCGGCGGCGGCGGCGGAGGCGGGGCTGGCTTCGTCTTCGTCGTCGTCGTCGCTGCTGTCGCTGTCGGGCGGGGATTTGGACGTGACGCGGGTGTCGGTGGGCGGGTTCGAGGTGACGGGCGACACCAAGCTCGAGGTCATCTCGGTGCTGGTCAAGGGCGCGCTGCAGTCGATCCTGTCGGCCGTGTCGCAGCTGCACCAGACGCCCGACACAGGATCGGCGCACATCGACGCGGCCGTGAACGACATCCAGACGCTGCTTAACCAGCTGGCCAGGTGATGGTGAGACCCCGCCGATTCTGACGACTGACGACTGACGACGACCATGACCAAACAAACCGGCTTCTGTTCGAACTCGAACAACATGCGTGTTCAACCAAACATGCGTGTTCAACCAAACATGCGTGTTCAACCAAACATGCGTGTTTAACCAAACGCATTGGCGATGCTCGGATGCCGTAGACAAAGACTACAAAAACAAAAAGGAAGGCAACGGTGACCGTAGAGCTGGCACATCTCTCTCATCACGATAATTAGATTGGAGGTCTAGATTGAAGGTTTCAACGAAAATATTTTTCAGAGTTTCAAGGCTTTTGTGTCTTTTGTGTTCCGAGCGGCGGTCAAAAGTCGCCGGACTTAGGTTCTTTTAACAACCCACGGTAGGTCCCATTCCCTACGTGTCACAGCCTAATCACACAACCCATCAAGCTAATCGAGTTTATTCCGCTTCATCGCAACTCGCGTACGGCTCAAAGGCCTCCCATCAAGTTTTTCTGTGACATGGAGGTGGGCGGGCGGGCGGGCGTGAAGGCAGCAAGCAAGTATGGCTGGCGCCGGTACCTGGGGAGCCCGCAAACAAGCTCAATTTAGCGTGCGCCACGGCTTGGCTAGTGTACCCCCTTGCTACAACCGGCTGACAGGGGTCCTGATTTTGGGAACCGATTGCCAAGACGGCTCTTCATTGGGAATGGATTGGCAGGATCGTCCTCGTTCTGGGAAGAATCGGCAGGACCGCCCTCGTTCTGGGAAGAATTGGCAGGACCGTCCTCGTTCTGGTAAGAATTGGCAGGACCGTCCTCGTTCTTGGAAGGATCGCCTGAATTGTCACCGCCCTACGAAGAGTGGCTGGCTGCCCTTCGTAGACTTGTGCGACAGGAAGTCCGAGGCGCGCCAGCTCCCCTCTACTCCGGGGGGAGACCGCTAAATTACAGGGCTTGGTCCCCCGAAACTCGGCGCTTAACGGCGCCCGCGGCGACGTCTTGTCGATTCCCTGGCACGCCCCATCCACCGTCGGCCCCCGTTTTCAAGACTCGCTGGTTTACAAGACTCCCCGTTTAAGACTCGCTGGTGTACAAGACTCCCCGTTTTAAGACTCGCTGGTTTACAAGGCTCCCCGTTTTCAAGACTCGATCGGCCCCCTCGTTCAAGACTCGGGGTGGCCGGGTCTTGCGTCGGATGCAAGGTGCCCTCTGGCCCCAATGCGGGCGGGTTTGTAATTCCCGTGGTATTTGCAAAGACAGCTGCGAAATGCAATCTGTCGATTTGTAATTACCGTGGTATTTGCAAAGACAGCTGCGAATGCAATCTGTCGATTATCAATAAAGTCAAAACAAGGATGTGCGGGTGTGCGGGTGTGCGGTTGTGCGGTTTAGCCAAGACGCGTTTCGACGTAAGTGGCTTGGCTTGCCAGCACGTGTGAAGCAAGACAGAAGACAGACAGCCAGACAGACAGACAGCCAGCCAGCCAGCCAGCCAGCCAGCCCCGCACGCGGCGCCATCCCGCGTAATGGAGAAGAAAGTGGCGGCGGGCGAGCGGGCGCGCGGGTCGGATCGGAAGCCTGGCTGGGGCCGGGGCGGATGTGCCGGCAGCCTGCTGCATAGAATTCTAGCCTACCTGATTAGTATGCAAGTTCAGACGAACAACAAATTCTGCCACGGGCTGCGCACACCCTAGTCGCCGTCTCCTTCCGAGCTGCTTGCGTGCGGTCTCCTTCCGAGCTGCTTGCGTGCGCTTGCATTGTATTGCGTTAGCTGGGGTCTCGCGTCACTCCTCGCTTTCGACGGCGGCCGCTGCCTCCCCTCCCTAGTTGATCGTCGTGCTGGCTAACGCATTGAATCCCCATGCCTGCCCGCCTTCTGCAGCTGAGTGGGCCTTTTGCAGCTGAGTGGGTCTTCTGCAGTCGAGTGGTAGCGCCTGTGGCCCCTGACGTGCAGATGCTTATCTCCTTGACGTGCAGAGAGCCTCGGGGGGACCGTGGGACAGAAACGAACTGACAGGCCGTCTGACAGCTCTGTGGGTGGCTGTTGGCACGCGCATCTCGTATGACCGACAGGCAGACAGGCGGGGCATGCACGGCGCAGCAAAAATAAAAATAAAAAATAACCCCTATTGGCCGGCCGGCTGGTCCCGGCCCGCCGCTCGCCCCCTGGCAGACCGGAGCGGCGGTGGAAAGACAACGGCCAAGGCGCCTTATATCCGTGGGCGAAACGCGACCAACCCGGGCTCCTGGGCCGAGACAAAGTCGACTCTCTATGCGGGAGGTCGCACTCGGCCAATTGTTTGAAACTGCCCTGGGGAAATTAAGCACGGGCGAGCCGGGTTCGCCTTCCGCGCCGGAGCAACTTATCCCCTCTTGACCAAAGGCTGTATTTTTTTTTCGCCGCGGTGCACGCGTGCATGTCCGTCTCTCCGTGTCTCAGTCTCAGTCTCAGTCTCAGTCTTGGTTCCAGTCTCAATCTTGGTTCCAGTCTCAGTCTCGGTCTCAGTCTCAGTCTCAGTCTCGGTCTCAGTCTCGGTCTCAGTCTGTTTTGACGCGTTGTAAATACTCACAACTCAACACTGTCACTGCCAGCCCCAGCTGCGAGGTTAGCTAGTCGGTCGGCCAGCCAGCCAGCCAGCAACTAATTAGTCTAGAACCGGCTTGAATTGGGTTTCTGCAAGCCAGCCGTTAATCGTCGCTGAGTCCTCGCCATGAGCGACGCCCGGGACGCGGAAAAGGACGCCGGCGGCCTCGGCCTCGGCCCCGGCGACGGCGGCATCTCGGACTCGACCACGGCCACCTCGACGCCGCCCAAGGGGGCGACGCCAACACCGACGCTCGCCGAGCCCGCCGGAGGAAACACAACACCGGCGCCAACGCCTACCGGGGGAACCACAACTACAACACCAGCGCCAACGCCCGCCGCAGCGCCCGCCGTCCCGCCCGAAGAGGGTGTGCGCGGCTGGATCTGCGTCGTTGGCGCGTGGATCTGCCTGTTCTGCACCTTCGGCTTCCTCGCGGCCATCGGCGTGTTCCAGACTGTCTACCAGGAGACGACGCTGCGCGACTACTCGTCGTCGGACATTGCATGGATCTTCTCGGTGCAGCTGGCGCTGATGTGGGCGCCCGGCCCGCTGTTCGGGCGGCTGATCGACACCTTCGGCCCGGCCCCCGTGCTGTACCCTGGCGCCGCGCTGTGCGTCTTCGCCCTGTGCATGACTAGCCTGTCCACCCGCTACTACCAGATCTTCCTCAGCCAGGGCCTCGTGTTTGGCGTCGGGTCCGGCGCTGTCTTCACTGCCGGTCTGGTCTGTGTTGGACAGTGGTTCGTCAGGCGGCGGGGCCTGGCCGGCGGCATCGCGGCGTCGGGCAGCAGCATGGGCGGCGTCGTCTTCCCCGTGATGCTGAACCGGCTGCAGGCCGACATCGGCCTGCCCGGTGCCCTGCGTTACAGTGCCCTGCTGATCGGCGTGCTGCTGGCCTCGTCCATCTTCATGGTGCGCGCACGCCTGCCGCCCAAGAGGTGGGACCCCAAGGTCAAGTGGTTCGACTTCTCCCTGTTTGGCCAGAAGCAGTTTGGCCTCTACTCGGCCGGCACTTTCCTGACCATGTGGGGGCTCTGGGGGCCCTTCGACTTCATCTCCAGCATGGCGCTGCAGCAGGGCTTCTCGCCGGACCTGGCCCTCGGGCTGGTGTCTATCATCAAGTACGTCGCTCGACAGCACCCCCTTTTACATGCTCGGCCCTATTTTGAATGCTCGGCCCCCGACACTGACCGCTGACCACGGACCACAGCGCCACGTCCATCCCCGGCCGCGTGCTGCCGCCCTTCTACGCCGACCGCATCGGCTGCTTCAACGTCATCACGGGCTGCTCGCTGCTGACGGGCGCGTCGATCCTGGCGCTGTGGCTGCCCTTCAACTACCACGCGTCGCACGCTGGTGTCATCGTGTTCGCGGCCGTCTACGGCTTCGCTAGCGGCGCCTTTGTGTCGCTGCTGATGCCGTGCGCCGCTAAGGCCGGCAGCATCGAGACCATCGGCCAGCGTTTTGGGACTTTCCAGGTCGTCATGGCTCTCTCGTGGGTTCCCCCCTCCCTAGTGTGTTAACCAGAGTGCTGATAAGTCACGTAACAGCACTCTCACGGGCCTGCCCATCATGGGCGCCATCCTGGGCCGCCAGAACAACACCGATTTCTCTGGCCTGCAGCTGTTCTCGGGCGTGTCTTGCCTGGCGGGAGGCGCACTGCTTATTCCGGCCACGTATTTCCTGCGGCTGCAGCTCGGCACGTGGAAGGCGTGAGCTGCGTGGGCTGAAAGTTGCGATCCTGGCAACGCGTATCCGGCTGCAACGCCGAGCACCTTGTCTGTCAGCATCGTGGTGCGGCTGTGGCACTGGTCTAGATAGACATGAATTCAAACGTGTTGGCCAAGTTACCGGTTTTAGGCGGTGAGATCCAAAGGAAGCGCCGTGTTTTTTAGCCGCGCCGGGCAGCAAACCGCGCCGGGCAGCAAACCGCGCCGGGCAGCAAACGGTGGTGCGGCTCTGCATGCAGGTCTGATGTCGGCTACCTGCAGCGTATCTCTTGTCAGCTGCATAAAGCGTGTCTGTGTCTCAGGGCACGCTGCTGTGGAAGGGCGCCGCTGGGAAGGGCGCTGCTGTGGAAGGGCGCTGCTGTGGAACTCCACGATGCCCGTGGATGCGCAACAGCGCCAAGGCTCGGGAGGTGGAGCCGAGAACCTGTGAGTGTGCCGGCTTCCGTGCCGGCTTTCGTGCATATCACCTTACTCAGGCGCCATGGTGTTACGATGTGCACGTCTGGGCAACGTGTCGGACTCCGACCCGATTCCCGAGGCCAGCAGGCTCGTCACCTTACCTAACCCAGCCGCAACATCGTCACCTGCAAGCAGCGCTGAGACGGCACAGTCCTAGTATTGTATGTACGCAGGGAGCGTTGGCTTACCGTTGCAACGGGTATGTTTTTTCGTACCGGGGCGGATACTGTGTGCGGCACACGGTTGCAATGGCTGAATCCATACAGCCAGGCCAAGTCGAAGTATGCGTGTTCGCTTCGTCGGGTATTCGGCACTCCATCCTTGACCGCCTCGCCACAGATGAACAAGCCAGGGACGCAACAAAGTGACATGTCATTCAGCATGTAGTATTCCGTCTGCTCGAGGAGACTCTGCTTTAGGGGGGGACGACTTCCGCAGTCAGTTCTGCCACAAAGTGAAACTGCTTATACCTACCCATCACCACTCACACACGAAAAAACGAACAAAAGTAATACTCCGACAGAGTGGTACCGGCCGACTCCCGAGCCTTACCACCGCCATGCGAGATCAAAGTTTTCGCCGGGGCACATAGCGCCGTTGATCATTTGTATTCGACCAATAACATGTCTTTTTTCCCTTTCCTTACCTTATCTATTTCTGCGCAAACGGACACTTGGCAGACCCCCGCCCCTTCATGAACTCCACCGTGGCACTCATTTCCTCCAACCCCTTGCCCTCCTGCGGCGCCGGCCCGATGGTCTCGAGCGAGTAGCCTTGCGGGTGGAACCTCTCGCCGTGGGTGCCGGGCGCCCTGCCGCCGAGCGCGCGCACGAGCAGCGCCGACGGCCGCCACCTGGCGCCAAACGTCGGCTTGACGTACCACGGTTGGAACCCGGCGTGCTCGAAGTTGTACAGCCCCGTCGCGGGGTTCGGCTGCTCGTCGACGGCCTTGACGGCCCAGGACGACGGCCGCGGCAGGCAGAGGTGCCGCAGCACCAGCTTGCGCACCAGGCCGAGTGTTTCCAGGTACAGCACGAGGACGGGCCCCGGCGGTTCGAGGCTGATTGGACAGAGGCGTTAGCAAATTGCCGCGCTCTCGCATGGCCGGGCCGTCATGTCTTTGGTGCTCTAGTCCTAACCTACTTGAGCGACGTCCGCATCGTCGTGTCGAGGTTGGAGCCCAGGATCTTGCGCACGAGCGTGGTGACGGCACGGGGCATGGCCGACGTGGCCGAGTCGACGTAGACGCGGACGTACTGGTTACCAGTCGGCACGGGGCGGGCGACGGCCTCCTCGTAGGCGACGGTCCAGTCCCTCAGCTCGGCGGCGAAGTGGGCGCCGTCGCGCCAGCCGCCGCCCGCGCCCGACGGCAGCGCGTCCAGCGGGATGCCCATGTCTTCGCCGAGGTGGCGGTGGAAGATGCCGATGGCACAGCGCTCGACGTCTGTGAGGCTGCGCCACTCGCCGCCATCAACAATGCGGAACATCTCCACCACGTTGGACCCTAACGTGTGCAGCAGGTCGGCGTCGAGGATCTTGCCGGCCTTGCGGTACCGCGCGTGCAGAAAGTTCATGCGCGCCACCGCCTGCATGTAGCGCTCTGACGAGCGCGGCTTGGACTGCACCTCGCGCAGCAGGATCTCGGTGTCGACGGACCGCCGCCCGGCGTTGCGTCTCGTGTTTTGCCCCGTGGCCGCGAACAGCCGGGACATGGTCGGGATCGCGCCGGCCTGGTACGCAGTGTAAGCGATGTTGTTCTTGTTGTTGTTGTTGTTGTTGTTGTTGGCAAGACGGCCAGGCTCGAGTTCAAGGAGGGGGGAGGAGGGGGGAGGGGGGGCAAACAACCTTGAGCAACGCAATTCTGCGGGCCTTGTTCATGGCGTAGGGGAACTCGAGCTCTTGCAGCTGGGCCATGATGTCGTACGCCTCGTCTGTCGTCATGCTTGACAGGGGCCTCTTTCCGTGCGCGAAAGCGGCGCCGATGCTGGAGGCGCGCTGGTGTCGCATGGACCGCACTAGGAGCAGGTAGGCCAGCCCGAGAACAACCAGCATGGCCGAGCAGTGGTTTCCCGAGCCGGCCGGTAGCATCGCAGCCATTCCGTCCGTGACGAATGACATTGCCGATCAGACTCGAGCACAGCCAAACCCCAGTTGTCTTTCTCGGGGTAGGAGTTTCTCGGGGTAGGTGCTCAGATGGCCATGCAGTGCTCAGATGGACATGCTAGAGAGACTTGCGAGTTATGAACAAGCTGTGTCTGTCTCATGCCCGCCACGGTGTGGAAACTTGCCTCGGCTGGAAACTCGGTGGGCCGCGGCAGACCCGCAATTATCAGTCTGCGCCGGTTGGGTTCGGGTTTGTTGAGTGATGGCAGCAGGGGTTCGCATGCATCATGCACGGCCGGTTGGGCTGCCCAGCCCTGGCGGGACCTTGGTGGAGCAGATTAGTATTCTGATTGGGTGCAGAGTGTTTGTATGGAGAGTGTTTGGGTGGGAGTGTTTAGGTGCCGATATCTGTTGGCACACTCCCAAATGTGCCTGCTGAGCCTGCTGAGCCTGCCTCAATAGAACTGTCGTAGCTTGTTCCCCTGTATGTTGGTGAGCACGACAGAGTGGCTGACGGGCGGGGTTGACGCTGGCCACTCCGAATCACATGCCATTCGGTCTTAGAATGGTATCTAGGGGCATCACATCACATCTCTGTAGGCTTGTGATGATCATCTCATCAGAATGGAAACTACGGGCGTGAATTGGTTAGGACGTATGTCTGTCGTTGCATGTACTTGCATGCAAAGAACCCGTTACGAAAACAGCAAAGAAAAAGGTACAACAAGTTGCTTTGCTCCTGGGATTTCAAGGAATGAAATAAGAGAAAGAAAGAAAAAATGGTACTACATTGCATTACTACGGGCGTGAATTGGTTAGGACCGTATCTCTGTCGATGCATGTACTTCATGCAAAGAACCCGTTACAAAACAGCCAAGAAAAAGGTACAACAAGTTGCTTTGGTCCTGGGATTTCAAGGAACGAAATAAGAAAAAGAAAGAAAAAATGGTACTACTGTTGGAATCACCAGGTACCGGTACTGGAAGCAACAGGGCGTAGCTGTACGCCGAAAACTGGTGGTTCAAGTGTTGGTTGTTGATGTCTATGTAGATCTAAGAAGGAAGGTGGAAGTGGCCTACGGCCACTTATTTAGGTTCGGTGGCCCTGGGCCCCTGCGCCTCCATAGCCACATGTGGCTGCTTGCGCCTCCACCGCCACATCTGTGGCTGACTAGCGCGTTGTTCCAACAACTACATTGCATTACAATAGGCTATTGGATGTACATGTACAAATTGGAAACTATGGGCGTAAATTGGTTAGGACCGTATCTGTGTTGTTGCATGTACTTGCATGCAAAGAACCCGTTACAAAAACAGCAAAGAAAAAGGTACGTGTACAACAAGTTGCTTTGCTCCTGGGGTTTTAAGGAATGAAATAAGAAAAAGAAAGAAAAATATCGTACTACATTGCATTACAATAGGCCATTGCATTACAATAGGCCATTGCATTACAGATTAAGTCTACGATTTGCTGTTCTGGCCGCCGAATTTGGCAAGGCGGGGCCGCCATTTTCGGGTGCCTTGACAGTGCGGGACGCTTCTCACAGCGAGGTACTAGGTACCTCTCCAATTAGTTCATCTGCGGACCTGCTGCCCCACCTTGCCCCACTGTCCAATGAGCGTCCCAGTCCTGGGTAGCAGTTGGCTCGAGAAAGCAGTCGCTCTCGCAATCCAGGAATCCGTTTTCTTCAACCTCGAATCCATTTTCGGCTCCCCATTATATCAGCGCAGCGGCGCAACCAGACGTAAAATGGCTCCCCTTACGCCTCCCATCATTCCCGGCTTGTCGACTGACATCGTCAGAGTCAATAGCCCTCGACACTCAACATCAGGCACCGTACGCAAAGGCACCTACCGCTCAAGCCGTTCGAGCACGTCGAGCAGGCCTCGACGCCGACACTTCGTTCCCGAGCTTATTGCTAACGCGCCTTGTCAGTGGCATGATACCGTCTTGATTCCCAAGTACAACCTACAAGCGACAAACACCTTCGGAAAAGACGTCGCGAATGTAGACACTTTGCTAGTCCTATTGACCTTCAATATCCAGTATGATACTAGTATCTTCCCTTGGGAAGGGCACCGTATCCAACTGCCGGGATGCTACCTCAGTCTTGCCTTCACAGGGGGGCGGCCGGCTGAGTTTGTAGACGGAGAGAAAAGGAGTGACGATGACGAGTGTCTAAAGGAGCTCTTCTCCTATATCTCTACTGGGAGCGACGGAGACAAGGCGCCCGATGAAAATTCTACGGTGCTGGAAGAGATGATCTCGCAGGAGCACAAGGATCGTGGACGCCCAAAAGCGCTCTGTTACGAGGATATTCAACTAATGGTCGTGCGCCATCCGGAAACCGGCGACGAGGGCCTTGCTATGGCCATCAGGCTCGCGCACCACAAAGGGGTAGATAATAAGCCGAAGCCGTAAGTCACTACCTCTAGCTCTTTAATATCTCATAGTTAATAATCTCCCTTCTAGGACTATCTTCTTCTTTACCCCTGCTAGGAGGTTGATCTTCTGTTTCATTACTATCATCGTCAGCTTAGCAGTACACGATGGCGCGTTTGCCGCACTGAAGTTTACCAGCGTCAGGGGAGTCTTTGAGACAAGGAACAAGGGGCCAGTTAAGTGTACCCCTTTGCGATGGAAGGAGGAATGGCTCAAGCGGCCTGTCTTCCGCCGGTACGACGAGTCTATTGCGGAGGAAGAATCCGAGGAGCGGAAGTATCAACCGCTTCCCTACCATAAGCTACGTTACGACATGGAGCGGCAGTCGCTCGACGCTGGAGAAGAGAATTCAATCGAACCAAAGGCCTGGCGTAGGGGAGCGGCTAACGCAGCAGACGGTACGTTCTCTTCATATCCAGGTTAGCCTTATTCTAACAGCGTATAGGCAACGCCTCCGATGCTGTCCGCGATCAGATGATGCGCCACGACCCGAAGTGGGCTACGTTCAACAACGCATATATTAACGAGAAGGTTGGGTTCCACCTTCAGAACGCGTTCTTGGAGGAGCCGACCGAGGACAGTCTACTCGCAATGCTTACGCATATCGGCCTTACGCGCGACCCTCGCGCGAGCAAAGACATGGTTCCCGATGATGTCTGGGAGCTGATGCTGCCCGATCCGCAGATCGAAGCGCTGAAGGCGGAGAGGGCACAGCTCAAAGGCGGCCGGCACCGGATCAAGGGCTCGAAAAACGAGGGCAAGATTCGAGAACTAACCAAGTGGATCGCGACCAAGGAGCAGCAGCGGAAGACAACTATCCGGCGAGAGTACCGGAAACATTACTTTTATAACCGCCCAACCTGGGACATGGATGCCGATGGGCAAGAGGAGTACGTCAAGCCGGCCGCCGACCTGCAGATTACCGAGCGCGCTCAGCTCGCCGAGATCCTCTACAACCAGCCGGACAACTTGGGCCTCGCAGAGCTCCTCGAACTCAGGATCCGGGCAGGCGAGCTGGTGGTCATCCTGTGCGGCAAACGGGAGACGGCGAGGCGGGGCCGCATCCGACGGAGGGCGCAGGCGCAGGCCGACGTCACGGTGAAGGAGTCTCCTGGACCGGACCTCTTTCCGTATAAGATAAACAAGAGGCAATGTCCGCGCTGCATCGGGGATGAGATGCTAACCTATGAAGAACGGACGTTCAAGTACTATCGACTGGCGGTGATGCACGACCATTTCGACAGGAACCACGCGCAATACCTAGACAGCGTAGAGCAAATATCGTACAACCACCCGAAGTGCAAGGATGAGGCGCTGGGGTTCAAACACTTGAGCCATTACAAGAATCATATACAGAAGGTCCACGGCGTCAAACTACGGGCCTGAGTGTATTAGTTGTACTATATATAGATTAGATCCCCGACGAGGAAGATCTGCAAGCGTGGCGAAACGGGCCGGGATGATATTCTCTATAGGCATTACGTTATATAATAAAGATAATTGGGAGAGTCAAGTAGAACGGAAAGGAGTTGAGTAGTTGAGGATTTGGTAACAGGGGACGGGCGAAGCACTAAATTGACTATTTCTTGATCCGTTGCACCGAGCTTCGCCGATAGTCTTATTAGTTTAAGAGCTTCCATATTGATGCACAGTCATCTGCAAAGAGCTGCTAGGCATTAGGTTTGATCAAAGCCTATAGTATAGCTGTAGTATAGCTATAGATATCACAGTCAATACGCCTTATAAGCCCAGCAAACCTAGCATTGACGACGGCCTGGCACTGCTGGTATTAGCCCTCGGCAAGGCCTGCCTCCACAAGGGCAAAATGCCAGACGTGGTCCGCTCCGACGGGCTCGACGGGGAACAGCAGAGGCAGCCGCGCGGGTTGCCAACCCAACGCTCGCCACCGGGCTCACACTCGACATCCGGCCTGCCGTCGCCCAAGCTAGAAGACCGGAAGGGAAGGGAAGGAGCAAAGGAGCTGGGGCGGCAGCCGCCGTTCTGGGGCATACCAATGCCCAAGAGAGACAGCTCGCTCAAGAGGGTATGGACCAGTAACCAATCATATCATTCCAACATACCGTGATTCACAATATGTTGTGAATCAACTACCAATCATATCAATTCCAGTATGCTATTCACAGTATATTGTAAATCACCTACCAATTAGAGAAGCATTTTGCAGTGCTAGGGCGATAGGGTACGAGTTACGACGCCCGCCAACGCACCCCAGTCTTCGCAACTCTCAACCACCAGTCGTTATGGGCATCACATCAAGTCAAGTCTTTGCGGATCACTTGAGCCTGACCTACGCTTCACTCAGAGAAGGTAGAATTGAAGCGTCCAGCCTGAAAGACCCCGACATAAGTACCACCTGCCAAGTCAAATGCCGCCAACGCCGGCAAACGATGTACGACTCGTGTCAGGGAATTTCCGTTATCGTTTTGCCGCCGTTATCCATAGCCAGCAGACCGCAAAGGAGACTGAATTTACCTCAGTAGAGCCGAGTATTTCATACCTGAAGTATCCGTATACAAAAAACCTGCCCTGCCTATGCATCGAGATCGCTACTCTGTTGGGCGTCAAATGCAGCAGCCAAAGCCCGGGCAGTGCGACGAGTCCCTGTACCGTGTGTTGAGGCCTTCGTAACGCCTCCTCGGGCCCTGCGTGCCGTGGGCGTAGGGGCAGGCGTGCCAGATGAGGTCATCCTTGCGGAGAGAAAAGCGAAGGTTGCGAAGTTGCGATTGAATTGTATAGAGGGAAATCTTCTGCGAAGTTCCATCGCAATGTCACGATTCTTCTTGCCCGGCTTGTCGTTATAGTCGGCCACGAATACCTTCTCTTCGGCGGTAAACCCCCGGCGGGGAAGAAGTAGATCGACTTTGCGTTGCGCGAGACGATGTGTGTACCCTGCTTCCTTCATTTGTCGGGTCTATTGTCTGTTGTTGACAGCCAAAGCCCTTGCAACTGCCTTGAAGCAGCAGTCGCGCTTTGTGGTGTCCGTCTTGCGAGAATGTGCCTCTGAGGCTCGCAATTTATCCTGAAAGGCAGGAAATATCGACTCGTGAGGGTCCGAGGTCCTTAATGTAGTTACAGGCACGCGCTTTCTTGACGGAAAAGCCCTGTTCGTTGGCCCAGGCTTGAAGCTCAAGCATCAATGTGTCGATAGATTCATATTTGTTGTTGAGGAGGTCGTGTTCGGGCGGGAGGTCCGTCTGCCGGGACTCGGTCTCGAGCGCGGGCGCGGGTGCAGGTAGGTCGGGTGTCAGGTAAAAAGGGTCCCCGTCGTCGGGAGAATCGGCGCGCGAGGCCATTCTATTGCTAGTTAGCTTCGCTAATTGAATATGAAGCGATGCACCTACTTGCGCAGCGATAAAATGGCGCTGCTGTTGTTGTGGCTCAATTGACGGTATTGTGGTGATGTTTTTGGTGGATTTGGTGGATTTGGCGATGACTTCAATTGCAGCCTTGCAGGGAAGAAATTTGGCTAGGTCCGGTGGGGGGCGGGGTCCGGGCGCCGGGCGCAGTTGAAGCTGCATTGTACCAGCCATCTGAAGATGAGCGGGTTGGCCATCAATCTATTGTTTTTTTCCGGGTAAAACAGGGATTCGGCTGAGCTAGTGGCTTGGCGGGGATCCCAATGTACCTTTTTGCTAGCTACAGTCCGAGTAGACGTTTTCTACAGTCCGAGTAGACTTTCTCTAAATTAAATACTTAATTTTAATCGTAAATACCGTGCCTCCCGTATTCGAATATAGCGTAAATGGACATCTGGAGCGGGTCTTAATGCAGAGACCGTTGCTTTTAGCAAAGAAGTTGAGCTGCGCATGAGCGTTCTGCAGGCCAATATTGCTGCGTAAATCGCCCGAGGAAAGGTGGGCGACGAAAGGTGGGCGACGAAAGGTGGGCGACGAAAGGTGGGCGAGGAAAGGTAGGCGACGAAAGGTAGGCGACGAAAGGTAGGCGACGAAAGGTGAGCGACGAAAGGTGGGCGACGAAAGGTGGGCGACGCAGACGGCGCTGCTGTGGTCTCCCAAAGCTGATCACGGCCAGCCAGCCGCCGGGTCATAAGTGCCTCCTAGCTACCACTATAGGCACTATTGCAAGTAAGGATGTACGAAAGTTGATCACGCCGGCTGGCTCCTCCTTTGTTGGTGCGGCACTGGTCTCAGCGCTCTTTCAGAGGGGGCAGCGCACAGCGCTGAAACCCCTAAAACGCTCAGCAGGAGCTAACGCTGCCTCGTTGGAGCGCTCGAGGTGCGCTCTCGGCTTAGATCATTCCGAAATTCAGTGTGATACCGATGAGCCAGCTGCCAGGCATATCCAGATGTCGCTCAAGCTTGGCCGTGATCGTGCGTGCCTGGCCATTAAAGGCCCTTGCCTCATCCACCGTCAAGATCACCCACCAGAGTTCATGGGTGTCTGCAGGACCTCCATGATTGGCATTCTCCGGCTCCCCCCCCGCAGATACCGAGTGCATAAGTCGGCTGTCCTAGTCCCCTGTACTAAAGCTGTCCCACCCCACTTTACAGGGGACTAGGACAGCACTGGCAGAGACCTGCTAAATGTCCGGTCACTACTAGCAGGTGTTACTGCTTGTCCCCATTTCAGGCATTACTTACAGGCTTGTGGCGAACCCGTCTCCTGGAATCGACTCTGCCGATATCCTGACCTGACCCGGCGGCCTTGCTTGAAATAAAACGCCCGTTAGACTTATGATTAGGCCTGATAATTTTAGATAGATTCTCTTCTCTTAAGTGATAGCGCTCTACATGCCCATAGCCATATCCTTTTCCTACCCGCAGGAACCCAGATTCCTTAACGAGGTTCATTTCACGTAGCATTCAATTCTCCAGTTCGTACGATGAGACAACGCAAGCACTGGCATCTAGCGCTCCGGGGTTGTGCCACGATGGAAGCCAGCCCCGCGCGTGGCTTGCCTGTTCAACGGCAACGCACTAAGATTGGTGTAACGACGGTGCTGTTCGTGCTGTCGGCCCTGCGGGAGCGGGCTCGTTCCTGCGAAGCTAGCTCAATTCATGAGATCTACTAGCTAACAATGCGCGGCTTCGGAGAAAGAACGGTCAGAGAAGGAAAAATTGTGAGCAAAAATCTGACTACGCCAAAAAGCTCAACGGCGGTTTCCCAAGTTGGTACACAGGACAAGGGGACTGGACACGGTGCGTCTTCGCAGTGTGTTGCTCGAGCTATCGCCAACTCGAGGGTCTGCGCTATAGCGAAAGAGGAATACCGGTGCACGCATTGCGGGGAGTCATGAGTGAAAATGATATGACGGGCGTGCGCATAAAGAGAATTAGCTTGCTTTATATTTGGCTCGTCAAGGAGGAAGCAAAGACGGCCTCGAGATGCAGCTAGCCGCCTTCCTCGGCTGTTCCATCCCGAACTCTACGACTCAGATAATACAATATACTCTCTGTCCCGTTGTTGCGAACCTCGTGAGCCGCTGGAGAGTCAGAATCGTCGTCGGCCCTATAGTCCCTGACGACAGCTGTGTAGGCTTAGATGGTCTCGAAAATTTAGTGGACTAGTTAGGGCCGTAACCCGTGGGAGGTGTGTTTGAAACGCCACCAACAGGGGACGAGGATTTCCCCCTCCCTCCGTGTACCGCAACACACGAAAGTTCCCTGTTGCCCTAACTCTTGTGATATCTCACAAAAACTTTTGCCACTTCGTTATATAACCGCGCGCGTTCTCAGAGTCACCTTTCATGCAGAGGCTGTTGGGTGGAGGTTATTGGGAGGCTGCTCTGCAGGTAAATGGGGTTAGTGTATCGAGCGCGTGACGGAGGCGTGAAAGGTGCAGAGCAATCTTGGTCAATTCCTCGCCCCGTGACCTCCTGCACATGTATACGTGTACTCCGAAGTGACTTTGGGAGGATTTCTCGTATTGCAAGTGTCCAATCACCGTCGCGATCAAAACCCGACAGTTTGGTTCCCCCACCATCTTTCATCAACCTTGTCAGTTTTGCGACTGTCACTATAACCGCCTTACGGTGTATCAAGAGAAATAAACAGCGTCTCTATTTGGAATATCTTCCCGACTTGGCATGTAGGAAACGCCGACATCGACAAGATACCCAGCGCTTAGTATAGTAGATGATAAAAGACCCATTGAACTACTTTCGCCGGGCCGGGCGGAATTCGGCAATCCCAATGCAACTTGTCATAGATGGCACACTCTCACTCTACACCACGTCTTCTCGAGATTCCTCAGGATGAGGCCAGTTCCCAGGTCGATCCCCAGGTCAGTAATACTGGACCTGCCATTCCTAGATGAAAGGGCTAATCTTTTCGGGCAGATCAAACCTAAACCAGCTTTGCGTACTCAATGGAGGACACCTGAGCCGGAGAAACCGTAAAATAGCCCGGGCCGCGTTCAATCTTCCTCGTACCTGAAGACATCATCAACATCATATGCGCGTAATTATTATTGGTACTTGGTCGTTTTATACATAACCTGGGCGGCCAGGAAGGCGTCAACGGAGAGAGCCGGCGAACGGGAGTTGAATCAATCGGCGTCGTCAGGGCTGGCCGATTTAGGTAGATCGTTAGGAAATGTGTATGGTAAACCCTACTTGGTACCACAACCTGTGACAGGTCCGGGCTTCCTAAATAGGAAATTCGCTCAAAGCCGGGCCAGGCTCTGAAAACGCGATTTCCGAGGACTTCGTAGTTCAGATGTGTTTTCCGGCTGAGTAAGCAACAGTCAACTGGCTCAAAGACGGAAGTCAATATGTCAAGTATACTGAAGCACAATATACGTGAATTTGTAGTGGTGGTGATGCTTTCTATGGTGTTGAGCCTCAGCCTAGCCGTCTGGCTATCGCATCCCCGGCCCAACGACACCCCCATGATGCCTCCGGCGGCCCCCCGGGGGCGCCTGCCGCGGGCTGCTCGCTGCGCTCGAAAGTGGTTGGCGATGCTTCCTATGGTGTTGAGCCTCAGCCTAGCCGTCTGGCTATCACATCCACAGCCCAACGACACCCCATGATGCCTCCGGCGGCCCTCCGGGGGCGCCTGCCGCGGGCTGCTCGCTGCGCTCGAAAGTCGTTAATACGCTCTTGTCTTCTACTGCTTATCACGACCAGGGCAAGGCATTGAGGCGAACTCAGTCCATTAGGTGCTATCGACGAAGATTCTAAACTAAGGAAGGGAAGAAGGAAAAAGTCCAACAACGCGTCGCGAGCCCTTGGCCGGCGAAGACTATAGTTCCATAATTACTGCAGTACATGCCCGTCGGCGAGAGAGGGTCAGGGAACCATCATCTCCCCACCATCAAGGCGGCGGCGGTAATCTGCCGCCCGGGAATCCCCCGTAGAGTCATTGCCGATCCGTAGGTTAGTGAGGGAAAAGGGAGCTTCGATCATCAAACCCCCAAGGGTAGTAACGCGGGACGCAGCCACATATTTCAGCCCGGCCGTGAAATCGCTCTGCGCGAGATCAACCACTGCCTTCTCGAGCGTGGCACCCTGAGACTTGTGTACCGTAATAGCGTAGGCGATCGTCACGGGGAACTGGGTCCGTGAACAGGCTCTTTCGCTAACATTGAAGTCTCGCTTGGACGGGAATATCGGCACAACGGTCCGGAGAATAGCTTCGTTATTAGGAAAGCAGGGCGGGCCCTCGTACTTATCCATATTGACGAGCAGGAGAGCAGGAGAGCAGGAGGGTGTTCGCGAGGATCTTCGACATTAGGAGCCCAGGCAATATCGTATATAATAGGGAATGTCTACTCGGACCGTAGAAAACGTCTTTTCGAATCGTAGTTGGCCAAAAAGTACATTGAAATCGCCACCAAGCCACTAGCCCAGCCGAATCCCTGTTTGACCCGCAAAAAAAACAATAGATTGATGGCTAACCCGCTCATCTTCAGATGGCCGGTACAATGCAGCTTCAATATCGCGGGCTTCATCTGGCACGCCTGCCTCTACGCCCACGGCGCGCAGGGCTCGAGGAGGCATTACAAAGGCGTCGACATGCAGTACAGAGACTCGCCGCACTACCCGGGCTTTAGCTTCAGCATTTGAAGCCCAAGAAAGCAGTGATCTGGGCGATGCGTAGGCAGGGCAGGTTTTTATTGCATTTTTGGGCATGTTATGTAATCAACAACACAAGTTGAGCCTTCGGGTTTTACTGCAGAAATGAACGATTTGAGCGATCTACGGCCCTGAGCTGGAATTACTGTATTTGGAAGTATGTTGACGGCGGTGACGGCGGCGAGGTGCAATTGCGGTGCGACGATGTATGCGATTGATCTGAACCTGGGTGCGCTGGCTTCATCCCATGGATTAGCGTCTTTTTTGGTGCGAAAAGTGGGTTTTCAATAGTGGCGCCAGAGCGCGATGTACCTACGGTCCGAAGAGAAGGTGCCTACGGTCCGAGTAGACATTCCCATATAATACCCGCGGCTCCGTTGACCAGGCCAGCGGCGGTCCATAGGTGTGACAAATCCCTGTGGAAATGCACGGCGGTGGGGCACGCTCAATTGGAGTTAGACCAATCAGGAGTGCCCCTTGCGGAGGACCAATCAGGAGTGCCCCAGGGTCCCGAGGTTCGGGACCGTTCGAGGTCGGGAACACGGGTCAGTGACCCGCGTGCCCGGCGTCCCGGGCCCCTGCGGTCTCGGGACCACGGGTCAACGGGACCCGCGGTCATTGGTCAGCCATAGATAGATATATACGACGACCGTAGCCACGGTCTTAGGTAGAGCTTGCGTGATTCCTCAAGCAAGCAATCACATTCATGATTCTCATATACATTGAGTAACATACCTTTTGACTGTGATTCACGTGCAGGAGGAGCTTGCCCTCAGTTTAGTTCGCATTCACCACTCTTCGGAAGGCGCCACTGCGCCGGCAGACAAACGACCCACCAAGTCAAGCGGTTTGTAATAGATGGTCGTATGTAGGTGGTGGAGCATGAGCTTTACGCGAGCGAAGTCTTCAAAAGCCGGCTCGTCTGGTTCGGACTTATACCGAGGGAAATAGCTAAGCATACGGGGCTTTGCATTAGGCCCGAAACGCGTCCAGCGCCGACGGCCACAGTTGACATTTCGCAAGCAGTCGAAATAAGTGAGGTCTCGCCATTCGGCAGTACGGGCACAGTACTTCGTGTAGAAGCTCTTACCCTCCATAACCTTATCTCGGTCCGCCGGGATAAACGCGGCCCAAGGTCCGAGGCGAGGATCTCGGCAGTCCACGGGGACGACGTTATGGCTACACTCCACCAGAGGAAGGTCGAGAAGTAAATGAGCAACCTCCATCGCAGGCCAATCACGTTCGGCGAGAAGCTTGTTTAGCATTTTCGAGATCAACGTGACCAAAGGCTGCCTGCTATTAACCCTAGGGATAAGCTCGCGAAGGATATCCTTATAAGGCTGAGTCTGGGACTCGGCCCTCGAGCAGTACTTCGAGATGTAGGTGAGCACGGCGCGAAGAGAGGTGGTAGGAACAGAGTCGGTATTAGCCAGCCAACCAAGTACAATTGCACGGGCGTAGTTGTTCAGCCTACCGTCGTTTGGGCGGGCCCCGTCAAACATCTCGTACTTTGGGTTCATCCCTCGTATCAACACAGCATGGTCGTGGAGCGGTCGTTCAAAGTAGAAGCGGCAGAGCTTTTCTCGTGACATAACGCCGTTCACCTTCCGCCTGCGAAGACAGTACGCCTCGGTACAGCGGTGACGCTGGACGCGGTTGAGTACCTTGGAGAGATCCGAGAAGGTGGTACTTTCGCTAGGAAAGACCTTGAGGGGGTCGTCTTCTTGAGGGGGGCGTTGACGTACGGGTTCGGGGTTCTAGGCCGAAACGTGAAGTCCCCAAAGCTCAAGGAACTCTCTCTTTTACTCCGGGTTTAAGAAGCCCTCATAGCCTGGCGTAGGCGCGCCTTCGATCCAGTAAAGCCCGAGACAATATGTACTACCACGTCCCTGCCACTCAAAGCGGTACTAATGTGCCGTAACCGAGAACTTCTTGAAGAAATACTCCCTTAGGAACAGGCGAAAACGACGGTAGAAGTGCCACGCCGCAACCTGGGGGTTTTCCTTGAGGTTCTTCCGCGCGATGCGAGTCTTGCCGAGGTCGTCGGCAGCTCTCCAGGCCTCATAGTCGGGCATGACCTTCGCGAGGGATTCCCAGTGCAGATCAGCGCCGAAAAGGTCAGGAAGAAGTGTGGGCAGTTGAGTCCGTAGCACATAGCCTCTAGGCCTCGCCGTGCCTTATTCCAGAACGGCCTGGTACCACGGAGAACGTCCCCAGCTCGTACGATCGAGTTCAAAAGTACCTGGCCCTCCACGGTATTGGAATCAAGGGCATCCCGCAGCTCAGGTATCTCGAACCGGAGGGGATTGGCTTGGCGGTTAACCATCCAGGAACTCTTCTTATTGACCTGGCCACGCATCGTGGTGTTGAACACGAGGTAGTTGAACCGAGGATGGCGAGCAAAACGACCATCATACTAACGTATAGCGTGCTTGATCTATTCGCCCCACTTTACCTCACGCTGCCGTTGTTGCGTAAACTCCCCGAGGGCTTGAGGCATCAGGGTAGGCATTGCAAGACTGATGAGTGCCACACTCTTGTTGAAGTCGGAGATAGGCGTCCGCCTCACTCTAGGGATCTCCAGCTGGTTGAGGATAGGTGGCTGCTCGGGAGCCTGCTCATCACCGGCAAGACCAAAACGTTGACGTAAACGTGAGATGTCCGAATCGGCGGGGAGGAGGTTAGGTGCAGCAGCGTTGTCAACGTTGTCGTCTTCCTCTTCGTCGTCACGAGGTGGTACTACCGGGGGTTCCTCATCAATATCGATTATGGTGACGTCGTCTGTCACCTCGGCATCGACTGGCAAGCTCGAGAGACGCTCAGCGTTGATCTCGAGGTCGGCGTAACCGGGGTGGTGAGCAATCAGGTACTGTAACCATATCTCAATATAGCGGCGGCGGACTCTGAAGTCACCCCGGAAGGCCCGGAGGGTGTGGGCAGCGTTCGGGGCCCCCCCGGTTCGAGGCCGTAGGATGATGATGTCAAGCTCCCGGGGAAGTCGGGGAAGTTGGTCGAAAAGAGAGCCAGTATCACGTAGGAAGCTCACGTAGTGTTTGCTAAACCGGTATTGCTGCGCCCGAATTAAACGGACGTCGATATATACGTGAACTCGGGCAATGAGCTGCTCCTCAACCTGCGTAAGCTCCGGGAGTTCGTCCGGTATGTTCCCAAGGTCCATCTTATTCTCGGTAGAGAAGAAATCGGGATCTCCGGCTCCTTATTCCTGTCACGGTATATGCAAACGCTATATACACCGCGGACCAGCTTGAGGTCGAACCAAGCTTCTCGACACCGAGAATAGTGTTGAAGCAGCGAAAGCCAATATAGATTCAACTCGGTTCGCTGCTTGACCTACGCTCGTACCTCGCTTCGGTAGCGACTCTTGTTGGATTCAGCACTTCAACTTTTTTCATTTTTGATCTCTCCTCCTTCTTCTTTTTGGTCCTGCCAGAGGGCCTCTATTATAGTTGTAAATGGTGGCAATGGTGGTGGCAAAAGTAGCCACACCAGCTGAACTGGCCACTTCATTTCAGCTCCCCTGAGCCTCTTTTCACCTCGGATGACCACACCAGAGCTCAGCTGGGATGAGCTCTATTCCACATGCAACCCTTGTCCATCTGACAATAGCCAATCCAACAACTCTCTCCGTTGAATATAAAAGCGGGAACTGTTGCATGACTAAGCCCAATCGGGCATTATGTTTCATGAGGCGCAGATCTATGCCTCTACAGGCCTAGTGCTTATATGTTGGAAAGGAGCATTTTATCCACAGGGAGGAAGGCCTTCGGCCTTCCTTCTTTTCTGGAATAGACACAATTGAATGGATCTTCTGGACACTCGAGTGCGCAACAATGCGCGATGGAGCTAGGATGGCCGCGGAGTCGTGTATATTTACTATCTGGATTGATTTGATGGCCCACGGCGGATGGGAATAAGAAATGGTGGAACGGCCTGTGCGGGCTGGGCCCATGAGATTTTCCTCACTGAGTTCAGGGCTTGGCTGCTTGCTGGTGCGCGGAAAGCAGGGGTTGTGTTGGATTTTCGAGGTCGTAACCGAGCCCGGAATTCGCCAGCAGTCTGACCTGCCCGCAGGCGCATGCAGGGCAACCTTCTGGGCCTAGCCCAGGAGAACCTCTTATTCAGGGTAAAATGGTCCCCGGCTGGGAGGTCCCCAGGACTTACCCCAACACTCAACGCACAATCAGACTATCGCATTGAACCGATTTTGGGCCTACTTTGGTGCCAGCTTTCTCACAGGTTGCTGCGCACAGTGACGCAGTTTGAGTACTTTAGCGGAAGGCGGGGCCGGAGCTGGCACCCTGGCATGTTCTCAGGATACCAAGTGGGTATGGAATTAATAGTACTAATGCCTACAGGGCAATTTATCAAGTCTTGCAGGTCAAAAGCAACGCTCCACTAGCGTGACCTTTGCTACACTCTCAAGGTCGGATCGGTTAATTTTCCGCGACCATCACATTCCAGTGACCTACACTCATTTCGCGCACCGACCGAGCGTTGGATGCTTTATTAGGCCCTGATCGGCAACCCACCGATGAATCATCGGTTAAGTGGTCCCATTACACAAATATGCCAAGATTGGGGTTTTGGGGTAGGTTATACCTATTTTGGCACCAAAGTGATTCCAACCGACAAGCCTTCCAACCGTTCAACTTGTGCAAGGCCATGATCCCTACTACACCCTTGTTCACGATGTACCACGCTATAATTCAGCTGACAAGGGCCTCTAACCTTCCTATTCCGGCCTGAATTCTGCCAACCGTTGACGGTTCCGCACCGACGAAGAGAGCAGCGGTGCAGCGTGTTTTTCGGTAGACGTAACCCTGCTCTGGCCCAAAATGGAAGCCCCACGTGGCTCTGCTATGGATAAGAGGGGTCATTGTTGACTTGGAAGACTTGGAACACACATTGTACTGTATTTTGTTGCTATTCCTGTTCTTCGAAATCCACACCATGAATGACCAACATCGAAATAACGTAGCCTTCGTTGCTGCAGCCACTCTCGCCATTCGAATGCTCATGCAAAATAAGCCCACAGTTGATAGGCGACAGCGCCCTGTATTGGGTAACCGCCGAGTCATCCACCCGGGCGGACCTACCTATGCGAGGAAGTTAGCAGAGAAGATCCTTAACGGTTCCGAAAAGCAATTCCGGGAGCTCTTCCGCCTAGAAAAACGCACCTTTTTATCCCTCGTACAATGGCTGAAGCAAAATACGGGGATGCGGCGAAGCCGTTACATGACTGTTGAGCAGAGGCTCATGGTGATGTTGTGGATATTAGCCCAGGGCGAGACTCAGAGGAATACCGCCCACAAATTCCAGATCAGCCAAAGCACTGTCTCCGAGATCGTTGGCCTCAGCTTCAGGGGCAGGAGACACTTGCCTCTCTGCATTCATCATTGGCCACAGGAGGAAGGGGAGGAGGGGGAAGACAGAAGGAAAAGGAAAAGGGCATCCAGGCCTCAGCTTCAGAGAAGACCTTGTCTCCGCATTCATCATAAGCATCATTGGCCACCCTGGAGGGTACCTAAGAATAAGTTAGTGAGTAGACTGATGGTTAAAGGGGAGGGGGGTGAGGAAAAAGAAAAAGGAACAGGAGCAGAACGGTCGAAAGGGATTCCTTTATACCTAGATAATTGGTCCGTACACGGTAGCAAGTATTTGGGGGACTATACGTCTGTGGCTAGTGAGGCCTGGTGGCTTGTAAAGAGCAGAGTCGGTGAGTGTAGTTGTGGCTGGGGGGTAGAGAGGGACGGGCTTCATTGGGGCACAGTACAAGATTTGCTGAGACAGGCCGCGAGACGAGCTTGATACAGAGTACCCACTATTTACCTAAGTATCTGACATCCTCTAGTCCCTACTAGAGCATACACTATTTCTTGGATTATTCGAAGATGCTGCCTGCGTGAGGTGTCGGCGTTAATTTCTGCGCCTAAAGAGCAATTCTCATTCGATCGGTCGAACCGCACCGCCACTAGCAAAGATGCACTACCGTCAAGCAGCATGGCCGGGCGGTTTGGTCGTACATAATGCCTAGTCACCTGCAAAATATTCCGTGACAGATCTTTCCCTGCTAGCAACACCTCCAGTCGACCTTTCCAGCCCAACAGTAGCACACGATGAGGGATCCTCATCCGTATCACGACAATGTGTCCACCCCAGCGCCAGCTTTGCCAGCCGCCTGAGCAAATCCGTCAAGCATGACGTGGCGCCTGATGACTAGAAGGTTGCCTGACAAATTATCGGCCAACCCTGACTAGAAGGTACCTAGTCAATTTGCCTAGCAGTGAGATAATTAGGAAACGCATTCGTCAAGCTAGGACCAGTCTTGAACGTATAATATTCGCGGCGGTTCGCAAGATCGAGTTTAATTAGCCGATAAATTATCGGTCAATTAATTCTCGCTCAGCGCGGTGCGTAGCCTTATATAGAATGGCTATGGCGACGGCGTGGTGCGTAGAAGACTCCGAAATAGAAAAGGATTTTAATTCGGAGGAATTTGTAGCAGGGGTTCGGATTTATTAACGAGGTGGGGAAGGAGGGACAGCTGTGGGTATTACAATCAGAACAATAGTACGCTGAGATTATACAATAATACTCAGTAGTTGATAGAGGCGCAGGATCGCGCTGTGGGAGGCAGTTGGGGTAGGTTCACTAATCTCATTTCATTCTCAGAATAACACCAGTTTTCCCTCACCAAATCCATCCCAACCACAACCAGAACAGCAACCCTGCTCCCCGCCTCTTGCCGCGCTTTTCGCTCTCCTTTGTTTCATGAATCGCAGCCTATCCGTCTCAGTCGTCCTTCCGAATAAACTGGCGTAGGAGATATCGCCCCTGGCCGACGGACCAAACCTTGGCTCGCACAATCTGGCACTCTATGGAATGCAAAGGAGTGATTTCGAATCTCTTATCGGGACCAAGATCCTTGAGGCTGTTGGCAATCTTAGCAACGGTGAAGGTCTTGGTACACTTCTCGTGAAGGCGGCCAATCTCAGGCAGCACTTTGCCGCTTTCGTCGGTAACCGCGGTGTGCTTGCGGTCGCCCGATTCGTCATCCCACTCATAGAAATTGAAGATGATATAAACCGAGCCTGGGCGTCCACGCTCGTCAACTTGAACGACGACGCCAAATCCAGTCGGCTTCCAAGGCCCCTTGATGACCATATTAGGCTCCGTCTCCTTCCAGTTGGGGCCTGCAAAATGATAGAGTGCGCCAACCTGCGCAAAGACGAATCCATTGCCAACGTCAAAGTCTTCTGAGGTTGTAGAACGGGTGGAGTCTTCTCCAGAGCTTCGTTCTTGTCGACGTTTCTTCGGGCTGCTGCGCGAATCGGTCGGTGTGGATGTGTAATCGACGTTGACATTGGTATTGATCCCAAGCAAATATCTGTCGGTAGATATTTCATCCATAGTGTCGAGATTGGGGCATAGATAAGCAGGGCCAGGCTGGAGACCAAACCCGGTGCAGACACCGCCGAACTCGCTCTCGCCCAAGATAAGGAACGGGTTGTTGAGCATTTCCATTGAGAATAGGAACTCGGCCGAGGAACCCTCGTTGGCGAAGTTGGTTTTCCGGATCATGTCCACAAACTCGTTTGGGGGCACGGGATACTCCAGACGAGCACTGTGCCGACCGATCCATTTGCGATAGAACTCGTACCACTGCTCGATTTCGCCAGGCCCTGACCACTTTGCCGCGAAGATAGAACGCGTGTCGAACACGTACTGGAACGAGCTCAGATTCTCAATGTACCAATGGTACATGGTCATCTGTTGAGGCGTCAGGCTCTCCAGGATCTCAGCGTCTGAGGGTGGCCGTGTCATTTTGATGGCTAAATCGGGTGTGCCAAGTTGGGTGTCTTGAGGGTTAGTCTTATGCAGTGGATCGAAATGGGGAAGAAAAAGAAGGTGTGGTCCCGTGGTCTTAAATGGAGGTCCAGAAAGCTAAAAGAAAATTAGGGTTTACGTATGCCACGTTGACACGCGCACACACACATTTTAAAGTTTTTCGCGGTCCTACAAAACTGAGAACGCCAAAAGCGAACGACGGTGTGACAGACGATGCAGTGCTTGTGTTGTATTGTGGGGAGTTGCTCCTCTAACAATTGTTCTAGCCGAAATCCTTTTGGCTGGCCTGTAGTACGTACTGTACGTACCCAAGGTGGCTCCCAACACAGACGGGGGCCCCACCGTTTGGCCAAATCTAAATACCGCCTCAATATTGCCCCGAACTTTAATTAATTCAAACTTCCATACCAAAACCAACTTCAACCCCGAACCAACATCAACCCCATCTAGACTTAAAAAACCGTTACGCTTTGAACGCAACCGCTATGCCCCCATACTTCGTTACGGTGGCCAATGCCACTGCAGAGTTGCCCACGTTCCCACTTGCGACAACGTCTGAAAAAAACGACGCAGAGTACCGCATGACGAGTATTCTAGCTACAATTATTCGCCTGGTGCGCATTGTGAAGACGGATATGGGTATATTCGCAGAATCAAGGTGTTAGGAACACTTTGATAACACCGAAGAAGCTTATTATCAGCCTCGAGATTTCCTACCACTCGTCCAATTCTATCTCCGAGCCTCTTTGCAGGCCACAGCTACTATTGAAGAAGCTGCAACACCAATCCACCCACCGTTGAACACCAGATTCCGCATCCCGGAGTCCAGGGACCTGGATTCCCCCCCGCCAACGACTATTCTCGGCTTCTGCACTTTCACAAGCGAAGTAATCAAAGAAGCCATAGATTTGGCTGAGAGGGTTCCTCGAAGCAGGGCACCTACCGACACGGCGGAAGTCCATACAACCACCATTGCTGCAGTATCACCCCGTGAGCTTCTACTGTGGTGTATTTTGAATACCACTATGGCTCGACAGGAGGTGGAAGCGGCGGGATGCGGAGACGAACCCAAGGCCGAGAAGCTGAAGGAATGGATTGGTACGTAAAAGCTAAACCACCTTTAAATTTAAGTCATGTGGTTTTACGTAGCTAATATAGTATAACTCACGATAAGGCTCCATCCCAAACATTACGCAAAGTGTCACCTTTGACGACGATATGCCGACACTTCTCGACGCAACCGGTATTACCAAAGGCATCCGGGTGAAACAAATTGCGCCCTGCACCGCCCAAGTTATTTTTGTTTGTACGGGCATCAGTACTTCCTTCCACCTTCTCCACGATGCCACCCATATTGGTTCCACATTGGAACGGTTGAATTCCTGGCCAGAGTTTTGGAAGGCTCGACGCGAAACTCGCCGAAGCCTCATTGACAGCAAGAGCATATTGGCTCGAAAGGAAGGCTTCGAGTTCTTCATCCGACGAGAAGACGAACTCCAGGAAAACTTCCTCGATACGGCACACCTTGACCAGGGTCAGGCTCGTCTAACGGAGGAACAAATTACCAACATTCGGAAGCAGATTGTTGCCGAGAAGGTGGAGCAAGACAAGCCTCTGTTTGTGCACCATATCGGCCAATCATTCTCCGAGAAGGGCGATGGAAAGTTTGGCGCCGTTGGCCTTTGCGTTATGTGCAAGATGCTACTGGGATATCGCGAGACGATGGCTGGGGAAGACAAATACGTGTACGGGCGGTTTGACTGCAAGGGCCGGCAGGCGAACCCGACGTCATGCGGTGAAGTTTTGTGCGTAATGTATTGTGGAAGGTCGCAGGAGCGTTAAAGTTAGTTTCTCGATAGGTATCCCGTTCTTTTGGGAATCGTTGTTGTCCGTCCGACTCTCGATCTCACAAGGTCAAAAACATTAAGAGCTTTGATGTGCGCACCCACCAATATTTTCAAACCACCCACCTGTGGGTCCCTGGCAACTGCCAACGCAGGGACCGCTTTTTGTATGGTAAAATGCCGTATTTCCTGGCAGCCACCCAACGGCCTACCGGGCACCAAGGAAGCTTACTGAAGCCCGGTAAAGTTAAAATGACACTATTCACGCCGTCACATGTATGCCGTTGTGCCGCGCAGTTGGTGTTTTAAGCTCTATACCGGCCAGGTGGCCTTTGCAGTCCTTTGTATGCTTCTACAGTCCTTTCCTGTGCCCAAGAACACATCGTCAACCTACCATTCCACCTCACAGTATTCATGATGAATTTGATCTAGATTTCCTCTGACAATTCGAGCTCCCTAGCCTCATCGTCGCCGCCGTCGTCGCCGCCGTCGTCGCTGCTGCCGTTGCTGCCGTATTTGCCCTCGCTACCGCCGTTGCCCTCGCTGTCACCGTTGCCCTCGCCCTCGCCGCGGCCCCGGCCGCCGCCCTCGGTTGCTTCCTCGATCTCATCCCGAGCGCCCTCGCCCCCACCCTCGCCCCCACCCTCGCCCTCGCCCTCGCCCTCGCCCTCGCCCTCGCCCTCGCCGGCCCCCGAGTAGGTTGTCAGGAATCTAGTTGCCTCTTCTTTCCTAGCTAATTTGCTTGTAGAATACGGAAAACAAGTATCTACGGATCGAAAAGCCCGACAAAGCGGTCACGAAAGGTCGCCCTATCAATCAGGGCGGTCCTTTTGGAAATGAAGCCATTCTACCAAAGCCGCCGGCGCCGAAGACAAAGACGACGGCCCTCAGCGGCACGATCCACCGGAACGCACGGCGTTACTATTCACGATTTGAACTCGCCGGGCCGAGTCTTCAAGAGCAGGATGAACAAGATGAACAAGAAGAAGAAGAGCTGGAGGTTGAATCGGACTGCATTGTCGTCACTGCAGGCTCAAGTCCAAAGAGAGGTCGGAAGAGGAAGGCAACACAACAGACTCAGAGAGGGAAAGGAAAGAAAAGAAAGACAACAAAGAAAGGGAGCCAGCCTGCCCGAACGACCCGGGCGACCCGGCAAGAGACCCCGGGTCCGGATCCTCACCTTATCAAGGTAGCGGAATGGCAGGCCCGCAGGGCTCTCCGCCGTCAATTTTGGGAGAGGCACACACATACTGAAGAAGAGAATGACGCCTTCAATTCCGAAGAAGAAGATAACCCTTTTCCTCGTAAGGAAAGCGACGATGTGGAGGACGACGACGATGACCCGGACTTTGTTTACTAGGTTACTAGATTAGATTGATAGACTCAACACTAAGGAATTACATCACCATATCAACAAATCCACTATATCAGTATACTGACTAGGCGCCTACCATAATACTTAGCTGATTTACGTATAAATCCGGCCCTCAGAGTTGCCATTTACAAGTTGCCTGAATTTCGAGGCTGACTCAGCAACGAAGAAATCGTCAAAATGGAAAACACCACGGCAAACGCGTTTTGAGGGCCTTTGAAGGTTTTGACGGCTTCAACGCCGTTGACCCGGGCCGCCGGGCTACATGGCAGGCACATGGGCGGTAAGATAGTAATTCAGGATATTACCGGCCTAAATTAGCCTCTGAGTATCTCAGTTGCCAGCAGGTGCCAAGGACCCACAGGTAGGTGGTTTGAAAAAGATGGTGGGTGCGCACATCAAAGCTCTTATATAAAGGGGTTGAGAAAGCTCGCGTTCGCGAAATCCAACGGGTATTCCTCAGCGTATCTCGTGGGAAGAGGTGTAAAGCAGATGATGAGTCCCTTGACAAAGAGCGGGGAGGGGCGCGATGGTTTATCAGTCAGACGCAGTGCCTATTCCAACGCGGACTTCGGCATCGCGCCTTTGAGTTATTTCTCCTTGGTAAGTTAACCCACCCCTACCTCGCTCGGAGACTCATTATTATGGTAGAAGGTAGAGCTGGAAACTTCTACAAGAACGATTGCCCGAAGGATGAGGGTGTACTACTACTAGCCCGCCGCAACCCCGACCCAAGTAGGCGGGCTCCTCTCCGAACATAACTGCGAATTCTTCTCGGGCAGGCCGCTCTAGAGAGTTGACGGCGTATCTCACAGTCAGCACCCAGACGGGTTCCAGCGGGCTATAGATACTCAGTATGGCGCTTTCTACTGGACCCACAGGGACCAGTCGCTTTTACCCCTTGGAGAAGTGGTGTGGGATACCCGGGCATTGTGGTATAGCGAGGAAGACGCTACCGGGGTTGTTGGAGCAGATTAAGGCTATGAAGACCGGGAGGCTGAAAATAATTTCTACGATGCCTGAGCTTTAGGAAGAAAACTGCCTAGATAAGGATGGCTGGGGTTTCTTCCCCTTTAGAACACCCCTCTTCGGGCATAACAGCCGCAGCCTCCGCCTTAGGTTTGGCCTCCTGAGTTGCGGTGCACGCACGTGTGGGGCATTTCAATCATTGACAGGGGCAATTGAGGCTATTCCCGTATCAATCCTACAGCCAACCAGCGTCGACAGTCTCGACAGCCCACACAACCGGCACCTCAACGCCACCCCTCACCCCTGCCCCTCCAAATGTATCGCCCTAACGAGCCCTCTAATGGAGACGACAGTGATAGACCGGACTTCGGGTCTAACCACCCTTGGCGAGGCCAAGGCAATAGAGATAACGGAGATAACGGCAGGCGCCCTGATCGTAATAACCAGTACAATACTGCGTCACATGCTGGAGAGTCGGTTGGTACTTGGGGCAGCCTTCCTATGACCCGAGCTTCAACGACCTTCAGGGGATTGGATGACTTTGCTATGACTATGGAGGTAGTCCGGAAGGCAAAGGAGTGTTACAGAAACGTCAAGGCCGGCAGAAAAATCGCTCTCCTAGCTAGCCAGCGGGCCTTTATGTCGGCTAAAGTGGCCTCGGCCTTTTCCGAAAACTGCTGAAGGGTCATCGTCGTTAGTTCAAGAAACATGATGCGTGGAGCCGATGGAATTCTCAACTGGACGTTCCAATCTCTCGGAGGGAGGCCTCCTCCTGTTTGTAATGACGCTATCGCGGCATTTTTGGCGACTGGCTAGCGGGACTGCGCCTAGGGTTCCGCTAGGCAAACGTAGCGGCGGCCTCGGGAGAGGATGATGGTGCGAGCTCGGAGGCACAAGGCTCAACACGGCAAGCCTCGCCGCTCAGCGGAGGCTGGCGAAGGCCAGAGTCGAGCGAGCATCGAAATGAAACGGCAGGTATTGCGAAATTCCGGAAAACGACAAGTAGCGCGCCGGGGTGCGCTGGACAGAGTGGGTGGGTTCTAGGTAGTGAGGACGAACGACAACGACGGCGCGACCGATGTGGCGAGGGGCGTATGAGAAAGAACGAGGACGGATGGAGACGTAGCCGAAATGAAGGACCAAGTGCGACGCTGTCTTCAGGCTCGTTATTGTATCGCTACGAATCACGGCCCTTGACCCGAGGCCACATGATCCGTGATATCGCTAGAGGTTGCCCAGATCGGCTCAGCCGAAGCAGGGGTTAGCCCGTCGTCTCCTAGAATGCCTTCCGCATTCGTCTGCATGCGCCTCCTCCTTTTCGTCCCATATCTGGCGCCGCCCATGGTAAGGCAGAATCTTCCCGACTCGCTCCGAACCGTCTGAAACGCGCTGTCGTTCCCCGCTAATCAGCTCCTCCTTTTCAGACCCGATCTGCCTCGCCGTCGGAAAAGCGAAGCGGCCGCATCGGCCGTACGCGTAGTCCAGAAATAGGTCGCACTTGAGTCAGGCTGGTCACCTGCATGCTACGCCGCTGGCATTCGGTCCGATTGTGGCCAAAAGGGTTCACCGAGACGCATTGCAAGACGCTCTGGATCCGCCAAGTGAGAGGGCCTCCCGGTATCTCCGCATGTGATGAAATCGATTTCTGCGGGAGTTGTGACTGGTTAGGATACACAGGTCTTACAAATTGCGTAGGGGCACGAGGGGGGCAGGGGGCCTACCAGGTAGGCAGGCATGCAGGCATGCAGGCAGCGAAAGGAGCAGGGTGGAGGGGAATGGACGAGGTGAGATGTCGCTGACGGGGAGAATCCAAGGTTGGGTGGTTCCAAAGGGGAGAGGAAGCTCGAGTTCGAGACCAGAGTCGAGCCAAAAGATGCAATAGACGAAATGCACCGTAAAGGCTAAGAATGTCTCGATTGGCGACGCGACGGCGGGCGGCTAGGGGACGCTAAAGAGGGCAAGGACGAGGCATCCGGCCTGGCGAAATGGGGATCGGAGCGCGGGCGACATTGGGCTAGCGGGCTGCAGACGAGAAGGGGCAGGGGAACAGCGAAGCAGATGAGGAGGCGGGGGGGTCGAGCGAAGGGGATGAGAGAGGGAGAAAGTCGAGAGTACAAGAAAGGGATGTCGAAGAAGAGGGCTCTATTTATGCGGCGCGCGCGGCGGGGCCGTGCGAGGACGCGAGTCTGACGGAGCGCTATACCCGATTCGGAAGGCCGCCGTTTCCGGATGCAGCGACAGCATGTTGAACATTACAATAGGCAAGGATGTACATTGCTGCCTTGGCTCCTGAGCTCCCGACCGTTGCCTCTAGTCTCCAGGTAAAGTTGGGGATTCTGACGAGAATATTACGGAACAGATGTCATGCCAATGTACTAGCACACAGAACGCCAAATAACACGAAACAAGGACACCAGTGATAGGAGACTAAATTAAAATACGTTTCTTATTCTAATTACAACGCAATCCGTTTCTTATTCTAATTGCAACCCAATCCGGTAACCATCACACGACCACGTAGCGACACAGAAACGCGTACGCCTGTTCCACAGCCAGCCAGCCCTCGCCCTGTGGATCCGCGCCCGGCGCGAGATCGAACCCGTGGCCGACACCATCGACAAGCGCGAGCTGCGCATCGACGCCGCGAGCGCGCAGGGCAGCGACCGTGTCGGCCGTCTGGCGCGGGGGGATCATGTCGTCGAGCGCGCCGTGGACCATGAAGGTCGGCACGGCGTAGGCGCCGGCGGCGATGAGAGCGCGCGGGCTGATGGTGCGCACCTGCGCGGGCGTCGGCCACGGGAGGCGGGTCCAGTGGTGCTTGCCGTTGGCGTTGGCGGTGCCGTTGGCGTTGGCGTTGCCGTTGGCGCTGGCGTTGGCGAGGAGGGTCTTGGCTTGGCGCCGGCTAGGGAGGCCGTGCACCAGGATGGGCACCATCTGCGCGGCCCAGTTCATGTGTGCGCAGATGCGCCACCGCGGGTCGCGCAGCGTGATGAACATGCCCGGCCGGTTGCGGTTGCTGGGCGGTGCGTAGCCCGTCATCTGTGCGAGGGTCAGCGAGGACAGGGGTGACGGGTAGACGAGCGTCTGCTGGCGGATAGAAACGGAGGGACAAGACACTCACGGGCTGGTCACCGACGCCGTCGAGCAGCTCCTCTTCGTAACCGACCTCGGATTCTGGCGTCTCGGGGATACAGGCCGGGTAGATGGGCGATTTCCACCCTGCACCGGGTGATCAGTTTGCAAGAATACGTCTCGAGGGCAGCAACAACAACTCACAATCGCTTTCAAAATCCGACGGCGCGTAGAAAGCTACGACGGCATCTGGCGGGCGAATACCGGCATCCCTGCAGGCCGCCACTGCTATCATGCCCAGGTGCCCGCCGACGGACCAGCCGACGACGGCCAGCCTGTCGGCGTCGACGTGGCGGGCCACCCGTGACGCGGGGCCGCGGGCCCAGGCGATGGCGTCAACGGCATCAGCCAGCGCGCCGGCTTGCAGAGTCACCTCGGGGCAGAGGCGGTAGTCGACGCCGACGGGCAGCAGGCCGAGCCCGAGGAGGCGCTTGACGTGGCGCATGGGGATGTCGCGGCGCGTGCAGGCGACGTAGCCGCCGCCGTGGAGGAGGAGGGCTGTGTGGGTTGGTTTAAACTGCGTTGGTTATGTTCGCGCCATGACTTTTCTTTTCACGCAGGGGGCAAGGGGGCAAGGGGTCGTGCTTACCGACTGGCCGCTTCGGCGAGCCTGGGGCGTCCGCCTCGAGCGGGTAGTAGACGTCGGCTAGCAGCTCGACGCCATCGACGTGCTTCCACGCGACCGTCTCCACGGGCACGCCGGCACGGCGGCTACTTGTGACCGCCGAGGAGGGGGTAGGAGACGGAGAAGATGATGAGGATGATAGGGACGAAGACGGGGATGAGACGGCAGTCGCAGCACTAGAACCGACAGCACCCCCCCGGAAGGTGCTGACCTCGCGCAGGCCGTCGTTGAAGGCGCAGATGACCCTCAGCGTGCGGGCCTCGTCCGTGTCGCCGCCCGAAAAGCTCACGTGGGGGAAGCCGGCGCCGCGCAGGGCACCGTCCCAGAAGGCAGCCGACCCGAGGGCGTGGTCGCGACCGTCGGCAAAGTACCACCAGCCGTCGAGCAGGCCAAAGACGAGATCGAACCAGAAGAGGTTCCGCGTGAACTCGACCAGGGCCAGAAACCCGTCGGGGCGCAACAGCTGGCGGATGTTGCGGGCCGCCGCGCCGACGTCGGGGGTGGCGTGCACGCAGTTGGTCGACACGACCACGTCGTAGCGGCCCGCCAGCTCGGGCGGTGCCGGCTTCTCGCAGTCCAGCGTGGTGTAGCGCATGCGGTCCCGGATCTCGGGCGGCGAGCTGGCGAGCTTGGACCGCGCCTGCGACACCAGCGCCGCTGAGATGTCGGTGAAGGTGTAGGTGAAGTCCACGCCGGCACGAGCCAAGTGGTCGACCAGGTAGCGGGTGGTGCCGCCTGTGCCGGCCCCGACCTCGAGCACGTGGACGGGCCCGCCCGAGCCGGAAAAGACGCGCTTCAGGTACGCGGCCAGGAAGTGCGTGGCGGCGCGGAACACGGGGCCTCCCTCATACACCTGGGCCAGCAGCGTGCGGTTCGCCTTGTTGGCGAACAGCAGCTGGAGCGGCTCGGCACGGCCTGTCAAGCATGCCGCCATGCGGGACCCCGTCACGTCGAGGAGGCGGTGCTCGGCAGCGTGCAGCGGGAAGCGCCGCGTGATGTCGGCCAGCAGTGATTCTGGGAGAGCCAGGTCGTATGGCTTGGCGGTCCGCGTGTAGTGGTCGTCGTCGTCGTCGCCGTCGCCCTTTCCGCCCGCAATGTAGCCGCCGTCGACCAGGATCATGTGCATCTGGCGGACGAGATGCTTGTGCTTGGGGAGAACACCCTGCAGAGGCGGGATCGCACGCGAGGCGGCTATCGAGGACAGGTCGACGCCCAGCTGCTTGAAGGCTTGGCCGACGTACGAGACGACGAGCGCGGCTTGGTGCGGATACACGTTTGTCCAGAAGGCGGTGAAGCCCTGCTCGTCGGCGAACTGGTCAAACCCCAGCCGTGTGTCTTCGTAGATCTGTGCTGCGTTGGATGATGGAGCAGACGAGTGTCCGTTGAACCTGGTCGACACGGCGCCGCTGGTAGCAGAATTGTCGGACCTGTGGATGCCATTAGCGATGACAGGGCCTACTGCGTCCCATGATGGTGTCTTGGTCCCATTGGATGTGCCGTTGGTTGTGCCGTTGGTTGTGCCGTTGGTTGTGCCGTTGGTTGTGCCGTTGGTTGTGCCGTTGGATGTACCGTTGGTAGCCACGGTTGCTGCCAGCGACTTGGAAACAGCGGCCGCGAAACCGGGGTCGACCAGCTTGACGAGATCGGCAAAGGTCGACTTCTCATCGAGCTGGTACACATCAAGCTCGACGCCAAACTCGGCCTGCACGTCGCTGGCCAGCTCGATGCACAGGAGCGAGTCCAGACCCAGATCGGCCAGGTTAGCCTGCAGCGTGGGCGGCGACACCAGCTCCAGGTGCGACTGCAGGAGCGCTGCGAGCCCGGCGACTAAAGCACCGCTGGCGGCGGCGGTACCCGTCTTCGCGTCTAGCGAGGCGGACGAGACAGAGACGTCTGTGCTGCTGGCGGGCGTCGAGGTGGCGGCGGCATCGGCATCGGCATCTTCAGACAGCGCGTCGACGTCTGCAGGCGAGCCGATGCCCGCGTCCGTGTCGCTGCTGGACGAGCCCGAGGCGCCCTGCTGCATCAGGTAGCGCACTAGGGCGTCGACGTCGGCCATGTTCTCGAGCGCGTCGAGAGGCAGCTCGACGTCGAAGTGGGCCGATATCTCGCTGAAGACCTCCATCAGCATCAGCGAGTCGATGCCGACCTCGTCGAGCGACACGTCGCCCTTGATCTGGTCGCGGGGCACCTCGGCCACACGCTCGACCAGCACGCACACGTCGTTGAAGATAGCGCCGCTGCGGTCGAGGGCTGGTGCTGTGGTTATCTCGAGGGTCTTGGCTTGCTGCGCCGGTGGTGGGGGTGCAAGTGCCGGTAGGCGGGAGGCCACCACGGGGGGAGCAAGCTCGATTGCCTGCTGTGCTTGTCGTCGAACTCGCACAGCAGCCGGCGCCGGCGTCGGCGCCAGCTCCGCCTTGTTGATGGTGTTGGTGTTGGTGGTGTTGGTGGTGTTGTTGTTGTTGTTGGTGGTGTTGTTGTTGTTGTTGTTGTTGTTCTTGGTGGTGTTGGTGTTGTTGGCGCGAGACAGTACCTTGGCCAGCGAACTGTACGAGACGCGGGTGAAGCGCGCGCCCAGGATCATCACCACGATGCACCCTATCGCAGCGTCGTAGACAAACAGGTCGTGTGTCCGCTCCTTGTCGCTAGGCCGGCTCTTGGACGCCGTGAGCCAGATCTTGAACGTCTTCTTCTTGTTGCCCTCGTCGCCCAGTGAAAATCCCGGCCCAAACACCAGCCGCGCGAGGTTCGTCATGACAAAGACCTCGCCCTCGCCGCAGCCCTTGTCAAAGACGTTGGCATGCACCCCGCTCAGCTGTATGAAGGCGTCGACGACCGACGGCAGCGTCAGCGTGTCGCTGTTGCCGCGGAACATGGCATCGCCTTCTACCACCGCCACGGTGCTGGCCGCCGTGTCCGCCGCGCCGCGCCGCGCCGCCGCCGCCGCCGCCACCGCCACGTTCCGTATGCCGCGGTACAGGGGTTGGTACTCGACGACGCGTGAGAACAGGCGGTACAGCATCGAGCCGTGCACCGACTCGGCCGCGTCGTCGTCGGGGGCGTACAGTAGCGCGTCGACGGCGTCCTGGCTGACGAGCCGCTCGAACCGGCCCAGCTCGTCGCGCACAGCCGCGCCCGAGCCGTTCGAGTCGTCGTGCAGGATCACCTGGCCCGTGGCGTGGACCGAGGCCCGGGACTCGCGGCCTGCCTGGTGCAGGGGCTGGCTGCTGACGTGGAAGCGAAACGCCGACGGCGACCCCGCAGCCGGCCGATGATGCACCCGTAGCGTGATGCGGCGGTCGGCGGCTAGGCCCAGCGGCGACTCGATCTGCAGGTCGTGCACGGAAAAGGCGGCCGGCATGGGGGCGGGGGCCAAGACCTCGCGCGCCGCCCGCACCGCCATCTCGACGTACATGGTGGCCGGGCACAGCGGGGCGCCGGCAACGACGTGCCCGCCCACGAAGCGCGTGTACTCTTCGCACCGTGGATTGACGGCAAATGTCGTCTCGTTGTCGCCGGAGCGCGCTTCGAGCGCGATCAGCGTGGGGGGGAGGATTTCATGTTCGGCTGGAGATTCGGCTGCGACGCGGTCCAAGTGCGGTGGCGGCGGCGCCGACACAACGACGGGCTCCGGGAGAGGCACGATGTCGAGCCAGTGTCTTGTCTTCTCGAAGCTGTAAGGTGGTAGCCTGACAAAGTCGTACTGCGCCTGCTGGCGGGGATGAAACCCCCAGAAGCGCGTCCGGTGCCCCCTCCGCCACAGGTGCACGGTGGCGTCCGCCAGTGTGTTGAGCAGTGGCTCCTTCTTCTTCTTATTATCCCGGCTGAGAGCCACGGGTTGGAAGACGTGGCTCTTGCTGTTGCTCTTATCGTCGTCCAAGACGCGGCGAACCATGGCAGTTACGCCCGAATCGGTCCCGGCCTCGAGCCAGGTGCACCCCTCGCCCAACGAGTCGGCCAGGCGCCGGACCGCCTGCGTAAAGTAGACGGGCTCGCGCGTGTGGCCCGCCACGAGCTCGGGCGTCACTGCAGTCCAACTTCTGTCGGGCGAGCACGTCTCGAGGCGCATCTGCGGCACACGCATGCTGCCCAGTCCGCGCGCCAGCTTCTCGAGCGGCGGGACCACGGCGTCAGTGAGGCGGCTGTGGAAGCCGTGCGTGACGGCCAGGCGCTTGGCACGCACGCCCTCGTCGGCGAGGTGACGCTGGAAGGAGTCAACGGCGGCGGCCGAGCCCACAAGCACGTGCGACCTGGGCCCGTTGTAGCAGGCCACCTCGAGCGTGTCGTCTTTGTCCTGCTCGTTGTCTTTGTCCTGCTGGTCGGCCAGGAGCCGTTGGATCGTGTCCATGGGTGCCTCGACGGCGAGCATGGCACCGCGCTCGGGGCCCCAGTGCGCCTGCATCAGCTCAGCGCGGCCAACGACGAGCCGTAGCCCGTCGGCGAGCGAGAGCGCGCCCGACACGCACAGCGCCGTCAGCTGGCCCAGGCTATGGCCGACCAGCGCGTCGACAGCCAGCCCCGCATCGATCCACGCCTTGGCGCTGGCGTATTGCACCGAGAAGACCATGGCGTGCAGCGCGGCAATGTCGGACACGGGGTCTGACGAGAACACACCCGGGTACAGCAGCGACGGCTCGCCCAGCGACCGCAGCGACGGCTTGTCCAGCGACCGCAGCGACGGCTTGCCCAGCGACCGCAGCGTCTCGTCGCACTGGTCCAGGTGGAAGCGGAAGAGGGCCGACTGTTCCCAGAAGTCCCTGTCGAGGCCGACGTGGTCGCCGACTTGACCACCGAATGCAAGGACAAGAGGGGGCGCTTTGGTTGGTCTTGGCTCCAGCTTGTTGGTGCTGTTGCCGCTGCTCGTAGTATGCTGCTGTCGCCTGAGCTGCGTCTCCAGGTCGTGCACGTCTGAGGCTGTAGTTATGAGCGAGTAGGGGAGCTCCTGATTTTGCCTCCGCGCGAGGCTGTAGGCGAGACTTGGAAAGTCGTATGCCTCGTTCTTGTTTTTGTGAGCCTGAGCTCGTAGCTGGTCAGCCAGCGCACGGCAGTAGGCAGACAGGCTTTCGGGGGTGTGTGCGGCCACGAGAATGGGCTGCTTTAGTGACGACGGCGGTGTGACTGTCCTGCCCGGCCTTTTCTTCTGGGGAGCCTGCATGACAATCAGGGCCGCATTGCTCCCCGCCGCGCCGTAGTTGTTGACGCACGCCGTCAAGAAGTCGCCCTGCGGCAAGGCAAAGTTGCGGGTGGGAATGACGATCTTGTCAGGCTCGAGCGCGGCAATCTTGGGGTTGAGCGTAGCGAAAGAAGTTTGCACTGTCGCCGTGCGCTTCTCGATCTGCAGGATGGCCCTGATCAGGCCGGCCACGCCCGACGCGCCCTCGAGGTGTCCGATGGCGCCCTTGACCGACGACACGTACAGCGGCTGCTTGCGCGCCGCGGGGTTGCCGCCGGCCCCAAACACGGCCCGGATGCTCTCCATTTCGATGGGGTCTCCGACTGGCGTTCCCGTGCCGTGCGCCTCGACCAGCGACACGTCGCCTGGCGCGATGCCCGCTCGCGCCGCTACGGTCTCGAACAGCTGCCGCTGCGAGTCGGCGACAGGCACGGCGATGGGCGCGCTGTTGCCTGCACCGCAGTTGCGGCTCTGGTTCACGCCCGACCCCCCGATGACGGCCAGGATCTCGTTGCCGTCCCTCTGCGCCGCCGCTAGGTCCTTGAGCACGACGAGGCCGACACCCTCGCCGCGGCAGTAGCCGTCAGCGCGCGCGTCAAATGGCTTGCACGGGCCCGTAGTACTTAGAAAGTGCGCGGCCGCCAGGTTCTCGTGGATGTAAGGCGCCGTGAGCAGGACGACGCCCCCTGCCACGGCGCGGCTGCAGTCGCCGTTGCGGATGGCCTGGCACGCCGAGTGTATGGCGACGGCCGAGGATGAGCACGCCGTGTCGATTGTCAGCGACGGGCTGGTCCAGCCAAAGTAGTGCGATAGCTTGCCGCTGATAAAGGCGCGCAATGTGCCCAGCGTCGAGAAGGCGTTGGCAGCGTGCGTACCCACGTTGGCGTCGTAGTCGGTCGAGCTCATGCCGATGTACACGCCCACGTCGTGCGGCCGGGACGGGTTGGCAAAGTAGCCGGCCGACGCCATGGCTTCGTACGTCGCCTCGAGGAGCAGCCGCTGCTGTGGGTCCATGGACGCAGCTTCGCGGGCCGATTTCTTGAAGAAGCGGTGGTCGAAGGCGTCGATATCCCGCACAAGGTTTCCCATAAATTGGGGCATTTGCGTCTTCTTATTGTTGTCCTTCTTTTTTTCCCTGTACAGCCCCGCGCGTGTCGACCTGTCGTCGGTCCACCGCGACGGCGGAATGGGCTGGACAGCGGACCGGCCGTCGAGGAGCATCTGCCAGAACTCGTCGACAGAGTCCGCATCTGGGAACTTGCACGACATGCCAACCACCGCTATGGCCCCTGGTGGGTACCGGTGCTGGTCCTGTGGCTGTTCGCTCCCGCTGGGTTGTGCATGTGACTTTGAGTTGGCTGCCGACTTTGAGTTGGCTACTAATATGTCGGCTGCTAATATGTTGGCTGCCTTGACCACTTTGATGTCCTTCGACACCGAGAGCGGCACGGCATCGGCGCCAAACGACTGGATGAAGGCGCCAGGCCGGCCCGCCAACGACTGGAGCGCCTCGGCCGCCGGGGCCATGACAGACGTCCACTCGCAGCGCTTTGACAGCATGGATCGAAGGGCCGCCCTGGCATGGTCAGACGAGGTGCTGTCGTCCAATGCTTCGCCGTCGTCGTTCGAACGTACCAAAGCCCGGGGCGGGCCAAAGGACGCCGGACCAAACGTGCTGCAAGCCTCCAAGATGGGCTGGACGACGTGCTCGAGTGGCGCGTAGTGGTAGCGGCCGCCGAGGCCTGTGTCGACAGCCGAAATTCTCCTCTCGGTCAGGTCCTGCTTCAGGGCGGCCACGGAAGACGTGGGAAGCGTGATCGAGGCGTCATATGTGTCTTTGAGCACCGAGATATATGCCTGGTGGACATGGCATATTGTATCCAATTTTAGTGACACGGCTGCAAAACCAGGGGCTGGCTCCTCGGTAATTAAGGCAAAAAAAAAAAAGAGAAAAGAAAAAGTAGAGAAATGAGAGAAGAAAAGAAATGAGAGAGGAAAAGAAATGAGAGAAGAAAAGAAATGAGAGAAGAAAAAGTAGAGAAATGAGAGAAAGAGAAAGAGAAACAGTACGCACCCCTTCATATTTCGCCAACACCTCTTCAACACCGTCCAAGCCCATTGGCGCTCGCCACCGAATGGCAAGGCACGTGGTAGGGCCGGCGTCGAGGGCGTCGAGGTCGACAAACGCGCCCGCCGCGAAGGCGAGCCGGACGGCCAGCGCCGCATTCCTAGCAAGCGCCTCGTCGTCGGGCGCGCCCGCCGTGGCGAGCGCGCTCAGCATCCCGACGCAGAAGCCCTGGATGCCTGCTCCGGCCGTCTTGAGCGAGTCGAGAACAGCCGCGTGCGCGGCGCCACTAAAAGGGCTGCTCGGATTCTCGACGGAAAGGTGGTCGAGAAATCCAAAGTACTGCACCAAGTGCCGGAGCACTGTCACAGGCATGGCGAGCCGGTTCAGCTGCTGCTGGCCAGCTTGTTGTGGGAGTAGCTGCGTCTCCCCTGACAAGGAGGACGCCCATTGCGCGAGTTGGTCGGCGGCATCGCGGCCCGACGGGAGACGTGCCAGCCCGGCGTGGCGGGAAACCAGCTGGTCCCAGAGCTGCGGGAGGCTGCGCAGGGCCTCGACGACCGGTTGCGAGCGGTCGCGGTGCTGCTTGCTCGCGAGCAGCGTGTCGTGCACGAGGCCGAGTTCCTGCTCCGATGGCCACGTAGTCAAGGAGCCAAAGACAATGCACGAGGGCAGCGGCCGGTGAACGTCTTGTTTTTGGTCCATTGTCGCGGCTTCGGTTGGCTGGTAGGAGTTGTTGAACTGGTGGAGGAAGGGAGCAGGCAAACTTGGAAACTCTTACTTGAGAGCAGCAGTAGTCTTGGCCGTGTTGAAATTAGACTCTTCTGGACCATAGTACTTCACAGGACAAGCGAAAGTCTGGACCAACATGGCATGGAGCAGCTAGTAGTCAGAGCAACCCAGAAATTTTTGTAACTGTGAAAAGACATTAAGACAGAAGACTGCTCGCACATTGCCCGACTTATTGTCCAACGCCCCTTCGAGATAGGACAGTTTCGGGCTTGGCGTGTGGGTTATCTCACACGGACCGCGAAATATAATGCCGGAATCCTCAGGGGTAACGTCTTGATTTGATCTTATCTATTCAATCGGGTATTTTTTCGGCGCCTTTGCTCGAATCAGGGGCGGCTATCCGTGTATCGAAACGCAACCAGAGGATTTCCGGCATTATTAGCAATCTAATGCTAGATAAGCGCTTTCTGCGAGATAAAAAAGGGAAGGAGAAGACGACAGTAAAACGGCGATAAGAAGAAAAAGGAAAAATTAGAAAGTCCGCCGCTCGGCGGACCATTACCTAGAACGTCGTGCTTAGATAGACCGAGCGGCAATCGAAAAGAAGCTCGAAGAAATAGTCACCGAGATCATCCGACCCTCTGTATGCACCATACACCTCATGCCACAGGCGGATAGACCGGGCTATTGGCGCGTTTGCGTGGGCCGAGCCGTGTATTTGGCCCCTACGGGTTTCCGTCTCGCAAGTTAATAGTCCTTGTCAGTCTTGATAATGCAGAATAAATGCAGGCTGTTTGTTAGAATTGTCTTGGAGACTGAAAGCCGCCGTCTCGCTCGTTCCTTGGCTGCGAGATAACTACCTACCTGTAGCGAGAACTTAGCCGCCCCCAACGTCGGGATTCTCCTTCTACATTGGCACAAGTCACAAAGTCTTTGCGTCTCCGGTTTCGAGCGATACGCTATCGTCCTTTCCATCATGGCCGAACGCTCAGACACCACGAACCAACGGCGTCCGTTGTCGGCTTCGGAAAGAGAAGAAGCAGACGCCAGCTCCCTTCTAGTCTTCGGCTCCCTGGCGCTCTCCTTTGACCAGGATGCCTTCTTGCGCGTGCGCAAAGCTGTCCTCGAGACGGGCGGAAACGAGTGGCTGAACGATCACGTCGTCCAACGTCTCGCAGCTAGCTGCACCACGGCCAGGGATGCGCTTGGCGACATCGTGGACGCAGCCTCGTGGGAAGTTGCAAGGAGAGACTTTACGGAGCTGGCCGAGGCCTTCCGCACCCCGGCCCGCCCTCTCGGCGTGCCGTTCCCGCTGAACAATGCCTTGTTGATTCCGCTGGTGGTCATTGATCAGCTGACCCAGTATGCCGCCTTTGTTGGCCATCAGCAGCGACAACCACAACAACAGGAAACCTCGACGACGGCCTGGTTAAAGGGGGACAGAGAAACCCTCGGCCTGTGCACCGGGCTCTTGGGTGCCTTCGCGGCAGCCGCTGCGCATGACCAGAGCGAGTTCCGTCGGTTTGGCGCCGCCGCCGTGCGCATCGGCATGCTTGTCGGGATCGTTGTCGATGCCCAGGCCGGTGCGTCTGGGGCAGGAAAAAGGCCGCGGTCGTTGAGTGTAGCCTGGGGGAGCAGCAGTGCCCGAGATGAACTGACGAGAATCCTAAACGGCTACCCAGAGGTACGTGGGTATTCTTTTCTCCTGTTCACCCCCTGCCCCGCCGCTATTGTCAACCTGTACTTGTTCTAAAATGGCTGATGCGACAACCAGGCCGAAACATACATATCCGTCTTCTACGACACGCACCGCGCAACCATCACAACAACGCAGGACAACGTAGCCCCGCTGGCCCAGCGCCTGAATACCGGCGGGCTGAAAGCCACCGACATCGGGATCTACGGCCGCTACCACTCGGCTATCAGTCACGCACACGCGCTAGAGCGGGTGCTGGCCTTTTGCGACGCGAATGAGAGCTTCCAGTTGCCCGAAGCCGCGACGCTGGCTCTGCCAACGCACGCCAACAACGCAGCTGGCAGTCGCCCCGTCGAGGGTCCGCTCCATGCCCACGCGCTGAGGTCCATCCTGGTCGAACCCCCGCACTGGGCCGAGGCGCTGGACTCGGCGATTCGCGACAAGAAACGGAGCAAGTACAACAAGAAGACGCGAGTCTTCTCGTTCGGCCCAGAACGAAGCGTGCCTGCGTCTTTAATGGCACGCAGCGGGGATGTGAGCGTAGTGCACTTCCCCAGCGCCGCCGCCGCCGCCGCCGCCGCCGCTACTACTGCTTCCGATACGTCATCAGCACCCGGGACCAGCAGTAAAAGCGACGAGGTCGACGACGCGCCGAAATTCCTCCGGCAAGAAGACGGCCTCGATCGCCCGTGGACGGACAGCGACATCGCGGTGGTAGGCATGGCGTGCAAGGTGCCGGGGGCTGACAGCGCGGACGAGTTTTGGGACTTGCTGGCGGCGGGGCGGTCGCAGCATCGCGAGATCGACATTGGGGATGGCTGGGTGGACGAGTCGTCGTCGGGAACTGGTCGGCTGTTCGGCAGCGGGCCTTTCCGGACGACGCAGCAGCAGAGTCGCCGATGGTTCGCCAACTTGCTCGACGACCCAGGCCACTTCGACCACCGCTTCTTCCGCAAGACGGCGCGCGAGGCCGAGAACATGGACCCGCAGCAGCGCCTGCTGCTACAGGTCGCGTACCAGGCTATCGCCATGAGCGGACACCTGCGCACGCACCGTGTGGATGACGAGGCCGACGACAAGAAAATTGATGACGCAAACAATGTCGGCTGCTTCGTGGGCGTCCATCTCAGCGAGTATGACGACAACGTGGCCAGCCACGCAGCCAACGTCTTCTCGGCGACGGGCAATCTGCAGAGCTTCATCGCGGGGCGGGTATCGCACCATTTCGGGTGGCGGGGCCCGTCACTGACCGTTGACACGGCCTGCAGTTCATCCATGGTGGCTGTACACCAGGCATGCCAGGCGATCATATCAGGCGAGTGCGCTGGCGCACTGGCGGCAGGCGTCAACGTGCTGGCGGGTTCCGGGTTGTGGTTCCAGAACCTGGGGGCGGCCGGGTTCCTCAGCCCGACAGGCCAGTGCCGGCCGTTCGATGCCAAGGCCGACGGCTACTGCCGCGGCGAGGGCTTCGGCGCTGTGTTTCTGAAGAGGCTGAGTCAGGCCGTGGGCGACGGTGACGCGATCCTGGGCGTCATCGCCGCCACTGCTGTGGAACAGAACCACAACTGCACGCCCATCTTTGTACCAAACGCTCCGTCCCTTGCCGGCCTATTTTCCAAGGTCGTGGCGAAAGCGAACGTGCGGCCGGCCCAGATCACCGTCTGTGAGGCTCATGGCACCGGCACGGCCGTGGGTGATCCAGCCGAATTTGGCGCGATCCGGCAGGTGCTGGGCGGGGCCAAGAACCGCGACAGCAAGGCAGACAAACCCCTGGCGGTCAGCTCGGTCAAGGGACTGCTCGGCCACACCGAATCCTCGTCGGGCATTCTCAGCTTGATCAAGGTGCTCCTTATGCTGAACAAAGGCCTCGTGCCGCCGCAAGCCAGCTTCGAAACCGCCAACCCTGCGCTGAACCTAGACGCCGTCCAGGACCGCATGTTCATCCCCACTCGCCTGCAGCCGTGGGACGCCGATGTCCGCGTTGCCCTGATCAACAACTATGGCGCCTCGGGGTCCAACGCAGCAGCCGTAGTCATGCAGGCGCCACGCAGCAACGATGGTGCCAAATTGGTCGGAGTGAAAGGGCCTGCCACCAGTGCTAAGCAGCCTTTCTTGCTCTGCGGCCTGGACGACAAAGGCATCCGCCGCTACGCCAAAGCTCTCGGGCGGTTTCTGGTCCAACCATCGGGCAAAAGTTGTACGCTGGCGAGCTTGTCGTACAACCTCGCCCGCCAGAGCGACACGGCCCTATCCACGCGGGTTGCCTTTTCTGCGCACTCTGTGGGTGAGCTGCAAGGGAAGTTGGCGGCGCTCGCGGCCGGCGACGAGAGCGAAAGAATGGTACGCATCCCTAGCGCTACTAAGCCTAAGGTGGTCCTGTGCTTTGGCGGGCAGATCGCGGCATGGGTCGGGCTTGACCGGCAGCTGTACGACAGGGTGGGTACACTACGGAAGCATCTGAACCAGGTCGACCGAGTGCTTGTGCGTACACTGGGGGCGCAGAGCATCTTTCCGGCCGTATTCGTGCGCGAGCCCATCGCGGACACGGTCGTGCTGCAAACGGCGCTCTTTGCAACGCAGTACGCGTGTGCGCGAAGTTGGATCGACGCCGGTGTCCGCCCCGCCACACTGGTCGGCCACAGCTTTGGCGAGCTGACGGCACTCTGTGTCGCGGGCGCCCTCTCCCTAGAGGACGCGTTGAAGTTGGTTGTCCGTCGTGCGGGGCTGGTGAGGGACGCGTGGGGTGACGACAAGGGAGCTATGATGGCCGTGGAAATAGAAGGAACCGGCGATGACGGCGATGAGGGCGATGACGGGGCCAAAGCCGAAGCCGAAGCCTTGGTGGCCAAGGCCAACCGGCTCCAGAGCGCAAACAACCCACCCGTTAGTATCGCGTGCTACAACGGGCCGCGGAGCTTCACGTTAGCGGGACCGTCCGAGGCCATGACGGCTTTGGATAACCTTCTCCTTGCTGACGGCCACGGAGACGACGACGGGTACAATAACACCAAAACGCGGCGCCGCCTGCTCAAGGTCACCAACGCCTTCCACTCGGCCCTCGTTGACCCGCTAGTCTCGCGGCTAGAGCAGAGCGCGCGGGGACTGAGGTTCCGCGCACCAACCATCCCGCTGGAGCACGCGACGCGAGAGGATACGACGGGCGTGGCATTAACGGCACGATTTGTTGCGGACCACATGCGGCGGCCAGTTCACTTCCACCACGCAGTGCGGCGCATCGTGGGCAAGCACGCCAGTGGCGGCGACGCCTGCATCTTCCTCGAGGCGGGCAGCAACTCCACCGTCACGGCCATGGCAGCGAGGGTCGTTGGCGAAGGGACGCCACACCTTTTCCAAGGCGTCAGCATTACCAACTGCGACCACGGCTGGGATCGGCTGACCGATACCACTGTTGCGCTCTGGAAGGCCGGTGTCGACGTACGGCACTGGGCCCATGTGCACGACACGTTACAGCCACTTCTCCTTCCGCCGTACCAGTTCGACCCGGATGCGCACCACTGGCTCGACCTGAAAGCTGTGCCGGCATCGACACCCTCGGAGCAGGAACAGAAAACGGCCGATGACTTCCTCACGCCTTTCGGCGTCTCCCGCGACAAGAGCAAAGGGAAAACTGCAGCGCTCTTCCGGATCAACACGAACATTCCCAAGTACTTGCGGCTGCTCGCCGACCATGTCATCATCCACACGACGCCCCTTTGTCCGGGGACGGTGCAGATGGGGTTTGTCGTTGACGCAGTGCATAGCCTGCGCCCGCAGCTACGCGAAGACGGCGGGCAGGACGAGCCCCAGTTCCAGGAAGTCCAGTACCACTCGCCGATGTGCGCCAGCGATGCAGGGGTCCGCACGAGCTGGATCGAAGTTGTGGAGGATGATGATGGTGGTGGCTGGCGGTTCGAAGTGTTCAGCACCGAGACAGAGATGGTAGCGCACGGCCGGCCTCGCATAGCCCACACAACCGGGCACGTAGCCTTCGGCTCCGCGAGTGACAACGCGCTCCGGCGCGAGCTCGCGCGCTTCCACAGACTCTTGGGGGGCTGCGACCTCCGAACCCTCGACTTGGTCCGCGGAAGGCGGACAGGCACCAGCACAGACGACAGCGACGTCGAGGTCCTGGGCCACCGCAGCATCTACCGACTGTTCGACGACATCGCGCAGTACGGCGACAGCTTCCAGCGGCTCCAAAAGCTGGCCGTGAGAGGGACTACGTCGGCGGGACACGTTGTTGCTCGCCCTCAAAAGTCTTTGCCTTCGGATTCCAGCGAAGGGAGTTTCGATGCCTACCTGGCCGACGCCTTCTGCCAGATCGGCGGCATGTGGACCAACTGCCACATGAGAGGTGACGATCACAACGACGACGCCATTTACCTTGCCAGTGGTATCGATCAGTGGATCCGGGCGCCCGGGGTGCGCCGGCCGGACGAGTTCCACATCTTCGCCACGCACTCGTCAGTTCAGGCCTCAGGTGATGGACGTCAGCAATGGGTGACCGACGTTTTTGTCCTGGACGGCGTGTCCGGGACTCTGCTCGACGTCATCCTCGGCCTCGCCTATTTCCGGACGTCCAAGGCGTCGGTCGAAAAGATGCTTGCGCGCTTGACCGACTCGGCTATCGCGACGCCCAAGAAAACACAAAAGCCGACAACCACCCGGATACAGACGACGCAGGCAGCAGCACTGACGCAGGCCATCATGACTGGGACGGAAAATAGGCGATATGCGTCACCCAAGCCGAAGCCAAGGAAAATACACAGCGCGAACAACAACAAGAGCCTGCTGACCGTTCGCATCAAAGCCGTCGTTGCCAACATGTCAGGTCTCGACCCGTCCGAGATCAGAGACGACAGCAAGCTCGCGGATCTCGGCATCGACTCGCTCACCAGCATGGAACTGACGAATGAGCTGGAAAAGGCCTTCCCAGACGTCGGCCTGCCCGAGCGCGAGATAGCCGGCGCGAGCGACTTGGCGGGTCTAGTGCAATGCGTACTGGCTGCGGCAGCGTCGACTATGGTGGAGGACGATAACGAGGACCTGCCCAGCACTACCAGCACGTCTTCCTCGTTATCGTCACTAGACGCAGGCGCCAGGACGGGCAGCAGTAGCAGATTGACCACGCCGCCCGCCGGCTCCGATTCAGGCAAATTAGACAAAGACGGCGACGTCCCTGTTTCGCTCCAGGACAGCTTGGCTCTGGCCTCGACGCAACTCCGGATGCCCGCCGTGATCGAAGCCTTCCGCGAGATCAAGTCGCAAACAGACGCGCGTATAGCCGAATGGGGCCTGGCGAACTACGCCTCGGAAGTTCTCCCGCTTCAGACGGAGCTGGCCGTGGCGCTGACGCTGGAGGCTTTCGAGGAGCTGGGCTGCAATATCCGAGGGGCCGCACCAGGTCAGCTTCTCCCGTGGATCCCCCACGGCGGAGAGCACGGCCGGCTCGTCGACCACCTCTACCGGATGCTGCGGGACGAGTGCGGTGGGCTCGTCACGTTGGACGGGAAGATTGCCAGGCGCACGGCCGTGGCAGCCCCGGCTCGGCCCGGCAGCCAGGTCCTCGACGAACTCGGCGCGCGCTTCCCAGACCAGCAGATAATTGACCGGCTGACGCACCACGCCGGCGGCAACCTAGCGCGCGTGCTGCGGGGCGAGACGGACGGGGTACGGGTCGTGTTCGGCGACCCAGTTGGGCGTGAGCTAGTGAGCCGCTTTTACTCCGAGTGGCCACTCTTCCAGGCACTGCATGCGCAGCTGGAGGACTTCTTAGGCGGGCTGGCAACGGGGCTCGAGCAGGGGCAGGAGCCGTTGCGGGTGCTCGAGATGGGTGCTGGCACCGGAGGTACCACGCGGCGCATCCTGCCGCTGCTGGCGCGCCTAGGCGTGCCGGTCGTCTACACCTTCACGGACCTGGCGGCATCGTTTGTGGCGTCCGCACGCCGCAGCGCCTGGGCCAAAGAATACCAGGACCACCCGCGGCTCCGGCTCGATTTCCGCGTGCACGACATTGAAGGAGCGCAAGAGTCGGAAGAAGCCGAATTGGCGGGCTCGCAGCACATTGTCCTGGCGACCAACGCCGTGCACGCGACGCGCTCGCTCGCGCGCAGCCTGGCCCACATACGACACGTGCTGCGGCCCGACGACGGGGTGCTGCTGTTGTTAGAGCTCACACAGGGGCTGTGCTTTCTCGATCTGACGTTTGGGCTATTTGAGGGCTGGTGGCTCTTTGACGATGGACGTACACACGCGCTGGCGACGGCGACTAGGTGGCAGACTGAGCTGCATGGCGCGGGATTTGGGCTCGCCGACTGGACCGATGGCAAGAGGCCCGAGACGCGTATGGAGAGGCTGATATTCGCTGCGGCGAATCCGGATACCAGGTTGATGTGATGCGATGTCGCAGGCGGGGGCGGGGGCGGAGGTGGTTTTGTTGTTTCAAGTATTTTTTTTACTGCGTGTCCGTAGAGCTACTCCGATTTGTACTTGTCTCGTCGCCATTGCTGTTTTGGAGCTACTCCGATCTGTACTTGTCTCGTCGCCATTGCTGTTTTCGTTCTTGCTGATGGACGCAATCCCACCCTGCGCACCGTGAGATCCATGCCTGCAATGACGAAGTAGGCGGTCGGCATGGTGAAACTCGTGTTCATAGCGAGGATAAATGAGGGAGAGCCGCGTTCAACTTCGTGATGGTGATGAGAAAGAATGGAGGCGGCGGTGGAAGCTTGGATCCAGGGCCACTGATGGATGACCAGAAGATCTTTGATGACCCCGCTTCTCCCGAAGTGGAGAATAACCCTAACCCTGCAGGACTACGGTGCCAAGCCTAATTTCCAGCGCTCACTACTACACAGTATAACTGTTACTCTGTGCCCCTGTCATCTAATTTCCCATCCTACAACTTTAAAACACTTAAGTTTATCAAATCAAGCCTAAATTGCTTCAAAATAAGCCATGTCGGACCGTCGCGAGCAGCTCATTGAAGCTGCAATATTTGCTGTTGAGCAGGGCGCTTCGAAGAAGGACGCTGCCAAGTTACATGGCATCTCTGCCTCCACCCTCTGTAAACGACTCCATGGCGCAGAAATCGAGCAAAACGTAGACAGAGGGAAAGAAATCTCTCCGATGCGTAGGAAGGCTTCCTAGCCGACTGGTGCCTCAATGAGGAAGCTGTAGGGCGTGCGCCTAGCCGTCGTTAGGTCCAGAGATTCGCTCAGGCTATGCTTGATGAGGCTGGCACGAAAAAGATGGTGGGCGAGCGATATGTGGATCGCTTCCTACGCCGCAACCCGGCGGTAAAAATGAAGAATTCGGCCTTGTCGGAATCCCCCCGCGTCAGAGGCTCTATTCGTGAGGCTTACGGAGACTTCTACAAGCGCCTGGCCTTCCAGATCAAGGATAAAAAAGTCAAACCGGCCAACATGGCCAACATGGACGAGCACGGCATGCAGGAGCTTGGAAGTATGACTACTCAACAACAGGACGGAGCAACGCCAAAACCGTTTTCAAATGGCTCAAGGAGGTCTGCCTAATCCAGACAATGCCCCAAACGCCTGGCGAATGGCGTATATTGATCCTTGAACATTCGAGCCATATGGACGAAGATGGAAATGAGAAATTTGCACGTATTCAGGACATTGACAAAGCCCAAAAAGCCAGTCAAATGCCACCAAGCGAAAAAGACCGGCCCGGGCACCAAATCAGCCACATGCAGTCGAAGAATCCCGGGAAATAATCGCCCGTGGGCTCGAGCGATACAGAGAGGCTGAAGAAGAGGATTGAGTACTTTTTGGCTAGTTATTTTGTGTTCGTGGTATTCCAACCACGTAGGTGTTCCAACGGGTCAAAAAGTGGTAGTACTGCCGGGGGGGGGTGTAAAGTTGTTCTGATTCATGTTCTGCTCTAGAAATCTATGGTGGGGGTCTTTGGCGTGCGAGGGCCGTGCGGCGCACGTGCATCGCACCGCCTCCCTTCCAGAGTAGAGTACGGTCACCAACATCGCTATTCCAACATTTTGTGTAGAAATGGATGATTTGCGCCCGTGGGGTGGGTGTGGGCATGGTGTGGGTCAATTTTGTTGGTGGGCGATTTCGTTGTTGGGTCGGCTCTTCTAGGTATCCGTATACCTTGAGGTACTTTAGTTACCCACCTCCAAATCTCAATCTCGGTTGTCGCCTGACCCGGAGCCACCGAGGCAAGCTGGCGCATCATTCGCGTACTGCTGCTCCCACACCGATCGAAAGCACTTTTCCAATCCCCCTTCGTCAAGAACTTCTGCGTGTTGGTAAAGCTCCCCAATGCTTCCCACCTTGCCATGCTGGGCGGTGCTCTTGACCACGTTTTGGAGCACCTGTGGGGGCAGCACAGACCGAGGGGAGAATATTTCGACAGCGACTGAACATCTGGCGTTTGCAATTCTTTACAATCGCGAGATGAGGTGTTCGTTGGAAATACCAGGACGGCTGAGCATCTCCGTCACCGGCCGTGACAAACACGCCGGCTTTCTACTCCAGCAGTCACCCATCCCGAACAGGGCTGATCTAATAGCCTGCTCCACCCGCTGCACCTTGCCTTTTTCGTCATTCTCTCCGTACATCGCTACGCATCGCTACGCATCGATATTTTCGTTGCTGCGGGGGCAGGGGATGCATCGCAAAAGATTGACAGCGTCTGTGACTGGGCCATCTTCCTTGTTACGGCCGCTAGGACGTTTTTTGCCCTCACCACCGGTACTCTAAGTTAGTGGGCTCTGGAGAAGTGGCCAGGTAGACGACTTAACGAGCCCTCTGAAAAAGGGGCACCGTTGCCGGGGCAACCAGTGCTGGCTGGTGTTGACGCGGAGAGCGGAAATGCCCCTCAAGCTCCGCGAGCCCCCGCATGCGAATGCAAGTTCAAGCCCAAGACCAACTCAGTTTGTCTTACGCGAGTTAACGGATTCCCACATGTCATGGTCATAAACGGCAGCGGCACGGCGTGGGGCCTGGAGACGCTAGCCACGGCAAGATCTGAGGCCTTGCCCGAGACCCCTTGGTAACTGGGCATCCTGGCCGTAGCCTGGACCTGCCTGCCTATCAGCGTGTCAGGGTTGCGGGCTCACACGTGTTTCTTAGTGATAGTGGGTAGTCTCGGCATGATTCAAAACGTGTATGCTGCCTCGACCCGGCGACCGCCTGAGAGCATGGGCCTGGCGCTCAGCATTTTCAAGGAACGGCCAACCATCATCGGGTCCTCAACCTGTGAGGCCAAGCATTAGTATAAAGGGAAAGACGTCAACCAGGCATCCGACGAGGCCCTCATGGCGAGTATTTTGGATCCCCATAGGGTTGCTGGGGTGCGCGGGGCCATCCGGGAGCTCGAGAAGACGATCCCCCGCGCCGGATTTGCGCTAATGCCTGTGCACTTCCCTGCCCTCTACCGTACTGACAGGGAGAGGTATAGGGACGAGGCAGAGGCAAGGTTTTGGCAGTTGAATGTCGGGAGGAAGTAGCGGAAGCGCTCCTGGCCAGATCCAGACCACATAGCGGCACTCGTCAAAGAGTATGACGGCTTCGAGGCGGAAAGGGTCAAAAAGGGATTGTTTTTCATGAACTATTGCATAGATTAGTGACTTTTGCGAGGGATAAGGGTGCCAGGGTCTCTTAGATTAGGTAAAGTACCTAGGTATGTACCTAGTGAATGTTACGATCCTGGTTCAAAGGTGCAGTAGGCGTTGCCCGCTCGCGACAGATTGGCTGGAGTGGCATTTAGGGCGGGGCTCTCGGCGAAGTGGATGCAGCCAATCAGGGAACGCTCAGTATGATCAGTACGCCCAGTCGGCTCAGTTGGCCTTGGAGCGCACTGAGCATACGGAGCGCACTGAGCACATAGGATAAGGATTCTAATTGGTTGTCATAGTTCTATATAGGAGCTGGCAGAACGCTCCCCCTGGGAGAACGGTTCTGCAGCTATCAATGCATCTGGTTAAGCATACATTGGTTATGTGTTGAAAACCTGTCTTTCGCAATCTGTGCACGATACTCCTTGTCTCCTGTCATCTCCTACCTGCCGTCCAGACCCCCAAAATCCTAGGCCGGGCCTAGCTCCGTGGACCTGTTGTCCAGATTGTAACATCACGTGTCAACCTCGCTCGCAAACTTTCTTTCATGGAAAAAGCCCAATTACGTTAGTGTGTGGGTCACGTGCAAACTCTGCTCACAAACCTTTTTCTACCGATCGCAGCTCCTGCGATCCTTCTTTCTTTTTCTTCTCTAGCTTAGTTTTACACCAAGTAAATACGGTATCTTATTGGCATTGTCTTATATAATCCTATTAACCGTAACAGTCAGCTCACGCCCACCTCTCAGCCCTCTCAGCCCTCTCAGCACCACTCTTACACGGCCTATAGCCCGCCATAAATAGGCAGTCCCAAATCATACACATAGCCTCAGCCTATACTCAGGTTACAGTGAGGAAACCCACGAAACCCTAAAGCAGGGCGGTGCGAAACGCTGCACCTACTCAGTGCTCAGCCATCTCCCTTCTCGTCCATTGATTAAATCGGTCTGAAATCACGTCGCGCACAAACTATACATCTGCAAACCTCTATATTACAAACCACTCGGCTGTTAGGGTCGTCTGTCTGTAAGGGAGCACGGGCTCCACAGGATGCTGGGGTTGGTAATTATGAAGATAGAACAGAGGGCAAGCTCCTATCGCACGGGTAATACAGTCAAATCGGAATGCCACTCAAAGTGTATGAGTGCAGTGAATGTGTATTGCTTGCTTGAAGAAACAAGCAAGAACTATCTAAGACCGTGGGTACGGTCATCGTATTTATTTAATTATGGCGGGCCAGTAAGAGCTGCGCTCTTACTTGCCCGACAGGAAGGAGCTGCCTGGCGCCGGGCACTGCTAGCGTGCCGGGCCATTTGCCTGGTGCCAAGACCCTTCTTGGCACCAGGCCACCCCTGATTGGCCGTCCTTCCGTTTGCCTGGTGCCAAGAGCCCTCTTGGCACCGGGCACCGTCTGATTGGCTCTCGACAAGCGGGGCCCCCAGTCTTGCCTGAGGCGCCTGCCTTCTGCAGCTGGTCCAGTACGAACCAGGTTCGTCACACCGTTCTCCCAGAGAGAGCGTGCTGCCAGCTCCTATATAAGCAACGGCCCTCGCCCACCTTCCTTTGCGAGGGCCAGGTTGAAGTCTTACATCATTGCCAGTCATTGCTCGCCCTTCTTGTTGCCTCCATTGTGACCACCTTCATCCGGCGTACCTGCCTTTCCTTAACGTGTGTGATAAGCGAGATGAACAGACAAGCGAGTTGAACAATTTCCACAACCTCACCACAACTACCCTCAATTACACAACCACAACACTAGGAAATAACAATAACTGAATCGGAAACAGATGAATCAGACGATTCTGCAGCCTCCTTGCACGTACGTGCATTATGGCCAGGCTTGCCGCATACGCCACAGCATCGAATCTTCGTACGAGACCCCCCTGCACCACCACCATTTTGTCGTGTTTCCTGGACTAACTGCCCACCCACAGCCTTCTGATCTAGTAGATCCTGTGCCTCTTGTATAGTAAGTGATCCTCTAAGCCGAACACGTGTTTTCTTGGCTCTCCGTCGCTTACTAAGCCCCTCATTGGCCTTCCGAAGTGCTGAGACCTCTGTACGCAAAAGAGCCACCTCGTGCATCATAGCCATCGTACCTTTAGCTAATCGATCCACAGCAGTCAGCATTGGTGTTGGAGAGCTGCCCTGATGGTTGGAAATTCGAGTTTTGATGAACGCTGACTGTGAGGCAGCCTCTCTCGGGTTTTGTGGCGTTTGGGAGACCCAAGGTAGCGATGTAGTTAGGCTTGTAGCTGGGGGTGTTGGAGTCCGAATACGCACATCTAGCTTGGATATCACCCTCTCTGGATCGTACGGCACAAGGCCGGCTCCAGCAAACCCCCCCTGGATATTCCTTTCCGTAACCGAAGCAAAAAACGCCTCTCTAAACCCACAAAGAAACTCCAGCTTGCTAATATGTGTGATGTTCATCCGCATCAGCTGCTCAATCTGACAGCCGTACGCCTTCTTCAACGGCCCAAAGCAACCAACATCCAATGGCTGAAGTAGGTGTGAAGAGTGCGGAGGCATACAGAGTGTGATGATGTTGTGCTCCCGGCAGTAAGTCTCGAATTCTTCGGAGTGGTGGCTATCGTGGCCGTCGAGAATTAACAGTCGGTATATTCCCTTCGTACGAGATGCTGTGTGGAAATCGAAGTGCCGAATCCAATCCATGCCTTTCTCATTAGTAGTCCAGCCATTGTCGGTTGTTGCGATACGCCAGGTACCCGGAAGGTTGCACTCTTGATACCAGTTAGCAAGGTGATATTGCCCAGCTAAGATAATGAATGGTGGGATAGTCCAGCCTAGAGCATTCACTCCTTGGATGACTGTAGCCCACTCTCGATTACCAGGCTGGGCTTGCTTAGCCCTACCACGGCCATCAGAGGTAGTAACTACCATAGCGGGGATGATAATGCCCATCATAAAGCCGGTCTCGTCGAAATTGTACAAATCTTCGTCAAGGATACCGTACTTGGCCTTCGTGTTGTGCACAAGCGCAAACCACTCGCGAATAACTTTTGGATCTTCGCATTTGGCCCTCTGGTAGTCGTATTTACGCGTAAAACGCGTCCGAAGTTCTGGCTGGCGCTTGACGAAGTTGTGAGCCCAGCGTGTACCGACAGAGGGCGCGTCGCGTTCGCGTAGCAATCGATTGGCCATATCTTCTACGTACGAAAGCCGGGGATGAAATGCGCGCGCACATAGCTCAATGATGTACTGAACAATCGTTTTCTCTTCCAAATCCGTAAGCTTACGCGAATTGGCTGGAGTATCACGTCGTGCAGGTTTGCCGTCGCGTCGGTTACGTATAGTATTTACCATGACTTGATATGTTGTTGCTGCAGCTCGAATACTGAGTTTTGGGTCGTTTTGAATAGCCCTGAGGGCCAAATTCACCCTAGCTTCGTATGAAGGAAGAGACATTTGAGTTTGTTGAGGAATTTGGTGTTTTGTAGAGAGGAGGCGCGTCGCGTCAAAAGTGTTCAACTCGCTTGTCTGTTCATCTCGCTTATCACACACGTTACAGCTAATTACTAGGATTATGCGAGATGTCCTAAAATAATGGCCTCGACAAATGTTGATATTTACCGCTCCCCGCGGCCTGCATGCCACGTAGCTGCGAGCTGCTTACACAATGCCTGAGGGTCCAGAGGCACGCGTTCAGGATGAAGTGAAATGGGAGTAGTCTTATAATCACATTCTCAAAGCCCTGCGAACACAATATTTAGTAATGTTTATACTGGCGAATCAAACTAAAACTAGGTACAGCGCCTTAGCTAGTGCATTCGGTTGGACTACGCTTGCTAAATCACCTTGCTTAACACATTTACATCTCTCTAGACGGTTAGTTATCTAAGTAGAAACAAAAGTGGTATAGTAGTACAGAATACGATCCGGAACCTTCATGTAAGGAAAGGACACCCCAAACACCAGCCGCACGCACAGGGTGCGCGCTCACCACCTGTTACCAACTGGCCAAAACACTGCCAGTTGGCACAAGCCACTACGCCACGCCATGGCGCCCCGGGCCTGAGCCCCTGAGCACGTATATAAACAGTGGCCCTCGCCCACCTTCCTTTGCGAGGGCCAGGTTGAAGTCTTACACCAATACTGCTCATTGCTCGCCCACCTTCTTACCTGCATTGTGACCACCTTGATCCGGCGTACCTGCCTTCTCTTACATTTCAATCTTATATTTCTACCTTTCTTATAAGTAGCCTAATGACAATAAGTAGCTTGGAGCTAGGTAGGAGTGTGGCAAAGTAGGGTATGTATAAAGCTTCAACGCCAACCACTGATAGACGTCCTACTTTAACTTTATCTCCTCCTCATTCGGCACACTAAGAACCGCCAACAACCGCCACTTTGAGCGGAGACACAATCGACTACTAATTCGTTAGTCAATCAGTCGACAACTTCGTACAAATAGTGGGCAGGTCGGTTCACTAGGCAGTGGTCGTATGAGCATCTTACGAAACCGGTTGCCGTGCAACTGCCGACGGTAATTACAGAACAACAATCGGAGTACGACATTCTAGCTAAACCTTTTTGCCCCTCTCTCACATTTCCAATGCTTTCTCATTTTGCACTCTGCTTCGCGGCAGGCCTCATCAACAGTGTGGGCGCTCAAAGCACTACAGCCGTCGTATCCTTGTTCCTCGACCCCATCGACGGCGTGGGTTTATTCGGCTCCGTCATCACCGCTAAGCCCGAGGCAACTTCGTACTCGGCTCAGTGTATGACAACAGTCAGACACCAATACCGCCTAATATATGTTCAAACGTCAAAAGCGTGACTGTTCAGCAAGGCCCTGCGACACTGTCAGCCGTGTATACTATCGTCGATAAGGCCTCAACTACCATGTTAGAACTCTCAACCATAATTATCAGATCTTCGCCGGCTAACTAGATTTAAATAAATATAGTATCAATAGATTTGATTGCACGCTCAGCGACCAAATTGGCATCTGCACCAACACCTTCACCGAGAACACAATGTCCACGACATTCCTCTCCACGTACACGAGCATCATAGACCGGCTAACTCCCGTCACCGTTACCGCGGGTGCTGAGCTCTTGTCTTCTAGCTCGCCAACATCCAACGCAGCTTCGTCGCCAACTCCCGTCCAGACAGCAGCCTCATCGAGCAAGACCACGCAGCAGGCGTCAAGCTCGTCGTCCTCCACTGCTGGTGGTGTGCCGCGCGCGACGTAGGGTATTGTGGCTGGTCTTGTTGGTCTTGCGGGCGTCGCGGTTGCTGGCATGATGGCTTGAGATGGGGTTTCGTCCCTAATCCTATAGGGTATGTAGTAAACCCCGATTAATGTTGTGGCCTGAGTCTAAAAATCCTCGCCATCTCAATACACGTCTCTTGTCTCGTCAAATTACACATTTGTAGATCAATTATCGAGTTTCCTTCGTATTCATGAAAGAATTACAGTAAATATCTATATAAACATCAGCTTACGTCGGGTCCTTCTCATGAGAGAGTAAACTTCATCAGAATATCTGAAACCAAAAATAGTAGCAATATTACAGGGATCCAGATTAAAAGACACGCTATTGCAGTTTTCGCACCTACACTGCGTCGGCTTCTAAAAAGCTGCTATGTGGCAATGCAGAGAACTGTAAGAAGCCCTAAACCCCCAAGAATGCAAATGGAAATGAGAATTACGTCACGGTACAAGAGTGCCATTGCCCTAAGAGCTTTTGCCTTCTAACTCTTGGCGAGTCTCATAAGATGCTAGGCTCCAGTATGGACTCCTTCCGGTCTCTCCTCGTCGATGAAACATTGACCTTGATACCCCGTGTACGTGTCGTCCTTCTGTCTGTGTACGTAGACGAGATCGAAAATCCGATGACACCGTGGCGGATCTACTAGCTAGAGCCTTTGGAAACCGTATAGTTAGTTTGTTGTCTGATGCGGGCCTCATTACCTAGGTACATATATAATGCCTGGCTCAGCCACACCCCCTCTTTGCCTCTTCCCCTCTTTGCCTCTCTCCCTCCTTTCCCCAAGCGACACGTAAATTTGTCACTTCTTCCCAAATGCCATTGGACTTGACATGGGTAGCACTAACTCGTACCGGTGATCTTGAACAGAACAGTATGAAAATCCCAGAGATCTTTGGCGTTTTCCAGATTTGACAATCCTCGGGCGCCTGGCCGCCTGCCGACGAATCTCTTCTCGATGACGTACAGATTCCGGCGCGAGGCTTCCTCGGCAGCCAGCCAGAACTCTCGACTTACAAACGCAGATATGGGATCCTGAGGGACATTTCTGAACGTATGTACGTCAGGCTGACGATCGCAGACGCCACATTAGCCGTCAGAAAGAACTGCGATCCTGCTCGCTGCACCTTGTTCGAGACAGCGCGGCTGCAACGATCATCTTTTGCTGTCAGGACGCTCCGGCTCGCAAATGGTGCTCGTTACCTCGACATGGCACTTTGGGAGGGGTTGAAGCTCCTCGACGAAGGGGTAGACTTGATTGAGGAAGTATGGGACCGATCCGGGCATGGTACAGCGTGGCAATCTGTGGTGCTCAATAGCCTAGAGTTTCAAAGCACCTGTGGTACGGAGTACCCCGTTCCGTGCGCGTTGCTGTACCCTCTTCCTTGTCTGTCTTGTGTCGCTGGTGGACGCTCACTCAAGGCGATAACAGGTTCTGCCAAGCGAGCGATACTGGATCTGGAGAGAAAAGTCTATGATGACGTTCTCAGTGAACTCCAGCGCGGCATGGTTGATTCTACGAAAGAGATCTACTACGCACAACTCATAGACCGGGTGAAGGAGGTGTGGTGTGGCATCAAGAATGCTTATAAAATGGTTACCTCAACTTATCACCGCATGTTCGGTGAGGAAAAGAGAAGGTCGGAGGTGGAGGCAAAGCCAGGCCATGAGAGCGTACAGGAAGACGATACGCACAAATCGTCATAAGTTCGGGACCTATGTTTCTGTCTAGTGGCTACTAATTTCGCAGACTGGAGACATTGAGAGCACCTCACGCCGATCCATGCACCTACTTGATTGATATGTACTTGTGAAGGTAATCCGACAGTTTTGGAGGTCACTCTCACCCGACTTTATAGTGGGGAAAAACCTACGGGCTGCGGCACAATATTGCCACGGTATCCCGGCCAAGGAAAGATAATGGGCTCTCTCGACTTTCCCTCGACTCTCCCTCGACTCTCCCTCGACAAAGCACAGGCCCGGCAGCCACTGCCGGATAGTCAAAGCCGGGAACGAATCGCGACTATCGTCAACCTCACCCCCTATATTGACCTGAAACGAAACATGATGGTCGAGGTTGCTCATTGCTCAGGTCCGAGGTGCTGCCGCTGACATTTTAATTGGGTGGCGCTAGCGTGCCACCCATCGGAAAATAGGCTGTGCTTGCAGAGATGATTGAGGAACCAGCTTCTGTAGCGCACAGTGCAATACCGAGCCCACTACAACAACTCTTTACAGGGCCTAGGCCCGTTAACTTGGCACAAATAGCAGCAAGAGATCTCATTAACAATGGCTTGGAATGGGCTAGCTATTGCGGTCGACTAGAGCTAGATTATGTTCTTCCGGTTGAAGTAGTTTGTGATAGCTAGTTGGGTCTCGAGCGGAAAGTCGACAACTCAAGAGAATTTACGTGTTAAACTAAAGGGACCATTTAGCCGAGGATTTACAGATGGTTGGCTCTGCTTGCCACCATTGTGTTTCTGTTCTACCGCCTCACTTTGGAGCCTTGCAAGATGCGGGGTTGGGGACCTGCGGACGAAGAGGCAGTGTTTCTGGGCGTTGATTAGGTAGTTTACTAGGCCTGCCTGCTGCCTGCAGCGAGCCGGGTGCGGGCGCGGGTGCCGCAGGGAGCTGGTGCATGAATTTCTTGGATGCGCAAATATTGGCCGCAGCTGAATGGACACGATCCCGACGAGCTCCCTCTTGGCCACACAATTCGGAGGCCGACATCAGGCAGACGTGCAGCACATTCACGTCGTCAAGAGCAAACGGAATACCCGACCTTCGTCATCCGGCTTCCAGCCCAACTCGACTCACTGCTTTCCCAGCATCCCTCCACCGAAGAGTCTGGACATTTTGTTCTGCTTTCACTTTGTTTCTATCCCATTTCCTTAGTCCTACATCCGAGACGCGATGCGTATCAGATATCCCATTCCAACCCCCACAGACACGCCAGCACTCGAGTACAGACCAGCAAACACCAGTAACACCACCATGGCACAGGGCACTGCTTCCCCCACCTCCCAGCCTGGCGCACCAGAGCCCAATAGCAACAACACCTTCACTGCTTCGTAAACACTCTTAGTTCTCCTAGTTCTCCCATCATTCCCAGGGCACAACTAATGTTTGCTTTCTGATTACCAAAGCCCCTTTTGTTCGCCCATTATCACCTTGCAATTCCGCTCGTCGACCCTTACTGCACACCGCGCCCTTGTCTTCCGCAGCTCTAAGCTCGCCCTGCTCTGCGACCCCTCAACCAGGTACATCGATCTGGGGCATATCTCGACCGGCGCTGGCCATGTCCTCGTGCAGTATCTCTACACCAACAAGTACCAGTCCCTGGAATGGAACCAGAGCTGGGATAGCCCCGACGTCCGCATCTCACAATACAAGACGGCTTTCGAGGTCTACAATGCCGCCCACGCGTACGACCTTGGCGGCCTCGAGGGCCTGGCCAAGGAGCGAATCGACCTCCTAGGCTCTGGACTCGATCTTTTCACTATCATCGACCTCGTCAAGGAAATCTATCCCGCTCCGGTGGCCGACGACTCGTGGCTTCCCGGCTACATCAAGTCGTGCATCAAGTCCGCGTTCCAGAACCCCAGGTCGTTGCTCGCCTCAAAGTTTCCCCTCGACTTTGGCGACAGCACGTCCGTTGCCAAGCTCCTTCTCAAAGGCGTCCTCGAGGTTTACTACGACATGGTCGACTCCCTGCCAGCCACGCAAACGGCCACGGTAGACGGAACCCAGCTTGTGCAGACCGATAGAGCCGTCGTGGGTTTGCCAACACAGACGGTTCGGAAGAGGGTGTCGTTTGATGAAACAGCCCAGCCCACACCGGCTCCGGCAGCCGAGGCTGAAAAGCGCCCGTACATTGTCGACGCCCTTCATCCGATGGAAAAGTCGACCGACTTAGCGTCTCGTGCTGGCGAAAATGTCAGCGATAAAATCCAGCCCGAATTTGCCGCGAAACGCCTCGATCAGACTAGATTGGCGCTTGCCGTCGAGCCGGAACTGGCACCGGCACCCGTCTCAGACCAAGTCAACCCGGAGACTCCTTGCGATGAACCTCAACTCACGCCTGTGGATTCACAAGGCACCCAGGACTTTTTTGACGTGTGGGAGCCAAAGCCTGCTGACCCTATGGTCGCGCCAGAGACGGTGCTTGTGGACGAGTCAATTGTGACACCAATCCCTGAGCCTGTCCTTCTGCCTTCTGAAGAGCTCTTGTGTGAGCCGGAACATGCCGAAGAGCCAGCGGCTGAGCTATTGCCGGAGCCTGTACCCGACCGCACAGGTCTCAAAGAAGACGATCTATGGGCAATCCCCACCAAAAAGTCGAAGAAGGACAAGAAGAAGAAGAAGCCTACCAGTATGTCCTGGGCTGACCTTGAGCCCGCAGCATCTGTGCTTGAGCCGCAGAACGAAAGTGCTGATTTCGACTATTTCGCCGGGCCGAAGAGCGACAAAGAGGGCGACACAAGAGCCTGGGACTTCAGTCGGGTATTGGTTGAGGAAAAGCCGGCCCCCAAAGCCGAACTGGATATTCAAGAAAGGCCATCTAAGGATCCCGAAGACGACTTCTGGGGCACTCTCCTAGAGACGAGATCGACCCAGATCCAGCTTGCACTCGAGCTTGAGCATGAGCCTGAAAAGCCGCCAATTTCACACGAGGCGGCCGCAGAGAAGGTCGAGGATGAATGGGGCTCAATAACGTCAAAGAAAAGCAAGATGAAGAAGGCTCAACTCGACTTCGAAACTGCAAAAGACCCAGAGGCCGAGCCTGCACCAGTCCCGGAAAAAGACGATGACTCCTGGGGCCTCCCCGCCAAAAAGTCCAAGAAGGACAAGAAGGACAAGAAAAAGAAATCGACTGAGAGCATGCAGGACGTGAAAGACCCCGAACAGTTGGAGGACACGTCTCTTCCGAAACCCGAGCTAGTTGTTGAGGAGACAGTGTATGATCGGCCAGTTGCCGAGGAGAACTTCGAAGATCTCTGGGGTTCATGGGGCCGACCACCAGCTAAGAAGGGAAAGAAAAAGAAGAGCACTGTGGCTGAACCAGAGCCAGATTCAGAACTGGTGCCGGCCCTGGAGCAGCTTGACGCGGTGGCCGAGATACTGCCAGAAGCTGAACCAATTCCCGACGAGAAGGAAGGTGATGTTGATATATGGGACACCTTGAATAAGTACAAGACGAAAAAGATGAGCATATGGTCTTCCACGTGGAACAAAGTCGATCCTGAGTCCAAGGTTGAGCTAGAGCCCAAGCCTGAAGTGGATCCGGCCGTCAACAAGAATACCGATGATGATTGTGCTTCTTTGACGGTAAGTAAGAAAGGCAAGAAGAAGAAGGCGAAGAAGGCACTGCCGGAGCCGGAGCCGGAGCCGGAGCCTGAACCAGAGGTACTGACCCCCATCTGACCCTCGGCTCTCATCAACTTGTCCTGGTATTACCGAACACCGCGCTAACCATGTGCCGCTGTCCATAGACAGAGGATCCGGCCCCCGACCCGTGGGCCTTTTGGGGCGCGACCAAGTCGCCTCGACAGAGCACATAATCAGTCGGCGTCTACGACATGGTGAAGAGATAAAGAGTGTGGAATTATCTTACTTGACTAAATTATATTGATTCATACATTTTTTAACCTAACTCGCACGGGGGAGACGGGGTTCGCTAGCTTTCTTCTCGTCTGTCATTAAATCACATCCAATGTTTGATCAACATGGCATGTCTCCATTGCAGACTCAGCCCCGCCCTCTCATTCCAATATTCAACGGACGGGGATTGGCAGTGACGCGATGACGGCGCACGGCTTTTATATAATAATCCAAGTCTATATCTACCTACCTTAGTTATTCTATTCCCTGCAAATGCCCAATAACACCAATCAAACAGACGACTGCTCTCGCTTGTGGCCGCGCGCTTCGCGGAACGAGACGTCGGCATCGCTCTCCCTCTCCTCTAGCGGCCTATCGCCGCCGCTAGCAGTAGCGGACTTCGCCTCGGCCCTGCTCGACACCCACACCAGCCCGGCCGTCCACGCCCCGAGCGCCACCGACACGGCGATCATGGCGTACATGCCGCGCTGCAGGAAAGCTCACGTTAGCTGGCGCGACAGACTTGAAAAAGGGTGACACTCACCGTGAACCACGGCGCCATGGCCGCGCCGTAGAAGAGGATGCTCCACCAAGCGTTGACGGCGTTGCTGCCAAGGTTCATGCCAGCAAGCACGACGGCGCGGAACGCGGGCTCGCGCGCGCGCATGGTGTCGTTGGCCCAGGCGAAGAAGGTGGCCTGGCACGCGTAGACGACTCCAGCCCAGTAGTAGGCGGCGAAGACCGTGGTCTCTGACCGGGCGGTGCCGGGGTAGTGCGACGCGGCGAGGACCATGGCGCTGGTGGCGACGCCCGTGGCCGCGATGAAGTAGCCGACCAGGTAGCGCTTGCCGCGGGCGGCGTCGGTCAGAGTGGCCCAGAAGAGGGTCGAGACGATGCCGACGGCCGGGACGCCCGTCGGGTAGTTGTTGAGCTGTGTGATGGAGTATTTGGTGGTGGGTGAGCTTTTCATGTAGAGCGCTAACAGTGAGTTGGAGGAGAAGGACTCGGTCTCGCCGGCGATGATCCACAGCACGACGAAGCCCCACCACTCCCAAGACGCGAGGACGGAGCGGGCAAAGGCCCACGAGAAGACGGCGGTGTTGGCGTGGGCTGGGTCGGCGGGCGGCAGGCGCGAGACGGCGAGGGCGCGCTCGGCCGGGGTCAGGTAGCAGGCGGCGGTGGTGGCGGGGGTGTCGGGGAAAAGCAGGAAGCCGTAGAGGGCGACGGGCAGGGTGATGAGGCCGTCGACGAGGAACAGCCAGCGCCAGCCGGCGAGGCCGTGGCGGCTGTTGAGGCTCGAGTAGATGCCGCTCTGGATGAAGCCGCCGATCATGGTGCCGGCAAGCCCCGAGGCCGTGAAGATGCCGCTGCGCTTGCCCAGCTCGCGCTCCGTGTACCATGACCCCAGGATGTAGTGCGTGCCGACGAAGGTGCTCGACTCGGCGATGCCCTGGAAGAAGCGGATGGCCATGATGGCTTGGGGCGAGTGTGCCGACGCCGTGAGCATGGTCAGGCACGCCCACACGACCATCATGGCCGGGAAGAAGTAGCGCGGCTTGACATAGTTGAGGCTGAGGTTGGACGGGATCTGCCCGATGACATAGCTTTATTTCTCGAATTGGATTTCAGTACATACTCAAACGATATCTTGGATGGCAGCTCAACTCACCCCACGGTAAAACACGTGGTGATCTGGTTCAGCTGGTCGCCCTCAAAACCGAGGTCCTCCTTCATCCCCGACACATAGGCATTGGACAGGTTGGACCGGTCGAGCTGAAACACGTCAGTTTGCCCCTCGGGGACGAAAAGGGAACCTTACATAATTGAGAAAGTAGCTCAGACAGCAGAAGGTAAGGATGAAGAAGTCAATCTTGTGCACCAGCCTGCGCTCCTCGGGTGCCCCGCGCGACACGGCGAGCGACGGTTTGGACATTTTGTTAGATCCAGCTTTGCGGCACGAGACGAGGGACACGTCCCGAGCTGGGCGACGTTGGATCAGCTATGAATTAATTAGCAGCCGCGATCCACTCTAGGCACTAGAGAAACCTTATTGGGGATTAACATTTACATTTTTTTTCTGCGTCGCTCCGCAAAAGACCAGACGGTCCCTATGACGTCGCGGAGATCAGCGCTGCTTCGGGCTTAATCCAGTGGAGCTAGAAACCGATCGCCACAGATCTCTGACTCTCTCATTGGCCCCACCTTTCCGTCGTCCACCACCGCTGCACGGCGATTCCGATATATCTCTGCCCGGGGCCTGTCACGACATGTCAACACGATGTGGCACGGATCTTGGGCAGGCAGTTCGATTCCCAATCATTGGATTGAATTCACGACAATTCCCGGCCCGGAAATGGGGACCAACAAATTGCACAGTCTCCTTATCGTCTAGAAGTCAAGCGCGCAAGGATTGACACTGCATGCCAATGTGAAACAGGTCACTTTGGCAAATGCTCGTGTTGATCTTCGCATCAAATCTGGCAACGTCCATCCTAGTCCTCGAATCAGTCCGGGGATGTCGGCTCTCTAGGTTGGAGGAACTAATTACGGTACCTTCGAAAGAAAGCTCAGTAAATAGGGGGTCAAATTTATGTGTTCCTGATGCCGTGTTGTGTTAGATCAAGGGTCGACTAAAACTTCGAAGCGGCTGCCTGGGTGAAGAAAAGGAACTTTGTAGCTCGTTAAAGCCATTGTACTAGATATTTATCACACGTAGGGGGGCTCGGAGTGGCACCCGCGACAGGTTGAAACAGAGCAGAAACAGTTGCACGCGTGAGTAGCAGCAGCAAACACCATCAACCACCTGACAACAGCTTGCTACGTGGGTAAGAAGTGACCTGCTAATGCGATGACATAAAGGCGCAGAAGAGGCTGGCTGGTCGAATGGGTAATTAGGCAACTACACCCAGTTTCTGAGTTGGCAAGTAATTGGTAGCTAATATGTTCACATACCATCCCCCCCCGACCCGATCACCCAGGCTAGGCAATCACTTTTTACACCAAAACACTACAACTTTGAACAGCCGCAGCATAGCCAATTATGAAGCTATTTACAAATGAAACATAGCAAAATGTAGCTAATTAATTGATTAATTTATTTATGGTACCGGCACACTGGTTGCGTGCCATAATCTGGCCATTCTTGCAGGTGGAATGTCGTTATCTGCAGCGTCATGCTCATCGTCTTCTTCATCCACATCTTCTTCTTGCGGCCCTGCTTGAGCCGCATTTTGAGCCTCAACTTGAGACTCTGCGAGGGCCTCGCCACTCAGTAGTATGGTAGCCGAAGTCATGAACCGTTCATTCAGGTTTGGAATTTTCCTCCTTTTCTTTGGCTTCAAGCATTCCAATTCGGCCTCTTATAGCTTCGATTTGTGCCTGTGACGGCGCCAGCTCACAGCACCCACTACCGCTGCGCTAGAACCCCCAAAAGGATGCCAGAATTGCAAGTCAACGACTTGCAATTCTGGAAGGAAACTCGATAATTGATCTACAAATGTGTAATTTGACGAGACAAGAGACGTGTATTGAGATGGCGAGGATTTTTAGACTCAGGCCACAACATTAATCGGGGTTTACTACATACCCTATAGGATTAGGGACGAAACTCCATCTCAAGCCATCATGCCAAGTGGCGATAGTGCGTGGCCCTGTTAGCGGTGGCGATGGTGGCGATGGTGGCGAGGGTGGCCCTGGTGGCGGTGGCCATGGTGGCTACGAGGGTGGTTTCTTACACTTAGATAGTTCTTTCTTGGTTCTTCAAGCAAGCAATACACATTCACTACACTCATATACTTTGAGTGGCATTCCGATATGACTGTATTACCCGTGCGATAGGAGCTTGCCCTTTTTGTTCTATCTAGGCCCGATATCTGTTCCTTTCTTTTGCGCTGCAAAAGTGATTACGGGAACAAAATTTGGCCCCAATAAACGAGTTTTCTGCTGGCATAATTGGTACATACTTGGCGAGACCAAAACCAGGCCCAGGGACGGAACTGGACCACTCGCTGTACATTTTCTGCCGGCAGAAAATGGACGTATCGACAATGGTACAAAAGATACGAATCCAAAACGCTGTGCTAGGTTCGATACGTATCTGCTCCATATTTTCACCGCAAGTGTGGATGGGCTGGGCGGAGTGGCGACAGACCATTGGCTGTCGATTAGCCAAACTCCTTGATATATCGCCGACGAAGTTGAGCCCTTATGAAGAGATGTTGGTAAGCCGACGCTGAAGAAGCTCGGCGTTCCCGGCAACGACGAGGGGTCGCTGGGGGGCAACCCCATCGGCGTCATGTACCAGCCCACCAACATCGACACGACTCACTAGACCCGATCCAACAGCGCTAACAGCTACCTGCCTCTCGCCGGCCCGAATCTCGAGGTGCGGACAAACAGCCCCGTAGCGAAGGTCAAGTTCGCGAACCGCGTCGGAAGCGAACCACTGCGCGCGACGGGCGTGGTTCTGGAAGACGGCACCACGATCCTCGCACGCCGCGAAGTGATCCTGTCGGCGGGAGCTGTGCATAGCCCGGGGCTGCTCGAGACGTCGGGCATCGGCCAGCCCGCGGTGCTCGGCGCCGCGGGCGTGACACCTTTCGTATCCCTCGCCGGCGTCGGCGAGAACTACCAAGACCACATCCGTACGTCCAACGTGTACCGCGTCAAGCCCAGCATCAGCTCCTTCGACCCCATGGTCTTCGACAGCAATGGCGCCTTCGCCACCGAGCAGATGCGCCAGTGACTGGCCGGGAACCGCTCGTGGTACGACTACACGACGACGGCCTTCTCGTTTCTCAACTGAGGCCACGTCACCAAGGGGACCAACACCACCTCGGAAGCGGCCCTCATCAGCCTGGCCGAAGCGTCCGCCAGCAACAGCACCAGCGTCGTCGACCGCAAGAAACTCGACTTCCTGCGCGACCCGTCGGCACGTGCGCCATGCTCCCGGAGAAGGACGGCGGCGTGGTGGACGCGTCGCTCGTGGTGCACGGGACCGCGAACCTCCGCGTCGTCGACTGCAGCGTGATTCCCGTGCTGCTGTCGGCGCACCTGCAGACGGCCGCGTACGGGATCGCCGAGGTGGCGGCGGGCTTAGTGATTCGCGCTGCGAAGGATGGAGTGGTGGTGGTGTAAAAAAGGGGGGGATGGAAAAAAAGTTGTCCATGACGGATTTCGCATCTTTCACGTCAATGATTACCTACACCTCCCTAGTTAGCAGCAGCACATTTCTCGAGGAGCAACCCTATCGCGACTGATGCCCCGGGATTTGGTTTATATTTCTATAGCAAGCGAGTCTATATAATGATCGGAAAGTGATGTGGATCACAAAGAGAGAGTAACACGTCAGGCCATCAATTCCACTGCGTGTGTTTTACTATGGCTGAGGGCTCGCCAGCAAGCCCCCCCTCCGGCCCCTCGCCTCTCGCCCTACCCCAGAGTCTGAGTGCGGCCCCGACATTAGGTCTTCATGTTAGACTCCAGCTTGTCGAAAAAGCCCTCGACTATGGTTTTCGACTCGGAATCGGTAGGCTCGGACTTTTGTTGAATTTCCGCTTCTGACCAGACCTTGTGGCTGTTCTTCTGAGCCAGCTTCTTCACGCTAGTGTTTCTAGCGTTCTTATTAAGCTGGAAATTGTACTGGCGCTTATCACCTGCCAGCTTTGGGCCAAAGTCTAAGCGGCACCCGATAGTTTCGTCGTTGGTAGTTGTTCTGGCAGGCACGGCACGAACTCCGCTGGCGGAGGCCATGTCTGTGACCAACTTCTTTATGCGGGTAGGGGATGCCATTACATGGGTCCTGAGAAGCCCGAGAGCACTTTTGGCGGGTCCAGACATGATTGCAAAGAGAGAGAGCGCTGTGTGTTGATTGGCGAGGAGCTCGGGTGACGAGGTAGACGGATATTGGGTAAGGTGGTTTGGAGTTTGGAATTGGGAATTTGGATCTGTGACTGACTGTACTCTTGTGATGCATGATACTTCTACAAAAGATATTGTCGTTCGGGAGGGAAGAGCGTCCTAGTCATATAGAAGCACGATGGTCCTTGTGGGTGCATTGTGTTGGATCTCGGGCTTCACGTCAGAGGCCAAGGAGCCTTGTGGGAGACAGCGCCTCCATCTGGAACGCTCCCTCCGCCCTCGCCAGTTGCTGCATACAAGGCTGAGGCACTTGCCTCTGGGCACAGCAGAAGGTTGGGGCTACTTTTGAAACTATGACCCGGTGCAAGGATTAGCCGACGTAGACATCCATTGTGTCCAGAGCACAAGAAGCCTTTGGGAAGAGTCAAGCCAGCGCCCCAATTCAGAGCGCTCCACATTGGCCAGTTGCTCCAACAAACAAGACTGCCTGAGGCACTGACATCTCCCTCTGGGCACAGCGGTAGGTCGGGGCCAATTTTTGAAACCGTGACCTGACATCAGCAAGAATTAACCCGCGTAACTAAATATGCGAGTCTGCGAGGCCACATGGAGAGAAGAGGGTGTCCACACAGGTGTGTTTCGAAATGCCGTGCCGTCCTATGTTAATTATGGTCCTGGAGAGAGCTTGCTTTGGATTTCCCGGATTTCCCGCGGGAGTTTTCAACCAACGGCCAAGCACTCCAAGGCGGCGGATGGCGGACGTGCGGAGCCAGGGCATGGTGCCAGCTGCGGGATGACCGGGGGCCGGTCACCGGGCTCTATAAGTGGGCGGCGAGGACTACCGAGGAAGCAAGCACATAAATTATAAAACAAAAACATGTCTTGGTAGTAGGTACAAGACTGGGTACAATTACAAGCAAGATCGGCTAGGTATACTTGAACAAGTTAATTAGTACTCAGAAAGTTGGAGGGTTAAAAGGTGGCCCACGTTTGTCGAGTTTCATCTCCATTGTCGGTGGTGGCAGCATCTAATCGCTTAGTTCATCTCAGTGTTCCTCCGACCCTTCCAAGTTCCGCGTTGGTTCCGTGGTTTCCCTTTTGGGATGAAAACCCCCCAATCGGAACACCCCAAAAATCCCAACAGCAGAAGGGTTTGATCCACAGTGCAAAGAATGCGCCCAATCTGTTGGAAAGCTGGCCTCAAAGTAGGCCCAAAATCGGTTCAATGTAACAGTCTCATTGTGTGTAAAGTCTTGGGGTAAGTCCTGGGGACCTCCCAGTGGGGACCCCATTTTACCCTGAAAAAGAGGGCTTTTCTGGGCTAGGCCCAGAAGGTTGCCCTGCATGCGCCTCCATGTCAGACTGCCGGCGATTTCCGGGCTTAGTCAGGACCTCGAAAATCCAACACAATCATAACGGTAAGCTCAAATTTTGGGCCAATGAGTAAGGGCGGCGTTGGCGCCTGTGCTTGCCCAAGCTGTGCCTTTTCGAGCAACCAACTATCTACGCATCTCCAAAATCGAGGCTGCAAGCAAGCTGTCAACAAGCCAACATGCACATGGGATTTTCGGAGACAGTTGGCGGCAACGCGGCATGGTGGGGCCAAAAAGCCCCAAACGTACGCGTATCCCAAAAATAAATAAACCAGTGCAGAAGGGGGTGGCACATCCTGGGTGGGGCTACCCGCGGAGCGGAGCGGAATTTGTCCAATCATAACAAACTTGGAACATCAGATCACTTGGCCGCGCGACTCTTGCGCCGCCTTGGATTGGAGATCACGGCTGGAATCGCGCGTATAACCCAGGTCACTGCTCCACCGCGCGCCGCCAACCCTTTTGCGTCACCGTGTCGATTTGTTTGTCGATTTGCAATCAAGTTGCAATGGCCGCTTTCTTACGAATTCGAAAGGGCTTCTTCAAGTTCAAGCCCCCGCAACCGAGCAAATTGTTTCTAGCCAGTTCTAAAGCCTCGCCCAACTCATTCTCAATTCCCATCATCTCTTCCAGCTCTACAACCGGCATGGTGTCCATGAGCTCGACAGCAAGAAGCCGAAGCGCTGATGCCGCACCAAAGTCCCCCAACTGGAACAATGATTCCAGCCTGTTCACCTACACGCGCGGGCGATTCGTCTTTGATGAAGCGCGGCAGATTCAACAGCGGACAATCAGGTTTGACATGAACCAACTCGCCCAAATCGCCGCCTCTTCCATCGGAGCAGACCACTGCATCGCCGTCACCAAGTGCCCCGATGGCATGTACACCAAGGCATACATTTTGCGGATGAATGACGGCCGAGAAGTCATTGCTAAAGTCCCAAATCCCAACGCTGGCGTGCCGCACTACACAACAGCTAGCGAAGTTGCCACCATCGATTTTGTCCGTGTCCTACGCCTTCCTTCCATAGACAAAAGACACCTGGAGCTGACTCTTGTACTGGACAGATGCGTGACGTCCTCCGAACGCCTGCCCCCAAGGTCCATGCGTGGAGCTCGCGGGCCGATGACAACAGTGTAGGCGCTGAGTACATCATCATGGAGAAAGCCGCCGGCGAGCCCCTCGACAAGTTCTGGGACCATATGAGTCTCTCCGATAAGCTCGACGTGCTCACGCAAGTGCTCTCCTACTACAAGTCCTGGCTTGACTTCCCCTTCCCGGGCTACGGGAGTCTGTACTACGAATCCGATGCCGGGCCGTCCTCTCTCGCCGTCCCCATCTCCGGTGGCGGCCCGCCCTGCAAGCGATTCGTCATCGGTCCCGCAACAGGCCGCGACTGGTACGATGCCGAACGCTCGTCCCTCGAGTGCGACCGCGGCCCCTGGACGTCGGCCCTCGCCTACCGCACGGCCATTTCCGCCCGCGAACGCGTCGCCATCGACCGCCTTCCCCCCGCTAAGCAGATGCTCATGGTCACCGGCCCGTCGCCCGAGCTCTACACGCCGACCCCCGCCAAGAAAATCTCCGCCCTAGCCGCCTTCGACCGCCTGCTCCCGCGCGTCCTGTCAACCACCAATCCCCTCCTGGTGGCCCCGCACCTGTGGCACGACGACCTGCACGGCGAGAACATATTCGTCGACCCGTCTAACCCGACCCGCATCACCGCCGTGATTGACTGGCAGGGCGTCCAGGTCGCGCCGCTGTTCGACCACCACGCCGTGCGCCCCGCCTTTCTCGATTACTTGTTCGACTCGGCTTCCGCGTCAGGAAACGACGCAGCAGGGGACGACGACGCAGACCTGCCCCCTGCTGCGCCCGACACCTCGGGCATGTCTGACTCGGATCGAGCGGCGGCGCTCAAGGCGTACTTCGACTCGGCGCTCTGCATCGCCTGGCGCCTTCTCGTGCGCAACAAGGCTCCCGCCCTTTACGATTTGGAAAAGTTCCAGGACTCGACCGAGGGCAACACGCTAAACGCGGCGCGGCGCGTGTACGAGTACGGCGAGTCGCTGTTGGCGGGGCTGATGCTCGATCTGGAGCTGCCGAAAGACAGCGATGACGGCGAGACGACGGTAATACGGAGCGAAATGGATGCCGAGTCGAGCGGGATTAATTTGATGTCCCAGCTGCAGCAGCAGATGGGCGACGATTGGCCGGATAAGGGTCTCACGGTCGAGAGGGACTACAACAAGATCAAGGCCGCGCTGACACAAGCGAGGGAAGTTTTGGTCGAGACGGCGTATGGAGAGGACGAGGCAAAGAAAGAGGAGTTTAGGAAGAGTTGGCCTTTTGATAATTAGTTTTTGTTTTCTTTTGCGACGGTGAGCGGGGATAATACGGGCTTGAATTGTCAGCATGGCAAGGGGTGATAATTCTGTCTGCCAGTACTTGGAACCTGTCTGGTACAGTGTTCTTGACCACACGTCGCCGCTTTGTATTTTAATTAACCGCCTGGTTGAAAATTTGGAGTTTGCTTTTCTGCGGTTCGTTTGGGTTGCAATTAGATTGGGGAATTATCAACTCTGACCAAGACGTGAAACCCGCATGGTTAAGGATAGGATTATTGACTTTCAGTTCAATGTTCGTAACTACACTCTTCAGGCAATGCGGGGGTGTGAGGTCCTCGAAGCTCTACTACCGGGCTACCGAGGAGATCCTTCTGAATACCGAGGCACTCATGATCAGGGGCTTAGGGGTCAGGCTACAGGGTTGTTTGCACCCTCACCTATTGTAATCTAGGTCTAGTATACTTTTTTCTTTCTTTCTTGGCCTAGCCACCTCACATAAGGTGGCTAGCCCGCCCCCCTCTGATCGGAGGTCAACATCGCTCTTTACCTTCTTTTCTAGCCTGTCTTCAGAAATCACGTCTTTTTACCATGAATTGAGATCCCCAGACCAGTGCACTCAGTAGTGCCATTTTCTTTGTTGTTTTGACCCCCCGGCTATGGAACCCTATACCTGTACTCCGCAAGGCTTGCCTGCGGCTCGCCTTGGTGTTGTTTTGGTGGTTGTTGTGTTGTGGTGCCTTGTCACCGCTTCACTCAACGTCGCCGACGTATTCATCCGCCCGACCATCTACCGGCCTGACCAGTGACTTCTCGAGACTCAGCTCTGGTGAATTACCATTTCTTAAAGCCTGACCAACAGTAATAACCTCAACCCTTAGTGAGGCAGAGCCGGACTTGCGGCAAGATAGTAACTGTTGTGGACAATGCAGCTCAATTGAAGTGTATTTAAGTCTCGTCCATTCGCAAGAAAAAAATGAAAGAAAAGTAGGGCTTATTTATCCTTCGACCAAACCGGTATTAGGCAACAATGTAGGCATCAAGGCCTCTATAGGGGCCGATTATCGTTGGTGGCCTGGTTGGTGGCGAAGATCATCGTTGGTGGCCTAATTGGTGGCAAAATTCCGTCAGGAGGGCATTATTACGTAACAGTTGGTGGTTGGGTGGAAGAGTGCAAGTTTCGGATTTGGGGCCGATTGCATCACTTTTTTAAGGTTAGTGGCCCCGCGCTACTAATTACCCAAAAGTGTCATGGATCGTGCACCTCACGATCATGTGGCTGGTAGGCCGGATTTAGACTAGCGCGGACCGCAGCACGATTGAGCATTTACCCCTACATCATGCTCGCGTTCTGCTTCGTTACATATCCAAATGCATCCTTCCTACAATTGTTGGTGTGAACTTGGGCGGCATGGTGAAGATTGATGGCTAGATCAACGGATCTAAAATGGAGTGTGAATACGCTGGTTACCGAGTCCATTTCTTAGGGCCGCCGTTTTCTTTTACAAATTTATTGGTGTTTTTTTAGCAATACGTTTTATGTGCCCCCCAGGGTACACCCTGGTTGACGACCCAATCCATATGATTTCACAGGCGTGTATTCCATATGATTCACAGGCGTGTATTTCATCACCTATTCTGCTGGAGAGTATTTGCTGAATCGTCAAAAACAACACTAACGGTAAGTTAGGTGACCAGCTTTAGACCAACCTCCTTTTAGACCTCAAGGTTCTAAAGGATGACTAACCCTTGCCACCCAACTCTTCTATTTCAATCGCCCACAACTTCACAAATTTGATTCCAATCCGTTTCCTTTTTTTCCTTCTTTAGCTTTAGATTCTACGAATACAGCGACTACATTGCAGCCTTGTGTTGGAATGGCAAGGTCATTCGTTCCATAGTCACTGCAGTAACCGATGCGAATGAGGTGGTTGTGGTGGTTGTATTCTGGTCTGCTCTATGTCTAAAAGGTCACGAACTACGGTGACAGGATGCGCGTTGGAATTGGCGATGCCGGAGGTCACGTGAGAGGTGCGCTTCGCGCACGTGCCGCATAGCGGCCCGCGCGCTAGTCAGCCACTGAGGCTGTGCAGCCGGTTGAACAATCACGTGCGACTGCATCCTCTGATCGACTGGTAGTTCCCACACCTTGCCTCATAACAGTTGACTGTGCGGTGACAGATGCGGCCAAAAACCACGGCATCCCCCACAACACTTTATATTATCGATCCAAAGGCAGCAATCCAGCCACCTACTCCCAAATAATCAATCAGAAGCTTTCTCCAGCACTAGAAGAACGTCTCGCAGAAGGAGTTCTCTTCCAGGAGGTCATTAGGAACCCCCCAACCCACCTTAGAAAGCGCTGATGCCGCCGCTTTTTGAACCGAAATCCTTCCATTTCTACCAAGAGACCACGGAGAATCCACGCAAACCATGCTGACCGAGCCTGTGAGGCCGTTATTCGGCCCTGGTTTGACTCCCTGGAGTTTCTAGGGGTTAAGGCCATTCTGCCGGAGAACAGGTACAATATGGACGAAATTGGCATAGCTAATGGCATTGGAGATAACGGTCTGGTTGTAGGCTCCAAATCTAGAAAACTTTTACAAAAGAGGAAGTCTGGAGACCAAATTTGGACGACCATTCTAGAGTGTGTTTCGGCCGACGGCCGGTTTCTGAACCCACTGGTTATTTTCAAGGGTGGGAGCCTCCAGCAACAGTAGTACTCACGCGATTTGACCCCATTCGAAGGTTGGGCCTTCAAACCAACCAAAAACGGGTGGACTGACGATGACACTGCCGTCGAATGGCTTCGCGAAGTCTTTCTTCCGGTGTAAGAGAAGGTAGGTACGCCTGATCAAGGTGGTCACAATGCAGGCAAGAAGGTAGGGGAGCAATGACTTGTATTGGTGTAAGACTTCAACCTGGCCCTCGCAAAGGAAGATGGGCGAGGGCCATTGTTTATATACCTGCTCAGGGGTTCGGCCCGGGCATCAGTCTGCGGTCGTGGCGCCACGGCGTAGCGTATGCCAGCTGGCAGTGTTCTAGCCAGTTGGTGACAAGTGGTGGGCGCGCACCCTGTGCGCGCAGTTGGTGTTTGGGGTGTCCTTTTCCTTACATCCGGCCACTCGGCCGGCCAACCCTAAGGAGAAACGCCTCCTTATTTTGGATGGCCACGGCAGTAATACCACTGAGGAATTTATGTGGCTGGCTTTTACCAACAACGTACGGTTACTATTTCTGCCAGCCCACACCTCTCACGTTCTCCAGCCCGTGGATGTAGCCGTTTTCGGCCCGCTGAAGGCTAAGTACAGGGCACAGCTGAATGACTTGCTTTCTGGCCTAACCAGCGACTCTGTACTTGCAAAACAAGCCTTTTTAGAATGCTATAGGCGCCCCAGAATCTACGGAATGACCGAGTCAAATATCAAGGCTGGTTGGAAGGCCACAGGGCTGTGGCCAGTCTCCCTAAGGAAGCCCCTAAGCAACAGCCTCGTTATTAAGAATTCCAATGGCTGCATTAGTACGGTAAGTTAGGTGGGGGGGTAAGCGAACACTACTGATTTAGAACATTCTGTATAAGCAGGAGTCCCAACTAACCCTCCAACAAAAGAAAGGGTGATCTTTTTATTTACAAAACTTCAATACAATCTTTGATATCCTCTGAATCATCCGCTTCTTCCGCATCTTCTAAAACCTCTGCTGCACGCCCTACAGCTCTCTGGGCCTCACGAATAGTCTGAATATTCGCAAAGGTGGTATTTGGATCTTCTTCAACCTTCTTCTTCTTTCTGGCTCTTATTGATTCGAGAGTGTGTTCTAGACCTTCAATCTTTCGCTTTGTCACGGCAAGTGCAGACAACTCTGGAATAGTGGATCCGACCCGGACCCCACTAGACTAGATGGCCCGTGCACCCCACGTCCTATTTCCCTGCGCCCTGCCCAAGCTTTAGAAACTTCCTTTCTTCTTTCTTTCCTTAGCTTTAGATTCTACGAATACAGCGACCATATTGCAGCCTTGTCTCATGCAGTTGACTGTGCGGTGATACGCTTCCTAATAGCCAGTTCAAAGGCCTGTTCATCCAAAGCCTTACCAATCTTTCTGAGGAAGAGCTTATCCGCTGGCATTGCTTTGATGATGCGTGCGAACTTCTTTGCCTGCTCAACGTAATCACGTGCCTTTCTAGGAGTCCTCCACTGCACCCGATCGTCTCCATAATCCTCCAGGATTGGCATACGGAGTGTGCGAACCTCTGGGGTAACTATAGTAGTTCTTAAGGGGCGTGAAGTATTAGAATTCTTGAGGAGGAGTGGGCTTCTTAGCGGTTTGTTGACATTCAAGGGCCAAAGGCCTGATGCCTTCCATCCTGACTTAGCATTACTCTTAGTAATTGCCTCTGTGCGTGAAATCTGGTAGCATTCCAGAAACGCACGTTTTCCGGCTACAGAAGAGTCGTCAAAGGCGTTAGCAAGAAGGTCCTCAAGCCGTCTGCGATAAAGTCGTTTTAGGGGGCCAAATATGGCCAAATCTAGGGGTTGGAGGACATGGGAAGTATGGGGAGGCAGATAAATAATGTGAATATTGTTTGTGAATGCCTCCCACATATAATCGGCAGTTGTGTGGCTGCCATGGCCATCAATAATAAGGAGTCGTTTCTCAGAGGAGTTTGCTGGCTTGGTGAGAGGAATGAACACATTTTTTAACCATTTGAGGCTTGTCTCATCGGTAGTCCATCCTTTCTCAGTTGCTGTAAAGAACCAATCCTGAAATGGCTTCATATCCAAAGGAAACCATTGTTGTTGAACGCTTTTCCCCTTAAAAATGACCAAAGGAGGAAGGCAACGGCCAGCTGCTGAGATGCATTCGACAAAAGTGGTCCAAGTGCGGGTTCCAGGCTGTTTTTTTTGAAGCGCCTTAAAGGCACGGCTTCCAATGACAAGGCCGTTGGTTCCTCTGCCTTCCATAATACCAGATTCGTCCTTGTTCCAGCGATTCTCTGGCTTAATCGCCTTGATAG